TAGAAAGAAGGTATATATGTCTCCGCTTAGCTAATAGACGCTAGTCCCACCTAGTCGTCACTTCCGTAACAGTGGCCACTGGCAATAGAGGGCACAAGGAGCGGCCCTTCCCGTCGGTACGAGTACGATTCCGAATGCGAGAAACGCGACTCATGTTCCCTCGCTCCTGCACCACGAACACGAAACCTCACAACAACATCTGCGTCAACTTCAACACGCATCACACCCATCGCACGCGCATATCATATATTGCGGACTTGCTCAGCTCACAACTTCTCTCTGCTCTCTGCGTGAAGCACAGTAAATTGCCAACATGCCTGGAGGCGGTGCGAAGAAGCGAAAGAACATCAAGCTCGCCCAGGAGAAGCAGGCTGCCAAGAAGGCTGCGAAGAAACAAGAGCAATTCGTGGCTTCCCTTCCCAAGATCACAGAGGTAAGGTCGGTAACTGTAGCCAGGCCAGGTAGGTACTGACAGAGAACGGTAAGGATGATCTCCTCAACTTCCAGATCAAGCACTTTGGCGATGACACACGACCCGCCGAGTGGTTCATTTCCAAGGAGCGCGCCTTGAACTTTGCGGATGAACAGGTCGAATACGAGAACGACCTGGGCTACTATCCGGACGGCGTCAAGCGCACTCTCACCGACGAGCAGATCGCCATCTTCCGCCGCCGGGAGCTGTACGAGATGCAGCGCGACCAGCAGCGTGCGAGAGAGGAGGCCGCAGAGGAGCGCGCGCAAGACGGAGACGAGCCTCGCTCACCAGCCTCCGATGTCTCCGAGCTGGAAGACGATCTACTGACGTATGCTGCTGCCAACTTCAAGAGACCGTCGCCCACGCCGCCGCCAGCTGCTGAAAACGCCACAATGTCCCTGTCCACGCCTAACCCTGCCACTGCCAATGGAGATCGTCGCCCGTCACAGCAGACTCGAAGCGACATGGCGGAGTCCTCTGCATCCTGGAAGCAACGCCGCTCTCAGCAAGAAGTGCCCTACTCCGAGAGACACAAGCGGAAGTGGGAGTCCTACGTCACGCGTGTCGATGATGTTGAAGGCTCGATGACCCACCGCCGCCTGGCGCGAGAACTCGACAACCAGCAAGACGAAAAGGTCGAGATGGACTACTGAGCTCCTGACGGCAACGTCAGAGCTTACTGACCATGGAACAGGACCAAGTTGTCAGCGAGAATCTGCAAGACACCGACGGCATCAAGTGAGTAAAGCTTGTCCCACAACCCCAGTGCATTTGATATGATGAGAAAACCTTGTCATCCTTAGACGGAAAGCCTCTCAAGTACCTGTGCTAGGGTTCGGCTTTCGGGCACTTACCCAGTCGGACCTTGAGCCGGCTGCTGTCGACTGTCTAATCTTCTCTCTGACAAAAGCATCACCTTCACTTCACGACTGCAATATACGTAACTTGCTGAGACGATACTGATCTCGGACATAGTGAACCAAGCGGCCCCAAGGAAGGCCGCCACGTCATTTATGACTGCGATAAGCATGCGCGACCGACGTCCCGGTTTGCGTTTCCCGGCCCTTGGACGTCCGACCGTGGCAATCGCTGCATTTAAGGCCTTTTTCCCGAAGGCATGACGGCGAGAAGCGGTGTAGGCCATGGGTATTGTTGGAAAGCCGGCATAGCTGTCTGTGGAGTGCGATTGGGCATGTTGGGATCGCCAGACTGCATGTTGAAAGTGCTGTTGGGTCACTCAGGGCGCTTAGATGGGCCGAAGAAGAGATAGAAATCCCAGTAACGAGTCTATGCCTCTTCACTTTCCAGAATGATTTCTAAGATGAGAGCAAAGGTGCAATGAAACGGAGAAGTGTATTTCTGATTTTAAAAGTGTTGGGATAAGAGGAGGAGGAGGAAAGGGATCACCTCTTCTCCAAACCTATTCTACCCTTCAAGATATCATCATGTGCCTCCATCACGACCCGCGGCCCAATATAGCCACGATTCCGTTTCCAGAGATAGCCGAGAGCGAGGAGGAACGTGATGCCAGCAAACATGACACTCGTCCAATTCATCGCCTGCGCATTCGCGACGGGATACGTGTACGGGAACATGTACAGCACGTTGAGCACGACGATGTAAGCCGACGCGACGCCCATGACGATGTAGCCCCAGGCGCCGGGCATCCAGAAGGGGCCCGGCGGGACGTGCCTTCGCGCGGTGAGGAGATGGGGCAGGATGGCGGCGAGGTAGGACAGGGTGGTGAAGACGGTGAAGATGCTCACGAAGGCCTGGAAAGCCGTGGCGGAGGCGATGTAGATGCAGCCGAGGAGGGTGCCGCCGACGCCGCAGAGGACTTGGGCGTTGAAGGGGTTGCGGAAGGTTGGAGAGATTTTGCCCACGAAGCGGGGGAAGGGAGTCGCGTCGTCGCGGCCGAGGACCCAGAGCATTCTGCCCGCTGTGATCCAGCCTCCGGGGACGGTGATGAGGATGTCGAAGAAGTACAGGAAGAGGAGAGCGAACGTTCCTGCGTTTGAGCGTGTTGCCTGCTGGAAGATGGCGGCGAGAGGGAGCGCGGTGATGTTGCTTTGGAAGACGGCGTCGAGGTCGGTGATGGCATATAGCTGCGCGAGAGAGGTGAGCCTTGACAGGGTACCAAGACTTGGAGGGACACTTACCACTGCAATGTAGAAGACAAACGTCGTCGCGAAGCCCACGAGCATCTGCGCAGCGATACCCTTGGGAACGTTGACCTTGGGCCGCGGAACCTCTTCGGAGATATGGCAGACCCCATCTGGCGTTCCGATGGCATACGCGCCGTTGATCGTGCCCATCAGGAAGACCAGACCATTGCTGGACCACCCGGTGAGGTTTTGCCATTCGGACCAGACAAAGCGGTCCGAGGCATACCCGGCCCCGGTCTGAGAAGGCATAATGGCGCATACCAACACGGTGACCAAGACGAGTACCAGGCAGAGGGCACCGGAAAGCGTAGCGAACTTGGCAATGTACCGCTGTCCGAAGCAGACGATGGCCGTGTCCAGCCAGATGATTGCCAAGTACGCGATGAAGATCTGCCATCGCTGGGGGACAAAGTCGGGATGATAGACGGTGTACATGGCGATGATGGCATTGGCGGCGAAGAGGGAAGTGGAAGCGGCGCCGAAGATCCAGGCGATGCAATTCCACCAGCCGGCGAACCACGAACAGACTCGTCCATATCGCGGTCCAGGAGTGACGGAGGCCCAGTGGTAGACATTCGCAGAGCTCGGGATGGCCGACGACAGCTCCGCGAGGCCAGCACCGATGAAACCGTAGAATATCGTCGCCGCGATCAGGCCGTAGAGGACTCCCGGGCCACCACCGTTGTAGAGACTGTCTCCCCGTGCTTCAGCAAGGTGTCTGTCCATTCAAGGAGGGGGAGGGGGATGACTTGCGCTAGAACGAGCGATCCACCACCAGCAGCCCAGGCATCATCCGATATGAGCGCCAGCGAACATACCGACCAGATTCCGAAATTCCGATCGAGTTCCTGGACATGACCACTCGCGTTCACCAGCTCTTCCACACCAAACCCCTCCTGATCGACAGCGGACGAGACATGCTTCTCCTTTTCATTTCCCACCATTTTCCTCGCAAGACGTCTTTCTTAAGAAATGAGAATGTAAGAGAGAGAGAGAGAAATACGAGAGCCGCTGGAGAGAGACACTTATACTCCCTCATGCCTACCTACCACGTCTCAACCCGTCCTGCTAGACACGCGATGGATGCAGCATGCAGGATGCAGATGGCTTCATGCGTGGGCATGCCCAGACGGAGCACATCACATATCAAACCAATCTATGGCTGCTGGTGGCGTCGTAGGGATTGGCCATTGATAAGTTGGGACGTGGACAGGAAAGACGGGCTGCTGGGGCGAGATGCGATACGACGTGCAGCGACATGCATGGTGGAGGTGCAAGCTCCGGATATGTACCAAGAGGACTGGAAGCTGCTGCTTAATAAAGGTAGCGGCGCGCGGGGAGACGACTTAGGCGGAACCTTATTAACCAATTCTCCCATGCGCACTATGGAAATCTACCTAACAGCAAGAAGCAACGACAACGATCCGCAACAATTCCGAACACACAGCATCGCATAGCCCATATCGAACGCCTTCAACAAGTAGAATATACCTTACCTTCGATCCTCAACAGCGCCATCCATTCCAGACACACGTCGCACTGCGAAAGCAGACAGACGACTTCACCTCCTTGTTGCGCGTGACCGACCGACGTCCTGGAGACTGGGAGAATCATAGGAGGAAAGGATGGAGAGCATGGCGCAGAGATGGACCAGAACAAGATAGCGCGAGGGATGTTGTGATTCGTTGGCATTCCACGCGTGGAACAGTCACACAATAGAAGAGATGGCAGACTAGAGAAAGGAGCATTGATTGCCATGGATAAGAATTACTTGGCGAACATACTCTCCGTAACGCTTTAGAACATCTCCCATGTGAGGTCTTCAAGAAAAGTATAAGACACGATGAAAGAGAATGAAAGACCCATTACGATGCCGAGGTGCTGGTAATCAAGAAGCCCGCAAGTACACAGCAGTGGCAGTGCCCTCCGGCATGATCGCAACGCACTGTGCTGAGATTTTATGTCATCGAATCGTGCACATCTCGCATCGTGACGGCTAGCTAGAGGCACGTAGGGTGGATGTCAGCTTGGTCGTGCTCTGAGAAGAATGCCGGACTTACAGTTTGGTTAGAGCCTTCTTCGACTTCGCCTGGGAACACGGGAGAAGCCGCAGAATAAGGAGAGTAGCTAGGCGAATGCGTCGACGAGGGATTGGCCAAAGACCCAAAGATCAACCTGCGGTGGCATTTCACGAAGCAAAGGGGCGGAAAGAGGAAAGTTACCTATTGATATTCCGACGAGCGCAAGTCAGCGATACAGTTCCCAGTCCGCACCAGCGCACTCCACCGACGGCCTCATATTTTGGAAAGAGCAGGAGTCGAACACTGCATTTGCAAGTTGAATGGTACTAGGCTGAGAGAATTGCCCACCCTGAACCAGTAGAGAGAGGTATCTGGTCAGAGCCCCTTGCTGTTCTACCATTGAACTATCTCCCCGAAAAAGAATGTTGATGGCTATGAGTTGGAGAGCGCTGGAGTCGAACGCAGCATCTGCAAGTTTGGAATGGTACTGGACTGAAAGATGCGCCCGCCCTGGATCAGTAGGGAGAGGTTTCTGATCCAGGACCCCTTGCTGTTCTACCATTGAACTAGCTCTCCTGAAAGAGTAGTAGCCCATGAAAAGCGGTGCTGTGAGGTCGATTAGTCCATTGCGAAAGGCACGGCAAACCATACCTTCCAGAGGACGCGCCCCGTCTCGCTTGTATTGTGCTTTATCGATAGCAACGTGAGACTATAATGGAAGTCAGTCGGAGCTGAGACATGAAAAGAAGGGAAGACAAACCTTTTCGGAGAGACGCAGGGAGGTGCAGTGCACGTGTTGTCGGGGCTGAAAGCACGCAGTCTGAGGCCGTGCTCGGGGACCGATGGGGAGGGCGGGCGTCGAACTCCGCGTCTGCAAGTTGAGATGGTACTGGGCGTGAAAAGAACTTGCCCACCCTGATCTGGTAGGGAGAGATATCCAAACCAGGGCCCCTTGCTGTTCTGCCGTTAAACTACCTCCCCGAAAAACAGGTCACAGCTATGGGACTTGTGCAGAGAGGCTGTGATGAAGTCAGCTGCAATCAGGAGGAAGGGTAGACGGACCTCGGAGGCCCAAGAAGGCGACGGCGATGCTGAAGTCGGTGGCGCGCAGTTTATGGTCATGCCCGGGACCGCTGAAGGAGGCAGGACTCGAACACTGCATCTCGGAGTTCAAGGAGCAAGGAAAGCAATAAAGAAAGCCCAATGCCGCCCGGGTAGCAAAGAAAGACTACCCAGTCTCCCTCCGTGTGCTACCATTGCACCACCCCTTCGGAAAAAGAAGCGATTGCCGTTGTTGGCTGGTGGGAGCAGGAGTCGAACTCTGCGTCTCGGAGCTTGTCTGGAGCGAGGAAAGCAATAATGAAGGCGCAATGCCGCCCGGGTAGCAAAGAAAGACTACCCGGTCTCCACTCCGTATGCTGCCGTTGCACCATCCCACCGAAAGAAGCAGAAGAGTACACCGGCGGAATCTCTGGCGAAGTGTCAGTCCATGGAGACGATTAGGGAACGGAGAGCTCACTTGAATACATGCCGCGCATGTCACTGGTCCCGCAGAGGGCTGGCGAGGGCGGGAGTTGAACACCGCGTCTGCAAGTTGATGGTACTGAGATCAAGAGAGACGATCTCACTGTGCATGGTAAAGACAGATTTCCATGACACAGCCCCTTGCTGTTCTACCATTGAACTATCTCTCCTATATATATTCATTCAGGGAAGTGGCACATGGGGCAAGAAGTGCGTGAAGGAGTCAGTAGGGGCGTGGTATCACGATGGGGGTGGGCAAACCTCTGTCCATCCAGATGAAGACCGGTTGTGAGAATGCTCCGGACACACAAAGTCAACCGGTCATGTGACTTCTTCAGCAGAGTCCGCCCGGTCGCACTGTGCTCGGTCGCAATCTGCTCGGTCGCAATCTGCTCGGTCGCAATTTGCGACCAGCATGTCGCTACCGCCTGGAGGAAAGTCAGCTCTGCTCAGTGGGTAAAGTGATCAGGGACGATGAAGGACTCACCAGGGCCGACCCTCCACACCGCGGTGAGATTGTTCTGAAGGGATGCAATGGAGCCTCAAACCCTTGGCGTGCCCAACTCCGCCAGGCTGAAAAGCCCGAGACTTACGAGTTGAGGAGCTGCAGTTGTTTACAGTCGTGCCCAGGACTGGGACGCAGTTTCATGTCGGTGGCCCGGGACCGGAGCCATTCTCGGCTCGAGGGCTGTCGCACATGTCAGCATCGCTCAGAGTGCACAGGTGGAAGACATGACTTGCCTTTCATAGCCCTCCATAGAGCTGTGAGGTTGTTCTGAGGGTCGCACTGGAGCCTCAAACCCTTGGCGTGCCCAACTCCGCCAGGCTGAAGAGCCCGAGACTTATGAGTCGAGGAGCTGCAGTTGTTTACAGTCATGCCAAGGACTGGGACGCAGTTTCATGTCGGTGGCCCGGGACCGGAGTCGTCTTCGACTCAGCAGCTGGCCAAAAATGTCAGTGATGCGCAAATGCAGAGTGTGGAGTGGCACTTACCTTGCGATCTGGCGCAAGAGACCAGGGAAAGTCGCGCAGAAGGCGAATGCCTATGGAAGCGCAGTGCCTATGGTGGAGGACGGCGCGCTATAGATAGCAAGTAAGCGGCACGGAAGTGAGTGGTGACAAGGGTGAGTGGTGAGGGAAGAAGGTTGTGGTGATGGAAGAGGAGGAAGTGAGTGGAGGGTGGGTGACGTGGGTGGGCGGCGATGAGGTGGATTGTTGATGATGAGATGGGTGGTGATGAGATGAGTTGGTGGTGGTGGTGGAAGGGGAAGAGAGGGGAGGGGACTCGGGAGGTGAGGATGAAAGACATACCAAGAGAGAAGATGCCTGAGGCATGCAAGCTGCAAGTGCCTCAGGCGCTTGTCCTTGCTTGTGCTGTTGCAAGGTTGAAGAAAGGAAGACCGAGTCGAGGCGAGGGCGGGCCGGTACTTATGGACGGATGGATTCTTCGCGAAACTGCGCCCCAAGAGCTCACAGAGGCGACAGCGAAAGCTCGTAACACCATCACCGGCCATTCTCAATGGCCGACCACCCTCCGTCCCCACCGCGAGCTCCGACAGCTCCATAGGGGAGCATGTGCCATGTGCGTGACACACCCACCATGAGCCTTACCAGCACACACACCTCCTGCGAACCTTCCAGAAGCAGGAGCATCGGTTACCATTACCACGAATCTCTCCATGGCTCACACACATACCTACGGAAAAAGTCTCGCATAAGCCTCGTCCATCTCCGCTCGCATGCCCCCTCGGTCCAAAAAAATCGACGACAACATCTAGAAAGAACCACCATCTCGCGCGAGGACGGGGCACGTACCTTACCTACCTTACCTTAGCATTGCCAATGGCGCCTGCACGAGAATCCGCCTGCCTTACATGGAAGCACACGCGCGCCCGGAAAAGGGGTCCAGGGCAGGGCAGGGCAGTCACGCCTCAGGTACGCTTCCATCCCCACCCAACCTCACGAGAAAAAGCTTCCACCGCTCTATACCTCGACTCATCCCGAGGTCCCAATGGCCTGGCTCAGCTGCTCTTCAGGGGGGGCGAAAAAGTTAAAAAAAAAAAAAAAAAAAAAAAAAAAAAAATCGGGTGGCTGGGGGGTTCTCTAGAAACGCGACCGACCCACTTAAGTGAATGGAAAAACGGCAACACACTGGGCAGCTTCAAGGTCCCGTCCCGTTCTCTGCTCGAGCCCGCTGCGCTGACCGGAGGGACTACACCGAATTTCTCGCAAATCCCTCGGCGGAGGTAGTAGCAAAGGTGCCGCAATTGGATCAGATGGGAGGTCGGCAGGCGATCCCTTTGGAGTAGGTAGTAGCTGGTTTTTCGCTACAAGCTGAAATTCAGGCATCCAGGCACCAACCTTAAATTCAGCTTTTTGAACGCAGAATTACTTACATAAGGTAGCCCCTGGGAAAATTCGCAGATGAGAAGCATTCAGAAACTTTTATGCTGCGTCAAGTCTCTCTCGAAATGTGTGCACGTAGATACAAGTCGTAGAAGATCGAAAATCTCAGGGGGCGGATGTACCGTAGTCTTGTGGTGGATATACCTTACCGATGACACAACATCAACAACAACAACAACAACAACAACAAGACGTTTTGAAAAAAGAAAGAAAGTAATCTGCGCAGTGCACTTTTCTTTGAAATCATAAAAGCCATAAAGATCATGATAACAGCCTTCCTACTTCTCGCGAGACCAAAAACTCCTCCTCCGCTTTGCCCCTCATCAAGCCATCCAAGCCCAAAACTTGCCCCACAGCGTCGTGGGCTCCGCCTCCTCAATCTCCACCGCATCCACCTCCTTGCGTCCCGAATCCAGATCCGCGTCCGCGGGATTCACGAACCGCGTGCGGTATACCACTTTGTGGCCGAGGTATAGTGCCACAAAGATGATGAGGGAGACGTATGCGACGAAGAAGCCGGATGTACTCCAGGGCATAAAGGCCGTGAAGCCGTTGGTGATGATGATGAGGACGTTGAAGAAGATGCCGTACCAGCTGAACCACGGTTGCCAGAAGGCTTTGTAGGGCAGTGTGTCGCGGGATTGGCCTCGGACGGAGAGGGCGCGCATGAAGGCGATGTGGCAGATGTTGATGCAGGTCCTGTAGGGGGGAGTCCATGTCAGCGCCACGGTATGGAAAGTGCGGAGGAGAGGTTGTCAAACTTACCAGACGATGAATCCGGCGATGGAAGTGATGTTGACGAACCCTGAATGCACCTGTCAGCTTCCAGCCATGTAAGTGGGATTGCAGGACGAAAACAGGGGACTCACAGTTGAAGACCTGACCACCGGACGAGGACTCGTTCATGAATCCCAGAAGGCCGAATGCGGCGGTGCAGGCCACCGCCAGGTACGGTACGCCCGAGGCAGAAGTCCGCTTGACCCAGTTCGGTGCGGCTTTCCCTTCAGCCAAGCCGACAAGTACACGGGAAGCACTGTAGACGTTGGAGTTGGCAGCGCTAAGGACAACGCAGAGCAAGACTGCATTGATGAGACCGGGGAGGACCTTGACACCAGCAAGATTCGCCGCGATGACAAGCGGAGAGGCGGAGGCATTGGTGCTGTCGGAAAGCAGGTGGGGATTGTCGTAGGGGATCAACAGGCCGATGAAGAAGACCGTGAAGACGAAGAAGAATAGGATGCGGTAGAAGGTCTTCTTGATGGCTGCTGGGACATTTTTGCGTGGATTGGCAGTCTCTCCAGCTGCGATGCCGACCAGCTCGGTTCCTTGATATGAAAACCCGGCCTGTATCAGCACGGCCCAGAAAGCGACAAATTTGGCTAGCGCATCGTTGTCTGTCACCAAATACGGCGCAAATGCCCCCGGATGGTCCCAGTACTTGAATCCAAGATATCCTCGGTGACCGGCGCCAGCATCGATGCAGATGGCAAAGATCAAGAACCCAACGACGGTAACGACCTTGATCGTCGCGAACCAGAACTCCAATTCTCCGTAGAATGAGACGGGGAGAAAGTTGACGCTAGTAATTACGAGCCAGAATATACCGATGAAGATACCGATATTGAGATCGGGTGCCCAGTACTGGATGATCAGACCACTTGCAGTGAGTTCAAGCGCGTAAGTGATAGCCCAAGAGAAGAAATAAATCCAGCCCATGGCGAATCCTAGACTCGGGTCCACGAAGCGGCTCGCGTAGGCTGTGAAGGCTCCGGAGACCGGGATGTAGGTAGCCATCTCGCCCAGTGCCACCATCACGGAGTAGACCAGCGTGCCAACGAATGCATATGCGATGAGCGCTCCGGCGGGACCGGCTGTCGAAAGGGCTGAGCCCGACCCGATGAACAACCCGGTTCCGATAGTGCCACCTAGAAACAAGTCAGTATGAATCTCGTCGAGTATCATGAGGATCAGTCTCGTGTATACCAATGGCAATCATCTGGAGGTGGCGCGATTGTAATCTGCGCTGAAGCTGGACGGTAGTCCCGGCACGGAACGAGTCCTGCTTCTCGACATCGCCGCCCTCCTGGGAGCCGGTATCGACAGCCTTCTCGTCATACTGCAGCTTGTCGACTCTAGGCCCGGCAGTCTTGATCTCCTCCATGCTCGAGTCCAGTCCCTGACCGTCTCCCGGGTTACGTCGTTCTTGCCGGATCGGAGAGGATCTTAGGGCCGACAGGTAGCTCGAAGGGGCAAGATATGTTCGTAGCTGTCTCGATTCAGCAGACCACGTGTCAAATGATGTGGTAGAGGGCGAATGAGCGCAAAGTAAATGAGCATTCCAGTGGAAGACAGCGAACGGAGAGGAAATGTCGACACCTGCCTTGCCCTTAACGGATATTTGTACGTAACCTGCGCGGTGCACAGTCACACAGAAGCAAAGGAGCATCCACTCTGGCAGACCCAGCGACCATCGGTCTTGCAGCGTTGGTGCGCTGCTAGCAGAATTTTCTTTGGGTGAAGTTGGAGATTCGAAGAAACCAGCCCATTGAGGCGGAGAACGGCGATTCGGCACGCTCATCGCGCCAGGCACGAGCGCCAAGCGAACCGGCAAGCGACGGCCTTGAGCCCTGATAGGGAACGCGTGCCGCGACGGTGACGATGTCAACATCACAGTCCATCGTTCCGTCAGCAGCTGCAATCATATTTTTGTGGCAATCCATCGACGGTGCCCAGCCTTATCAATCCGCCTCTTCGAACACGCAATGGGCCCCGTGGAAAATTCCGATTTTCTTCTCACGCCGCAGCTTGGTAACACCCCGTGCTGGACGAATGTCGTGCCGCATCCTCCTCTCTCACCAGGACGCGCGAACGTAACCATGTAGTGCGACGCAACTCATGGCATGATTCTGAAAGCTGGATGGATCTGAGGTTCTCGTGGTGCCTGCATCTTTACGCTGCTTGCTGGGTCCTGGCGCGTAGCGGTGAGACCTCTCCACATCAATACGCGCCCACGGTCCACTGTGGTTCGTGGTCACGAGATATCAGAGACGCTCGCTCTGGACGAACTCGACGCAGCGAGCGAAGGAGTATAAGATTGGCGTCCTGAGCGAATGGATATCGGAATGCGCGCCAGCTTTGTCTGCACCGTTGCTTGCAGACAGGATGCTGTATGCAGCTGGTTGGCTGATTGACCGGGAAAGACGGCGATGGCAGAGGAGATGGACTGGAAATTGGTGTCGATGAAGAGTGCAAGGTTGATTTTGAGGCTGGTCGAAGTCAAGACACGAAGCCAAGCATCACTCTCACAATGATTTCGGTTAGCCGGGCCGAAACCTTCACCACACCTCAGCTCCCGTCAGGTGAGGTAAGTCCTCTACCTTCACCGCAAAACTATCGCCACATTGCTGCTGCTCAATAATCAACTCGGCAAGCTTCTTCATTCTCACGTTACAGACGCTCCGGACAGTTCTGGTCTCGCTACCTCTGCCAAGACCAGGTGCTTCTCGAACCGATTCTCCTAAGACATTGGCGCTAAATGCACTGCATGTGACGGCCAAATTTACCCGGGAATTCCGGCTCGAGGCTTACTCGAATGGAGCACATGTCAACGCCGTCAAAGGATTCAACTGTAAATACAATCATTACATTATGCTGCAGGCTTCGAAAATGCTGCCGCTGCTGAGCTTCATCCTCTTGAGGGGCTTGCTCGCTGCTTTTGGCCGATATAGAACGCGCAACAGCTCATTTCTGCCTCCAATACCAGTCGGATCCAATAGCGTGTATTGGAATTGACATCAGATTTCGGACCCAGTCGACGGTCTAGCCTACGCGGTCGTATTACTTTCGCCAGCCGTTCGGCTATGGTCTGCCTACGAGCACACCCATGCGTAACGGAAGGTGGGCTTGTCTCATGAGTTCGCCCCGGGTAGGTCTCTGCATGAAGACGGGCTCTCGCCGGGTGATACGGTCGTTATCATGGGAATTGGCTCCACTGACATATGCTACAAGCTTACCGTACACCCGGAGACTACGTTGCGCTGCTATGCCAACTATCTCGTCTTTTCTGCCATCGATGAGCAGTGCTTGGGGGAGAGTGTTATCCATGCTTCGAAAGCTGTCGAGACGAAGCTCAAGGAGACGCATGGTGACTTCGACTTGCATCGTAGACTTCGAACCCACGGCAGAAAGTCTTTTCACCCGTCTGGGCTCAGTAGATCGTTCAGTCGCTCTCAAGTTGGCGGCGACAAACCAGCAAATCCGGGCTGAAAGGCAGGTAAGTGGAAATTCATACCCATGGTCCGCAGAACGCTGGAAGAGCATCCGGACAATATTTGATACATCTTCGTCGGAACGGACACCTACATCTTCTGGGAGACTACACCCGCGTTACTTGGAGCGTTGGACTGGACACATCCATTTTATCTGGGCGTGCAGATCTACATTGGTGACATTACCTACGCGTAAGGAGGTTCAGGTCCAATAGCATCAAGGACAGCATTGGAGATGGTGGTAAGACATTACATTGATCATAGCCACGACTGGGAGGACTTTACGACAGGCCACTGGGCTGGTGATTTTGTTCTTGGAGAGGCTTTAAGGACGCCGGCTCCCCTGTCACGCACGCCTGGCCTATTTTGCAGAGCGACAATATTGGCGATATTAATTACGGTCGCACGGACAACGACCATCGTCTCTGGTGCTATCCTACCGTGTCTTCTCATCATCTCGCTCCCCCTGTCATAAGGAATCTCTGGGACTTCGAAACAGTCGTGGTTGATGAGTGATGGAAAGATGAACTTTTACCCTACTCTCTTCATAATCTGCACACTTGAGCTGACATATTCTATTACCCCCGAGCTAGCATCCTACGACACAAGGACGTCTTCGGGGAGTACATCCTTCCTCGAGTATTACGCCCTCGTACGGCCTGGAACCACCAAACCACCACTACGATCAAGGATCAAGGCCCAGTGGATTCTCTAGAGGATTGCCGCGCTCTCTGTGAAAAAACCCGCACGCATCTGCAGTCCTCTACGAAACATTGACGGAAGGTGTCGAACAACATCTCGACCCAATCCGGGCGATGGTTCTCGCGGCTTTGACGACGCTGGCTGGATTTCCGAGAGAGAGAGAGAGAGAGAGAAGGCGCGGTTCCCACGAGAATGCAGAGTCTGGCGGAAAAGAAGAGGGCTGGCCGGCTATCATGAAGCGTAGAACTCACGGCATCCAGGACATTCCGCGGACCCCCGAGTCCGTGTTCCGGATAGGATCTCATGCCACTTTGCGACTAGACCTAGAAATCTAGACGCCATTACAACGCAGGCAGCTGGAACTACAGGACCTGCAGAGGGCATGTGCGAAGCACACGAGAAAGCCACATATTCGCCGCCATTGCAAGTTGCGGACAATCATGCCTCCAAGCTCCAAGACGCGCCAATCGCAGAAGAAGAGCTCGGGATCCGAGGAATGTTCGGCCAGGAAAGACACTTCTTGATTACTGCATCCCATCCGCACGGCTCGAGCGGAAGATCAAGATCACCAAGAGTTTTCCGCACACCTTTGCTCGTTCTGACGCATCCAATGTTCCAAATCCAGCGACGGAGAAGGGCGTCGATGCTCGTAAGATCCGACGAAAGCATTCGATGCGTTGTATATCATCGACCATTACAGCTATGCAATTTACTATACAAAAAATCTTACACTGCTTCTCGATTCGACTGTTTCTCGATTCGACTGTTTCTCGATTCGACTGTTTCTCGATTCGACTGTTTCTCGATTCGTCTGTTTCTCGATTCGTCTGTTTCTCGATTCGACTGTTTCTCGATTCGACTGTTTCTCGATTCGTCTGTTTTCTCGATCCGAAAAGTCTGTCGTTCACAATAAGTCCTCCACAAATCCAAGCTCCTCCCTGCGATCATCCACCGCACGCGCATACTCCAATACAACACGCCAGAAATACAGCACCATATCCTCCTTTCTCAAGACCTGTTGCGCCCACTCCCTACCGGCGTCAGCAATAGCCTTCGCTTCCGCATCGTGTCCCTTCCTCGCTTTCACCTTCCCTTCTAACTCTTCGGGCGGCGTATATCCGATAAAATACTCCGCCAAACCCAGGAAATCCATAAAAGTATTGTCCATAGGCACGAAATGTTTCCAGGCGTAAAGTCTCGAAGTCGTCCATTCCGCCCATATGGTCGCCTTGATCGGCACGGAGTCTGAATCCATAAAAGATCGGAATCGGCCGGAATATCCATGTCCATCTATATCGGGAAGGAACTTGTGTTCGTACATCTTCTCCATGGGCACCGACTTATTTGCAGCATCGTACCAATGCATATTATAGGCGCACATGATATTTTGCGGGTCTGCGAGAAAGTCTTCCTCGGTCCAGTGTTCGTGATGGCAGGTAAGAGTGGTGAACGCCACGTCTGAAAAGTCTGAGATCCAGCGAGAGAGGTCGGAGGGACTCGTGCCCGTGGATGTTGCTCCTAAGGGGTAGGTCTTTGGGTCCGGCAGTGGGATATTGTACGGCAGAGGGGGTTCGTTGCCGGGGACATGAAGTGGTGGATTGGGCGATTGTTCTGTCGTGCCTACCTGCGTACCGTTGCAGAGACTCACGAACCGATGACGGTGGAAGCGAGTCCAATTCGTCTCGTTGTTCTCGCCTCCGCTTGCTCCACCTCGCCAGAAGACCTCATCATGCTTCTCATTCCATATGGTCTTATCGGCACTGAAGTAGACCTCTCCCCAAGACGTCGCGGGAGGAATGACGATATCATTGTTCGATCCCTGAACCTTTCCGGCGGAGAAAAGGGGGAAGAATTGGCGAGTGACAAGCCTGTCCAGGTCATGCGGCCGCTTCCAGTGCATGTGTGAACTTCGGATGCTGTTGGCGAAAAAGCCATGCAAGTTGCGAAGATCCGGTACTTCACATGGAGATCTGGCAGCGGTCCAATTGCTAACGAAACCAGCGACCAGATGAGCGCCTTGTTTCGACGGAAATCTGGACGGCGTGGTCAAGTCGGTATCTTGGACGAGATTTCGAGCGTCGCTGGTGGGAGGGCATGTATCGCGTACGAGCAGCCAGAGGTTCTCTTCTGATGGGAAGTCCTCGAAGACGTCGAAAGTAGCATCTGCCGGAGGCGGATATGACGAGTAATCCTGTGTCATCTTGTCCGCCGGGCGAATGGTTCGTGTAGTGGCTGCCTTCTCCATGTAGCCATTGATCTCCTCCCAGGGCACGAAGATGTGAGCTTTGTCGTCTGTATTCAAAGGTATATCAACATCCGGGAGCGAATTTGACGGAATTTGTGCCAGCATTTTGTGCCAGGACATGTCCCTGGAGCCCCACATAGGCTCGGTCATGCGTCTGCGCTCTATTACACCATCGCGGACGGAAAGGATGACTGGCCACGACGCTGCGTCTGCTCTGACTTTGGCCGGATGCGCTCCCCAAAACGGCTCGACGTCTTCGTATACCTGGTCGAACATTGACTCAATATGCGTGCAATTGTTCTCCTGAGCCCACTCGAACCATTTGTCGAAGAAAGGCGGAGGATGTCGTCCTCTTCTTTCTCTATAGGCCGCCGCTGCCAGCGCAACCGTGGGCGGGTTCCCATCTGCCAAAGCCGTGGAAAAGGCAGCGTTCGCGTCCACTATGAGCTTGTCGATGGGGTGAGGTCCATCTGAAGACCAGGGTGACCTAGTCGTCGAGCCACGAAAGAAGCCTGTCGCGAGCGTTGCCAGCAAGACCAGACATATGACGGCGACCAGCGTACGCGTGCTGGACCAGCTCTTGCTAAGTTGCGATATCGTGTTCTGCCATCCCGAGTGCCGATCGTGCTTCCAGACGGTTCCTCCTCTCTTATGCTGCTGTGTCTTCTGGGCATTCTCCTCTTCCCCGACCTCTTCCAGCTCATATTCGTCCTCGTTGAGCAGTCTCGCCGTCAAATCATCTTCTCGCGCCATCGCATTGTGTCTGCCTGGTGTCTAGGCAATGGGTCAAGAGGAGTCCATGGCAGTATCTGTGGTCTGGTCGTGGTGGTGAATGCTGCGGAAACTCTCTCCTGCGCAAGCCATCGTTCTGGTTCTAGCGTCGCCAATAGTGGCCGTGATAATAAATCTGCGTCGACTCTCGGCGACAAGAAAATCGCCCCAGGAAAGTATTAAGGCAAAGCAGGTTCAGGCTCGCAAAAGCGTGCGAGGTGCTAGTAGAGATGTATCTTTATGTTCACTGGCGAAATCGTTCACGCGCCTTGTCATGCATGTTAGGGTGCGGTTCCTAGAGCGGACTGCAATTCATGGACTACCAATCAAATATTCATGACGGCCGCCGCTTCTTTGGCTCCTGCGTCTTGAAGCAACAAGTCGCCCCTCTACACCCTCATCATCGTCGGGAGCTGACAGAATCAACGGCGTTCTTGCAATCATGCTCTCAGAACTACCAGTGGAGCTGCTTGATCTCACTTTTTCATTCCTCGACCAGGACGACACTGCAACATGGACAGCTCTTTGCACGACCAGTAAATTGTGCCAAAAGCTGGCCACGGCGTACCTATATGGGAAGGTAAATTTGTCCAGCAGTAATGATGGGCTGAAAGGATGGGCCGAACACTCCGAACTACTTGCTGAACGCGTCCAACTCATTTGTCGAACCTTTGTGGAGAACATGGCTCTGGCAAAACTTGTCGAGACACTGGTGTGGCCTCATCTGGATGACTACTACGTGGAGACCAATTCCAGCAAGGAGTTCCAAACTCTTCTCATTGACGATTTGAAGCAGAGAGGTCTGCCGCGAGACTTTGCTCGCACACTCGCAAGGTACGATACACGTTCCACTTTGGCCGTGGTTGTGATCCACCTCTGTTCCGAAATCAACACGCTGGAGCTGACGGGCGTAGACGGGAATACTGTCGATAACTTGCAGCTCTACATGGGCCAAGATTCTCCAGATTTCCATGTTGGCCTGAAGCAGGTCTCTCACGTCCGACTACACTTATATTACGGGAGCAGTGGACGTAAGACCGACAATTTTGATTTCTTTTTACGTTTGCCGGCCCTTCAAAGCATGGTCGTCAGCAATGTTCCAAGATTGAACTACGTCGTTCGAGATATACCCTTTTTCGATAGTTCTATCAAATACCTAGAATTGACGCACTTCAAAGCGCATTCTGACGACCTTGAACGGCTCCTACGACATTGTGTCAATCTCGAGATACTCCGCATTCAGTTCACTGGTGACAGGTTCCACCGGCGCCTGGATTACGGTGGTAGTGGTGGTATTGGCAATATTCTGCGTGACAATACTCAGCAATTACAACATCTAGAGTTGGACTATGAATGGGAGGAGCCATACCCTTTGAGCCCGATGGATCTCGCTACAAACGAACACAATCCAGATTATCCGCTTTCAGGCCTGGGAGATCTGTCTCCATTGAAGAGTCTGCGACGGTTCCGACTAGCAAAGAGCGCTCTACTTGGTACACACCATCAAGATTCTCTCGAGGACGAGGTCGGAGCCAATCACCCAATCACACTGGAGAATGCCTTCCCAGATTCGATTGAGGAGGTGGAGATCATATGTCCAGAGAAACAGTTCTCAGCAGATGACATGTCACTCTTTCAAACCCCTGGAGTCGAAAGATTGCGAAATCTCACCATCTTCAACTGCACGAAGGATCGCTGGGCCTCCAAGAAGTACGGCGAGGGCTGTGCGAGTGAGCAGCAGTCATGAGAGCTGTTTTGGTGTGCTGGACTTGGTGCTGGCGATGTGCTGTCGGTCACGTAACCTGCTCACAAAGTGTACCACTATTCCCCTGCTAAAGGCCGCAAATTTCTGACCACTCAATCTCAACTTCAAGCGCATGGTCAAGAACAAATACAAGTTCAGGATTGTCGACACCCTCGAAAGCTCAAAGTCCAAGCATGGCATCACTGAGACTCTCCATGGCGTTGCTAGCAACCTCACTGATGATGCTCATCGTGGCTCAAACCACTTTCGGGATCAAAGACACCGCTGCAGCGCATCGGCCGCACATGGTTCTGAAACTTGCTTCGAACTGTCACGGAGAGAACGGCTGTAGCTCTGATTGTGGATATGCAGATATGAGAACCGGGTGTTCGCACGGCAACATGGCATCGATCGAAGCAAAGGCCGATCGAGCAGTCTCACAGAGTCCTCTCCTACAAACTCTCCAAGACGTCTATGAGATGGGGATGGCCATGACTGCACAAAATACCGAAGAACGAGGAGAACCGGTACTCTCTTCGCCAGATGAGCGACAGGAACACATCGGCGTCAAAAGAGATGTGCAACATGCCGGCCTCAATGAGACCGACAGTAACAGCACTAGTGGCTTGGTGCAATTGCTGAAATCCAACATTTCCAGTAGTGAGACTGAGAACAACAGAAGTGGGAGCCTAGTGGTATCATGGAGACCCGACAACTCAGATTCGACGTATGCCAATTCCTGGAATCAACTGAACGGCGTTGAGAAGTTGTTTGTTGGATTAGGACTTTGGATCTGGCACGGAACTGGACTTGCAGTCTTTCTCAAGCGGTTGATCAACTAGTTGAGCCTGTATTGTGACTCGAATGGATGATCTGTATGTTCGAGGGCGGGATTTTGAAATTTGTATTGACAGGTATTTGAATACGAACCAAATCCGAACTGAATCGGACCGTTCACTAGTGCCTGTCATATGCAAACCAATCGGCTGCTGGTGGAAGGTGCTGACTAAGGAATTGCCGTGTTGATGCCGGAATGCGGACGGCCCTGAGAGTTGAGTTTGGCGGCGCATTCACACTTTGGACCTGCCCCCGCCACGGGGTCGGCCTTTGAAACAATGGACAAGCCCACCGACGAAGACCACGGCGTACACCAGCGATTCCTACACGTCCTTCTTCTATCTGACGGCCTCCGATGCGACGAAGACGTTTGCACACGTCTTCGTGACAGCCAGAGGGCTAGAGACCGCCCATGGACGCGCAGTATGCGTACCTGAAAGAGCACGATGCGGAATGGTTGGAAAAGGTGTTGCAAGAGCGCATGCGCATGCGACAAGCCAAGGACAATGGCGACGAGGGCATTCGGCAGGAGGATATCAAGTACGGCAGTGACAGATCGTCGGCTGGCCCCTTCGACGTGACAGTCGCAAATCCTCCCCCCGACCTGGTGATTTCGGAGCACGCGAAGCTCATACGGAATCATGACTGGTCTACAACGAGCCTGGGGCCGATTGCTTCCTGGAGCACAGAGTTGCGGCGCATGGTCAACATGTGCTTGTCGGATAACAAGGCAACTGCTCTATGGTGGGGACCTGAGCGCATCTGTCTTTATAATGAGGCATATACGGCTGTCCTGGCCCACAAGCACCCAGGCGCTCTGGGGAAGAAGGTATTCGAGGTTTGGCCGGAGCTGGAAGACGTGCCGTACGGACACTCTTTCGGCAAGGCCGATCGGACCGGGATGCCTTCCTCTGAAGAGCGTGTGCCGTTTTACGTTGAAAGAGCTGGGTATTTTGAAGAAGTCTGGGCATCGTGGGTGGTTATCCCAGTACCTGGGCCCAATGGCAATTTGGGATACTACAACACGGTCTCGGACGTTACACAAGAGGTCGTGTACAGCCGACGTGTGACTACACTGCATCTATTGGATCAGAAAACGTCTGCTGCCGAAACTCTACGGGATTACTGGAGTCAAGTTGTTTCCGGTCTACAAGACAATGAGCATGAGGTGCCCTTTGCGGCACTCTACGGGCCTGCGGCGCACGAAATCACCCGCAGATCTACAGAGGATTCCACGATAGACGACATGGACAGCGGCTCTCAATCAGAGCAGAGCAGCATATTTGCCGGCTCTGAATGGTCCCTCGAAGGCGTGCTCACTGGCAAGTCTGAAGCCGGCATGGTTCCATTGCCAGGAAGAGTAGATCTGGATACTGGCACTGAGTGGTTGACACCGGAGTTCCGATCTTGCATGCTATCAAAGACTGTCACAGTGCTCCGGAAGTCAGATGGAACAATGTCAAAGATACTGAGCGATGTTGCAATCTCACGAGCTTTCGAGGGCGAAAGATGCGACACAGCGGTCCTGTTGCCTATATGGTCCACTTATCAAGAACACAGATCTGGGTTCCTTATATTGGGTTTAAACACTCGCCGAGGTTACGATTTGGATTATCAACGTTTCGTCCGACTTCTTCACCAGCAACTGACCACTTCACTATCCACACTAGTAATGGCCGAAGACGAGGCGAAACGAGCTCGTGCAGCGGCGAGACTCGCGGCGCGAGATCGTATACAGCTGGTTCAAAAGCTTGCGGCAAGTGAACAGGAGGCCAAAGAGAAAGAGCTTCGCTTTCGAAGCATGGCAGACCTCGCTCCTATCGGCATTTTCGAAGCGGATACCGAAGGCAAAGTGGTGTACGCCAATCAGCACTTCATGCATTTCACCGAATGTGCTCAACACGGCTTTCCGGACCTGACGACTCTCACGAATGCATTCGTGGAAGCCGATCGCGAAGCTGCTTGGTCCCACTGGAGGAAGTTGATAGCCGGCGAACAGGTGCATTTCGAATGTCGGCTCGACAAGTCTTTCGTTACAGATGAGGTGTTTGGTGGAGAACGCATGCAAGGAGAGTGTTGGGTTCTGATTGCTGCATATGCAATGCGTCATGATTCCACGTGCGAGACTAAAGCTGATACCATTAAAGGCGTCTTTGGATGCATGGTGGACATTTCTCGGCAGAAATGGATGGAGGGATTTCAAGAGCGACAGGTGAAGGAACAGCTGGAAAGACGACGACAGCAGGAGAATTTCATGGACAGCACAAATCACGAGGCTCGCAACCCGCTTGCGGCCATTACCCTTTGCGCCGACGACGTGCATAATATCGTGCGCGATATTATACAGCAGCCTGGGAACCCGCAATTGACAATAGCGCGGGACAGTGCTGCTGCAATCCTGGAGAGTGTCGAAATCATTATTGCGTGCGCAAAGCACCAGAAGAGGATCATCGACGACGTTTTGACTATTAGCAAGCTCGATTCGAAGATGCTCAGTATATCACCGACTCCTGTACGGCCTGTTGCTGCCGTCACACAGGCGTTGCGAATGTTCCAGAGCGAATTGCAGCGTAGCGATGTGGCATTGGAGTACACCGTTGGCCAGTCCTACGAGGCCAACAAGGTGGATTGGGTGATGCTTGATCCGACACGCTTCTTGCAGATCCTCGTGAACCTCCTCACGAATGCCATCAAATTCACCAAGCATGAGCTATCTCGAAAGGTCGCAGTGACCTTGGAAGCCAGCGAAAAGCGTCCCACAGACTCGGAGTGTGGTGTCCGGTTCGCTCCTACCTCGCAACGCCGGCCGTCTATATCGATCGCAGACGGTGGAGTCTATCTCTGTGTTAAGATCACGGATACCGGGCCTGGTATTATAGATAGTGAGCTTGAGAATCTCTTCCAGCGTTTTCAGCAGGCATCGCCCAAAACTTATGCGCAATATGGTGGCTCAGGTTTAGGACTGTGGATCTCCAAGGAACTCTCAGCGAAACTAGGAGGGCAAATTGGGGTCGCTTCGAATTCCTCCAAGCATAACGGCAATGAGCCCAACCGCGGCTCGACTTTCGCTTTCTACGTTCAGGCAATGCGATGTCCTCCGCCAAGCGAGACTACCGCGCAGGCTGTACTGCATGAGACCGAAATGGAGCCTCGAAGCATGAGCGTCGGTACGATGGCCATGCTCGACCAGGGCATTGCCGCCATAACAGCACACCTCGAAAGTACGACTCCCAGCGTTGAGAAACCGTCAGAAACAAAGCCCCCTGTCAAGACGATTCCGGACGCGAGAATGGACATCGACAAACTCCGTCCTCCCGAAGAAACAGCAACAGCAACAGAAATCAAAACAGACATCCTCATCGTCGAAGACAACCTCGTCAACCAACGCGTGATGCGAAAACAACTCCTCCGAGCCGGTTTCCGCGTCTCGGTCGCAAACCACGGCAAAGAAGCCCTCGACCACATCTACCCCACCTCCCCGGCCTCCCCGGCCTCCCCGACCAAAGTCGACGTCGTCCTGATGGATATCGAAATGCCCGTCATGGGCGGACTGGAATGCACGCGCATCATCCGGAAGAAGGAATCCGAAGGCGTGCCCGGGAGTAAGAGGAAGTGGGGCCGCCCCGGACGGCTGCCCATTCTCGGCGTGACGGCGAATGTGCGGGCGGAACAGCAGGCTGCTGCTCTGGAGGCGGGCATGGATCGCGTCGTCACGAAGCCTTTCCATATGAGCGAGTTGTTGCCTGCTATTGAGCGGGTGAAGAGGGAGCGGGCGTGATTCCATTCCGCGCCCAACCTTTCGGGGCGCGGCCATGTCAGAGCGTTTCCCCCTTCACGTTTGCCAGATGCTTCATCCATCTGATGCATATGGGTGGGTGGGGCCCCCATCTCTTGCGTTTTAGCGAATTGCAATTCTGGAGTTATATAGGCAACGTCGCAGCTACAGCATGTCTGTCCATTCACGAGGGTTTGAAATACGCATGAACGAAGAAGAATAGGGCATCCTTGTCGAAAAAGGCAGCATCATTATCATCATCTCTGGAGGCTGCAGCGAAGCCAATTATCTCTCCTTTCGGAGGGTAGGTAGGTAGTCTTCCATCACTCAGAGATATCCCAACCCTCCACCACCTATAATTTCCAAATCACTCCTCAGCCCCCACATATCCGCCCCAGCACGACTGAGGACATCACTTTTGCGCGCAGCTCCCAGTTCCTGAATCCTCCTCACCAGATTCCCATCCACAATGCCCTTTCCACCGCCTACACCGCCACCCGTCTCGCCTCGATATGCCCGTGGGTTCAAGCCCGCGGTATGTTCGAGGATCGAAGTGAGATGGCCTTGCAATTGGGAGAGACGCCGATAGGAAGATTCGTCGAGAGGCGTGACGAGTCCGATGGAGCCCGAGAGGGAAGTAGTGAGGACGTGGAATAAGGTCTGCGGTTCTTCGTCTTCTTCTCGCTGCTGCTGCTGCTGCTGCTGTTCTTCCGTTTCGCCATTGGCGAAGACCTGCTGTTCCGCGGTCGGCGCGAGAGTCGAAGGCACGAGCATCATTTTCGTGACAAAGTTCCCCACGTGGAACGTACTCTTATGCACCAATCTCAGCCCATTTTGAGTACTAGGATCCTCGGGCGCATATTGCAGTACGTGCATGCGCATATCCGCATCCATGATGAGGAGGTGAAGGGTACCATCGAAGGGAAGGAAGTCAGCCGCCATGACTTCCATTTTCGTCTTGGGGCTTCGGCCGAGAATATTCAGCTTGTAAGGTTCTTCGGTCCAGGCGCCAAACCAAAGACCTTTCCATGCGTCGCCCGCGAGCCACATGCCCTTGCTTCCGAGGGTTTTGATGGTACTGGTATGGCACTGTGCGTCGAGAAAAGCGACTGGAAGGCAGGAGCCATCCTCTTTGAGTCCGCGGATCATGATCTTTTGGCCCTGAGCAGTACCGATGAAGCCACCAGGGAAAGCAGCGAGAGCGGTGATGGCGCCACGTGACTCTTCTCTCGCAACAACGTGGAGTTTGTAACCGCTCTCTGGAACATCTGGCTCCGGGACAACGTCCAGTACGTCGAAGACAGCTATGGCGCCCTTGGCCGGCATGTCTTCGCCACGCTGAGCGGCTGTTGCGACCACGATCCGCAGTTCTTGTACGTGAGAGTGCTCCGACACTTCCAGAGGCATGACCTGAAGCGCCGTGACGGTCTCCAAGTAGGGCATATTGAATGAGTGGATGATCCGGTATGATCTCGACGATATCAAATGTATTGTGTACTGTGGGACTTGGGGCCTGAGGGAGATATCTATGGCAATGGTCAGCGTCGATTCAAGGAAAAAGAAAAGTCAAGGTCAGCCTACCGTCTTGCTCCGAATGTCTGCCATCTTCCTCCGCAAAGTAGAAGTCCACATCCCTACTAGTAGCCACCACAAACATGCCTCTTGTCTCGTGGTAGGCTAGGTGCCGTACCTCCGAGGCACCCTCACCGATAGACATTTGCTTGACGCTCCATCCAGTCCCGTACCACGTATCAGTAGGCAACTGAGCCTCTGTCAAACTCCCCTCTTCTTCAATCGCTATGAATCCATTCTCACATCCAGGACGATTGATTGCTGAGAGTACGGCGACATGAGTTGAAGTTCGTGTCGGTCTCACTTCCAGAGTCTTCGGAAGACTTGATGCGTCCTTCAGGAGCAGAGAAGGTGGTGCGCCGGGTATCATGATGGTATCGCTGTCGCCTACGTGCAGCGCCTTGAGAGGTAGTGGACGTGTACTCTCATCGGCTGCAATCGCTTCGTTGTATTTCGGGATGTAATGAAAAGGAACTTTCCTGAACCGCAGATTGGCATACCACGTATCCGAAGCAGTGTTTTGCGCGTAAGTGAATGGCTCGTACAGTACGATATCGTCGATAGCTGTTCGTAACGCAAGATATGGCTGCGTGACGCCTTCCACTCCTAGATCGGCCACGAGAAGCTCCGTCAGTGCTTCTTTGGGACCAGCTCGGCGTTGAGGTGGATCTGTCGTGAGCAGAGGGGGCAGCTGTCGAAGAGTCGGAGCAACGTATATCTCCTCCAAGGCCGGAAGATTGAAAATGTGCATTCCACTCTCTGCACCCAGCAGAAACAGCGCAGGAGTTCCTTGGGTGAAGCTTCCACTATAGACGCATCCACCGAGCCACTTGGATCCTGAGACAGCACCTTCTGCTTCCAATGGCTCAATCTCTCTCCCTTGCACCTGTAGAACTTGTACACTGCTGTTGTCCCTGACCACAAGAACAAAGGGATCACAGAAAGAGACGTGGACGATGTTGAACTCCTCATCTGTTTCATCATCTACCATCGGTATGATCTGGTTCAATGCGAGTTTGGCATCGTACGTTCGGAGCTCTGATCGCCGTACTTGAACGATGATTTTGCCTTCCGCCAATGTCTGAACATCAAGCGTCTCGCCTTCGCTCTCAAACTCAGGAGCAGGACGTTCTGTGTACGCATCGTCTTCAGTTGTAGCGGACGTCAAATCGTGAGGTTTCGTGTCGTTGCCATTATACACGAAGAGTAAGTTGTCGTACCCATCCACAGAGTCTTTTGTGCGGATAGCCCAAGCAGCTCTTGCATTGTCCATTCGAGTTGTCCGCTTTATGTTGGTGACAATGTCGCGACTCATGCACGATAGCTTACTACCCTCTCCTCGCCCTGAGCCAACAAGCAACTGCAGCTTGTCTGCTTGAAAATCACCGGGCCTGCCGACGCAGGCGTCATTTATTGGCGCTATCGATGGAAGCGTGTCCTTGAGGGCGAATGAGGCAGCCATCTCGGCCGAATTCAGCTCGGCAGACGAGAGCGCTCGCTTCTTTGTCTCGGGTTCGGCATCATAAAGGTCATCGTCATCCTCTTCAACGGCTTCATCATCATCGTCGTCGTCGTCGGGCTCCTTGCCCCGCATCTGTGCGTGCGAACGCTTTCTACTCAACGATGCAGTTGGGCGACTCCAGCCTAGGAGTGATGAAGAGCCATCCTCGCTGCCTACAAACATCTTGCCGCCATCTACTCTGGTCAGGCATGATGGTGCTGCGCTTACAACATAGCCACCTCTATTCCCCGAGATCTTCGTGACGTTCAGCGCACTAATGCTTCGTCCCATCGTTTGAAAAGATATCGTAGCAAGTGAACCATCATACAGAACCATCAATAGCTCGCCGGTCTTTGGATCTAGTGCCTCGATGCAGCAGTGCTCAAGCTTGAGACTCAGATGCGACTGGTCCACCATCCCGAAGTCACTTTCGAGTTTGGCGAACTCATTGACAGCTGTGGCATTGGCCTTCCCGCTCTGATCGATGTGTACAAGCTCATTTGTGCCGACCAGGAGAGCACCTCCTATTGGCAGAGCAAGCGGTATGACTTTCCACAGCGTTGACGGAAGCTTCGGAACAGTGATGAGATTGGTCGATGCCTTCTGCTCCAGATCCAGCGTGAAGACCGTGTACGTCAGGACATCCTTGCGCTCATCCAGTAGCGTGAGGGAAGGCTCTACGGGTGCGGCCAGAATGCCAAATGTCGGCTCGCGGTACTCGTGTAGGAAGGCCAGAGACACAGTATGGCTTAATGTCGGATCCAGAGCGGTAGTAGGCAAAACGAATGAAGCCTTGTATGGAGTTTCCTCGTGTTCACCCTCCCCATCCTGTGGCACCGACTCCTGTGTCTTGACTGTCGCTGACGCTGGTACTGCGTCGAGTCCTTGCTCCTGCTCGTCCCCAACCAGCTCATCGCCGAATTGCCTGAAAGGGAGGATGGCCAATTGCTTCGCGCCAAACTTCAGGGCAGCGCATCTCGAGCTCGGGTCGACGGTGAGGATGTTTTCGCATTCGGCAAGAGTAGGCCCGAACGGCTCTATTCTGACATTCTCCGCTTCGTAGTAGTGGATGCTGATGGTGGAAGTGCGATAGTTTTCCTTATCCCATTCCAGCAGACTGAGCTTCGCGTCCTTGAAAGCCAGCAAGACGGCCTCCCCTCCCGACTTTGTATCCAATGTCTTCACCCGTGCTATTGAGCTCACAGTACCCGAGAGCGAGTACTCTCCGACCAACGACAGCTTCTCGCGCCCATCGCGCAGTCGCGTGACATTGAAGACCTGCAGCAGTGAAGTCTTTGCGACCACCAGATTCCTCTCATTGGGGCCCAGGAAGGGCAGGGCGACGGCGTGGGTGACGGCGGTGGGCGGGACGAGTTCAGTGTAGCATTGCATCGTGACCAGCGGCGGTAGATGGTGCAGTAGTCGAATGTTTCTCCTCTTCCTGCGCCCTCCGCTCCATCCACGACCTCCAGACGCGTGCGACGCTTGTCTCGTTGCGGCAATGTGTCGTCTGACCAAGATTCCTTCCAACCCCAGAAAACGCGACCGGCCCAAGCTCAGTACCTTACTGTATGTGTTAGTACGGACGCAATTCCGACGTCACTGGCGCGGCACAAGCCACAAGCAGAGCTGGAGCTTGCTCTCTTCCAAGGTCAGCATGCTCACTTCCACTTCCACCTTCACAACCTCGTCTTCTTCCTCCTCTCTTCCCCCTTCGTGACGTGTAATTTGGATCGTGTGCATCGGCCATGGTCAACTGCTAGCCGCGACGAGAAACACCAGCCGCCAACCGCCAACCGTCGAGACAATGGCCCTCATCGAAACATCCCTCATCTGGGTGGCCTACGCCGTCTGCCTCGCCATCATCTTCTTCTTCTCCGCCATATTCGTCTTCGTCTACCAGAAGCCCGGCGAAAGATCGATCGCCGTCACGATAGTATGCTGGTTCACCCTTCTCGCACTTCTTGCGACAGTGCTGCTCATGCCGGTGGACATTGCTTTGGTTTCATCTACGACTGCTAGAAAGTTAGGAAGGAAGAAGGACTGGGCGACACCGGACAAGGTTGATGAGACGCTATACACCCTCAAAATAGTCTACTACACGCTCTACGCCTTGGATGCCGTCTTGTGTCTCCTGGTGGTGCCCTTCACATACTTCTACTATGAAGAGTACGACGAGGTTGCCACGGAGGAGGGACAGCAGACTGTTGCCGCAAGACTGTGGGGCGCCTTCAAATGGACCATCGGCTTCATCTTGCTATGTGTCGTCTTGTTCCTGGTCGGCTTCTTCGTGCCCGTCGCGAAGAAGGCAAGAGATGATCACAGAGACTTGGACTACTTCAAGGACTTGCTAACGGAGAACCGTATGTATCCCGAGAATGCCATCACGCGTCGTACTCACAGATTTGCAGATGGCGAACGCGCGTTGACTTTCTCCATTGGCGTGCTGATCCTCATTGGCACCATTCTCTACTGCCTGTATACTGCTCCCGGTCTGGCCCTGCTCCCTGTCTCCCTAATCAAATCTGCCCCCAGAGTCTCCGCCCCGCAACTGGCTGAGACCACCGCAAGCCAGCTGTCACAGAATCAGGAGCGTCAAAGGCAATTGGAAGGACGTAGCGAAGGCCGTGAGGGTGGTCTGGACCCCAGAGATCGCCGTGAGCTTGAAGCTCTGGTCCGAGAAGAGCGCACTTTGCGACGCCGTGAACGCTTGGCCGCTGAGAACTCAGGGGAAGGGAGCAATTTCTTTGTGCGTGTCTGGATCAAGCTCGAGGCCATCTTCCGTCCACTGAAGCTCATCTTCGGATTGCTTCTGCTGGTCATCTCCCTGATCATCTTTGCCAGCATGCTCATCACCATGGTCGACAAGATCAAGAACTCCGTCTGTGGTACTTCTTGCGGATACTTGCTGGGCAAGACGAAGATTTTCCAGCCTATCAACGCTCTGCTAACCTACACGGCACGAGTGTTCCCGATCGACTACATAATCTTCCTGCTCATCACCATCCTGTTCTTCTGTGCCAGCGTTGTCGGCTTGGCATCGATTGGCATCCGATTCCTTTGGGTTGTACTCTTCCGCATCCGAAAGGGACACACCACTCCGAATGCCATGCTCATGGGCACCGTTCTGCTCACACTGATGGTCTTCGCCCTGAACTACAGTCTGCCAATGATTGTCGCTCCCACGTATGCCACATTTGGACCTCAGACTTTCTGCGACAGACCATCCAACAATCCTGACTTACAGCCCGACTGCAGTAAACATCGTTCTGCCATCAAGCCATGCAGCGAAAGGACGGACAACCAATTCGCCAAGTTGGTCTGCACGCCGACCGTGCTGTCCACCTTCCTGAACAGAATCACCGCCAACTTTCCCTACTTTGGCGTCGTTGACTTCTACGCCCAATTCGCTTTCCTTGGTATCTTCTTCATCGTCTTCGCTGTCACTTTGTTCCGAGTACCGAAACTCGATGAAGAGCAGATGGAGGAAGACGAGCGTGAGGCGGAAGAGGAAGGTCTGTTGGCAAGCACTGGACGTAGATTCAAGGTACGCAGTTCTTCGACGTCGGAATCATGTTTGAACTCTACTGACTCGTTGATAGGCCGACTGGCAAGACATCACCGGCCGCGCCAAGGGCGTCAAGCGAGCTGACTACGGTGCTGTCAGCGGTGAAGGAGCCGGACAGTCCACACGAGATGACTAGGATCTCTTATCAGACTATTTTGGTTTCTTTTGAGAGTGTCGAACTTCTTTGTGACGAGAGCGATACCCTTCTAGCAATTTGACGCGAATGGGTCTTGGCCTTGGTGAAAGATTGGAATGTTTTGCGCATGACATATGATACGACCGACAGAACAAGTGTGGATTGTATCTAGGCAACGATGAATCGAGGGTAATAATGGATCACAATCACGTCGCGGAGACAGGCGCGCCAACTTTTAATTGCTTCTTAATCTCCTCCGGCAATTTCTCTACCGAAAGCTTTCACACCCTTAGCGTCTTTCAGGTGAAACAATCTGCGGAATCCCTTGCGCGAAATAGACCGCCAGCGAGAAGGACAGAACCCATCACCTCCAAGAAAACTGAACATGAGTCCCGTTCCTCTAAGATAGAAATCGTGAATGCAACAAAAAGTCCAGAGAAATGTCGATACCGTAGCTTTCCATCGTCCGACTTAGCCCGAGTCTCCTGAACCCCCCCCCTCCCGAGAGTCGTCATGTATATTATGGCCATTGAAGACCAAGTTTCCACCTACTACTGCAAATATCCCCATATCAAAAGTACTTCTCGTTCCTCGTTTGTGATATGATAGATCGAAAATGGAAAACTCACAGCCATTACACAACATCACAAGCCTGCAAGTAGGCAACCCATATGACTTTCCTCTTTCCCTCTTCACTCGAGCGCACCTTCCCCTTGGGCCAGGAAGATCATCAAAGCTATATAAGCCACCACCAGCGACCTTCCTTCCAATCAATCGAATCATATCGAATCAAATCAAAGAAAGAAAAGCCTTCGGCGGTGATGGTGCAGTGGTACGTACGGTGGTTTCAATCTTCAGTCTCTCGGCGAATAACTAACAATTGGTTTCGCCCCCTCAGGTTAGCATTTGAGTTTCCCATCTTCTGATGAGGGATTTGCTCGAGACATGAGTTCGAATCTCGTTCATCGCATCGCAGCGCAGCGCAAGCTGGCCCTCTTCGGTTCGATATCGAAACAGCGACGTTGTCTTTTTTTCCCCCTTTTTCCTATTTGAGGGGAGGGTTTTTGAGGGGAAGGGTGTCAGATAATGTACTTGTTCCGGGCGGCAAAGCCTACATTTAAACATGTGATCTATCGAAAAGTTTCAGTCATTCCATCACATTACTACAGTGAAAATTATTGACATACAGGTCGGCCGCTTGCCATCTTATCAATTTTCTACAAATCAAACGAAGTGGTATCATGGACAGTAGCAATCAATAAGAAAAAAGTGAAGTCCCTCGTTCGCTATGCCAAACCGGATCCGCTTTGCCAGTGTCATTGCGGTCGCCAATTCGGGGACATGCTTCAGCGTGATGCGTATCGATGGGCCTCGTCAATGCGATCCTCGCTCTACAATCCCATGACGCCTGAATTGCCATTCATCTGCCCGCCTAGCTGACTCATATACGGAGCCATCAATCCGGGATGGTTCTGATCCATCATCGGATATTGCGGCGGTCCTTGATTGGTCATCATGCCATACGGAAGATTCGAGGCCATTTGGTGGTGGTCCGGAACGGGCTCATACTGGATGTGCTCTTCGTGCATTGGCGGAGGTGCACCAGCTTGAGCTTGCATATCGTGCTGCTGCATCTCGTGTTGTTGCAACTCGTGTTGTTGCATGTCGTGTTGTTGCATGTCGTGCTGTTGCATGTCGTGTTGCTGCAACTCATGTTGCGCCAGATCATGTTGCTGCATGTCGTGCTGTTGCATCTCAGCGGGTCCTGGCATGTCCGCGATCATCTCGCTCTCGTCGCCAATAGCAGCACCGGCCTGCTCTCCAGTATAGTCTTCCGCCTTATGGAAGCCGGTACCGCCGTAGCCATCTGTCCGTCCAACAATCTCGCCGGTCTTCTGCATCTTGGTGCGCAGCTGGCCCATCTTACGCTTCATGCGCTCTCGCAGCATTTCGTCATGGATTTGCGGTATCCAGTCACCCTTCTGCAGGTCGACGAGTTGATATAGTTCCCGGTACATCGCCTCGAACGTGTCGACTTGGGCTTGACTGAAGGCGTAACAGCTGTACTGGTGCATGAGGTCCGCAAGCATGCCTTGGGCTCGGAGCGGCCAGATGTCTTTGCTCTGCACCCATTCCGCCGTCAGATGATCGCGACGTCTGCTTCTGCGTTCCAGATCGCGAAGCATGCGTTCTTGACGCTCCGCTGTGCGCTTCTTGGACTCTTCAATCTTCTTCTTGCTCCTCGAGTCCCGCTTAGGCTGCTGTGGAATGACAGCATTTGGATTGTACAGTGAGCTGGCTCCGGAACCGGGTGTCGGCGCACTGCTCTTGCGGGTCGAGACAGGCGAGCTCTTAGCACTCTGGCCATTCTGCAAGCGGCGCATCTTCAGCTTGAGCTCCACCTCGCGCTTCTGCAACGCGATCTGTTGCAACTGCAATTGAATGGTCTCTTCGTCGTCCGGTAGATCCGTATCAAGCTCCATTGCCAGAGATGCCGTTTGTTGATGTGGCCGTTGTTGCGGGGTCTGCTGTTGTTGCTGTTGAAACGCGTGGGCGAGGTGTTGTTCGGCGGCATTGGCGCTTTGTTGGGCCATGGGTGCGTAGGGAGACTGGTACTGCCCGTTCCCTTGCACGGGCGGCGAACTATCGTTGATTTGGTCGCCGTCTTCATCGTCCTCCATGTCATCGCCGTCACTCTTGCCCTTCCCCTTCTTGCTGTTGTCGCCTTTCCGCTCAAACACGCGCCGGATCGTTCGTGTGCCGACTACCAGCTTGTAGGTATCGTAGAGCCACCATAGCATATCGTCAACCGACATATCGGGGTTGTCTTTGACATGTTCAAAGAGCGCCTGTCACAAGAATTGTCAGATCGCATGCCCTTGCGCGCAGTCGCAATGTGTCGCCGGACTTACAGCTTCAATCTCGTCGGTGAGTACTCGATGTCGACCAGTACGGCTCTCCGGCGGCTGTCCGCCTTTATCAGCATTGCGCGCTCCCACCAAACTCGGTCCATGTGCGGTTGATGTCCCACCTTGCCAATGCGCCCAGTGCGCTCCAGCTCAAGTTTCCATCGTCGTATTGTCCGATCGGACACGCCGGTCTCCTTCTCTATGAATTCTTCATCGCGGCCAGCCTCGAGGAGCCCTTTGACACGGTCACTGTCCACCTCGATATTAGTATGGACTCTCTGCTAAGCTGTGAAGGGAAGTGGGCTGGCACACACCGCTGCTCTTGACTGTAGGCCTTTCCCTAGAAGGGCGAAGAGTGTCAGCAAGGGTCACAGGATGGAGAGGAGGGTGTCTGTCAACATACCATGGCGTTCCTGGAGTTTTCGTAGCGTGTCTCGAGGAGAGTAGCATGCAAATGTGAGGGTCTCGTGGTGAAGTCTTTTGGCAAGCGCCCGGCGCCAGCTGAGCGGCGTCGTGATTACGTCAGCGGACCTTCACCAATTCACCCTCCACTTCACACACTTCAGTACACTGAACAATTCGGCATAAAGGTGACACGACGGTTCTTATTCCATACTTCTTGGGACACGCTCCATGACAGCGACATTTTGATACGATCAAGGCTCTTGAAGGCGCATCGGCAAGTCGATGAGATGAATAATGGAAGGGAATCTTGAGATCACACGCAAAGACACCCATCATCCCCATGCTTGCAATTCTCGCATCGTTCGACACTCATAATATCGGTGCCATATGCAAGATGCCCACGAAGTCCCCCAACAAGATGCAATCATGCCATGGGCCGTCCATTACTTCCTCACAGCATCGTGGCGACCACGAAAAGACAACCGACAACGCCAATTAAACCGATGTTGTACCTCAGAGCAGCCTCAGCACCTGTGTAGCTACTGGTGCTACTGCTCGCGCTGCTTCTAGTGCTGGTTCCGGATTCCATTCGGAGCAGTCGCGTTCGGCGGACCATTCCCGATGCTGTAGCCTAGAGCGGCGCAGTTGGTTTATTTCTGTCCTCCTAGCATCTGTCCAACAGCCTGAAGACTGGCGAGATGCAACATATGAAGCGTTTGTTGAGCCAGCGTAGCGTTGGTAGCACAGAAATGGAAAGTAAAGGTCATCTGTGTTGCTTTGCCATCGTAGACGCTGTCGCCGGTGTCGCGTCGTACGGAATATAGGCTCACGCTTGGTGAGGGTACGCTGAAGCGCGCCGTGTTGTGGACTCCTTTATAGGGGCCAGGCGCAGGTGAAAGTCTTGAGTAGGCGAGGAGGGCTTCAACGAGATGTGCTCCGACAAAGTCCTATGTTCTCGCGGTGCCAACGCTGTTATCGGTACCATTCAACGAGATAGATCCAGCGGGAACACCGGTCCAGGTAATGTTGCTAAAGTTTCCAATCACTACGATGACTTGCTCGTGGGTATACGGCACGGTAAAGAGTACTTCATCGGTGCCAGCCGAATAGTTGCCGCAAGTGGCGAGAACGTAGACGACCACGTCTTGTGAGAATGCCAAGGTATCCACGCCAATATGGCAATACTTGCGGAGGAGCGCATGGCGACAATGTCTTGAACAAGGCTTCACTATGCCAGAACCCAGTGAAGCGAAAGAGACGTTTGAAGGTCGAAGAGTCCTGGACAACGTACCTCTTTTGGACTGTCAAGAGTCGTTGGCAATCCAAGCTCGAAATCTACCCGGTAATCCAAATCTGAGCGTACGCCAGCTCTGCCAAGCGTCCTCAGACTAAAGGGCTTGTGATATTTGAGGCCAAATTCGGAAGGAGATGGCCATCTTCATCTCTCACCCTTGTAGAAGGTCATGCGCTTTTTCTGGCCTGCAGGATAGCAGACATCTGTCCGGTATCGATTCATGCCAGGGACTGTAGTAGAGTGCGCGAAGCAGCTGGTGATAATCCTACCATGCTTTGTCTATTAGTACCCGCCTTCCGGAGCAGCCATATATCAAATGAAATCAGAACACAAGTGTAATACAAGGCATAGTGCTCATCGCCATCCAATCGGACGATTTCATGTTGAGTAGCGGGGTCGCTGCATTGCAAGTTGCAACGAAGTACAAGCTATGCGACTGTCGCCATTATGGATCAACGATGATCGGCAACGGCGATGCTAAGGCTTCGTAGCTGTTTCATATATTTCAGTCTTACTCTTTCGGAACCAAGGCACCCTGTCTCGGATATTAGCATTCAGTATGAACTGCGCGATTTCACGGCTCACCTTCTGGACAGCCTCTGCATTTGCTCGCATCCTTCGTGTTGGTTCCTCTCCTAACCAGTGTGGCTGGGTGTTGTAGAAGCTGTCTTCAAATTCGTAGCCATCGCCGCCCTCGATATAGAAGGCTTTGCCGTGGATATGAGAAGATGCTTCGAGGCCGACAACAATCTTCGCTACGCTTTCTGGCGATTGCCAGAAGAGACCGTTCTCTTTGAACGGTTCGATCACCTTTGCAGCCATTGGTGTATCCGTCACGCCCGGACAGATAGCATTCACCCTGATATGATCTCGTTCAAACAGTGTCTTCCGAGAGGAGCGTAGCAGGCCATGAACGGCATGCTTCGAAGTCTGGGATTCAGAATCAGCAAGGCTCACTCAACTTCTCACCGATCATCATACCTGGTAGAGAAACAAGCCTGGGCTTTCTCTGAACGCGTTCACACTAGACGTCAACGTCAAGCTCTTGTCCTCACCTTCTTTCATGCCTTCCCGCAAGAATATCGTTGCGATGCGGGAGAACTGAAGGGTTCCGAGAACATTGACGTGTATGGTTTTGGTATTTCCTGGGTCGTCTTTGATGCTTTCGATCGTTAACTTGGGATCGTACCAGTTGCCCTGCTCGAATATCCCAGCGCAAGAAAAGGCATGATCGACGCGACCATACTGGTCATACGCAGTCTTGAAGAGATCGTAGATGTCATTGTACTTCACGACGTCGCAGTGGATGTATTTGACACCTGGGGTTTGCGTAACAAGCTCTTCAGCTACTGGATCGTTGACATCGCCAAACACGACATGGGCCTCGTGCTGTGCCAGTAAGCGGACTGTGGCTGCTCCAATGCCAGTTGCCCCGCCTGGAATCACAAATTTAGCATGTTTCGTGCAGTGAGTTCAGAGAGGACCGACCGGAGAGGACCACAACCTTTCCTTTCAGGTTTGCATGGAGGCTTTCGTCAGGCTGATAATGCGCCATGGTGTGAAGAATGTCCGACAAATGCTGATTGAAAAACGCTAGCACGGCTTCCAGTGAGTGTGGATGGAAGACTTGCGACATGTGGTGTCCTGCGGTCCTTTCCGTGGAGATCGTTAGGGCAATGAGTGGAGTAGAAGAGCAATCACAAATGTCTCCGAGCATCAGGAGACCTGTGCCTGCCGATGCGGTGTTAGGAGGGGTGCTCTTTCTTTAGACCGCCAGTCCACATTGTGACAGGCTGATAGAGCACTCGTCTTCCCTTAAGACCGCTCGCTCCATGTGTTAGCGGACTGGGAGGAAGTAACGAATGGCCATCCCGTGCTCAGTGCCGTGGACCCTTCTTTGACCCCGCTGAAGCCATTCAAAAGGTCGGTATGAGGCGCTGGCAATGCTTCTCGCCAGTGCTTGGTCGTTGCTGCACGCGGACAAGAGCAGCACGATGCTTGCTGATGCACGATGATAAGTCAGAGAGGAAGGCGTTACCTTATTGAGTCAAAATGGACAGTAAGGTACATGAAGCCTCCGCACTCGGACCTCTTAGAGGCCAGTGCCACATCTTGACTTCACTTCCCTCTTCCAAGCCGACCAGCATACATTTTCCATCGACATGCCGCCTAAACCATTCCCGCTACCATTTGGAATCGGCACAGATATCATACGAATCTCGCGTATTTGTGATATCATCGCAAAAGATAGCCCGCTTCCCAGCAGAAACAGCACAAGTCTTTTACCCTTCCTTCGACGCGTCTTGACTCAAAGAGAGCAGACGGACTTCTGGAGACGCTTCAAGAACGAAGCTACAGTTTGGAGTGACAAAAAGAAGCCTGCTGCAGAATACCTAGCTGGAAGGTGAGCTGAGGACTGGTCTGCTTGGCACATCAATCGTTGCTTATGTCGTCTTGCAGATGGGCAGCCAAGGAAGCAGTCATCAAAGCCGTGCGGTACCGGCCTCTCACGCTATTGCAAGTCGAGATTCATCGATACCCCCCAGTTCATGAGAGAAGTGGTGTCTTCGCACTGATCTTGGACCAGCCAGCTGATACGATGTCGGCCAAAACTTCCCAACTTGGTGGCCATGGACCTCCTAGTTCATCCGACGCACGGCTTGAGGATAGAATGGCGGGGCATCCGCTGGCTGATAATCTGCAAGAAAGATCTCAGCCAGGCGACTCGGAAGAAATTGGTTCTCAGCAAACCGCAGGCGCTCCAAGCGACCCTGCAGATCCTCTGTATGGTGGAGTTCCGTACGATCAACTCGAAGGGCAAATCGCAAGAATCAGTATCAGCCATGATGGCGATTATGCCACCGCATTCTGTCTGGCTCACGATGTGCCGATGGAGGGAGACGTCGGCGGCGAAGCTGCGGCGAGGATGCCATAAAGCCCCCAGAGTGCTTTAGGAAATTTTAGCATGTACAGACCACTTCTGCGCATGGAGATCGGCGGATGCAAAGTCGAAAACCGCGTTTATTGACATGAAGACGGCACGCATGGCGTGCGTTTTCACGTGGCTCCCGGTCCAGCTACACTTTCACGTGTTGACGGATCCATACTATTTCTCGTCGCCTGTGGTGTCTACTTTGCAACAACAACGTTCACAACATCAAACAGCATTGATAGACCACACGCGCGCCATTACCAACTCGAGACACAGCACTCTCCTGCCGCAAAGCAGCCAAATTGCCGATGACAACGACGACAGGTACCAAGGATACGCAACACACCCTTCTCCCACCATACTTCAGACCAAATAAAGCAGCACCAGCATACCGATCTCGTCCAACAAGACCCAACCCGCGCAAAAGCAAACCGGAAAGCGCATCGAACGTCTCACAGAACCTTGCAACAGAGAGCAGAATCACCATGCCCTGGAAGAATTGGGACAGAAGCGTGCGTACTCTCATGCTCACCCCATGCAAATGGCAAGACCGCTCCCTCCGCCACGGAACAATCTACATCCTCCACGACCCCATCACCCAGCACATCAAAATCGGCCGCACCAGACGATCCGTCAACATCCGCCTCCGGGAAATCCGAAACTTCCACGCAAGACACTCAAGACCCAATTCGTCTGTCTGGCAATGTCCCGCAATCGGAGCCGGGCAATCTCTATCTATCGCCTCGAACAGCTCGTCCTGAGAGATCTCAGGCGCCATCAGAGGAAGTACACGTGCTATCAATGCAAAAACGCCGGAGCAGAGCATAGGGAATTGGTTTTGATATCGGCATGGAGAAATCTAAGCGGGCGGTCATGTTATGATATAGCTGTTTGATGGGGCGGAGGCCATACCACACTGTTCGGGTGCCTTGAGAGATCACTGGCGACTACGTATCGAGAGCTCCTTCGATCTGCCGACGTACGGCGGCGACGACTTCGAAGATCGCTACGATTTCTGGGTGGCGGCTCACGACACGATCGTGAGATCGCGTATCTCTCGCCGATCACACAGGCGAATACCTCCACGAAATACTACCTCAGCCATGATTCAGATAGCTCATACAATATCATTCTCCTCATCGTCTCAGGAGTCCAAACAGCGAGAAACGTTGTCCGCAGTACCGTACTTTCAAAATTCGAATCAAGACCACTCACGCGTACTTAGTCTGTCCCGTGTGATTGATATTAAAAACGGATCTCATGCTACTTACTACCCCTTTCCCTTCCGGTCGTCGAAACCGGTCTCGTGAAGAAGAATAAAAGTAGTCATGTCCGTCCCTCATCCGCATGCCGTGAGAGCAACCTCAACATATCAATCACCCTTTGCCCTCCTCCAAAAACCAAACAAATACACTCCCCAGCCAGGCAGGGCATGAGAATCACCTCGGCTCCACCGCACCCCGAAACATCCTCCCCTTGACATTAACCCCGATTTCAAAAATTCCCTCCTCACAAGCAGCCCAGAGAACCCTCCCGTCTCCACTCATAGCCAACCCGGCCGTCCTCACCCCAACGCTGCCCCCACCGCCACTCCCCGACACACCCCAGAGCATGCGATTTCTCAGAAAAGTCTCATACCCCGGCTGCGAGAAATCATGTAACCTTCTCGCTTCCACCAAGCGACTTTCTGCTCCAGGCGCACGGGTACTGGCATTCCGCCACCGGTCTCGTGTTCGGAGTTGAGGTTGGTTGATGCGCCGCTGGGCTTCGAGTTCTTGTTGAAGGGACTCGACACTGATGCGTTCTGCCGCGGGCAAGGGAGAAGCGGCTGAGGCGCGAGCGGCACTTTCGAAGAGCGGACCGCGGGCTGCGGACATGTGTTCTTCGATTGTTCGCCACGGGTTTTCATCCTCTGCATCTGCTAAAGTGGAAGTTTGGCCCCTCGTTGCTCCATTGCCGTTGCTGACAGAAGCGGGGCCTGGGCTGCCAGAGGTCGGTGGACTTAACACGACCGACTGCCGCCGCCGCGGTAGACGGGAGTTGTCACCCGTTCGTGGCAAGCCTGACCTTGCCGATGAACCCCAGATGCCGTCGCGCAGCTCGTGTAGGTGCGGTAGAGTATGCGATTCATCGGGAGCATGCGAAGATGAGGGTCGCGGACTGGTGGCAGCATGTGTTCGGGAGAGCTCAGGAAAGGATTCCTGCACGGAACTCAATATCTCGCTGATTGGCCGAGCAGAGTCTGCGGTGTTTGTTGAAGACGCAGACCTGCCGCCTGAGCCCGTAAACAGATCCGGCGTTGTGTAATTGACCGATCTCGCAGGCTGTCCATTCGCACGAGCCTCCTCACGCTGTCGAGACGTCCGCAACGATTCTAAAATCTGCTGTTCCCGCGCCGTCAACCCCTGGGGATCATCGCCGAGCAAATCGGGCGTATGTCTTGAGCTTGAAGCGTTGGTATGAGACTGGCGAGCCGCGTGCAAAGCCGCCATGTCTTGTCGCTGCTGTCGCACTCTCCTTCGTGCCTCGATGTACTCTGTTGCAAAGTTGACTGCGGACGCGCTGTCCGGAGCATTTCGATATCGCCGAAGGAGATCTGCTTCCAAGTCATCCAGATGAGATATCACAGGTCCTTCTTCTTGCGGAATATCCTCAAGAGCCAGCTTCCTGAGGCTATCCGCTCCAGGCTCCAGGCTGACAACCTGTCTGCTCTTCAACCCTGTCCTCAAGTCGCCAATGCATATCCTGCCCTGGTCTTCGGCCCAGATGAGGAGATCCCACGGCTCAGGCGAAAACATCATCGATCTGATGGCACCAGGATGCGGTTGGGGAAGATCTGCTCGTGAGCCAGGCACAACGGCCACAACCGCTTCATCGTCTTCCAGTTCTGGGTTCGCCATCATCTCGGTATCCAGGACCGTAATATATCCACCCTCCGATCCTACTGCGACAAGCTGTCCCGTCGGCGACCACGCAGTCGTAAAGTATCCCACCGTCGCATCCGGGCTAGAAACAAACAGCGTGACCACATTCGTCAACCTCCACTCCACACTCGCAGTCGTAAGCCGATTGTGCGGCTTCGGAATCTGCGGCGGAGTATCCACAATCTCCCGACTAAAGAAATACGCCTGATTGAAATCGCCCACAGCAACGAGCATCTGCCCATCTGGCGAGATCGTCGCGTGATTGATCGCAAACGGCAAGTCCTTGACTCTCGTCTCGTGTCCCGCCGGGAGACTGTATATCCGCACCGTCTTGTCATTGTTCGTGAGCACGGCCACTATATCGTCCAAATGCGCCTCTTCATCCTGTATCCGGTGGATGGAAATGGAGTTTACTATTTCCTCGCCGATCCGCTCCACCTTCACAGTTGGCGCTCGCCTGCCTACGCTCTGTCGCCAGCCTTCGATCGGAAGCGCAGAATCGACGTCGAGTGTACGTGGTCCGCTACCGTCCAGTTTAATCGTGGCAAAGTGGCCATCATCTTCGCCGCCTACGCAAACGTAGCCATAGCCTGACGCCGTACATCGCGCTTCGAAGGGTAGGTTAGCGATGTGTTTCCGCTTCTTCGTCGCGGTATCGAGGCAGTATATGTCGTTTCTCGAGGCATAGTATAGGAGGTCTGGTTCGGGAGTAGAAATGTAGTGTCGTAATTGCCAGTGTCTGCGCTGTAGTCAATAACCTGCCAGCTTGGCTTCCAAACGGCGGCACATGCGATGGATGGACACGTACGATATGGGTATCTTGACGGGATAGAACGCCTTATCCGCCCGCGCGAGATCATGCGCTTCTGGGTAGCTGTTTGTATCCTGTCAGTTTCCTCCCAACAGGTTGGTGAACCGGCGGCACTCACGCGATGTATTCGCTCGCGTCGATGGCCATCCTCGACCGCGCCGGCGCGGGATTGAGTGCTATGAGAGGTTGCGCACGACTGAGGCGTGCCGGGATCGGAGGAGGACTGATGTTAATGTCGAGGGTCAAGGAGTCGAGACTGTTCCAAGAAGTTTGCTGTTAGCCCTCAACACTGCCATGTCCTAGAGAGCGATGTGCGGGCAAGGCGACGTCACATGCGTCAGCGGATCGAGAAGCTCCGGCATCGACAAAGGCGAGCTCATCATCTTTCGCATCTGTCAATCGCCCTCTGCTTGCCGGCAATGGACGGCGGAGAACAGGTGGGCAACGGCGACGGATGTTCTACGAAAATGACGATGTCACGAGTTCTGTACTACATGTACCATGCACTGCGCCTGGCGTCGGAAGCAGCACCTACACCGTCTCCTATTGCCCGCACCTGTACCGATCATGGCAATAGCGCACGACTGGGCGTCTTGATGAGAAGGAACAAAGGAAAGCTGTGGACAAGGTATGCAGCTCGCTCAGACTTGATTGCAGCGCCTGGGTAAATGCTATCAACCTCTAGGAACTGGTGCTGGGGATCGCTTTTCATGCCCTTTTCGTCGTCTCATATCTCATCTCGCAACCGTGTATCGCATCGTCTCTGTTGTATGGCCGACGCGGGTGGGAATCATCGTGAAAGACGGAAGCCAGATCATGCCGGCTTCGTCGTGCTGTCGTCTCGGAGCAGAATCATCTGTATTCATCGAAGACTAGTCAGCAAAGATCTCTCAACGAAAGCAGAAAACACCAACATACCTACTTGCTCTCGCTCTGCACCTTCTGGACGCGCTCCTCGACCTTGGCGAAGAGCGGGTGGCTCTCCTCAAGGCCGGTGATGTCCTTGGTGGCTGCCTTGGCATCCATCTGCTTCAGCTTCTTGGCCAGCTCCGTGGACTCGTCGTCGCCCTCCACGTTCTGGAAGCGGAGTGCTTGCTCGATACCACCGAGGAGGTGCTCAATCGATTCACCCTTCTCAGCCAAGAGCGCGGCCGGTCCGATGAAGCGCTCCTTGCGACTAAGCTTCCGGAGCGGTGCACGGCCCACACGCTCGACGTTGTCCTTGAGGGTTGGGTTGCTGATGCGGCTGACGATCTGCTTGACGTACTCAGACTGCTCCTCCTTGGAGATGTGGCTGTGCTTCGTGCAGATGAGGTGCGCCGTCTCCTTCAGGGTGTCCTGAACCGTGTCGTGCAGCTTCTTGTCGGCCAAGACCTCGTGGATGTACTGCTTGCCAGCCTGATGACCGTAGTAGGCAGCCGTAGCGTGGCCGGTGTTGACGGTGTAGAGCTTACGCTCGATGTAGGGCTCGAGGTCTTCGACGTAGTGAACACCCTTGATTGGAGGTGGGCTACCCTTGAATGGCTTCTCCTCGACGCACCACTCGTAGAACTTCTCGATGAGCACGTTGAGGCCGGCTCCCTCGGGCTGTACTGGCACAATGCGGTCAATAGCCGAATTGGCGAACGCAGCCTTGGAATCCAAGCTCTTCTTGCCGTCCTCGGACAGCTTCTCGACGACGAACTCCTTGAGCTTGTCGGTGCCACCGACCATGTTCTCGCAAGCAATGACGGCCAATGGCTTCTCGGCGGAGCGAGCCTCGATACCCTTGGCGATGACCGGAGCAATGAACTTCAGGATGTTCGGGCCAACGGCGCAAGTGACGGTATCGGCGGTGGCAATCTCCTTGACGACGTCGTCCTCGTGCGTCTTGGAGTTGATGGCGCGGTAGTTCTTGATGGTGAACTTCTTCTCACCATCTGGGCCGATCTCAGTGACGTCGTAGGATGGGGCGTTCTGGAGAGACTCGATGAGCTTGTCGACGACATCGACGAAGACAACCTCGAAGCCAGAGTTGTGGAGGAACTCCGCAACGAAGCCACGGCCGATGTTGCCGCCTCCGAAGTGAATTCCCTTGAGACCCATTTTGACGGTGCTTCGGTGGGATGAGAGATGTCTGCAGAAGCATCTAGTCAGTTGCCGTGGACTCTCAATCTGCGAGAGAGACTGTCTGGTGGTAGTGAAACACTACACGTGTTGTATTCAACTCCCAAAGTTAGGACGAGCTTACCTTGAGGTGAGGTCGAGTGTGTCGTGGCTTCTCGCTGTGGTAGGGAGAGGTGAAGACAGCTGCAGAGTCAGTGGTAAGCCCAATGTTCGAGCTGTTTGTCTGTTGGCTGCAGATATCACTGTCGCCGCCTGTCGTTTCCACCGCTCCTCCGCTGCTGCTGCTGCTGCTGCTGTTTGCCAAGTGAGGGGGAAAACAAGCAACTCACTGTTTTGAATGTGCAAAGAGCGGATGTCCTTGCGCCGGAAGTGGGGGTGATAAAGGGAAAGCAGGCTCGTGCTGGAGCGGAACGGTTCAATGTGATCGGTATGTCGAAGTGGTGTTGTTGTTGGTGTCTGAAGCAAGGTCGAATGGGGCGAGTTTAGAAGGCAAGTCAAGTCCGCAGAAGCTTTCGGAGGTGGCAGAGCGTGGAAAGTTAAAATAATCCGTGACAACTTATGTTGGAAGCTGCAGGGCTTGAGCTCTGGCCAGGTGGGGGGCGCTGCATCGCTGTCAGCGTTTGTTGTGTAAACGACGGGAACAGGCAGGTGCGAGTGACCTCGCTCTGGAAATAGCCCCTCCAATTTCGTGGGGGGCTCCGCGTCGACAGGGATCTCTAGGGTGACGTTAGGCATCAATCATCGCTGTCCTTCACTCGCTTCATGTCCACGGGGAGCGTGGGGAGAGTGCCGTTCCGTTTTCACATGCTTCCAAGTTCGCTGTATAGAGACAATCATAGACTCTAGGCAATGTGGATCTGCAGGTACACCGCCTCGAGCGAGTCTTTTGATCCGATGGTACTAGTAGTGTATCGAATAGACGTCTGCCCTCCGCAATCCTTGCGAACATGCGGGAGCCTACTCGTGGGGCTCCCCAGACCAATCGAGAGTCCAATTCGTGTGGGGATCTCACGTGTCAGGTCTATCTTCTTGGCGCGACGCATGCGAGATGCCATATCGTTACCGCCCTTTCAAAGTCCGGTCCGAAACCCGTTGCATGTTGCCGCCGTGCTGCAAGATCCTTGAATGTGACTGATGTACTGTGAACCAAGGCTGTGTTTGCATGCCAACGCAGCCGTCAAAAGTGTCGTGATAGCCAGACATGTCTGTTCCGAAAGCTGCTCACGCGTGGATCGCCTGCTGCACGTGTGGGTAGACTGATACCATTTTAGAGTAGAACTCCCCGTGCTCCCGCATGAGGACTTCTGGGTCGAAGGCCGCTGCAACGAAGATGGTGTCGATGCCAGAATTGAGTGGCACCACGAAACAGCCGGTGACCTGAAGTCCGATCAAGAAGGAGTAGACAACTATAACCGCGGTGAATTGTCCTCCATGGTTGTAGGCAGGATCTGTTACCTCCAGGTAGACGTAGCTAATCAGACCGCAGGCCACACCAACGAACAAGCAGCCCATGGAAAGCACAGGTCCGACCAAGCACTCATTGATGAGAGCGTCGATGCCGCGGTCCTTGATAAGCTTCCAGGTGTCTTTCGCGGATTGGAAGTAGCTCTTGCCGTAGAGTGACATATAGCTGAAGGCATAGCGGTTGATGAACTCCAGAGCCCACTGTACCAGTCCAAGAATACATCGGAGCACACAGAAAGCACAGTCTGCTGCAAAGTTTCCGGTGTTCGTGTCTTGCTGGGCGACAGAGCAGAGGAAACGCAGGGTGTCAAGAATTGCGACCAACAAGCTGCCCAAGCTGATCGAACCGAAGCTGTACGTGAGTGCTCTCCTTGCGGCTCCCCGAGTTGCACCTTTCGGTGGGTTGTGTGGGTTGAAGTACCAGCCACCATACACGCCAGAAATCGTCGTGTGTATGGTATTCTTCAGCCATTCGGTGACCCAGTATCCGGTAAAAGTAATGTAGACCAGCAATCCGATGACAACTGCAGAGCTACAGCCTCCAGATCCACCAGCACTGGCGTTGCAAGATGGGTTCGCGCCGGGCTCGAAGCGGACGTAAACGGCGACCAACGTAACTGCAAACCATGCACTGAAGGCCTGCAAAGCACACTCACGTCAGTGAACCTCACGCGAGGGAAGATCGGACACTTACCAGAGCAATGAGGCCACCAATGAAGGAGACCAGGTAAACATGCCCCACGTTTCGCGATACATCCACAGCGGTCTGGAACATCAACACCGCAAACGGAATCCGCTTGATCCACGTGATGAAGCAGAAGATGGTGAAGATCCCAATTACAAGCCACAGAGCCCCTCCAACCCACGCATGGCGGTAGAAGTAGTAGATCGCCGTCGCCAGGGTGAGGCAAATATTGAGAATACCGGTGATCCAGATGAACTGCTTCGTGAAGATGCGCGCGAGGGAGATGTATCCGTAGCCCAGGACGAGAGAGGTTGCCAGGATAAAGCAGAACAGGACGATCGTGTTTGTATTGAGACTGAAATCGTTCGCTGAGCCATAGATACCGCCGCCATTGAAGGACTTGTTTCCAGCGTAGCCTGCGATGCTGATACCAGAGACAGCCACGAAGCCCAAGAAGAACAGGATGAAGAGGATTCCAGCCCAGAGGTCATTCCATTTCGGCCGCTCGATCTTGAATTGCTGCTCGAAATTGGCCTTGTCGTCGTTGCCGTAGTCTTGCCCGTACGCAGGCGGGTTTTGCATGGGCTGTTGCTGCTGCTGTCCAGACTGCGGTTGTCCGTACTGAGGCTGGCCATATTGCGGCTGCTGGTTGTAGTACCCCTGAGCTTCGCCGCCTTGCTGCTGGCCGGCGTACGTGAGCGCGTCCATCGGCTGCTTGAAAGGTTCCATCTCGAAATCGCGTCCTCCGTCGAGCGCAGAAGGACCTGTGTAGTCGTGACCCGCGTGCGTGTCGTGGAGAGAAAAGTCTGCGAAAGAACGCTGCACGTGCGAGCAGGAGGACATCTGGGACGCTTGAGTTGGTGGTACCGAGGTTGCCCTGCGAACGGTTGTGTATCGTTTGCCTAATCGGGAGCCCTAATTTGGAATAACCCCCAACGGTGAGGGAAGATCGGTATATTTTCTTCAGACTGCGCAGGTCGAAAGCATCTACTAATCAGTGAGAAGGCCAGGTATTATGTGGTCCATCAAAGCACAGGAGGTTGCAAGAGCACGACACTGCTGCGATTATGGTCGCGTTACCTGTGTGTTGCTGGCGCTTCCAGTGCCACCGCCACCCGTGTCGCATGCGCCTGCCTGACCTGTTTCCTCCATCATCTCAGTGACCGAGTGTACCAGCTGGAACGACGTGCAGAAGGAGCGGCCACGATGCGTAGTATACCGGCCGGAACGTGGCGCATTGCTCGCACAAGGATGGAGCCTGGTCATCTCGGGAGCAAGTCTTGAGCACGAGCTTTGTGAGCACGTGCTCGCCAGTTGAAACATAACAGAGCACGACTGGATGACGCGTTGGATTCTACCGCATTGTGATTGTTGAGACGTGAACAGAAAGGAAAGAAGAAGCCGGTGGATGGACAGGTGAGTGAGATTGCACCTTGTCAGATCTGCTTCCGGGATGTCCGGGCCATCTGCTTCCTCCTTCCGCGGGCCTCAGTCCTTTCCCGCGTCCTAAGTCAACCTCACCTCTTCTCCCTGCGAATACAATCAGGCGCCAGGATCGCATCCCCTGACCGTACCCACTAGTGGCCCCCGTGGAGATAGGCCTCCAGCATCTCACTGCGGAAATCAGTGGTCACCGATGCAGCCCACACCGTCATGGACCCAATGACCAGGGTTGAGCTGAGGTCGGTTTTCGTTAGCCCATGCCAACAGCGGGTCTGGAGGTCATCTTCGACGAGTACATTGATCTCGACGTAGAACCCACTTGTCATACTGGTCAAGCGTGAGGTGCCACCCACAATCTGTGGCATACCTGGACGCAAATCATTTCGGTATGGCTGTCACTAGACGTCCTCCAGACGACTCTAGGTCCCAACGGCCGGCAATTATACTTCACCTATAGCAGAGAGACTCGGATCGCCATACTACACAGCTGTAACGAAGGACCATTCTGAGAACTGTGGAGCAGGTTCGGCGACTATGCCCCTGCTAGACTTGCACACATAGACGACACGTCTGAGGGCATAATGATCTTTCTGTCTGGTGGAAGCAGGTCATTTCGGGAAGATGACTGGGTAGATCTTCGACGCAACGATTTCGCCTTATCAAAAACGTTTGATAAGGCGAAATCGTTGCGTCGGAGGACTCTCGACTTCTGCGGCCTGCCGAAAACAGCCCTGGAGAGGAAAACAACTACGTTGACGATGATCGATCGTCGAGATCAGCGACTTCTGCATGATCAGACCAGTCTTTGTGCAAGACTGCGGTCGACCTATCCACCCATCGAAATTCAAGTCGTTGACTTCGCGCAGATGTCGTTCAAAGACCAACTGGGACTGAAACTTTCGATGGATATCTTGGTTGGAGTCCATGGAGCTCGCCTTACACATGCCATGTACAGCGGCACCCAACGGAAGCCAATCTTCAGCAACTGCGCAGAATTGCGCAAAGAATTCCGGAACTTCCTCGTCTACAGCCAAAATTGCTGGAATGAGGGTCGGTGCCACTATCATCCTCGTCGTGACCGCGGCTTTACCTATTAAGATCACGAACAAGAGCGAATCAGAAGGCTGACAGTGAACGCAAGCTGAAGATATCGAAGCCGCAGCCGGATCAACATGAAGGATATCCGGGCATTGCAATCATGCATGAACCAACGTCCCGCCACACAAACGAGCCGCATGGGCAGCACGACCCTTCGGAGCTGCCTGCTCGGGAAAGACCTTATGAGCTTGACTCGAATTGGAAACCTAAGGGCCTGGGTTAGAAGGTTTATTGAAATCGGAAAAAAACACTATTCGGAGCAGAAGACACCCATAGCGTTGCGTGGAAGTCATACATCGAGAGCTATGGGAGAGATCCGGGAGATGTGGTCTAATGCGAGTGAATCCTCACCTGGCCGACGGAGGAAGTCAAGCTTGCATGACTGGGACTGAATATTTCGCAGGCAGTACTACCAGGCCGGAGACTGGAGGGAATATTTAAACAGCACCATCAGACTGCTGAAATGCCCGCGTCGCAATTCCGCCGGTGAGTCGGCAGAAAAGTTGTCTACGGATCATCATGGATTGGAATTAAGATTCCTGACAAGCTGGACACGGGTTCAAATTGCGTCAATGTAGGGATTCATACAGTCAGGCGTCTCCCGCGGTACAGCTTGTTAGCCCACTGCCAGGAGGAAGTAAAGTCTTTGATGTAATAAGTGGATGGGTTGCGATGCCAAGCTTTTCGGACCTGGTGTCGATCCGCACGATCTTGTGATCTCGCATGCGCGACTCGAATAGGCTAGCGCGTAATCACGTCTATGACGAAGTCCGGGCTTTCAACGCGGCACGAGAGAAACATCGTGTCTGTCCACGGAGAGATTCTATGTCCGAATAATCCTTTGTGGCGTAGCAATATGCCATCATCACCATCTGCTCATTCATCCCCTTGACACAACATATAAGACCACATTGTACTGCTGTAGTCCCCAATCTGGGTCCCCGTCCACATCAATAACGACATAGGCAAATATCCGGCCATTATTTGAGGAGGAAAGGATACTACCACCATCATGGCGACACACGAGCCTGTCCACGTGTTGGACAATTACTATCTCGCCATCACGCTCCTCATCACGGTCGCGTACCAGTTAATCGGCTTCTCCATCGCCTTCACCTTCAAATTCGACAAGCTCACCGATTTCATGGGCGGTTCCAATTTCGTATGGCTAGCGATCATCACCCTCGCCATGTCAGGCACGACGAACGCCCGCCAGATCGTGACCAGCATCTTCATCATGCTCTGGGCAACGCGTCTCTCCGGCTTTCTGCTCTTTCGGATCCTCAAAACCGGCAAAGACGACCGCTTCGACGACAAGCGGGACAAATTCTTCCCTTTCCTCGGCTTTTGGGTCTTTCAGATGCTCTGGGTATGGACCGTCAGCATGCCCGTGACGATTCTGAACTCTCCGAATGTGCTTCAGTACCCACAGCCAAGCTTTGGCAAGGCAACGGACATTGTGGCAATCATCTTCTTCGCGGTTGCTTTCAGCATTGAGGCGTGGTCGGATATTCAGAAGTATCGCTTCAAACAGGGACCTGGAAAGGAGCCTGGTGCAGTTTGCAACGTCGGCCTTTTTAGCTGGAGTCGGCATCCGAACTACTTTGGGGAGATCATGGTACAAGTTTGTAAGTCATTGATCAGACTACCATTTGGTTCTCCGGGACGCTGACAGGATTCCCAGCAATTTATATCATTGCCGTCACACCTGCAAGCTACGGCAACGTCCCCTCTGGCTCGGGCGCGTACGCTGCACTCTACGCATCCTGCGTCGGCTTCATCTTCCTCACGACCCTGCTCATGTTCGTCTCCGGCCTGCCGCTCCAAGAGCGCCCAGGCGCGAAGAAGCGGTACGAAAAGGGAACCGGCTGGCCCGAGTATGAGAAGTGGCTCCACGACACGAGCGTCCTCATCCCAATGCCACCTCAACTCTGGTCTCGGCTGCCGGTATTCATCAAGAGAACCATCGGTCTGGAATTCCCCATGTATGTCTTCGATCCGGCGAAGCATGCGGATCTTTCCAAGGTTCAGGATAGGCAGGCTGAAGAGGGAGAGAGTGGCAACTAGGTTTTGCTCCCCCCCTGGGCACACATCTCCGTTGAGTAATCTGTAAGACAGTGCAAGATGCGAATTTGGTGGTGATATCCAGGGATCCCTCCTGTTGGGGCATATTTCTTGCGTTCAGCAGGCAATGATCTTGATCATAGGCGTCGATCGATCGATAGAGCCGGTAATATCTTTAGCTGTAAATGGCTCCACTGGAGCCCAGCTTGGAGATCTTCCTACGTACAGATCAAAGTTCTCTTATCGCTTATCGCGTGAGACCAGGCGGCTTGTTCAACAACGAGTATCAAAGTCATCATCAACTTGGTATACGGAGCGTACTCGACAGTTTGGCTCGCGAAGAACGAAAAGTCAGTTGAGATGTCGTGCCTCATCGCCGTATCCCGCGTGACCAGACCCGCAAGGAAGCATAGCAGCGTGCGCAACGCTTATAGAAATTGAAACAATTCGTCAATGGAGAAGTTGTCCAAGTTACTATCTACTGGTGAAGTCGCCCATACATCGTTCTGCTGTTTGGGCGACCAATTGGCTGCATGTGGAATGCTAACTTTGTTCACACGGTTTGAAGGGTTTTCCGGGGAAGAAGAAGAAGAAGAAGAAACACACAGGCACCGTCCTCCCTTCACACCTTCCGCCTTCCACCTGACACCTAACAGACACCCAAGAAGAGCAGACTTTTCCTTCCCCCGCCCCCCCCCTCCTCAAAATTCGTAAATCTTTCGAGGCCTCTTTGTGAGAAGCAGGAAGCCGCTCTACGATATATCAGGCGTCTAGGCCTCTTCTTCCCACCTCATCACATGCTCGTTTTTGGTATTGTGATAGCCGGAGCTTTGCATTCGTTCAAATTTTCAAATTGGGGTATCTCTCTGGGTAGGTAGGTAGGTAGGTAGGTAGGTAGCTACTACCACTACTCCTACTAACCACCTCGCTTCACGCCGTTGATACATTCCGAAAAAATCCTCCAAAACAAGCACGATCCGATCCGATATCGCCATTCTCCGCAAAAGAATTGGTCATCTGTACTCCCGAAGAACGCCGCTATATCAATAGTCCACTCCGTCTTCTTGGTGGGGGAGGGAGGGCGAAATTTGCCTATTCCCTGTTAATCATTCCCAACAAAAAAAGACTCCTGCGCTTTGTCTCTTGCCCCGAAAAAAATACGTATATTTACCGCAAAATCCAAGGTAAGATTAGCACTCAACTCATTGTACTTTCGTATGAACACTGGGCGGATACCGATCGATGGAATTCTCCCCACGACTCGCGGGATCCTTTCGCCTCGCTTCTTCGTCCTCATAGTGCACCTCGCAAGTCAACGTCTGGATGATGCCCCGGGTAGAATTATCGCTTGCAGCGGAATGTCTGCCCGTCGGACCACCCGCGCCACTCGCAGACTGCACCTGGGTGACGTTCTTTCCATAGGATCGGATTCCGCCGTGTTCGGCCTCGCCATCGCTCCGCGGGGACATGATGTTCGGGGCGGAACTTTTGCGATTGCTCTTTCTCTCTAGAGATGCCATGGCATAGGAGCCGCTGCTGCCACCGTAGCCGCTGATTCCCTGGGTATCGTAGGTCCCAAAGCCCGTGTTGAAAGCAGAGACGAAAGGTTTGAGGGTGGGCCATGTGGAGGCCATGAGGCCATAGTGCATTTCCAAGTTCAAGAGTATGAATGGGACGACCCCGCGGTAGAGAGGCTGAGGCGAGTCGATGGTGTCTGCGAGGAAGTGGATTCGAAGGAGCGCGCATGCGATGACGGGACTTCGGAGCCAGAAGACTGCCACCACGGTGAACTTGCGCATGAACGTCGTTTGTAGAGGCCAGACCAGCCAGATCGGAATTGCCAGGAGTGCCACTTCAATGAGGACGTTGAAAGCGGTTATTGCCCGCCATGCCGTGAGCTTGCAACTGGTTAGCAAATCCATCGTCTATTGAATATCATCATGCATTCTGCGAGATCCAGCATACCTGATTGGTACATTGGCTTCCGGCGAGCCTCCAGGGAGCAGTCTCTGTGCAACGAATTGCTTCTGCTAGGAAGGCACTGACGCCCCACAGAACCGATGCTGCGAGGATGCCGTAGCAAGCATGAACCCTACTCTTGATGAAGACCAGACGTGCTAGCAAGAGCGCCACAGTACATTTGGACAGGGCAACTGTCACGATATAAAGCAACTGCGTGACATAAATGGCCTAGAAAGTTTGTCAGTACAGTTGTGATGCGGAGCACCTGATTGATCTTACCTTGGAGGCTCTGTCGATTTGGGAGGGTGTCAGCAGCTCCAAATACTTGCCAAAGCCAAACGATACAGCTGCTGCAGACACGATCGCCTGAACGACGCCGAATACCTGCCAAGTCCAACAATTAGAGTATTCCTCAAGCATCACAAAGGAATTCTGGGACGATACCGTGCTGACGCTGCAGAGGATGTCGTCTGCTCCAAACGGCCCACTCACGGTCGCGCGCATGTAGACTCGCACGAAGAAGCACAAGACGACCCACGTCGCCATCAATGTGCATATCACCAATGCGATCCCGCCATGATCCTGATCGGTAGTAATGAAGCTTCGGGTACCAGAATGTAGATCCGGCAGAGGATAGGGGCCATTTGACATGTCGGAAGCGATAGAGGTATTCGGCCAGCTACGGGCGCTGCGGCCGTCTTCGTCGAGAGATATCAAGCGTGAAGAGAGGTCGTCAACAAATGGTGTCCCGCGAAGTCATGACAGACCAAGCGCGCACGCAGATGGGGTTAGATAGGCGTGATGATGAGGTTAGCTCGCACGACACTTTCTGCCAAAGAGGTGCGCCCAGGGTAGGCGAAGTGATTAGACGCAAGCCTCGAGCGCTGATCGGCGTCGAGACGTATGGAAAGTTCACGGTTCAAGTTGCAGCGCGGGAAGGACGACGGGTTTTGACTGTGCAGCAGCGCAGAAGGGCGGTAGCCTCCATGCACACATGATTTCACGACAGCTGCGGACGAGAACAGTGTGTAGCTGTGTGTAGGGTGATAAGACGACGGCTCCAGTTCGTGGGGCGAAGGAGATGCGGCTGTCAGCCAGGCTCCCTGTACGGCAGTGTTGGCGGTGCAGCTTGACAGGAGCACAGAGGGCCGTCACTCGCTCCACGATCGGGACGCGAGCTCTGCCGGAGCCGAGTGTACTGTATGTAGCATTGGGAGACGCACGAGACGCATCCGGGTTGCACAGGATCCACGGCAGTAGTGGGCGTAGATTAACCACACCACCTCCAATTCCACATGGCTGGGAATTCGGATGGACGGCGTTACTGTACCAATGCTATGTGCGACAAGCTCGATTCTGTCGTCCACCCAATGGTACAAGATCATCCTGCCGCCGCGGACAAAGGTTGTAGCTGCAGTGGTGATTCTGGTGCGCTTTCTTTCATCTTTGGTTGGTCTGGTCTGGTATGGTGTGTGGAGGTGGCTTGCTGGGCGGGCGATCGGCGGGGGGAGAACCCGGGAAACTTTGGGGTTAGCGGCCAGCGGACGACAATCATCCGTCATGAACATGCGACGTCCATACACCGTGCATCGATATGTGATACCACGCAAACGCCCTGTCCACACGTGCGAGAGACAGGACCAAACTTCTTCGCTGTCCCATCAGCCTGCTGCCCCTTTCGCACACGAGCGTGACGTCCACCCAAGAGTCGACCCCGAATCCAGAAGAGTTCCCCCTTCAATCCTCCCTGAACTGTAATCCCGACTGGGTCGTCAAGGGCCAATAACTCGCTCCTTGCCGCAATCATGCGCAGGCGGTCACTTCGAGCGCGGAGGGGGACGGATATGTCCCCCGGTGCCTGCACGTTGTGTGCGACCGGGTGGCACGGTGCTGGTGACAGCCCACGTTGAGACATAAGCTTTGTGCATCCACCGCATTGCGTCGGCTCTTCGGCAGGAAAAACGACTCGGAGCGTCTGTGATTCTGTCGTGTGGCTGTCCAAGGGTCCGTCTTCACCAGAACGTAGTAGCACCTCTTGGAGCTTCTTCTCGTCCTTGACAACCTTGCTGTCTTGCACACACGTGGCGACCTGGTCCGACTCCCACTCTTGCTGCCACTCCATCTCTTCAACGCTTCCACCGCTCGAAATGGCGCACCGAAACCCATTCGACAGCAAGACGTCCGCCGTCGACATCTGCAATGACGACGACTTCGAAATCACCGATCTACCACCTGAGAAGGCGGGTACCAAACATGACCGGCGAGACATGGCAAGAATGGGCCAGGCGCAGGAGTTCAGGCGCAACTTCAGCTTCATCCCCATCTTCGGTTTCGCTGCCGTGTTGATGATGACATGGGCTTCCGTGCTCACGCAGGTCTGCCTGAAGACACACACGCAGTGCTCGAGACTGATTGCTTCGCAGCTCCGTCAGCTACATCCTGCCAAACGGTGGCCTTCCTGCGATGATCTATGTCTATCTGGTGACACTGTTCGGTTTCGGTTGCGCCATCTTTTCCATGGCAGAGATGGCTTCAATGGCACCTACATCCGGAGGTAAGAGCGTTGTCTCCGCCCCCGAACGATTCGCCCCTGACAAGTGTTCTAGGTCAATATCACTGGGTCTCCGAATTCGCGCCCAAGTCCTGTCAGAAGCTGCTCTCGTACATTGTCGGCTGGTTCTGCGTCCTCGGATGGCAGGCTGGAGTTGCCGGGCAGTGTTTTACAGTTGCATCGATGATCCAGGGGCTGATTATTCTGAACGATGCGACTTATGAACCGCAGCCATGGCACGCTGTGCTGTTGACAATCGCCGCAGCCACGGTCGCCGTCTTGTTCAACACCTTCTTTGCTCGCAAGCTCCCGCTGCTCGAGGGACTGGTCCTCTTTCTGTTGATCTTCGGGTTCTTTGCCATTCTGATCCCGCTCTGGGTGTTCGCTCCACGCCACTCAAATACTGCTGTCTGGACTGATTTCACCAATGGCGGCGAGTGGCCGAACATGGGACTGGCATTCCTCGTGGGCTTTACGGGCCCGATGTATGCACTGATCGGTCCCGATTCGTCTGTGCACATGGCTGAGGAGGTGAAAGACGCTTCTCGAACCATTCCTTGGGCCATGGTGGCTACTCTTGTCCTGAACGGTATCACTGGCCTGGTCATGAGCATCACGTTCGCGTACTGCATTGGTCCTCTGGATGCGGCGGCAATGCCACAGTACAACTTCGCTTTCATTGGCACCTTTTACAACGCGACGCGTTCCCACGCGGGAGCCACAGTCATGACTTGCGTCATCATGGCTCTGACCTTCTGCTCTGCCATCAGCAACGTCGCCGCCGCATCTCGCCAGATGTTCGCTTTTGCTCGCGACGGAGGTCTCCCGTTCGCCAGGGTCCTCTGCTACGTTCATCCGGGTTGGGATATTCCATTCAACGCCGTCATGGTCAGCTTCACCATCACGGCGCTTCTGTCGCTCATCAACCTGGGAAGTATGGTGGCTTTCAACGCCATCCTGTCGATCGGTGTCGTCGCTCTCCTGACCTCTTACATGACCTCGATTGGATGCATCTTGCTGAAGCGAATCCGAGGTGAAGAGCTTCTGCCACGTCGCTGGAGCCTGGGAGTCCCATTTGGATGGTTCTGCAACATCGTAGGTTTCATCTACGTGTGCTTGGCATATATTTTCGGTTTCTTCCCAATCGCGAACAACCCCACAACCGAAACGATGAACTGGGCTTCAGCTGTGTACGGGGCCGTTGCCATTTTGAGCGCTCTCTATTATACCGTATGGGCGAGGCACAACTACGTGCCACCTGCCGCGAAGCTCGCGAAGGACCTATGAAGAGACAGACAGTCTCTGTGGATGTGCTTTTTTGGCGTGTACAGCGTGCGTTTCCAGAGTATGATATACCCAATGTTAGTTTTTTGTTGCTTGTAGAGAAAGAATTTGAAGCCCAGAGCGGAGCAAGGAGGAAGTAGTGAAGTGGAGTCTGATAACTGCAGGTATAGTTTCAACTTCCCCAACTCCCCTTGTCCATGACTTACTCGTCCGCATACTTCCGATGTATTGACAAGGAACATCGAGTGTTATAATTCAGCTTGTCTTGCCATACATGGATGGTAGGTAAAGACCGTGCCATATCAGTGCGTCGGAAGTGAATATGGCCCCAGCAACACTGGAGTTGGTGTCTCTCTGACTTCGGGCGTGCACTGGTGTCTTCTTCTGGATTTGAGATCATCTTGCGCAAAGTCGTTTGAGACAGTCGTTGTAGAGTCCCTCTCTCACGAAGTTGTTGTTGGTAAGACAGAACAGAATTATTCAGGAGAAGGAAGAAGTCAAGTCGAGTGTAGAAAGTTCTCTAGCAATACTAAAGGTCGGTCGTTCCTTCCCTGTATCACAAGATATCGCAACCGAGTTTCGCTAGCGGCGTCTTCAGCTGCTTGCCAAAAGTCGTCGTCGTCGACGCGAGGGAAGGAAGCTCACCTCGGAAAATCGTCTCCGCCAGATATAGTCCACTTCCAAGCTCCTTCACCAAAAGCACTTCTCATCACCTCTCACACTCTCGAAGATCTCCCACAATGTCCCTCTGGCAGTAAGCCCCCGGCCACGCCCCCGCCCGCAGACCCCCTCCCCTCTCCAAACGAGCCCGCCCGCTTTTCCTCCCATTCCCTAACGCAAAAGATCTAGATCCTACCGCAACCTCTCCCAACGCACGCGTCTCTTCGTCGGAGTCGGCATCATGGCGTACGCAGGCCTCGGACTCTTCCTTTCGGATCGCGCAGAGCAGACGTTCGGTTTCACGCCGACGGAGCAGGATCGGCAGAGGTTGCAAGAGGCTGTGCCGAGGATTCATGTTGTGGAGCGGGAGAAGTAGAGCGGAGCGAGGGAGACGGGTTTTGCGAAGCAAGGGAGGGAGAGACATTTCGAATGAGGTCGCTGGACATCACGGTCGTGTGAGAAGGGTCTTTGGTTTGGAAAGCAACCCGTTTCGAAGCGGAGGGAGGAGAAGAGATGAAAAGGGACAGACGAGATCACTCTCCAGACCGAACCCTTCGAATCACAAAATGGCCGACAACGACTCCAACCATGCGAGCGCACCCAAAACCCAATTCATCAGCGATAAGGACCATTTCCGTCAATCCAACGAGCAGCGCTTTTCAACCAGCAGGAAGAATTCTACTATACGGTGCATCTGCGACAACCCTCAATGATGGAGAGGACTTCTTTTCCGGTGCTGAGAATGTCACGCCTTCCAGCACAAAACCTGCATGATCTGGCCTTGAATGCAATTGGACTTGCCTTCCCAGACGGTCACGCCTGATGCAATCTATCTATTACTCTGAGCGATGCCGACCGGATTACCTTTAGCATCGAGACGTTGCAGGCCATTGAGCAAGGCGAGAAGATTTGGCAGCGTCGGTGGGAGAAGTCTCATGGGAGTCCAGAAGCCGTAAGTCTACAGCCGTTAGCCTCGTTGTGGACGCTGCTGACATGGATCATAGGACCGCGCTTCACGCTCGACGTCTGATGGTGGAGACAGCTAGGGAGGCAAGCAAGGGTGAAGCGGTGAAAGTGCTCAAGAGCAACTCAATTGGCGTGTCAGGTCGTCAGCTAAATTTATCGTAAATGCTACATATGCCACCAGCGAAGCGTCAGAATATCTACAACTTGCTCCTGCTAACAATGCAAGCATTGTTGTTGGTCATGGTCTGCACAGCGTCTGTGACCATCTCATCAATAATGGCCTTGGCCGACTTCTTCTCGTTGACAACAGCAGAGGCCTTGCCCATCAGGAAAGGTCGTGCGTTGTCCAGGGTGTCGTCGTCAACGTCGTCACCCATGCGCTCCATGTCCCATTCAACGGGGATGTGGCCCTTGGAGGTGAGGTCCTTGATTTCGGATTGTCTGTTGTCCTCCCAGTTCTTGATGTAAGGGTTCTGGCGCACACGCAGAGGACGGCCGGTGAAGATGATGGTGCGGACATTGTCGTCGAAACCGGCGGTTCGCACAGCTTCTTGGTGGGCTTTTGGTGCGCCGGCTTCCTGTGCAACGCGCATCAAATGGTCAGTGATCTGCTAAGATATATAGATGACCATTCAAGTGAGATTTCTTACCTCGGACAAGACGAAACGGGTGCCGACCCAAACGGCGGAGGCACCGAGCGAGAGGGATGCTGCGAGGGTTTGGCCGTTGAAGATTCCTCCTGCTGCGATGATTTGGACTGGCTGGCCGGTCATGGGGCTCTTGTGTCCCTTGCAGAGTCTGGCGACTTCGGGAATGAGGATGGTGGTTGGGACATCTCCAGTGTGTCCACCTCCTTCACCACCTTGGGCACAGATCATATCTACTCCGAGGTCGAGGCACTTTGCGACGTGCTTAGGGTGGCCGATCATGTTCCTGTAGTGGTATCCATCAGCATGGAATGTCGATCGTCGGAGGTTGGGATCGTACTCACATGTAGAGGATACCAGCCTTGTGCAGACGGTCGACGACAGCCTTGGGTGGAACACCGACGGCGGAGACGAAGAGACGTGCGCCAGAGTCGATGATGATCTCGACGAGCTCACTGAGCTTGCCCTTGGTGTAGTCGTAGCTGTGTCCCGTCAGCAACCTGTTCCGACATGCCCCGTTCCTCAACCCGATGCTCTTGTAGCCGGACATACTTGGTCTTTCTCGCGCTACCACCGACCTGTGGGAGAAGCAGATCGACACCGAACGGCGCATTCTTGTCCTTCAAGAAACCCTTCAACTCGGCGATTTGCTCCCGGAGCATGTCTGGGGTGTATCCGACACCACCAATGACACCAATACCACCGGCATTCGAGACGGCGGCTGCGAGTTTCGGACCGGCAGCGACGTTCATGCCGGCCAGCATGATGGGATGGTTGATCTTCAAGAGATCGGTCGTGACCGTGCGGATCTGCTCTGTATGCCCGACACGTTAGCTACCGGTCGTCGACACGTGAAAGGTGAGGTGATGCTGGAGCTTACGGGGCGAAGAGTCGGCTGCCATGATTGCTCGTGTTCTGAATAGAGTGTTATTTGGGATAGACTGTTACTATACAGGTTTCAAGAAGCTGGGATTGCAAAGAAGGTTGAAATGGTGGTCGAGTGGACACCTTCGAGGCTGGATCGAATGGAAGATGCGTGCATGAGAGGAGACGAGGGACGAGTACCGACGGGCCTCGGCTTGTCCCACGTGACTGACCTCGGCGCCCGCTAGAGCGAGAAGTGGCTAGATTCGTGCCGCTTCTTGCAGGTACATGCGAACCACGGGACTGCAAGTCCGCTCCGATTGTCAGGCGCAGGGAGTGCGAACTTCTCCTTCACTCACATCGCTGGTGGCTGCGGTGGTGTTCCTACCCTTGACACTGTCGAGGCAGAAGCGGCGCGGGACTACCCAGTGCGGAGAACCCTGTGATTGGCCGAGCCCGTCCGCATCCGAAGCTGTGGCGACCCGGCGCTAGTTCTCGCTCCCGACGACATCTCTCGGTGTGCCGTGCAGCGCACCGAGACGCGTCCAATTCGCCAGCTTGATACATGTCATGCTAACAACAATCAACCCCCTTTCAGCTGCTTGTCTGCTTCAGTCACCATCCTGATGCCCCGCACCCATACTCGGAGGAAGCGCACTGAACGCGGCCGCGCGCCATGAGACACAAATTCGGAGGCGCCGCGCGGTTGCTCATCCCGTCGCGGAGAACAACGAGGTTCAACTCACAGCCCCTGGTATCGGCACAGTGTCTGAGAAGTCTGAGAAGCCCTACTGCACTTTATCGCTTTGGTGTCGGCGCCGTCCCACAGCAGGCGAGATTGAGTTCCGATTCTGCAGCAAACCACTTGACACCGTCTGGAAGGTTCGATAGCCATGATCGTGCAGTCGAAAACTCCAACGACGCTTCGAAGGAGCTTTCACATTCCGGATACGTTTCTTCCGTGAACGTAAAACCATCCGTTGGTGGTGCCGATCTCGACCGTTCACAAACAATTGGCGATTCTCCGCAAAATCAATTCGGGAAAGCAAGGACGCGCGATTATGAGGGAGCAGACTTCACTATCAAATATCCAACCGCCACAAAGGCGCAACTCCATCTGTGTGTGGTAGTGACATCCTTACATTGCTTCCATCGCTGACCCTACTTGAGCAATACATCTGCAGCAGATCGAGCTGGATTTTCTCGTTGGGAAATCCGTCGCGACTTGGGGACCGCACGACCAATGCAAGAGCAAATTATAGTGAAAGAGCAACTTGCTTTGACGCTTGCACGATTTTTCCAGGATACTTCCCTTTGCGGATTTGCTGCCTGGGCCAATGCATTATCGCATTGCTCCGAAGTCTGTCCGCCACCCTACGATTACTCTATCTCAATGCCTACCGCCGCTGAGCTTTTGCCGAAGTCTCGACTGTGGAAAGGCAGATTCGGCCAACGTCATGGCCGAAGATTCTTAAGCTTTGACATACGGATAAGGCCAGACGAGTCTGTCGCAGAGACCAGTCAACCGCGGCTTACTGATGAGTCTTCTCTCACGATCCGCATTTGTGCCAACTTCCACGACATAGTATTGCATCAAACCGATGGCACGACTATATCTCTGGAGGAGGAATTGACGTATTTGGCGGATGTTGCACAATTGGTCGCACGCCGTCTTCAGAGAGAGCCGAGTCGCGAGGGCGGGCAAATGTTTCGTTCAAAAATGGCCGAGTATCTTCTCAAAGTGCTCGAATTTCAGACCGCCGGTCTCGCTGTCTACGCAATACAGGTTGGAGATCGGATCAGTCGCTCCAAATCCTCCGCCACTTGGAAGACGCTCCCTGACGCTCCTCTCACTTCGGAGGTCCGTCATGCGAAGCAAGCGAGGATTGATGTCGGCCCCAACGACATATTGCTCAACGAGGAGCTCATCGATACAATTTGTCATGATTATGTAGAGCATTCTGACAAAGCAGTTGAAACGAGCGAGCCCGAATCAAACGCCAGACCAAGGAAAAATGAGGACGAAAGGAACATTGAGGATGACGCTGATTTTACGGTCCCTGGTAGCGATATCGATGCCCGTACCCTTCACCTGTCCAGGCACGATTATATGTTAAGTACCCTCGTCAGTGAATCATCGCTAAAGTAAGTAAGTCCTTCACATACAGCGAACGTTGCTTACAAATCCAGGTCAGAAATCGTCTCGAGTAAGACAGGCACAAACGTGACTTGGAGCCTCGCAATTTTCTGGAATTCAAGGTACGCAGAAAGCCTGAGTAAATTCTCGTTTGAGGATGTGAAAGATTCTCTAGAGAAGGCGTTTGCGGAAACCAACGATACTGGTCTTTCGTGGTTACCCGAAGCCGCTGCAAACGCTGCTCGACTTCTCCCGTGCAATCCGTGCGTATCTCTACGACTGCGTGCTAGCTTCCAAAACGATACAAGACACCGGAACCGTTCATCTGGATTGCGCGCTTCAATCAAGTATGTGCATGCTGGAGAATTTCACAGCCAATCCCGGATGAAACTCAGGTGGGCTAAGCGTGATCCTTGGACTATCCGCCTTCCTGAAATGCAGTTCAAAGACATACGCGTAAGAGATTCTACAGAAATGAACGTTTCGAGCGCCCGCTTGAGCATTACGCTGCATGGGGTCTGCATCGACGATGGTCGTGCAAGCCAGGAGAGTGCGTTGTCCCGCTTGGACCGTATCTGCGAGCTGCTAGAACCGCACTTAGCCGACATGTTTCGGGCCAGCAAGTCGTTGACATTGCAAGAAGCCGCGCATGAATGCTGCCGGATTGTGGCCAACCTACCGCAGCCCATTGATGGTACACTCCAGCCGAAAATGGTGAAGGCCAAGCTTGATCTGCAAGCTCCAGATGACAATAATGCAGCAACTTCTGCGACTTCTTCGCATAATGTTTCGCAAGGTGCGAGCAAAGATGTTGTATTTGTTGCTCTTGGAAGCAATATCGGAGACCGCTGTGGAGTACTCGAGAGCGCATGCAAGATGATCGATGCTTCCGCAGACATGCAGATCCTTAGGACCAGTCCTCTCTACGAAACCGAACCGATGTACGTAGAGGAGCAAGAGTCGTTTTTGAACGGCGTGTGCATGGTAAGTGACAATGAAGAGCTTGGGTCGCTTAATGTCTAACTCGCAACAGATCAGCACGAGCTTGGCACCCAATGAACTTCTGGACCGGCTTCAAGCTATCGAGAATGATCTAGGACGAGTCAAGCTTGTAGATAAAGGACCGCGTAACATTGATTTGGACATTGTGGCATACAAGGGAGAAGTCGTCAACACAGAACGTCTGATCATCCCCCACCGATTGATGACCGAGCGAGAGTTTGTTCTTCGTCCACTACGCGAGTAAGTATAGTTTGATGCGAGAAGTTGTCTGCGTACATGCTAACCTATGTCTAGTGTTGATGATGGTAGTTTCGAGCATCCAGTGACGGGAAAGTCTGTTGAGCAGCTTTTGCGAGCATATGGGCGTCCCCCGGACTCGTTCACCCCTATCGCACCCGGCTGCGATGCTATCCACGCTAACAATCCTAAACGCCGCACACGAGTTATGGCCATCTTGAATGTGACCCCAGACTCCTTCTCTGACGGTGGTGACAACCAACCTGCCGATGTGGAATCTCTCAAAGCCACCGCCCTGTCTCACATCGCAGCGGGCGCTACTATCATCGACATAGGCGGCCAGTCCTCACGCCCAAACGCGCCCGACATCACGGCCGAAGAAGAACTGGCTCGGGTCCTACCAGCGATCGAAGCAATCAAGTCACTTCCGGAAGCAGCCAACATTGCCATATCGATCGATACCTACCGCGCCAGCGTCGCGGAAGCAGCCATCAACGCAGGGGCGCACATCGTCAACGACATCTCCGCAGGCTTATTGGATCCGGAGATGTTTCCCACCGTTGCCAGACTGGGCTGCACTTACATCATGACGCACATGCGTGGCACGCCCTCCACCATGCAAGACGCGGAACATACTACCTACACGTCGGGGCTCTTGCATGGTATATATACAGAACTGCAAGATCGCATTGAAGAGGCCCAGCAAGCTGGCATTCGTCGCTGGCGAATCATTTTGGATCCGGGCATAGGATTCAGCAAAACAACTGGGCAGAATTTACAGATTTTGCGTGCACTAAACAGTCTGAAGAAGAAGCAGAGCCGTGATACCACTGGCTACCCGTGGTTAGTCGGAAGCAGCAGGAAGGGTTTCATCGGCAAGGTGACCGGAGCGGAGGATGCAAAGGATCGAGTCTTCGGCACCGCGGCAACTGTGACGGCCGCGATCCAAGGGGGAGCGGATATCGTGAGGGTACACGACGTCAAAGAGATGGTGCAGGTGGCGAGAATGGCGGATGCCATATACAGACGACTTCCAGGCGAGGAAAGTTGGCCAGAAGAGCCCTCGGGTGACGGGAATCAGCAATAAGCCAAGGATGTTTGGAGAGCGTGGAAATCACGCTCGTACAGAAGGGCAGATGCTGAGCACGAAGCTTGTTGCATAAACCTGTAGATTACTTTCCAGCATGGCATAGCGCAGCGTAGCATAGCATAGCCTAGGCGTTGCGTAAGTTTTGTTTTGTAGAATGGGAAAGCATTCAAAGGTTCGCGTCGGACATGCGCAGCAGCCCGTCAGACATGGGACTGGCGGCCATCTGACTACATCACCCTCGGCCTTGCTGATGCCATTTCCCCCGGTCCGCCCTTCTTGTGACAACACTGGACGACAACTGAGTCCAAGGCACGAAGTTTGAGGACATGCTCACCGCTGAAGTCGATCAAGACAAGAGCGACAAATCCGAGGCGACGAAGGGGAAATGAAGCGGCAGACACACACAGTATCGAGAACTCTAGATAGGCACGGCGTCTCGTGCGAACAATCCAAATCTTTACAGAACGATGGACAGGACTCTAGAACGACAGCATCATCGCATTGCTCCGCAACGCTTCACGACCTCACCGGATAGCCATAAAGAAAGCCCACCACTTCTCCCCCCTCAACTTCCTCATACTTTTCGAGGACCCTTCCCGAATGCTACCCTCCCCTCCGGTAACCCTCTGAGCGGAACCTTCCTAAACAACGTCCGGTCAACAGACCTGAATTCCTTCCGTTCTTTTTCAGGCGGCGCCCCTTTGATTATCTTTCCTTCCTTTCCCAAAATTTCCCGTCAACTCGCCCAGTCAGAGCAGTCATACCCGGAAACGGCTGGAAACGCATTTCTGCGCATGTCATTTCGAAGTCCCTGTACATCGATCGAGAGAGAGAAGATACTGCAACGCCGTGATTCCCCTCGGCAGCGATTCGGATGCGATACCCTCGAGGGCGATACGAGGAGGCCTCCTGATGCGGAAGGGAGATCTTGTGTTTTGGGAGGCCGTGGGCGAGGCATAAGCCGCCGATGCCTGCGCCGATGACGAGGACTGGTGCTTTAGGATGCATAATGCATCCTTATCTGGGAGAGAGCAGATGTGGTGGTGGCGTCAGTAGTCGTGAGATGAATTTGTATCTTGATGACTGGCAAAGTAGGGATTTGAGAAAAGCCTCCTTGCCTTGGCGTGCTCTACATATATCCATCTCTATAGTGTCAATTTTCATTAGCGATCTTGTCTTTTGGCGTCTACGCTTCTGTGGATCGATCCTGTAGAGACAATTTAGATATGATCTCGGATCATTGCTAGGAGAGCTAAACTGGTCAGCCACCGAGGTGGCAGGGTACAGCCAATCAGAGATTCTGAAAGCTAGGGCGCCCGGCTTCACCTGATACCGGAGACACGCGCAATGTCTTGATAGAGAGCGGATCTTAGCCACGCAGCGCACATGTGTTTTGATGACCAAGGTCCGCCATTTACCTGGCTCGAAAATGCGGGCAAAATGCTACCAGATGCTCTAGACTGGATCTAAGTGCTCTGTGGGCCATGGACGCAGCTGGGTATTATGAATGTCCGGCTGACTACTCAGAAGTGGGGAGACGAGATCTATCGTTCAGTCGGCGTCGTCCTCTTCGCCGTCGCTGGCGTCAGAATCGTCTTTGCGTCCCTTCCGAATGGCCTTTGGCTGATAGCCCTCGATGGAACTGTAGTGACCGATGCCTGCTTCAGCGTCGGATGGCTTGAACGGTTTGGGTTGCTTTTCAACTACGGTCTCAGCCATGACTTGGTTGGGTCTCATGGAGTCTGTCTTCTCGCCACGTTCCATGGCCAGCTCTTCGTCCTTGGCCACTTTCTGGCGCCACGCATCGACGCGAGCAGCTCTGTTCGCACGCCGCATAGCTGTTTCAATCTCGGGAGGCTCGTCGTCTTCGTGTAGCCTGATGTCGGGCTGTTGCTCAGGCACACGCTCCCACGCAGGCACCTCACTCAGCTGAGCCTTGACCAGCAGACTCTTCTTGGCGCACGTGTCGCTGCAATAGTCGTTCATGCCTTTCCTGAGCTTCCAGGCCGAGCTAGGTCCCATGGTTTGAGATCGCGGCGGATTGCGGCACAGTGCGTAGCCACACTTGCTGTCGATCCGGCGCTCCTCCACCAGGCTGTCGTAGTCGGATGGCTGGAAGGCTTTGACAAGACTTACGAATGCGATGGCCTCTTTGGTGGTGAAGGTGGAAGTGGCTGGGAAGTCTAGGAGTGTTGTGATGGAGTTCAGTATCGCTGCTTCCACATCTTTACGATGCTGAATTAGATGGGCATGCTTGAGGGCGATGTTCAGGTTCTTCCGATCCCTTTCGACCTTCTCCTTCTGCTCGTCTGCCGCAGTCGGTGTCTTTCTGGCGGGCTGCTTGATGATGGACTTGACGGCAATTCTCCCAGACATGTTTCTGGTGGAGGATGGTATTGTTGTTGTTGATGCAGTATGAGAGAGGGAGGTGGTGGTCTGAAGAAATGCGAGTCATTTCACTAGCGCGGATTAGAGTAGAGCTACGCCATTCACGTGGGAGCTGCAGGTGGTGCCTCAGGCAATCACAGCACAACGTTCAGCGTCATGGTCATTTCCCGCAGTTCGGACGGCAGACCGCTCCACCTCGCGCCAAATGGCACGCTGCTTTCTCTGTTATTACCTACCCAGCTGACCTTTGATAATCAGTCCGCTGGCAGAGCTCACGTTTTCACGAATGTGCTGATACGGAGCATACGGACGCTTCGGAAGCAGCAGGGACGTCTGGCGCAAGATTCAGGATTGCGGTTGAAACTTGCGCGGCCTACTGCTGCTGGCCTGCACATCGCGCCTCGTCCTTACGTCAAGCTGTAGACCGCAGCACTCGTCCGCCCAAACACCAACACCTCTGATCCGAGAGCGCCGTCGGGACGAATACAGGCTTGCTGTCGCGTCGAACAGTACGCCAGCCTATCACTATGGCGTCGCTGTTCAAGGTCAAGGCGCTGTATGACTTCGAAGCTAAGGAAGAGGATGATTTGCGCTTTCCCGCCGGACAGATCATCGACGTGACTGAGGAGGTGGATGAGAATTGGTTGGAGGGCAAATACACAGACACTACGGGCTCCATCCAGTCCGGAATCTTCCCTCGCGAGTTCGTGGAGAAGTACGAGCCACCGCTGCCTGTTCGACCGTCGAGACCGACGAGGCCGAAGCAAGAAGCGGCACCTCTCCCACCTGCTGCTGCACCGGCTCCGGCACTTCCACCTCGAGAAGCAGAGCTCGAAGAAGAGGAGGATGATGATGAACAAGCGCCTCCTGTGCCCGCCACGTCGAAACCTCAGGCGCCACCCGTTGATGTTCCCCAAGCTTCTAGCAAGCACGAGGAGGCCAGATCGGCGCCTTCTGCTACGTTTCTCAAGAGCCCGCCGATGAACAGCGAGCCTCCGCCAGCTCCCAAGCCAACTCCGGCCGAGCCAGCAGCTCAGGCCAGCTCCAAGAAGCCTCCGCCGGTCGCTGCCAAATCCAACGCCTTTCGGGACAGGATTGCTGCATTTAATCAAGCAGCTGCCGCTCCCATAGCGCCAATCGCTCCAGGCGGTGCCAAGCCGTCCTCCTTCATCAGGAAGCCATTCGTCGCTCCTCCGCCAATGGCCAATTCCTACGTGCCACCACCCAAGATCGAACCCGTACACAAGCCCTACATCCGAGATGAAGATCCCGAGATCAGGCGAAGACAGGAAGAGGATCGTGCTGCAGCTGAAGCTGCTGGCCTGACTGCCGATGTGCCTGCCGGGGAAGATGAGGATGAGGATGGTCCACAGCCCACGAGTCTGAAGGAGCGAATCGCGCGCTTACAACAGCAACAGCTGGAACAAGCTCAACGAAGAGCAGAGGGCGGCCAGAAGAAGGAGAAGAGGCCTCCAGCCAAGAAGCCGTCTGAATCCTCGGACCAGGCAGCAGCACTGGCCGAGGACGACGAAGAGCTGGCCAGGGAACGGAGTCAAGAGACAGCCGAGCGACAGTCACTAGCCGAGCGACAGTCACTAGATGTTTCCCGACCATCCCTTGATGCTTCCAGAGAGCGTCCACGCGTTCCCTCTGCTCAGAGACGCCCACAGGAGCCGCTTTCTCCCGTTCCGACAGCACCAGAGCATGAGCTGGTAAGCGATGGCAATGAAGCAGATCAATCTGCTGCAGGAGAAACCACTGAAGATGACGGCGGCACGATTGGTCCAGATGACAGCGATGCTCCTCCTGCTGCGTCTCTGCCACGCGCAGCTGCCGCTCCGAAGCGTGAGCCAGATGTGGGCGACGAAGAGGATACGACCGAGGACGCGGGGAACGACGGAGAGGACAGCATGGACGAGGAGACTCGTCGCCGCATGGAGCTGAGAGATCGCATGGCAAAGATGAGCGGTGGAATGGGTATGGCGGGCATGTTCGGAGGTGGCATGCCAATGCCTGGTGGTGCTCCAAAGAAGCGGTCCACCAAGGAGAAGAGACCAAGCGACGAGACGGCGCCTACCTCTCCTCCGCCTCAACAGAGAGTGCCAATGATACCGGTCCCTGGCATGAACCGCGTCCAAAGTCCGGAGTCGGACAGGACGCAGACAGCTGCTGAGAGGGATGAAGCGGCGGGTGGAGACCGCGATGATGAGGAGCATGTGAAGGCAATTCCTCCATCGCGAAAGTCAACGACCGAAGAGCGTGGAGCTCCGCCGTCGGTACCGAAAGGTGAGTTACAACATGGGCCATTCAGCTCGAAGCGAGCAACTGCTCGTGTAGCCAAGCCAGGTGGCCGTGTCAATCAAGTGCACCTCCGTGGCGCATCTTTGTCTTCAACAGACGGCGCAGAGGACACATTGATGGCACAGAGACCAAGCAGTGAGTTGCGAGCATCGAGCCAGCATAGATATTCCTATCTCCAGTCATTCTTCTTGACTTCCTTGCTGACAAAACTCCAGATTCGCGTCCGTCGATGGATCGTGGGCCTCCGCCACCTGTCCCAAGCAGCAGCGCTATGCCTACTCCACGGCCCACTGCTCCAGAGTCGCGGCCTGTACCGCCTCCTCCCACTGCTCCTCTATCGCCTGGACCGGGCTCTGAATCCGACGATGAAGCGTCACTTCGCCCTGCAACCGGAGCAGAGACGTCTGGTGGAGAGACTCCGGGTCCTTTGCCTACAAGAGCTCCCGGCGCACCTCCTGTGCCAACTAGTGCATCCATTCAGTCTTCCGAGAGCAAGCGGTCATCCTACTATGCCAGTGAATCACAATTAACGACTGCGGAAAAAAGAGCGAGTAGACCTCCGCCTCCTATTCCGGGCAGTCCGTTGATATCTGCACGGCCTCCCCCACCTCCTCCGCCAGCATCAATTCCCAGCCGAAGCGGAACAACTCACGAAGAGGACGAGGAGCGGAGAGAATCGGATTACGAGGGTGACTACGACACTGACATCGCCTCAAGCGCGAAGCACAAAGATGCACTGAAAGCTCACATTCGTGAGCCAAGCCTGGACGACAGCACCACTGGTCCTGAGACACCACTGAGCTCGCCGCCTCAACCGCCGCCTCATGCTTCCGCTCACAGGGCGGTGCCACCACCGCCTCCTTCGCAAGCTCCTCCCAAATCGCGGCCGTCCATGGATGCACCAAGGGCACCACCGCCTATACCTCCAGCTGCTCCGCAATCTATGACTGAAAGCAATGATGACGACTATGATCCGTATCGCTACGATAGCCTGGCAGCGCGAAGTCCGCCCGCGGTACCCGGAGGGTTTCCTGTGGTAGCTCCCCCACTCCCATCTAGAGAGTCCCAGCCAGCACAGGAGAGCTCTGCAGATGATTCATACTCTATAACCCCACCAAGACCCTCGATGGACCGTCCGCCTCCAGCGCCTCCACGGGATAGACCAGTGCCTCCGCCGCCGCAAGAGGCCGCTCCACCCCCAACAAGAGCTCCACCGAGGCAGTCCTTGGACGTGCAAAGGACAAAATCGACCTCTCGGCGCTCTATGGACCAATCCAGACCGTTGGGAGAGAACGGCCAGATTGCAAATGATATTCCACTTGCTGAAGATACGGCGTGGTGGGCTGCGCAATATCCCCTTCCTCCGATTTTGCAGAGCCGCAATGGCGTGGACATCCTCTCTGAGTCGGAGGAGTCCGCGACGCCCAAGCGCGGCGGCAGGAAAGAGGTCTCGAAAGACATCTACGTGCTTTTCATCGACTACAGTCAAACCCACATTAATGCTCGTTATGACGCTAGTAACCCGGCGGATGTTTTGCTGGAGCAAAAGCACCTGCAACCGCCACCGAAGCTGCGGCAAGACCAGTTGGAGGCTTACTGGCAGCGCTTTGGCAAGAAAATCTCCGAAGCAGCCAACTCGCTCGGGCAGAGCAAGAAGGAAAACATTGTCGGCGATGGCTCACCTACCAGCTTCGTGTCAGAGCTCATCAGAACACAGAAGGAAGCTCTGCAACCCGTCGGCACACGTGCTTATGGCTCTCTGGTATACGCCAACCTCGCCAATGCATCTACCATGCAATTTGATGAGATCCGAGCGGGCGACGTGGTGACGTTGCGCAATGCGCGGTTCGAAGGATCTCATGGCGCGATGAAGCACAAGTATAAACAGGAATATGGCACCTCGCATGTAGCGATTGTGGAAGAATGGGACGGGACGAAGCGATCCATCCGAGGCTGGGAACAGGGACGGGAGAAGAAGGATCGAGGGGTGCGGAGTGAGAAGTTTCGACTTGGGGATCTGAAGAGTGGAGAGGTGAGGGTATGGAGGGTTGTTGGGAGGGATTGGGTGGATTGGTCCGATGAGTAGAGTCCCTTTCTCAGCAGAAGATGGAGGAGGAGGAGCGTGGAAAGTGATATGCGTGGGAGTAGGTCGAGGTTCTTTATTGGGGGTGTTTTTGTGGTGGCTGTCGCTGTGTATAGGAAGGAGCATTTTGAGTCGAGGCGTTTTGACTGACTCGGATGATGAATAGGAGACGAAGAAGAGGGAGAAGTCGTGAATACAATTGGGAATGGTAGTAGTTGTAGTATGCAAAGAGGTCTGTTGATAGTAAGTAGTACATGCGATGGAAAGCAAAGTCGTGTGTGTGGGATGGATTGTTCTAGCCTGTGCCAAAGAGTCTTCGCCATCATCATTATCATCATCATTAGATTACCGACTCGGAAGAATTGAGCAGAAAGGTAACAGCGGCCTCCATCCTACCCTCCCTTTCATCAAATTCTCCGTGTCGATCGGTCCGGTCGTCTATTTTCATCGATCCCCGTCGGATGGATGATGGATGCTACATAGGTCATCACGGCTCACCACACCACACCTCACTTGCTCATCACTGCTCATCGCTGACTACTGACTATCTACCTACTGACTAAGGTTCAATACAGCTCCACACCTACCTTATACGGACAGGGATCGGGGGAGAGTGTGATAGTGAGATAGTATCGAGAAGCACGTAGACGCCAAACGGGCAAACCGAAACATACCATTTTTGCATTGAGAGGGGACACACTTTCAATCTCCGGCTCTCTCGGGTCCGAGGCGTTTGTCTTTTTTCCCGAAGCGAAGCGAGGGAGAGGGGGGGGGGGCCGAAAGGGAGAAGGGAAAGTGGGTGTGGGCCTGTCATTTGGATTGTCGGGAACGACGACAACAACAACAACAGACGGAAGACGGAACTTGCCACCGCCGTCGTCGTCGTCGCTTTTGAAGGATATCGGCGAGAAGCGATGGTGGTGGTGGTGGTGGTGGTGGTGGAAAAGCAAGCCAGACTTCCAGCAAGGGGCCAGGTTGCTTGCATCACCTACCTGTCAAAGTCCGCGTCAGGCAGAGGTTAAGGTCCCCCCGGTCGGGACAATCTTGCACCGCTCGCAGGCCACCCTCTTTTCCTTCCTTTTTCTCTTTCTCTCGCCACGGCCTCTCCAGCACGCTGCGCTGCCCCACGAACAAAGTTGTTTGCTGTAGCTGTAGCTTCCGCTGTATCACTTACGAATCCTCCTCAGCTTGCGCGGCCGGCGTCCCAAGAGTCTGGCTCTTCAAGACACGCTCGACTCAGCCGGACTCGGACAACCCATCCATTCCAGCTTGCTAGCTTGCCGGTTGTCGTCACAGTAGTAGTAGTAGTAGTAGTAGTAGTAGTAGTAGTAGTAGTAGTAGTAGTAGTAGTATGCTATTTGCAGCGCATGTTTACTCGTCCACCTCAAATCAAGCTTGGAATACCTTATCTGTGCGCGCGTGGCTCTCCTCGAAAGGAAAGCCTTGCGATCGTGGGACAGACAGACCTCCTCGAGGCAGGTTGCCGTGCAAACATGTTCCAACGGACGGAGGGTGGGTGATCCATACAGTCGGAGGACTCACAGGGTCAGCCTTCAGCCGGAATTTTCCGCTTGTATGTCGAATATGCACCTCAAAGTCTTCTACACGCTGCGCTGCGAGACCTGAAACGTGTCTGGTAGGCTTTGAGCGAATACTGACAAGCAGCAAGCGACCTGACCGGACCTGAGCTGGCATGAAGCATAACTAGTACCCACTACAATAGAGAAATCCCATGGGAGAAGGAGGGTGAGAGGCTACCTGTAAGAGGGCATTTCACCTCTAGGCGGACGCAACGTCAGCGCGTCGAGGGAGTGGAAAGATAAGCAGACGGACACAATGCATCTAGGCGACTCCCCAAAGATCACAGCAGTACGCGGCCGGGCACAAGCAGGCGGAGATTAGTTGGCTGGGTGATCACGAGCCTGAAGATCAAAGCCAGGCTGGCAAGAATTCTCCGAGAGATCGCGTAGGATCTGTGATGAGACTGGCCTCTCAAGTCTCGGCTCACGGGGGGTAGGACGGGGGCAGGCTTGCGACAGATATCCGAAAGGAGGCTCGAAGGATGCCAAGCCTCGTTCTCTCTTCCAACCGTCTACAGAGTGAGTGTCTCACGACGGGACGTAAGCGTTTGAGAATGTCGTCCAACAGTGATGTTGTGATCTGTTGGAGGACCTGGTCGCTGGTGTTGGCATGAATCAACGGAGCGCGGCCGTAAGCAAGCATCGTGATCGGTGCACAGCAGGGAGTTCGTGGAGAGAGAATGCAGTACAGTATGCGCCGTCCACTGGCGCATTCGTTACCCCAGGAGGAAGTGGAGCCGTCGCCATGCGTTACCTCATGTCAAGAAACGTTCAATGCGTTGTATGTCTCCAAGACATGCTTTGAGCACGGACCAATCGTTCACCAGGTCGTACGCTATCGCGATCCTGGAAGGCGCGCGACACCAAAGACGGCACGTGCGGTGGTGAAATGCTCTCACACTCTCGATCGTACTTCGAACGTTCTCCGGCTCTCCAGCACAGGTGGGTGGCACGAGGTGCAGATCTGAGGTAGTCCTGCCGTGCCCTCTCCCAGACGTACCGTACCCTCCGCGTCAGACCCTTCCGATGCCAGGATGTAAAGTTGCAGAAAAGCGAGGTTTCGGAGAGCAATCCTGAAACGTAAGATATCATGAGGACACGAGCAGCTGGCAGCGTGCAGCGATCGGATGACATTGACAAATTTGCGTCTCCGTCGAGGCGAGCAGGCGCGCGAAAAGGGGATTTGGAAATCACAGGATCTACTACTTCCTGCGGAAGCAACGTGGGCTGTGAGTCGCGCAGGTGAGAGCGGGAAGCGGCGTCGTTGGGAAGCGCACGCACGATAGCCACCTGCACACAGCCGGGCGTGTCGGACCGTAAGAAGACCTGCTTCGAGCAAGCAGAGAGGCAATAACGCTACATGTATTCCGGAGCTGACGACACCCTGCCGAATTGACTTGGCGCCGTTTGCCTCGAGTAGGCAGTGCAGGATGAGAGCCGCACGCGGCTAATGATGAAGCGGAATGGACCGGCGGCCACAAGGCGGTTTCAGGATGATCGATGAAATGTCGATGCAGAGCACGGCGTGCCGAGCCATCCAGCCCGACACGCCGAGATGCTCGCCCAGGGGTCGATGGGGAAGAGGATTCCTCGAGCCACCGGACATGATGACGGCAATACAATACAGCCGATTCGGATTCCGCATTGGGCGAGCGGCATTGGCTGCTGCTGCCGAAGGTCACCTTACCCCCCGATTACATGGTCGCCGGAGGATGGGCATCACGTGGGTTTGGTCGCCGTCTTCAGCTTCAGAGATGCCGGGGGGGCCAAAGTGGCGGTGAGAGGGGCGCCGGAGAGTGCCAACGGATCAACTGCAGCCATCCGAGAGACTCCAATGGTTGTGTCGAGGACAACGAATGAGACAAGTCTGTTTGCCCATTGTGGCGACATCAACGCATGGCGTAGCGCCCGCCGCACATGACGAGCAGCCGTCGAGACCGGTGCGGCCAGCTTCATTTCTTTGTCGCCGGGGCTCCAGGGCGTGAAGTGCACTACTTGACACAGTCGCCGGGGCAGATTGGAGGAGAGATGCTTTCGAGCATGGTCGGTATCCAATGGGTGCGCGGCGCGTCAGCAGTTGCGCGCAGTCCGTCTCTGGTTGTCCATCACGACTACTTGCTACTGTGCATGGGCTGCGAGATGGATGATCAGTGAGAGCAGCAGCAGCAGCAGCAACAGCAGCAGCAGCGGCAGCTGAGCGAATCCGGCTGCCTTTGCGCTGGGCCGCGAATGATGAAGATATCTGTGATATCACAATATCGCTCTCGCCAAATCCCGGCAGACTGTATGGGGGTGACAGCCCGAATGCGTTACTGCCGTCGTTCCCCACGGGCACTGCCGATTGGCCCGCACGCGACACCCCCTAGACGGGGACCCCTTATCGGTTGGCTCGGCGGGAGTGCGAGGTGGGAGGGCTGTATCGCCAACCAACAACCCTCCACGACGCCTGCACGCCCGCGCAGGAGGCTGATCAATATGGTTCTGGTTGGGAGATCGAAGCAAGGAGTCTCTGGTCGTCCTGCGCAATACGTGCAGCACTCCACCGCACACGGTCCGGTCCCGCATCACCACCACCGACCTATCTGAAACGGGAACAAGGCAGACTCTCCAGTCTCCACGACGCGGATCACGCCTGCTCCTGCTCCTGCTCCTCCGCCGGCGAGAATGGCGACGACGGCTCAGCATGTCATCATCCTGTCTCCGGAGCGGCCCCCATCGCAGCGCTTCGTCCTGCTCTCCAGGGCGTCGCCGCGCTTCTTGATGCACATCTTGCGCAATGTGGCGTCGGCCGATACATGGACACACTGCTGATGAACTGTCAGCGTTTCGCGTGACTCTCTGCAGCCGCGCCGAGGCCGCGTTGGAGAGTCTTTGTGACAGGTCGATTGTCACGATGCTGAGTCCGGCCTGCTTCCTGGTACTCGCCGGACTAGCCTCGTCGCAACGACTTGCGTGCACTGCACCGGCACCCGGGCCGATCGGGTGAGGCAACAGGGCATGATTTTGGTAGGCTCACCCAACGACCCGTACTGCATGCTGCGCCAATCCTTCAAAGCGTCCTAGGGACGATCATACACACCGGACTGGAGGTGGAGAGGATCCTCTCTCGATCAATCGTGCACGGTCGTCCTGCTGCCTGTCGGAGCCGTGCGCACTGCGGTGGATCCGCCCAGATCAGATGAGTGGCTCGCACGGCAGTACGCCGTTCTTCTTCTGCTTCTCAGAGCAACGGCAATAGCAGCACGCAGCACGCAGGAAGCGAAGAGTCGGTCAAGTCAGTCAGGCAGGCAGGTAGGCAGGTAGGCAGGTAGGCAGACTGTCCGGCCCGGCGAGATTCAACATCCGCAAGGAGCGGTGCCTGACTGTCCATGCAACGATCGCGGATCCCTTCGCATCCTCCTGACATCGGGCCAACGTAATAGGGAGCCCACATTGGGTGGGAGCGGGCTACAGATGCAGCTTCCCACTGCGACCTGCGAGGTGGCAGTGTGGCCTGAGCGTTCCCTTTCAATAACACGATCAATACTCTGAGGCTGGACCCCCTCGAGACCCAGCCAGCTGGTAACGAACGATACTAAGCTGGGTAGTCATTTTCTGCTGTCGGCCAAGGTCGGTCATGACGCCTGTAGAAGAAGGACACGAAGGCCGGCTACCCCCTACCAAGTAGCCGCGGCCTTGCTGTCCTCTTTCCAAACACCATCATCTCGACCCGTTGTTGACATTTCAAACGGTCCCCCGGAGCAGATTGAATCTCGGTGGTGCTGCTCTTGCTCCGCCCTCGACCTGCTGCTGCTGCTGCCACCCTAACAGCGCTTCTTTGTTCACAGCCTCACGTCTGCTACGCCCGCCACAGGGCAATCTTACGCGGGTGTCACGAAGATCCTCCACTAACGTCCCTCCAAAAGGCACGGCAGCCTCCTGCGGATCCACGCGACCTCGACGACCGCTGGACGACGACTTATATCGCAGTCCGGAACATTGCCTCCTCGCGACAATCCGCTGTTTTACGGGTCCACGCACACGGCGGGAGGCTCGACGGCCATTACTCCGAACCAGATCTGCTCTTGCGCACCGGTACGACATTGTGCGCAGAGGGATTGCTCAAGAGAGCCGTTGCGGTCAGTTCAGGCAGAAGCAGGTACCGTCTCCACCCTACAGGTCAGTCACAGCCTCCCCCATCCGCAATCGTGACATGCGCAGAACAACAAGCGCGGGTTCCGTTGCGGCGACGAGCGAGTCGCGTTGGATGGCGATGCCCTCCACTGCATGACACGCCGACCTGGACGTATGCGGTGAGGGGCCCCACGCCAGCGGCGACAAGCAACGCGCATCGAGCTCGCCAGATTACGGTCTTCTATTGGGGCACCGGTGATCTGCGCGCGACGGCAGAAGGGTGCGCCCGACGAGTCGCAGTCTCGTGGATTGTAGCAACTCTCTGGACCGTGTCGCATGGAGTCTTTCCTGGGCGACGAGAATGATGGTTGCCAGCGGGCTGACACGCGGCCACAGATTGCTCTCGAGATTTGCTCGGATTGGAGCTGAAGTCGAAAGAAAGACGACGACGGTCGCGTCTCTGAACTCAAACCCGCCTTTGAGTGTCGGACCGCGGGAAGTCAGCGCCTGGCACCGCTGCAAGAGCGTCGAAAGCGCCTTCCTCATTCGTCCATCTGCGAAGCCGAGCGACGAATTGCGACCGGCCCGAGCCCGACCGCCATCAAGCTCAAGCTCGGCGCTAATCCGCGAGCCAAGCCCGGCCAAGCCAACAAGCGATACATACAGCAGTCAAGTCAATTGAGGGTGAGGTTCGAATACAGCGACCGTTCGAGGAGCGGATCGATCAGATCGGATCGGATCGGATCGGATCGGATCAGATTCAACACTGCGCGACGCCGAATCCACCAGGCTTGCCATTTCACCGCGCGCGCCCTTGAATGCCCTCGGGTGCAACGCCTCAGGCTGTCAAGAAACAACGAGCGCAGCCATTAAATACATGGGTTCTGCTGTCTTGACCATGGAACAAGGTGAGCTCCACCCCTTTCCCACTGACCCCGGGGCGTGCATCATTGCCGTACATTGCTCGTATCCACCCGTCACCGCCGATTGCATTCCCTCTCAACACCACCAACATTCTATTTGAGCGTTTCGTTTCGTTTCAACCAGCGCGCTGGATGCCAGATCTGCCTCTGCCTCTGCCTCTGTTACGTGCGTGGTGGAACGTTGAGCGAGCACTCTGTATTCACGTGCGAAACGGCCAGCTCCCGCTCGTCCCAATCAACTACGCAGCCCGACATTCCTGCATGCTCGTTTTCGACGTGCAGTGCTCGCGATGCGATGCATTGAATTCTTTGTTACGCTGCTGCGGCCTGACAGGACCTGCTAACGTGTTTGCACAGGCGCCATTCTCCAGCAGCAGATGCCGCTCCACGATTACACCCTCTCCTCGGACCACGACTACAGCGATCAATATCCGGGCCATGCAAACCATCAACCCTACGCGACGGGAGGCGCCGCAGACCATCACATGCGACGCGATGGAGCTGCTGCTCTGCAAGCTCCAGCTCCTTTCGCATTCACGGCCGCCAATAGTGCGAATGGGGCTCGCTACGTCCCGGATCGCAGCGACGCCAGCAGGTGAGTGCATCTCTCTCATTGGTTCCTCCGCTCACTGCATACGCCCCGTCGTCGTCACGGCCCGGCTCTCTGACCATCCTTGCCGATGCGTTGCCTGGTGCCCACCCATCCAGCGGCAATTCGCCGTGGGTGTGTGGTTCGCGGCGTGGTCGCTGAGCTGCGCTGCGCTGAGCTCTGTCGCGCATCGGCCACCCGCACGCCCTCGGCCTGGGGTCGTACAGAGACCCGGCGTATTGGTCCCCCAATCATGCTGAGACGCGCGAGCTCTCCACGCCGATCACACGACAAATTATATCATCCGCCTCGCTGCTGAGCTGCTGGAGCCTTGAGGCCTGAACGGCCCTCGCCGCTCCCCTAGCCCTATATTGTCATCCGCTCGACGTTACACACCATCACGCTTTCCCTCCCTCCCTCCCTCCTACCCACCCTCCACCTCTTCACACCGACAGTGCACAGTACTCGGGCCCTCGGGCGATGGCAGAGTAGGCTGACATCCATTCTTATTGTCTCTAGCTATCAGACGGCATCCAACAATTACACCGACTCCAACAGCGGCGGCTCCATCTCCACCAGCCCATCGTCAGCCGCGTCGTCGCTGGCTTACACAAACTATCAGTCGAACCATTGCACAAGCGTTCCCAGCTTTCCAGCACCTGTGCAACTACCCCAGTCGTTCGTGCCAACGTCCTATGCCACTTCTCGGGGGCCGCACATGTAAGTTTCGTCCGGCGCACAGCGCCAGCCGCACATCACTGGCTGTCTCGCACAAGCTCACACATGGTTGACAGTTCAGACAGCACTGGCTCGAGCATGCTCCCGCCCCCAAACCCTAACCGATCACCGATATCAAGCCCATCGAATGCAATCGACCGTGAGGCGTACGTGAGCTCGACACCGTTCTTAGCTCGATCTCAGCCCGGCTACGGATCCTATCCAGACACCCCCCGAAGTACTCTACCTCTCGCTGGCCTGTCACTGTCAAACACTCCGGCTCACGCCCACTACGCCAACGGTAACGGTCACATGTCTTCGCCTGGCTACAGCGCGCAGAATGACTGCGGCAACTTTCCCTGGCCCAATCTGGAGGTCCACGCTGACATGACCTGCAACAACACCGCAGTCACACCCGAGGTCTTCGCCAAAGTCGAAAAGGGCTTCTTCCGCTCCACCGTCGACAACAAGTGGACCTGCTATCGACGCAACTACTTTTCCGTGCAATGTAACTACGAGCTGCGGCCGAACATCGACAATGCGCCCATATACCTCAAGCGGAACAATAGTTCGACCACCGAGATGGTCCAAGCAATGGGCATGCGCTTGTCCGCTGCTGTCGACGGGTCTGGTGGGAAGAGTATCGAGTTGGTGCAACACACTCCGAAGCGTGACAATGGGCCCAAGAACAAGATCGAGATTGTCCGGGTCGCTCCCACACCAAGCCCGGGACGGGGTGACCACGTCTCACCACACGGAGGAATCTACTCAGTACCTCTGTCTGGCTTCCATGCCACAGGTCACGTTCCGGGACCTCGCCTTCCTCTCCAAAACACACCCGATCCCAATTCCTCTTCGTCGACCAGCACGCAGACTTCACAGCTAGCCGGCACGTACCAATACTCTGCAGCAGGAGCACCACATATGCCCATGCCAGGCTCACAGCACACACATAGCTTTGAGCGCGTGCAGTTCAAACAAGCGACTGCGAACAACGGCAAGCGGCGCGCATCGCAACAATATTTTCACCTCATCGTCGAGCTTTTTGCAGATGTGCGGGAAGAAAGCGCTAAGCAGCCGGTTTGGGTCAAGGTCGCCCATCGAGTCAGTGAGAAGATCGTTGTCCGTGGAAGGTCTCCGAGCCACTACGCCAACGAGGGACAAAACCAAAGCGGTAGTAGAACGGGTAGCTCTGGCGGCAGCAGTGGATACGCTGGTGGTATGATGGGCGGCTCAAGCTACACTGCAGTCGCCAATACACCAGGCTTCCGTGCCTCTATGTCCAGCCACTACGGAGGTCCTACAGGCGGGTATCAGCGTTCCAAGAACGCCTATGGCGGATTCCATGCTTCTCCTGAGCACTCGGGCAGCAGCGCGTCGAGTGTTGACGGTGGTGCAAACGACTCCGATTATCCTGCGGACGCAGTCATGTCTGATGCCGAGAGGAGCGACATCCAGGGTCATGACGGTTACCGATACTATCCAGGCCCTCTCTATGAGAATGTCCCGTCTGTCCAGGGCGGGCTTCCACTGCCCAAGATCGAGAGTGGTGCTCGATTCTCCACGGACCCTTCCTCATGGGCCGTCAAGAACGAGTATTCTGACGCCGTCGGCGGAGCGCCTCAGTGGCCAGTCAGCAGTGTGAGTAGGTTCCAAGGCGTCGATTCCAGTCGTGGGTATTTCCCAGACTTGACGGCCAACTACTCATGACCATCACTGCCTACAAGGTCTTCACGCCTCTCATGACCTACCTTCAAAACATCTTGACGATAGGAGACGGTGGCTTTCCTATGTCTTCGCATTCAGCTCCGTTGGTCAACTCATCCCGAAGACATCAACCAGCGGAATTGCGCTGGCCGCTTCTCTACTGTTCGATGACAACGACTGCGTTCTCTTCATCACAGATCACCATCTCCCACCCGCCATTTTTGGAATCATGCGCTTCTTCCCAAAATACCCCACGGCAAGAAAGGAATCAGTATTCGTTTAATCACCGGGATCCAATCGGACAGAACCGACAACAACAGCAGCGGAGTTTTTCCGGCGTTGCCCTTTTCTGCGCTTCTTTTTTCAAAGTGTGGCATTTGCATGGTTTGCATCACGGGTTTACGATAAAGAGGAGGGACATTAGCCACCCCTTTCCAAAACTTGCTCCGTACATGGGGGCAGGCAAGAGGGAGGCGGGGGAAACAGCGAAACGGCGTTTCACCGAGTGTGTGTGGGGAGTTTCTAACGGCCAGAGAGAAAGAAAAAACGGGGATTCCATTCATCATCATCATCAACACTCACTCACTCCTTTATACTTTTTCTTCTCCCCTATTAGTGTGTATGCATGAGAATAGAAAGACAGAAGACAGAAGACAGAAGACACCCAGGGGGACAGGGAACAGGGAACGGAAACGGAAACGGGAAAAACAGGATTGAAATGTGCCAAGTATACGACAGCGGGGAACCAAAAAAGACCAGGATTGATTGATTGAATTGATTGAGTTGATTGGATTGGGAAAGAAATAGTATGAAGAAGAAGAAGAAGAAGAAGAAGAAGAAGAAGAAGAAGAAGAAGAAGAAGAAGAAGAAGAAGAAGAAGACGGAAGACCCTTGCTGTCTGTTGTACGGAAGGAAGGGGACCGACAGGGGGGGGGGAAGGGGGAGGGGGGGGAAAGATATTAATGTGGCGTTGGGTCAAATGGCGTGATATGAATTTTGAGAACGGGAAATCAAGCTGAGACACGACGGAAATGATGATGATGAAGGATGAAGGATGGATTGGATTGGATTGGATTGGATGATAAGTCGGACCTTTTTTTTGTGGACATCTGGTCGGGCCCGACTTGTGTATGAAGTCTTTGTGTGTGTGTGTGTGTGTGTGTGTGTGTGTTTCGGTAGCCTCTTTTTTTTGTGTTCGCTTTCTTTCTTTCTTTCTTTTTTGCTGTCATCTATGATATCTATCATATCTAGCTGTCGTTTTTGAAATGAAGGGTGGCCCCCCGATTTTTTCAAAAAAAAATTTGAAATCTCAAGCTTTCTTTTGGCTCCTCTCTCTCTCTCTCTTTTCCAGCCATCATCATGCAGCAAAATTTCTCCTTTTTCAGTAAATCTTCTCCCCGCCATGACTGACCCCATACTCCAACCTGCCCAACCGATCCGTCAAGATCTCCTCTGTCAATCGCCACAATCTCTCCCCCAATGCCTCATCCTCGGCCTGCTTCGAAACGTCCGAAACCTTGCCATCGGGAACGAGGTACTGCCCATCGATCTTCTCCTCGTCGACCTTGGCACTCGTAGCGGCGAACAGGGCGCTCCGACACCCTTCATCCAGCGGCTCCTTCATGAAAGGCCGCACGGCTTTGACGCCGATCTTGCCCAGCGTGCCGTAGGCTTCGACGGCCTGTTCCGGCTGATCGGTCGACACGGCGCCCGGGTGCGTGGCGTTGATCCAGGGCGGCGCGTTGGGGCGGAGGCCGAGGGCGGACGTCTGTTTGCGGGCATGGAAAGCGCGGACGAGGAGGATCTGTGCGAGTTTCGAGCGGGCGTAGAGGTTCAGGGGTCCGAGGTCTTGGTTGATCTCGGAGAGGAATTGGAAGTTTGTGGAGGAGGAGGGGGCCGCGGCGTGGAGGGAGGAAGACTGCAGGACGAGACGGGAGGATGGGGTGGCGAGGAGGAGGGGCAGGAGCGTCATGGCGAGGTGATGTTGTGCGAAGACGTTGACTTGCATGTGTGTGTCGATTCCATCTTTGGACATCTCGTAGGGTCCGACTCCCAGGCCGGCATTGAGGATCAGGGCGTCCAGACGGGAGAGTTTGGAGCTGAGATCTTTGGCTACTTGATCTGTATCTTTGAGATCGGCGAGGTTGATTTGGGCCGGGTGGAGTTTGGAAGTGTCGCCGTAGGATTTCAGGCCTTCGGATGCTTCTTGGAGATGTTCTTCTTTGTTCCCGAGGAGGTAGAGAGCGGCACAGTTGTGTTGGAGGAGATGTGCGCAGATTCCATAGCCGATGCCAGCGCTGCCGCCCGTCACGACGTAGACTTTGCCGCTGAGGTCGGGGACGTCGGTGTTGGGGTCGAATTTGTTGGAGAACATGATTTTGGATGATTCAAGGGTGTAGGAGAAGACGAAATAATGAAGAGGGTAAGAAAGATACCTGAAGATGTATCCTCCCTCACCCAATGTCTCTTACCCTTGCTGACATCATGATGTACTTGGATTGCCACGACCACGAAGCTTTTTTTGATGGCCATGTTGCCGTGTCTGGCGTCAATCCAGCTGGAGAGTAGGTTAGAGAGGAGGTGTTCGGTCAGGCAACTCGCACAATTCACACTCCGATTGGCCATCGCGGGACATCTTGGCCTTGTCGCATGTGATTTCGGGAGGCGAAGTCCAAGTTGACTTCGGTTCAAGGTCTCAGATCTCTTCAGATTGACTTCCCGCCTCAAACCTTGATAGCTACGCGAGCCGAACCGTAGTGGCCGCAGTCGATCATCACTCCACCGTCGTCAGAGCTTCGAGTCGAGTCGAATCGGTCGACTTTCAAACTCAGGTGGAATCTCACAATCACGCGAGCAGACAAACATGGCGAAGCAGGCCATACCGGACGACTGGCTGACCTGGGCCTTCTCGCCAAGCTGGTCCGCGATTCTGGTCACTCTCCTGGTCTCTCTATCACTCCCAGTCCTCCTTCACTGGTACATTTATCGCAAAGCTTCCCAGAAGGAAATAGCCAGCATTCTGCTCGTCGGGCCAAGCGGTGCTGGCAAGACGAGTCTATTGACTCTGGTACGCAGGCAGAACTACGCTGGTATGAAGGAATAGCAGGCTAAGACATCGACAGTTCGCGAACGGCACAATCTCAACAACCCGCACCTCGCAAGAGCCCCAGACAGCACTCGTCCAGCTCCCCTCAACGACCCGATCGAAAGACGACCGCTACCGTTCCGAGAACGACACCTCCTCCCGCTCCCAACCCAAATTTCACCTCGTAGATACACCCGGCCACGGCAAATTACGCCACCATGCATCGACGGCCGTCTACAGCCGCACTGCCATCCGAGGAATCCTCTTCGTCGTAGACAGCGCTGCGGTGAGCTCTCCCACAGGCCTCACAGAAACAGCCGAATATCTCCACGATATACTATTACTCCTGCAAAAACGGCACACACAAGGCAAAACTTCCAAAGGGCCTGCATCGATACCTGTCCTGGTGGCAGCGAATAAGCAGGATGTCTTCACTTCGCTGCCAGCTGGTCTGGTGAAGTCCAAGTTGGAAGAGGATATTGGAAGGATACGGGCGACCAGGAGTAGAGGGTTGTTGGATAGTGGTGTGGCCATGGACGATGGTGGTGGCGTCCGAGGAGGAGACGAGGAGCAGAATTGGTTAGGAGAGTATGGCTCCAAGGAATTCCGATTCGGGCAGATGGAGGAGCACGGTATCGACGTGAGAGTGGTCGGCGGGAATGTCAAAGGGGAATCAGACGGAGAAGCCGGTAAGGTAGATGAGTGGTGGAGTTGGATAGGTGAAAATCTATAAACAGAAGAGCAAGATACCTCTCACCCGAAAGCATAGAAGGGTCATCATCACCGCTAGGAACGCGTCCACTCCTCGTCAGAACAATCAACCAGCGTGGCGATACGAATCATTCAGCCCGTCAGGCCGAGCCTTTTTACGGGTGAGAGCTCGTGGCTCGACACTGGTCCACTCAGTTGGAGGAACAGTTCCTGCAGCGGCAGTAGTCGTCGCGGTAGCATTTGGAAAGCTACGATTGGTAAGGTAGATCGACCCGCAACGCCGCGAATCGCACACTCAGTCGTTGCAGGTGTGCGCCAAACTTCGAGCCCGAGATGCTTGTAGGTGAACTCGGACCTCGACTATCTTCAAATCTCGTTTATATCTGGTGCTGTCAGGATTGACATGGTACCCCGAGTCAGAGTCTCCAGACAACAATCCTCGGGCTTCTCGCATGCATGACTTGCCATTCCTGCCACGAAGTCCCTTCGCCTGGCTGGAATTGTATAATTCGGTGGTCCCGACGGGGAAACATTGTGCAGGTGTTGATTCGAAGGTGCAGTTGCCCTTACTGGTCCCTCCCGTGTCTTGAGCTTCGATTGGAGATGCTGGCACGTCGGGGAATGAGGCCAGGCTGGCAAGCAGATCTCGGTCAGTGTGGTCTTCCACTGCGTCTCTCAGAAATCCGTTTAGGGCACCTGGTGTACTGTGAAAAGATAGATTCCGGGTTGTGTGTCGGGATGGTGTACCGCGTATGGGTATGCTTGATGCTATGACGAGCTGCGGGCTCGAAGGATATGTAGACGAACTTCTCCGGGTACGACGGGCATGTTGATTCCAGCAAAACGAGAGGGTTCTATCTTTTGAACTATTCTGCTCGCGAGTGCACGGCTAGTGGCGGTGCACCCATGGGCAGTTCAGAGATGCAATCGCTTCGATAACGCTGGTCTATGATAGCTGCGTGGGTACCTCTCAAGACACAGCCCGTTCGCTTTGCCCCATTCAGTCGTCGAATGTGTCGGGGCTGAGAACGGTATTGAAACACTAGCCATGCTGTGTGGATTTCATTTAGGCGGTGCCGCTAGGCAATACTGGCGGCGATGTTCGATAGAGTAGCTATACAAATAGCTCTGCACGCCTCCAAATAGAATCGGACTGGCATGTGCCCAAACGAGGTGGAGACGATGTCAGAATGTCGCAGTCGTCTGTGACAGAGCCAGGTCGCGAGCGCCAGAATCTCATGACATGGGCTCGTCTTGCAAGGCTCAGGGTATTGTCAAGCCATCGCCCATCAATTTCTGAATCGCAAAGCATTCCCACGCGTTTTGATCATTCTTCCTCCAGCGCATAACAAAGTAGCCCTCCCTAGCTCCAAATTCAATCTCTCGTCCACTCATATCCTTAGCCAAGCCGCTCATAGTCCTCATCAAGAACGTCACATCGGCATGGCTTTGGTTCCTGCTCACACTGGCCGAGTAAGTCACACTCTCGAGATAGAAGCCGGGTTGTTCCTGTATTCGTCGGTGGAAGTTGGCGATGTTTCGAAGATGGTCTTCCAAATTATCCGAATAGCCGATGTAGCATGGGTGGTTTGGAGAGCTAATCCAGCAGAAGTCTGGAGAGCAGAGTGCTCGCAGGACTCCGTCGTTCTTTGGTCCGGGAGTCAGATGAGCCTGACACAGCGCATGCGATAGAGCTTCTAGATGGGATCGCAACGCCTCCTGATCGGTAGTTGACTGGACCTCGTTGGTATGATCATAATGATTTGTCGCAGGAAAGCAGGAGAAGAGACCCGGCAGTGTAGACTCCTCGAAAGATTGCATAACAGCCATGATGCCGTTGCAAATATGAGAGGAAAATTGGTCCTTCCAATGCCAGAATTCGGCATTCAGCTCTTGTATTCTTCGAGTGTCGACCAATGGTCCATAGATCCTGAGCTGAGGCTGAGGAGCCCTACAGCCCCAGAATGCGAAGGATCCGGCAGCCCATTTGGGCATCCTACAGGACGCATGTTGTCAACCCATCGCCTGCGAGTTTCTCAATCGCAAAACATTCTCAATATCCGTCGACATCCCTGGGCGTTGCGAATGTGATCTTCAAGATTGTCCAAATTAGCACGGGGTCGAATCGGGATGGTAACGGGAGAAGACTTCCGAATAGAGCTCCCGAAGAGTATTCTCCCTTTGGAGGCCTGGAGTAAGATGCGCTCTCTCAAGACGCGTTTCCAACGATGATAATACGGCAGTCGGAAGGAGACCGTGCGTGATGTGGTCGTAGTGGACCATCTGGAGAAGAGACGAGCCATGGTCCAGATTCGAAGAGCCTGGGCAATGCGTTGATGGACTTTTCCATCGAAAAGCCTTCCACATCCCATCAACACCACCACCACCACCACCACCATCCCAAACCTCACACCCCCTCCCCCTCCACCCCCATCATCTCCCCCGTCCCAATCAACCCGCTCTCCAAAAAATAAAAAACCCCCTCCTCCCTCCCCCCAGCCTGTCCCGCCTTCCCCTCAAAATGACAAACATCCAACCCATACCCAAAACAAACCCCACACCGTGCGCAAGTCATCAGATAGCGCTTTTCGAAACCATCTTCCAGCTTCAAGATCACGGGCTTGCTGCTACTGCTTGATGAGATTTCGATGGAGTCGGTGAGGTGGAGATTGGAAGTTTGGCAGATGTAGGCTCCGTCGCTTTGACGTTTGGGGAGGTTTTGGAGGGGGGTTTGCGTTGTGGCTAGGAGGAGTTCGCTGCAGATGCAGTGGTATGTTGTGACTGGCATGACGCTTTTGGGCTGTGTTAAGAGGGATGAGGGTGATCGTTGCGTGAGGTGGAAAGAGCGAGATCGAATTTGAGGTTCGAAGCTCTCAACTTCATGCCTGAGGCAAACATCTCAACGCTCACAGTCTTCACTACAGCACTGAGTACTGACATCTGAAATAGATTGAAGGGTCCCAGACTTTCAGTATGCATTTACATTACAGTCACTGTCACGTAGATAAACTTCTGCGATGCATGTACATCTATGCAAGATGAATGCCCTCGATCTTTCTGCCGTAGCTAGTGGTGTCGTCAAACCAGCTGTACAAAATACCCTCGCTGAAACGCCGCGCCTACCAACGCCTAACCATGCTTCCTGTGCCATGTCTTCTTGAACGCTAAGTTTTGCCAAGGAGCAGAGCTTCAATCTTTCCATCGGGCCAAGAACTTTGCCATGTCGCCGGTGGGTTGTGATTGTGCGGCAGCCTATAAGCAAATTAGCATTGTACCTGGGGTAATGACCAGAAGAAGAGACGACATACGGTGTTTTCCTGACTGACGACCGAGAAAGTCTGACTCGCTGTTATCGTCGTCTGAATGGTCGGTGTCCCCAGCCAGGTCGTCGCGATAGTATAGGCGCTCGTCGAATACATGGGCGTGAAGTTCTTCATCGTGATCTTGGTCGGCGGGACTTTCTGCATGGGTGCGTACTTCGTGAGACCCGTCTGGAGCGCATATGGCACTGTGAATTCTCCAGTACCCGCTGCAGTTGTGTCCGCTGCGGCTGCATCATTCGCAACGTTATTAACAGTATCTGGTCCCGCTGTGCCCGACACTGCCTTGGCGGCCGTTTCGTACTCTGATGGTGTCGTGCCCGTCATGGAGGGAATGCTGAAGCGATCGGAGTAGTTCTCGATCGTCCCGCCTTCTTTGGCAACCGAAGTCATCTTGAAGTAACTGTGTGGCCGACATGTCAGGGCCTTGCCGGAGCAACAAGATAACAATGATACTCACAATCCATTCGCAGTCGGTCCTGCCGATCCCGCTACAATAGTACCCTTAACACTATTGCCCGACGAGAAAGTGCCAGTACTTGTAATGGTGGTCAAAGCCAACTGAAAGAAGGACCATCCAGTCAGTACAGCGTATACCCTGAAGCCCCAAACAATATCCCTGCCTCATATCGACTGCGTCCCTTCTCTTTCTTCCCGGCTATATGAGCGTCACTCACCGAATTACTGTCACTGTTTCCTCCAACCATCAATTGCAGCGTGTACGTCGTCAAATCGTCAATACTTGGCGAATCCCCCGAATCCTCCCATGATATCGTCACTGATCCCGTGCTCAAATCCGCTCCTGCAGCAGGCGATGTGAACTTGACCCATGCGACAACATTTGCAGGAGCTAGAAGAAGTGTCGCGAAAAGGAGATCGGAGAATCGCATGGTGGGCGGGAACAGCAAGGTGAGAGCGCGGTTGTTACGTTTCGAGCGCGGCGGTTCAGGGAGAGAGGTTTCGTAGCTGGTGTCGCGGTAAACGAGCGTGGGGGTTTGCGAGTATTAGTCTGCGTATGTGAAGAGTGGTGGACGTTTGCAGGTGCGATTCTATGTCCACGACGACAATCGGGGGAGTCGAGGAGGCGTTGTTCCTGCATGCGCTAAGGTCTCGCTTGCATGGGAGCTAACGGTCCGAGCCTAAGCGCGAGACCCCGTCTCGGCGCGGGACGGGCGTTGCCACGTGAGGTGAACAAGTATATTGCCTCAAGAACTATTGGAAGAGCCAGAACTGGGCCGAAACAAATAACAAATTCGTACAAGACACATTTCTCTCACTAAATTTCGCAGACACACTACACTGGCGCTGGCAGACCGCGAGCATCTCTACCACTCAAGCGGCTCCGTCTTCTCCTCCCCACGGTTGGTCTTGGGCACTGGAGCGGCTTCCACTTTCACAGCTCCAGTTCGGTGCCTAGACAAGTATCCAGAACCATCAAGCCAGGGCGTCTCCTCAGTCCTGCGCTTCTCGAATTTAGTGATCTTCTCGTTGTCTTGCATGGTCAGGCCGATGTCGTCTAGCCCGTGCAACAAGCAGTGTCTTCGGAACTCGTCGGTCTCAAACTTGGCCAGCTCCTTGCCAGACGCGTCCTTGACGACGTTGTTTTCTAGGTCAACCTCAAGCTCTCGGCCGGCATTGGCCTCGTCCAACAGTTTCCGCACGACTTGTTCGTCCTCGATCCTCAGTGGCAGCATGCCATTCTTGAAGGTGTTGTTGTAAAAGATGTCACCAAAGGATGTGGCAATGATACACTTGATGCCAAAGTCAAGCAAAGCCCAAGGAGCATGTTCTCGTGACGAACCGCATCCAAAGTTAGGGCCGCCAACGACTAGGATCTTAGCTTTGGTATAGGGTTCTTGGTTCAGAACGAAGTCTTTGTTGAGGGTGCCGTCGTCGTTGAATCGCCACGCATGAAAGAGGCCCTTCGACAGACCAGCACGCTTAATGGTCTTCAAAAACTGCTTGGGAATGATGGCATCTGTGTCGACGTTGCTGCGGTCCAGAGGCGCAGCAATGCCCTTCAATTGTGTGAACTTGGGCATTCCGGGCGCAGATGTGCCGGACGGAGCCTTTGACTGGGGATTGTTGTTCGATTCAGGGACGTCCATGATCTTGTCCAGATCGACGTCTGAGTCTGGATCTTCGACGTGCGTTGCAACTGTCTTTGCTGCGGTCTTGGCGCTAGGCAGGGCTTGTTCGTAGCCGGCAAGATTCCTTACATCCGCAAGCTTTCCGACAAGAGCTGCAGCTGCTGCCATAGCTGGCGACATCAGGTGTGTTCGACCACCCGCACCCTGTCTCCCTTCGAAATTGCGGTTGCTGGTACTTGCGCACCGCTCGCCAGGAGAGAGAATGTCGGGGTTCATGCCCAAGCACATAGAGCAGCCAGCCTCTCGCCACTCGAATCCAGCGTCAGTGAAGATCTTGTCGAGACCCTCCTGCTCGGCTTGCTTCTTGACGAGACCAGATCCTGGAACAACCATGGCGCGCTTGAGAATGGGCGCTATCTTGTTGCCCTTGATAATGTGAGCGGCCACGCGGAGGTCCTCAATTCTGGAATTGGTGCAGGAGCCAATGAAGACCTTGTCCAAGACAATGTCCGTCATTGGAGTACCAGCTGTGAGGCCCATGTACTCCAAGGCGCGTTCGCATGCTTGCTTCCTGGCCTTGTCCTCAAAGTCGTCTGGTCCAGGAACTTTGCCAGTGATGGGAATCACATCCTGCGGCGATGTACCCCAAGAAACAGTGGGCGCGATATCCTTCGCATCAATCAAGATCTCGGCATCCCACTTCGCATCGGGATCGCTCTTCAGGCTCGACCAATGCTTGATGGCCTTCTTCCATTCGGCCGAGTCTTCCTTGGGGGCCAGCGGCTTGCCCTTGATGTAATCGAAAGTTATCTCGTCTGGCGCGACCATGCCAGCGCGAGCGCCTCCCTCGATGGACATGTTGCACATGCTCATTCTCGCCTCGATACTCAAGCTTCGAATAGCGGATCCACAGAATTCAATAACGTGGCCAGTACCACCAGCAGTGCCGATCTTGCCAATGACATGAAGAACAATGTCCTTGCTGCTGACACCTGGAGCGAGCTCACCATCCACCTGGATCTTCATGTTCTTGCTCCTCCGGGTCATGAGGGTCTGCGTAGCAAGGACATGCTCCACCTCACTGGTTCCAATGCCAAAAGCCAGAGCACCGAACGCTCCATGGGTGCTGGTGTGCGAGTCGCCACAGACCACCGTTGTCCCGGGCAAAGTGAAGCCCTGCTCAGGTCCAATGACGTGGACGATACCTTGTCTCTTGTCGCCAAGACCAAAGTAGGTCAACTTGAAGTCCTTTACGTTCTGCTCCAAGGTCTCGCATTGTAATCTGCTATCATCCTCCTCGACGAATTGGCTGATATTCTTGAAGTTCTTTCGCGGTGTGGTTGGCACGTTGTGGTCTGTTGTCGCAAGAGTGCAGTCTGGTCTCCTCACTTGTCGTCCGGCATTCTTGAGGCCCTCGAATGCTTGGGGACTTGTAACTTCGTGGACTAGATGTCGGTCGATGTAGAGGATGATTGTGCCGTCTGGCTTTTCGTCGACCTACAAACAAATGTCAGACCCCGCTTTCCCAGTACTTCCATATGCTACTCACGATATGCTGCTCGAAGACTTTGTCGTACAAAGTACTCGGGCCCTTGATAGCTCCAGGCATTGTGGGGGTATTTCGAACTCCTCTTCGCTTCTTTCCAATTTATCCAAGTTGGCGGATGTGTCTCTTATATGTGTGGGGGATGAAACCTTTCGTGAAGTAGCTGACAAGACGACAAGGTCGAGAGGAGGAATCAAGAAAACAGCAGGCCAAATGACACAGGACCGGATAGATGTGATCTCCATTTGCGAGTGCGATATCGGCGAATGTCGGACAAGCAAGAAAGCGTCAGCTGTGATTGGCTGCGTGGTCGTAAGGACTCGCAGCCCCGCGATCGCCGTCATCTCGCAGCGGATGCGGTTGCCGGGGTCACGAGACGTCGAAGCTGCCCATCTCGAGATGGAGATCAGTCCATGTACCTCCATCACATAGATAGAACGCTGTGCAATCCATCCATCCATCTATCCCAACAAAGCAAAGCACTTTGACGATGAAGCTCCTCTCCACCCTACTCGCATCCACCTCCCTCGCCTCCGCCATCAACATCCCCAGCTTCCGCGATCTAGTCAACACAGTCGAAGGACAACATCCTTTCTCCAGTGCTGAACAATACCTCATCGAACTTTCCCCATCCGAAACACGCTGGGTGACGGAGGACGAGAAATGGGCCCTCCGACGCGAAGGCGTGAGATTCTTCGACATCACCGACCACCGCGCATCTCCGTCTGAGGCTGTGAGGGCGACCCGTAAGCAAACCGTCACGTATCCGAAGAAGCCGGCCCAGAATGAGACGGTATCGGAGCTGTTGAAAGAGCTCAAGAAAGAGAATATGAGGGAGCATTTGGAGACCTTTACTTCTTTCCATACGAGATATTACAAGTCGGATTATGGGAGGCAATCGTCGGAGTGGTTGTTGAGACAGGTCAATGATACTCTTGCTGAGGCTGGTGTTGGTTTCGTGAAGCCTTTCAAGCACCCATGGGGTATGTGATCGATTATCATCATGGACTTTGCGAAATTGCAAGCTGCAGCTGTCTCCGGGCATAAGCGAGAGACGAGCAAGTGAAGCGCCGCCTAACTTGGCTAACACGTTGACAGGTCAGAACTCCATCATCGCCACGTTGCCAGGAAAGTCGGAGAAGACTGTCGTTATTGGTGCCCATCAGGACAGCATCAACCTGTTCCTGCCATCGATCCTTTCTGCCCCCGGTGCAGACGACGACGGCTCCGGCACAGTCACTATTTTAGAAGCGCTTAGGGTGATATTGCAAGACAAGGACATTGCTGAAGGCAAGGCCCAGAATACTCTCGAGTTCCACTGGTACTCGGCCGAGGAGGGCGGTCTGCTGGGCTCGCAAGCCATCTTCAACGCGTACGAGAAGGAGGGTCGGGATGTCAAGGCAATGCTGCAGCAAGACATGACGGGATACACGCACGGTACCTTGGAGGCAGGCGAGCAAGGTGAGAGGACCTGCCTCTGTGTCGTATGTGCGTTGAGCTAATCTCGTCCGCAGAGAGCGTTGGCGTCATTACCGACTACGTCGACGCCGGCCTCACCGAGTTCATCAAGGAGGTGGTGACGACGTACTGCACGATCCCGTTCATCGAGACCAAGTGCGGCTACGCCTGCTCAGACCACGCATCCGCCAGCAAAGCTGGGTATCCATCGGCCTTTGTCATTGAGTCGGACTTCAAGTATTCGGATAAGAAGATCCACACGACCGAGGACAAATTGGAGTATCTTGACTTCAGCCACATGCTTCAACACGCGAGGCTGACGCTGGGCCTCGCCTACGAGCTGGCATTCGCGAAGTTCGACTAGTGGCGCGATTTTGGTTGAGGAGGCGCGCAACACACCAGATCTGTAGAAGTATAATTAGGTGCAGATGTGCCGCATTCCGCACGACCTCGCAGCCAGCGAGCACACGAGCGTCGTATGCAATGATGTGCACCCGACTCTCCAGATTCGTTCCCGAAGGCGCGGTCTTTGACATGGGGTCGGCGTGGAGGTGGTGTGGTGAAGCTGCAAGGGACAGAATGCGAGCTGTCAATCGACGTTCTTCACGTGTCATGCACGCTGCCGGTCGTTTTCTTTGTCTCTCCGCAAGCGGGGGACCGTCCACGCACATGGCGGCAGAAAAAGCTCCGAATGCTAGTACCTGCTGCTCGCTTTCCATGGCGCTCTCAAAGGCTCTTCTCCATCCGTAAGGCTGGAACCTGGACATGACGGCGGAGGAGCAGAGCAGATGCATCTTCCGGCCAGACTTCCACGCGCATATGGAGACGCAGGTCCGCTGCAGCTAGAGGATGTCGCAACCCAGGGATACGAAGAAGCGGCGGTGGGGAGAAGAGAAAGCTGAAGCGGAAGCATGCCATTCCCGACCTCTCGTCAGCGCCTCCACCTGCTCCGGCTGGTCGCTGCAATACACCTCGTACGCGTGGCGAAGAGGGTGGTGAAGGAAGCGATTTGAGACTCTGATCGGGAGTGAGGCGCAAGGTGGGCGTTGAAGAGGTGTTGGCTAGCGCGCAGGAACGTGATGTTCCGGCTCGCGCAGGATTTGGGCGTGGGCGTGCTGTGACGTGCATTGGGGATGTGCAGTGGTGGCTCGTTGCAGCATGGAGCGCTGCCGATCCGCAAACGTTGAAATGAAAAGCTGCACGCTACGACGACTGCGACTGCACACTAATACTACCTTAATACTACCTGAAGGTATGCACCACCGTTTTACCACCTCCTCCCACACTCCGGACTCCGGATGCTGTGTCGCCTCGCTCGCTCCTTCACGTCGGGACGCCTGCTTCACTCCTTCCCCGTCGTCAACCACAACCACCGACCAACATCGCCACGCTCGCGCTCCGTCATTCGCGCCTTCCGCGTTGCACGTGGAGAGGCCTCACCTTCGTTTGGAAGCGACTGGAATACCTACATATATCGCGAGACCGACCCATCTAAAATCCCCACTTCATCACTTCACTTCACCCACCTTAGGTATTCGCATTGACCAGCAAGATACAACCTTCGTTGTACAACACTCGTCGCCATGCGCTCATTCGCTCTCCTCCCGATCCTCGCCGGCATTGCCGCCGCCCTTCCTCAGGATGCATGCAGCACTACGACGGTCGAGAAGATCGTGCCCACCAAGACCGCAACCTACACCTCGACGCCTGTAGTCACCGAGCATGCAACCACGGCCAAGGATCTGGGAACTTTCACTTTGGTCACGACAATCTCGTCAACCAAGACCCTGCTGACCCTCACGCACACGGACGGCACTTGCGGCGAGACTGGCATTGTGTGAGCCCTTCCCCGTCCACCCTACCTCTATTCGATCAAGGCATTCTAACCCCTCCCAGCACCATTCCATTCGCGACGCACACCGTCTACGGCAACTCCAGCACCCCTGAGGCCTACCGTGTCAAGAGATCACCCGCATCACCGCCATCAATGAAGCGAGCTCTTGGCCTCAACCCTCGCGACGACGCTGGCACTGCATGCACCGTAACTGTGACCTCGACCACCACCTATGGCCAGACCCAGACATACGTTGCTGCTCACAAAACGAGCACGTACACCGACTACACGGCCTTCACCCAACACACGGTCACCTCCACCAAGTCCGGAGGCACAGCCTATGCCATTGACTCTGCAACCACCAGCTCTGCGACCCGATGTGGCAGCGTGACCGTCACTCCGACTCTCCTCACCAAGACCGTCTCGATGGACACCCGCTGCTCGCCCTCCGCCATGGTCAGCTCCTACAACAGCTACGGAATCGAATACCTCAGCAACACTCCGACCGCTGGTGCTTCGTACAGCACCAACGCCACGGATGCTTCAACCTGCTGTCAGCTCTGCGCCGAGACTGACGAGTGCGCGACTTCGGCTTGGGACGTGCGCTCGGGAGAGTGCCGATTGGACTTCCCCGTCAATCCAACCACGGGAGATCTGAACTGCGGCGAGGGAGTGTTGGGCTACTACGATGCCGGACCCAACCACCCCATGTTGCCGGGAACGGGATGGTACGTCGCCAAGCTGTGCGGGAATGCACAGTTTGGATCCGCAGCGCCGGATGATGGAACATAGAGAGAACATCGACAGAATTTGAAAAGCTTGCTTGCCGTTGCGTGTGTGGGGTGGGGTGCCACCGTATTGTCCTGGGGATATTACGGGGCTTTCGGAATTTTATGTTCTGCTGCCGCAACCCAAAACGGGCATGTATACTTGTATCAGATGTATGTAGTATGACCGTCCACGAGCGATGGTGTTGAGCGAAAACCCATGTGGAATGCAATGGAATGAAGAGGCCGTACCTTGCGTCCTCTCCTCCACCTTCCTTTCATTGTCAGGAGACGGCAATACACTGTGAGCCCCGTCACAACAGTACGGCAACCCGACCAATGCTTGTTGCCCGAGTCTTCCAAGTCAGAAGCTGTCACGACATGGCAGTGCCACGACGTTGGGAAATCCTTGTCCCTTCCCTCTGCCTGCAAGTCAAACAAACCACACCGGAACGATTCTTGCTTCATCATCATCATCATCATCATGCGAACGACTGTGCTGGGTCTCACATGCTCGTCAGCACCAGTCAAGCTTCATCCAGCACAGCAGACGGGGAGAATTCCGGTTCAACCGCCTCGGCACGGCGGCCACGGAGCTTATTATTGTACATGCGTACGGCGGGCAATTTGGTCGGACGAAATCTGTCCAGTTTCCGATGAAAAAAATATCTGGTGTGCGCGCAGAGTAATAAGGTAGATGGTAGATCACGGGAACAGGCGTAACTCCGGCGGTGTGGCGGTGACGGGGGTCGCGGCTACTTTTTATGTTGGTTAGTTCCTTCTGTATTTGTGTTCTTGTTTCGCGATTGCCAACACACGCGGACGGGGCTGCAGGGGGAGGGGAATGCCAAGATGCCAAGATGCCCGGTCTGGAGCACGGTACACAGGTACGAGATGAGATGCGACTGACACCAGCTCCAGCTCTACAGTACAGTACAGTACCTTACCCATCGTCGTCATTCGCGACTGGATGCGCTGTGGTGTGTGCTGTCTTTCCTCCCCCTTCCCGTCGACAGCAAACACTTTTCATTCTTCCGTCTTCCTCTCTCTCTCTATCTCCTACTAGAAGTACCCTCATCCTCAGCTGTTGACCTCGCCTGCGGTAGAACTGAGGCTGCCCTGCTCCTGAGAAGGCCATCGCGTCTGCTGGTGAGATCTGTGCTCTGCGACACCTCGGGGCCGGTGCAATAGATAACGAAACGTCGCCTGGTTCCTGCCTCATCACCACCACATGCCCGTGACAATCCTCCGACGACCACAAAAGCTCATCTGCTATCCTTGAGCGACACTCGCTGGAGCGCGGTAAGCGTTTTGCCAAGCTTCGCCGACTCTTCAGCCTTCGAGCCGACATCACGACAACACCATGGCGAGCTGGGCCAGAGACAGAACTAACGTCTTCCAACGCAAAGACGCTCACCCCGATACCATTGACCATCCCGGGTACGGCCATAGCCAGCGACCGTCGAATGAGCACTCCGGCCCACACGACGCGGAAAAGGGACCACAGCGCAATGAGAATGACAGAGGGCGTCTGTTGGACGAGAATGGCAATCGCGTCAACCACAAGGGATACCGCGTTACCCGTGGCATTCAGCCCGATGGAGAGAGTGGGCGCAGTTGGGTCAACCCGCTGAAGATGCTGACCATCTGCTGGCGGTCGTCGTGCACGGCCAGCAAGTGGACCAATGTTCTCTGGCCCTTCACCATCGCGGCGCTGGTCCTGTACTTCCACTACCCGGAGCATCAGCTCTGGATCTTCATCTGCTCATACATCGGGATGGTGCCGGCCGCGAACTTGGTGGGGTTTTCCGGACAGGAGCTGGCGAGGAAGCTGCCAAAGGTTGCGGGTGTCATGCTGGAGACGACCTTGGGAAGTGTGGTCGAGGTGATCCTGTTCATGGTGTTGCTCGTGCAGGGCAAGGAGCGGAGCGTCGAAGATGGCAATGTGCCTGTCATCAGAGCCGCCATCTTGGGTTCCATCCTCGCCAATCTGCTGCTGTGCTTGGGTGAGTCCACCAGAGCCTGGCCTCGAGAGATACGACTAACGCGAAAGATCCAGGTCTCTGCTTCTTCGTCGGAGGCATCTTCCACCCGCAGCAAACCTTCCACGAGGCCATCTCCGAAGTGGGTTCTAACCTAATGCTCGTCGCTGGCATGGCTCTCATCATTCCATCCATCTACTACAACTCTCTGTACGACCGTCTTGGCAAGGTCGCTGCACAATTGGACTCCACCAAGATATCGCGCGCCACGGCGATTGTGCTCCTGATAGCCTTCGTCTTCTACGTCTTCTTCCAGGCACGAAGCCACCACGGCCTCTACGAAGACATCCTGGAAGCCGACGAGGAGCGAGATCACGACCGTCACAAGGACCTTGCCAAGGACAAGCTCACCCTCACCGAGAGCATCCTGGCCGTCCTGCTCTCCCTGATGTTTGTCAGTTTCATGGCCTTCTTCCTCGTCAAGGAGATTGAATACATCGTGGAAGAGCGACACGTCAAGGACGCGTTCGTCGGCCTCATCCTCATCCCGGTGGTGGAGAAGGCGGCGGAGCACATCACGGCCATCGACGAAGCCTACGACAACCAGATGAACTTCGCCCTCAGCCACGTGCTCGGCGCCAGCATCCAGACGGCCCTCCTCAACACCCCGCTCGTCGTCCTCGTCGGCTGGGGCCTCGACGTGCCGACCATGAACCTCAACTTCGAGCTCTTCGATTCCGTCGTCCTCATCCTCGCCATCGTCGTCGTCGGCAATTTCCTTAGGGACGAAAAGAGCGACTACCTCGAGGGCGCGCTGTGCGTCATGGTCTACTGCCTCATCGCCGTCGCCGCCTTCTTCTACCCCAATCCCACGCTGGGCCGCACGAACGCGAGTGCCGGGAGCAGCAGCGTTGAGGGGACGGAGACGGCTTCTTCCGCCGTCGAGGCTGCTACGGCTGCGGCGGCGAGGATGTTGTTTGCTTGATGGATTGATTGATTGATTGATTGACGACTGACGCACTGGTTGATTGATGGAGGCAAGGAAGACGGGCGATCAGATTCGATCGACGCGGAGGAGCTGCAACGGCCGTTCTAGTCGAATGCAATTTCTTTCAGAGCGGAGGAGTTGGATGGCGTTTTTTTCCTTCTTCTTCTTCCTTCCTGTTTCCAAATCCAATCCTGTCGGATTGCACCGACACCAACAACCAGCATCTATCTATCCAATCCATCTATCTCTCCATCTCTATCTCCACCACCTCTCGTTATTTGCTTGCTTCACCTACCTACCTACCCGCCTTGTCGTGTGTGTCCTCTCTCTGTTCGTGCCACGGGATGAGCCTACTCATTCATTCACTCACTCACTAACACGTGAATTCATTTTTCTTGTGGCTTTTGTCTCCGTACGGCAAGAAGAAGGGGAAGAAGAAGAGGAAGAAGGGGAAGAAGAAGAAGAGGAAGAATCAGAAGGGGGAAAGTTACTTTAAATCTCCCCAAACAGCTTCACTTGAGAAAAAATTTGCATTTGCTGGCATGATGATGTCTTCTGACTTTATTCTCTCTGTAGATACTGGTCGTGAATTCCATTTCTTGAATCCATCATAGTACGAATTTGAGACCACTTACCAACGAAGAAGAAAACGAAAAAGAAACAAACCAAACCAAACCGTGGTGTGGAGATCAACGGAATGGAAGTCCCTCTGATATGATACCGTTCAGGGGATCGGACTTTTTAGCCATTCTTGATTTTCATTTCTCCCTATCTCCTCTTCACACTGGCAGAAATCCTATCTAGTCAACCTCCAGCTCCGCCTCATCCATATTCCTCAGAAAGAGCGTGAACCTGCCGATATCAACGTTAGCCAGCTGCACTCACGTTCCCAGATGGTAGTTAGTAAAAGAACCAGAGAGACTCACCATCTCACAACCTTGAAATGGTTACTGGCGCTCACCCTCTCGTTGACGGTGTGGATATTCCCCAACCCATGCTCGTCATCGTTGACATACCCCGGTCCGAAACGGAAGATGTTCTTCGTCAGAGCCCAGTAGTACCGCGTGTCGGTATTGCCCGTCATCAACGCCGGGGCGACAATCGTATCCTCTCCGTACAGAGCGCGAATGGTGCCCGAGATGACCGAGTAGGGACTCACGGCATCAACGACCGTAGGTGTGACGGGTGCCACTTCCAAGGTCGTGTCGGTGTTGGAGAGGGAAATGGCGTTATAGTCCGCTTTCTGGCCGTTGAAGGCGTTCAGGGTCAGGTTGTACTTCTTCGCAATCGGCTTGGCAAGGTCCGTGATGTGCTTGAAGACCGTCTCGGGGCTGTCGCCGATATTGATGCGATGGTTGACAACAGCCACGGCACCCTCCGGGAGGGCATTGGTTTTCGTACCGCCCTTGATGATATCGACGGCTTGCGAGGTTTGCATGAGATACTGGGCTTGTTTTCCAATCTTCGCTGCTTCCAGTGCAAGACGATCGTTATGCTTGCAGACATTCGATTCCGCAGAGCGCTGTCCGAGGAGTTTCTTCAGTTTCTTCGGGAAGTTTGGTGCGTATTCCGCTCCGCACTGGAGGAATTCGAGGTATGGGTTCTTGCTGTCGAGGTAGGTTGGATATTGCACTGCCTCAATCGCAGTGATCATCTCAGCAAGAATGCCAATACTGGTATGGTCATGCGGAACAGAAGAATGGCCTCCAGGGGTCCTCACAACGACTTCGATGTCGGTGTATCCTGCAGCAAGTCAGCATCAAACGTGTCCAAGAAAAGGGCCCAAGGTGAGACATATCGCACCCTTCTCAGCAACTCCCGGAACCGCAAAACCCCTCCCAAAAGCCTCAGCATACCCCATGCCTTCGTCAATAATCGCCGCAACCCCATTCTTCCCATACCTCTCCAACAAAAACTTGGCCAAATGTCCCGCCCCTTGCCGTCCGCTACACTCCTCATCAAACCCATAACTCAAAACCACCGTCCTCTTCGGTCTCCACCCGGCCTCCAACAAAATCTCCACGCTCTCCATGGTCCCAATCAACTGATTCTTACAATCACTCGCCCCTCTCCCCCAAATATTCACCCCGTCAAAATGCCCACTGAACGGCGGAAACGTCCAACTATCCAGCGTATCCGGATCCACCGGCACGACGTCCTGATGTGCCATCAACACCATCGGCTTCTTCCCCTCATCCGTCCCATTCCACGTAAACACCAATCCGTGCGTATTCACCTTCTCCACCAACAGTTCCGCATGAATCCTCGGAAACGTCCTCTCCAGGAATGCGTGAAACGGATAGAAGACTTCCCATCGCTTATCCTCCCCTATCGCGCCCAGGTCATCGAACGATTCCGTGGGGATCTGCACGGCGGAGGATAATCTCTGGATCGAGGCATTCTGGAATCTCTCCGTGAAGAGGTAATCGAAGGCGGGTTTGAGGTTCTCGTTGGGGTCGGCGTCCGAGGGGAAGAGGGCGGGGACTTGTTTGCATTTGGAGGGCTTCTGCGTGGGTGTGGTGCTCTCTTCGGGCCCGTGGTCGGGGATCGGGCGGGAGAACCAGGTGAAACAGAGGATGGCTGTGAGGAAAGTGAAGAGGAGGACGCGGAGAGCTGTATGGCGTGCTGCTGGGGGTTGGGAGGGGGGGTAGTAGTCGGTGACGAGGGGGAGGGATTTGTCCATACTGTAGGTGAGTGTGGAGAGAGAGAGAGAAGAGGAGCAGGTGGAAGGGAAAGAAAAGGAAAGGAAAGGCGAGAGAGAAGTGGATTTGCTAATACTGTACCTTGCGGCGTGGCACCTGCCTATCTCATCGACGCGGGCACTGAAGCTGCAGGAAGGAGCATGGGAGGATGTAGAGAGGATCCCCGTCTCGCGTCTCGGTCTCGGGGGTTTCAGTAAGCATAAGCACATGTCGACATCGACCAACACCCAACAACCAACAACCAACAACCAACATCAACGAGCATGACGCTATCGAAATAATCCATTGCTAACGCTGGTCATCATAGTTTCTACCCATCATAGCTAGCTTTCATTCTGCCAATCCGACCTCGACCGCCTGAGCCTGGAACTCATCCAAGTCCGGCGGATCCCGTAGAGCCTTCGTATTCCTCACCACCCTCACCTCCGCCGCTCTCGTGAGAATGAGATGCTGTTTCATTTCCTTCTCCCTCCCCTCGTTCAATTCTTGCTCTTCGCTGACCGCCTTCGCAACCGACTGGTAGTGCGCCGCCGTGTCCTTCAAAACGGCATGCATGCTCGCCAACACCTTCTCGGTAGCTTTGGCGAGAGGGAGATCCGGTCCGGCCACCTCGTCGGGACTCTGCCAGCTCGCCTTGCTCAGAACGCCTGCTGCGCTAGCCGCCTGACGGAGTCTCGCCACGAGCAGAGCAGCAAGCATATCCCCCGTGCCCGAGAAGAAGACCGGCAGAGCAGGCACCGTGATCCGAAACAACCTCGGCCTCCCCTCCGACGTAGCAGTCGAGCCGATAATCGAAAGCTTCGCACCATCCTTCTTCCCTCTCCCTTCCTCTTTCCCAACAGGCGTACTCGCCCCCGTAGCAGGCAACCGTATCGAAGTGATCAAAACATGCGGCAACCCAAACCCGCGATGCAACTGCTCCACCGCCTCCCGCAGACTCCCCCAATCCGAAATCTTCCTCTCGCTCAGCAATTCCGCCTCGAACTGATTCGGCAGTATGAGATCCGCATCCCTCAGCAATCTCTTATACGCAGGAACCGTATCCTCCGCGACGTAGATCCGTCCGTTGTCCCCCATCACGGGATCGAGGACCCAGAAGAAGGAACCCGGCTTCGTGCTCGTGCGCAATTTCGCGTCCCGCCCGATCTTGCCGACTTCCTCCACCAGAGCCGCCGAGGGGCAGTAGCCCGAGAGCATCATGTCGAAATTCGCGAGGCGCGCCTTCTTGAGCCCCTCGTAGAGCTCGGCGACTTCTTCCGGCGTCGTCTTGCGGCCTTTGACCGTCTTGTAGGCGACGTGGTTACCTACACGGCAATCCCCTCTGGATCAGTATCGCATTGGGTTTCGTTCGAGAAAGCGGGAGGATTCGTCTCTCACTGTAGTTCACGGTATGGATGGCCGAGACTTCGCAGCCCAGAGTCTGCATGCAGAACGTGGCCATCGTGTTGCCGACATACCTTCGCCCTCGCGCTTCAGTATGCCTCCTTGTCCCTCATCTCGCACTCTAGACTTACCCAGAAGTCACCTTTTCGCGCCCATTAGCTTATCTTGTCTGCGCCTTTGCTTGTCGGAGCACCCACATGGCTGGCAACAGCCAGAACGTGAGTCTCCGGCACATCGCCCTCGCTCTCCGCCATGATTTGTGGCCGGATCAGTGAAATAGGTATAGGGTCGCGTTTCGATGTAGTTTTGAAATTCGATTGTCGAGAAGCAGTTCAGGTCCTAATCAACAAATGACGTTGGCGCGCAGAGCACAGTCATCAAAAAGTCTCACGCCGGGGAGCCGGCAGGGACTCTCCTCCGTGCCACCCGATGCTTCCAAGTCCTTCCCTTGACCTGATAGCGACTTCCCAATCGTACACGCCTATCCTTCTTCTTCTTCATGCAAGATGACACATATCACGTCTCTTCATACCACGCGACCGCAGCGATCTGCAGCTCGTGCTGAAATGTCCACGCGCCTTGCTCTTTCGTGCGTTGCAATCTCCACGCCGCAAACTCCTTCCGTGCTAAGTAAAACATCACTTGCGAAGATCTTACTCTTCGTCGCCGATCTACAGAGAGAGAGAGCATTAGCTGTCGTTCCGCCAGTCAGACCAGGGCTGCATGCTCACCTTGGGTGCGAGGTAGAATCGCAAGAAGGAGTTGTTGCTGAGGCCATACTCCACAAGAAGGGGGACTTCATTGCTCAAGCACAGCTTGACGGACGAGCTGAGACCACTAGCCTTGCAGAAGTTCATCAGGTACTTGAGCGAGAAGGTTAGAGCGACGGGTTCGGAGAGGTTGATCTCGATGTTCTGATCAGGCTTGTCGACGTTGGTGTGAGATCGAAGCGTGACGGAGCCGTTGCCAATATCGCCAGTGCACTTGAAGGATACGCCATCCTTGGTGCACTCGATGGAGACTGCCATGCCAAATCAGCTTTCACATCTCCTCATACCGTAATCTGCTCGCTTTATCGCACCTGACTCAGACAAGGCAGACAGATCTCTCGTGATGCGCTGGAACTCAGTGCTAGGCAACGTGATGGTCGCGGCATACTCCGTGTCCGGGATTCCCAGGTGCTCTTGATCGATATCCATCAACTTGATATCGTACTCGCTGATCCGGTCGCTCTCGGAGCTCTCGAATGTGAAGTTGACCACATCGGGCGCATCCTCCGCCTTCATGGTCAGGATATCCTCATTCTGCGCTGCCTTGAGGACTTTGGTGAGAGAAGTCAGGTTGATGCCGAGGGCGATGTTGCGGTCGCAGCGGAAGGGCGAGAAGGATTCGGACTTGAGTTGCATGGACACGAGGGCGACGTGGGAGTTGTCCATGGCTTGGAGGGCGATGCCAGAGTCATTGCAGTCGAAGTTGCAGTCTTGGACGAGATCCTTGATGGCGTCGACTACCTGAAGCAAAGCATCAGCATCTTGCGTTCCAATGTCGCGTGCCCTTGGCATACCTTCTTCAGCAGGTTGGCCTGCTCCAATCGTGCTTCCAACACTGGGAACAATCAGCCTTCGCATCACTTATCGGGCAGTTGTGCACAAACTCTTGAGATCTGTGTGTCGATTTGTGGGTCGATAAGGGTATAGTGGTGCTCGTTGGGCGATGTCAAGTGTTGTTGCAAGGCAGTATGTAGATGTAGCGTGCAGAGGAAACAGTTGAGACTGAGAAACGCGTGGGCGAAAGTGGGACACGGGGAGCGCGCCCTCTACGCGTCAGCGTGGTGAGCAAGCACGGGCCCAGGTTTTGCCTGAAAGATGCCTTACACCTGTACACAACGCTCTGCCTTCGTCTTGGGTATCTAAGTAGCTTGTACAATTCGCGCCTGCAAGACGGCTTGAAGTATAATGAGCAGATTTCATGCCCTCGCTGGCGGCAAGGTAGAACGACTCGCCACGACTGACCATCGAAGCTTCTTCAGCGACTCCATGCTGATCGCTGATGGCTCCGCCAGCACCTTTCTCGATCCCACTGCATGATACGGTACCATGCAACAGGCCGTCGATCCGTTTACTTTCGAAGAGACCTTTGGCATGCAGTGATGAAGGGATAGACCCCTCCCGAACGGAGATGCCGCCCTCTCAACCAAGAGACAGCAATGTCAAACCCCACAGAGACACTACCTTACCTGCCTTCAAGTCTCGACTCCCAACTTTCCACGCGCAAAATCCTCTCCATTCCATTCCAATCCCAGCCTAAGCCTTGCAAAGCCCATAAAACAGCGTCCAAGTCAGCACAAAACTCATCAACCCCCCAAACATATCCCCACCCCACAGATCCCCCATCGGCCTGAAGAAATACTTTTCCGCATTCTGATCCGCTTTCAAGATGAAAATTAAAAAAGAAACCAGCGCCGTGCCGAGGAAGTAGAAAATGAATCCCGGCGAGGATTCGAGGCCTAGCGTTCCGGCTGCTACGCCGAAGAGGGAGGCTGTCAGGGCGCGGATGTTGGAGACGGTCTGAGGGGTTTTTTGTTAGTTGGGTTTGTGAAGGGAAGGGGGTGGGGTCTTACGCGAGCATTGTGCTGAACGCTTTCTTGCACGATGGGATGGATTGCTAGTTCCCTTTCGTCGAGCATGATGATGATGATGATGATGATGACGAGGTCGAGGAAAGCTGCTGGGGACTGCTCTTCCAGGCCAAGTCCAGTGAGATGATGGATCTGTGCTGGGCCACGATAGCAGCAGGGCTGTGAATCGAATGCTCCAGTGACGGAGGCGCAGTCAGGACCGGTCTAGAGAGGTTGCCGTCGCTTCGAGGCTCGCGGATCTCTGTCGATGCGGTAAATCCGGGAGAGTGCTGTGATAAGTGGCGTGACGACTCGAGATTCGAGCGTTGTCTGATCAAATTGCCTGGGGATAGTAGTAGTAGTCGCGATGTTGTCTCCGACAGGGAAAGTGGTGATGATCGGTACCAGCAAACTCCGATCGGTGCACGGACGTTCCGGTTAATGAGGTGAGCGGCAACTTCGACTTCACATGGACACCGCCGCGCTCGCGATATACCAGGTTCTGCGAGGCTTATTCCCGAGAGAACGTCAGCGAGCAGAACACAGCTCTCGCACGCTTGCGAGGTACGGAAACGTGCTCGTGCAACTTAAAACGGCCAAGGGCTGGGTAAAGCTGTGATTTTGGCTCGCCGTTGCAAGGCTCACCCATCTATGCCAAGACTGCTGCAGCGGTATGGTATCTGTAGATGACGAGAAAGCCAAGAAAGACGGTAAGTGAAGGGCTTTGCTTTGATATGCGACAGAATGGTAAAATGCGATGCTGGTAGAGTAAAGTGTGCATGCATGTCCAGCACCTGGAAATGCCATCGATCCTTCCCAACGTCTAGAGCTCCGTCGCTATGATGCTGAACGCCGCATGCTATGTTACATTTTGTAGCCAAAAAACGAGTGGTCAAAATGGATTCCTCCAGCTAGCTAGCTTGCATCAAGAGCCAGGCGATCTCACTCCAGAAGCTTGCCATAGTCTTCAAGGTATCTAGGCCGCAGTCAGTTTGATGTGATCGATGGTGTGTGTCGGGTTCAGAGGCACTCACTGCCGTAGGGAGGGACTCAAGTTGTATCCAGCAATGCCTTTGGCGGCTTGAAGTAGTTGTAATGCTCTGCTGAAACACTGCCCGTTGATGCGCGGGCTCGAAGCGCTCCCGAGCGACATGTAAGCTTCCGCTGTCTGCTAGGTTGTTAGTTTGGTCTTGTAGACGGATGGGAGCATAGCTTACAACAGACAGGAGATCGCCAGAAACAGCACGCTGTTCAGTCGCGGCTGCTACGGCGCGCTCTAGGTAATCCGTGGCGGGTTGCAGGTAGCCTCTAGCTTCCACACAAACTGCAGTGCCTGCCCGTATCTCTGCTTCCGCGGTCGCGATATTTGCAACATCCTCCTCGAGTACGCTCGAGAAAGATCGCTGGGAGAGAGCTGATCCGCCACTCGATGAAGAAGCTCCATCGGCTTGATGTATTCTTGCTAGAGTGCGCTGTGCTCGTGACAGCCAAGCCTGCCCGATACCTCTGAGGGCCGCAAGATTTTGCGCATCTCTTTGGAGGATGACGAGCCACTGGCGAGAGCACCAAGCTGCAATATCGTTGACAGCTCCACTTTCGGCGTCGGCAAACGCCAGTCGTTGGAGGCCCGCGATCATCCAGACTTGTTCTTGTGTTCTGTTCTCTTGTTGCATAAATGTAATTGATTCCAGATGGGAGATGATGGTCCGCGCCAGGTTCACATAGTCTCGCCAGTGCTGAGGAGACGTCCGGAGCATCGTATAGACCTGGTCGAGACTGGTCTTGCATACTGCGATTCTTTGCTCTTCATTCATAACTTTAGCAACCATCAGAAAGGGAAGGAAGATTTGGAGGAGTGCTGGGTTCATGCTGACCCTGCGGTGGGCGACTTCTGCTTTTCTTGATGCGATAGTCTGGCTTGACGTTTCGTGTCCGTGACATGAAACCCCAGTAGCGCGGGCCTAGAGGCATCAAACGCCTGAGTGATATCCGCCTGCGTGGAATGTCGAATCCGTTCAGCGACACGGACGAGTCCTCGCCAACAGGCTCGATGGGTGCGTTGGAGACGGCGATATCTTGCGATTGCATAATCACACAGTCATTCGGTGAGCGCGAAATGTGGTTGGATGAGAGGTACGCAGATGTATGAAAAGAAGGCTGCCTTGCATTCGAAAAGCGCATCGCCACCTCGACTAGAACATGGTCTGCAGCGGTGTGTCCGAATTTGTAAGATAGATTCGCGGAAGCGCAGCAGGGCCTCACAAGACCAAGGGCCATGTTTCTGGTCAGCCTGCCGAGCATTCGACTCGGCGTTGGAGAATCAGGGCCAGCATACGGATGACGGCGCTTCCGCATCTAGGCCGCCTTAATTCGAGAAGAGAGAAGAAGACTCTCCCAGGTACTAGACAGGTAGGTGAGAAAGGGAGCCAGAAGACGCCGATGAGCAAGCACTGCCAAGCCAGCTCGAGACTGACGCGAGCCGTCTTCGCAACAAGGTTGACATGGCCCGGGGTTGTCCAGGAATGGAGCGCAGCAACAGACATGCTACAAGCCGCATCTGACCGCGGTGACTGCGGGTCCTGATGGTAGTCGGCGATGGAGATGATCCGCCAGGTGACGTGAAGTCAAGAACTGCGGTCAGCAGTGATATGCAGAGTAGAACAAGGATCGACGCGCTGTTCCCGGCGCATGGCAGCAGATGAGTTTGGTGTCAGCAGCCTCGCAAGCCATTACCGATTCCGGCAACTGATAGACACGAGGCCGTAATAATGCGATCGAATGGAAATACTCGCTGCCATGTCGCGACTTGAGAGGCGGTCTGGATTGGAGGGCTGCATACCAAGGAAAGGGATGACCTGTGCACGTGGGAGCCGGGCAGTGCAGGAGGCTGCATATAGTAGGCACTGCTCAGCACGGAGCCCAGAATACGAGCGAGCTCTCTACTACCTACTATCGCACGGTACATGTAGTCCGACGTCGCGCTACGAGTGCGATCGCAAAGGAAGCAGCGCGTTGGCATATCGGTCTGCGAGTAGTAGAATAAGGTAGCCGTATCAGTATTATTCATGCACACGCGGTGCAGCATGCGAACAGGGGGGGAAATACTGTACGTGTGGGTGTGCATGATGACTAAGGTACAACGTCGGATGCCCGCACACACACACCTTCCCTGTGCTTTGACGTCGTTAGGTTGGTTGTGTGCCCCTGATGCCGGGGTCTCGTGCGCGCGTGTGCGCGCCTTCAAACGATCAACGCCAGAGCTTGTTCGTGCGGCAACTTGTCAACAAGTACCTTATTGTGTTGAGGTATCGACACGACATCTCCATCCACACGCCTGCCGCCGCCTTGCCCCACCATATACATACCCTCTACTGCACATATTCTTGTCGGCGGCTGCTCTCGTGCATTATTGCTAATAATCAAACAACCCCTCGTCAATCAGCCAGGCCGGCCATGAATGGAGACCGTACACCCTGATCAGAGCCCGCTCGCCGCTTACCTCGAAGGTGCGTCTTCTCCTACATTCCATCTGGAACAGAGGCCGCAACATGCCCCATCCCGCCCACACTCACCACGCATGCTAATCCGCCATGACACAGGCCAAGGATCGTACGAATCCGATATCGACGAACACGATGACGCTCGACCTAGCTACACCTCCGCGCTCGATGCATGCGATCCATCGAATCCTCCCTCATTCGCACCGTCCTTCAAGCTACTCCCCAAGCCGAAAGTAAAGAGACCGCGGCTGCCACAGCTCCAAGTACGGCAGAGGCCCCAGAGGACCCTCGCAAGAGCACACGATGCCTGGTCAACAGTGTGGAATTCGCATGTAGGCCGAGTAGACAACGCCAACTTCATCGAGCACTTCCGCTACACCGTCGTCGCCTCGCAACTCTTGAACGAATACCTCGACCATGGCGCTTTCAACCCCAACGCCCACACCACTACCACGCCGGGCCTGGACGGGCCTGCAGATGCTTCAAGTGCTTCTGCAACGTCAACAAGTATCTACGGAGCAGTGGCGACTGCTGCAGTTGCGCTGGCGCTTGTGTACGTGATACAGTGGGCTCGGACACGCCGTGGAGTATCTTGGTCCAAGAGCCAAATCGCCTTTGTGCTTGCCGTGCTGGCTGTCGCTGCACTCGTGGGGTATCAATATGGCCGGAGGCAGTGGTTGAAGTCACTGCGTCGGAATGCTGTCACCACAGCCTCTGACTTGACCTCCAACTGGCAGTCGTTTGAGGTGTCGTCCAGCTCGACCCTGTCTTTCATACAGGAGGTGGAGCTCGTGTCAAAGGGCTACAGGCTCGGCACGCCTTTGCCCCCCATCTCTAGGTTCGAGGATGGCGGAAGTGTACGAAGATGTGGTAGACTCCGCAAGGCGCTACACAAGGCTTACTCTACCATCATCCCGGCTTGCATCGAAGCCTGCACTTCGCTTGGGAATTTGATCGAAGAAGATGATCTGGACAAGTACTTTGACGTGTACGACATCTCCAGCCAGGATGCTGCCGAGGCCGCTGGAGTGGACGCCCTCTCGGTGTTGGAGGACGACCCTGAATCACTGAAATCGCTCAGAGTGCTGAGTTTCCGCGCTGGCTTGCTACGACGAGTCACATTGTGTTCATTGATGGCACTGGAAGCCGACGGCGGCAAGCCAGACATTCAACGGTGGAAGATTGCAACCGAAGTGATGCGCAAGGTGAACCAGGTTGTGAGCGCGTCAGCGGAGAAATTGCGCCAGATTCTCAGCGAACTAGAGCATTTCAATCTACCCATCACGCCGGTCAAGAATAGCCACACGCCAACGAGAGAGAAGATGCGCAGTCAGGTCCGCAAGATCAGCGCATTATCCTCCGGCATTCGTGGTCTGCAAGCCAAGATGCAAATCCTGCGCGAGGAAACAAACAGATCGATCGAACAAGCAGATGACCTCACAGATCTTGGCACGACCCTGATGGCGCAGTACGAGTCCATTGGCGCCGATCTGAAGGAGCTCATGCAAGCATGGGAGGCCGGCAAACAATCCCTGCAGACCAACATCTCACGCCAAGAACGCCGCATATCCATGGCAAGCACCGCCAGCGGCTTGCGATCACCGGTCTCCAGCCTTGGCGGCTTGACCGCCGTGGAGGAAGTGGACGGATCACCCGCCGACGCGCTCCGTGTTCTCAACGGCGATCCGTCCAGCAAGTCGAGTCGCTCCAGCATGGGCACGACGAGTCAGTCTGGCGACGAAGAAATGGTGTTTGAGGCCGTCGCCATGCCGAAGCAGCGCCCGCGCGCCAGCACCATGACTCGCGAAGAGAGGATTGCGAAGATGCACGAAGAGAGGGAGCGACAGGCCACGCTGCGTGCGAAGCGGGATGAGAATACGAGCATGCTGCGCGAATTGGAATCCGTCATCAACCTCCGACCGAAGAAGACGGGTGCGAATGGCTCGACGAGGATCACATCGGTCTAGCACTGCCGTATCGTCTCCCGACCGAATGGACTGCAGCACCGATGATGACTCTTCCACGTCCCCGGAGTTTTCTGTTTGTTTTTGTTTTTGGCTCTGGCGCAACTTTTTTTTTTGGGAAAACATCGAGATACCCTTTTCTTTTCTACTCTAATAGTGCCTTTTGGAGCGGCTGCACAGAACGCTTCTTCTCGCGTTTATATTTAGCGAAGGCGCTGGATATGAGGAGGGAAAGGCGTTCAGAGGAGTTGAGTGGGTGTACCATCCATATCCTAACGAGACAGCTGGGCTCATTAATTAATAGAGAACTGGACTCAGTGTACAAGCTGCTCATAGCAGTACAATTAATCAATCCATTCTGCCAACACTCGCTCTCAACGGGAAGATTGCTTCTTCTTCTTCTTCTTCTTCTCCTCCGCTGATCTCATCGGCCCAACGCAGGCACATCACCTGTCAAGCCGTCCGCGTACGTTTTTGCGGCGGGCTTTCCATCTTCTCTCTGTCTTCCTGTGCGACTCGGCGGGATTGCCTCTACTTCTAGTCCGAGCCATCTCCAGCGAGAGCGGTCCAATCGATGTCCGAGGACAGCTCGTTGAACAACTCCTCCGAAATGAAAGCGCCGAAAAGATCGCCTGGTTCGGGATGAGGCGGTGGCGGCGGCGGGAGCTTAGACGAAGTTTCTGGTTGGGATTGTGATGGTTCGACGTTTCCCAGAGTGAAAGCAGGGTCGGCACTGTCTGAAGGTACAGCCTGAGGCGCTGATTGCTGCTCACCGGGAGGCGTCGTTGGAGCCATCACACTGTCTTTGCGAAGCTTCGAGGGCGTGGAGGCGTTCATTTCTACTCCGAGCTGCGGCCCACCTTCGCCTGGTAGGGACAGACGCAGTGCTGGGCTGGGAGCAGGGACCTGTCGCTTAGTAGGGTCCTCGGCTCCGGAAGGCGTCTCGTACTGGACAAGAGGTGAAGCTCCCAGATTGCTGCGCATTCCCACAGCGGAGCCGCTTCTGAGCAGTGGCGTAGCCGGTCCATGCGAGAGATTCATGGGAATTGCGTTGGGATAGTTGTTGAAGTTGAGCGGAGGCTGCATCAAGGGTTGCTGAGTGGGAGGCCCGGAGGTGAAGTTCGGGGGCAGATTGGGGCCTCGGGGCACTCCGTACGCGAGTTGAGAAGGATCGCTGAGCACACCGGGTGAAAGTGTCGGGTCGGCGTTCGCAGTGTTGACAAGCCACGTCCCTGGTCTGTTCGCTTCACGGCTGGCGACTGGGGCCGACTTGTTGATTGGCGCATCTTCGCGTCTGTCGTCCATTGGCAGAATGACAGTCTCAGGCGTACCAAGACGCGAGTCCGGCACACCTGGATTTGGCGTGCCTGCGGAAGTCATTGACCAATCCTTAATCATGGCTCCTAGAGAGCTGCGGCCTCGAGTCGCCCTCGCTGGCGGTACCCTGTCTTTCACCGAGTTTCGTACAGCCGACGGCACGTAGCTCGCAGAGGCGTCCGACTTAGTTGGCGAGAAAGCTGAGGCGTCAGATTTAATTGGAGAGGTTGGTCGTATTGGCGATGAGAAGTCTTCCGATCCAGCATCTTCAGCATAGTTGATCTTCTTTTTCGTAGCACGAGTGCTCCTACGCACGGTCGCTGTGGATTCCGGACCAGCATCCTCCTCCTTCATCTTCTTCGACGATCTCTGCTGTTTCGTGAAAGCCGCCACCTCCGGTATAGAGCTCTGCTCTTCCACGTGGCTTCGTTTTGTGCCTGCTGAGACGCTGAGCGCTGGCTGCTGGAGAGACGGCACGGCTCCAGGATTGGAAGCATTACCACCGCTCAAGAGGCCTATGATTCCGGCTGGTGGCTTGAATTGTGGAGCCTGCGGAAAGGCTGGCGGTCGGGCTGCGGGCTGTGCAGCTCCTTGAGAGTTGACAGGATTGGGAAATCGGCGGAGGTTTGGGGGAAGCGGAGGCTTGGCTACAGGCGTCCCAGCCATGACAGCGGTGTGCGAATGAAGCAACCAGAACTGGCGCGCGTAATTGAGTGTATCTTCGCCCGTCTTCTTCCTGCCCATGAGCATATCTCTCTGCCGCATGGCTTCCTTTCGGACAGTTATGGCTCCTAGCGCTTGTGGATCTGATACGATACGCTGGTACGCGAGAGCCTTGTCCCCGCCACAACCTCTTAGGGCACGTCTTCCGATCTCTTCGTACTTTGGATTGATCTCCTTTGCCAAGACGTTTTCGACATAAGCAATTCGCTCATCTACATGCTTGTTCTGTCGGAAAATGTCGTCCAGGTATGCGCCATCGTGGGTGTATGCACAGTAAAATTTGCCAATGCCGCATTCGAGATCGGGGCGTCTGCTCGCGCTGTCATAGTACGGGCATTGGATCTTCTGCCAAAGCGGCAAATCAAATTGGTCGGCATATTCGCATGTGTCTTCGTGCAGTGTGGTGTGGCCGCACTTGAAGTGCGCATATCCCTGCCAACACATTCTGGGCGGTGCTGCCGCTCGCAGGAGATAGCAATTGAGTGCCGTCAGTGGTGCAGTGTTTCATTCAGGGATCGAATTCGAGTAGAGTAGATCGAAGGTCGTGTGCGGGTGCAGGTGCGTCGTCCTGGGAGACTGCGACAGGCACGACCCGGGTGAAGCCGTGATGCCGAGCACTGTGCGTAAGGAGGAAAGAGCGAGCCGCAAACAAAGAACAAAATTGAAAACCCGATCCAGGTTGGGGAGGGCGGAGAATGCAGAAGTCGATTGTTACAAGGAACTTTTCGCATTAACAAAGTATCATCTGAAATGTACTTACTAAGTATCGGCGGGAAAGAGAGAGAGAGTGGTCACCCACCATGCTACTTTTCTCGCGCTCAGCAGCTTATTCACATGCGATCACATGCAAGCTGGCACACTTCAGCTACATGAGCCAAAAGTGCAAAAAAAGAGAAGAGCCCCCAGATCCCGATTGTTTGCCTTCAGTCCTCAGGGGACAACAGCCCGCCAACGTCCCCTCACCCACCAAACGCCCGCCCTCAAAGAAGAGGGTCCGAAGACCCAGAAGAACACTGACGTGGGCTCATCCGTTCTTTTCTGTGTATGTGTTCTTACTGGAAGCTGAAGCTTGCTGAATTATTATATAGTTGAGATTGCATTTGCCGAAGAGTTGCCGGACTTCCAATTCCTCAATCGACAGCGCGGACAAACGTCCCTCCGGGTTCCGGATTCCGTATCGGAAAGATCGCCTATGGTCGAGTCGCTTTCACTGCGACAGCATATCTCTTGGAATTTAGAGACTTCGCACGACGAGTCCTTGCAGGGTCCGGTACAATGGAGACGATGACCGCTTTGGAGGATTGTCTTGTGGTGGCAGACAGGGTTTGCTGTAGTAGAAGCATCGTCGCGTGGAGTCAGTACAATTGAACGGCTGCGACCACACGCCCGCGAAATCCATTGAGCTCTTGCCAGCTCAATCTCAATATTTCCAAGAGCTTTGTACCCTGCGTCGAGACGGTGGAAAACCCTTTCCCGGGAGACATATCCCGCATCTCTTCAGTAGCGTCCACATACACTTCGAGATCATCTCCTGTCTCCGTTGTCCAGAACCAGCTACCTTCCGTCATGGATCAACGCTTTCCCCAGCTCTTGCTTCAACGATTTCTCTCTGCTGGAACGGATCATCGGGGCCCGAGGGTGTCGGTGTTATCTCTTATCGTGCCTTCATCACAAAGAAGGTGATGTCTATTACGATACTGCATAGGACAGTCATTGAACGCAGACAATCGATCGGGTCTAGAGAAAACACCGAGAGCTGAGGATGGGACGAGAGGAGGGTGAAGTTAACGTACGGGCGGATCTAACCGTGCGGTGGCCAAGACTCACGAGCCAGGGCTTTCACAGATCGACCAACCACATGTCAGCGCAGTCCGCTCCGTGCGAGGCTTGCACATGAGCCGTTGAGCCGGCGCAACGGCATCTGATGATGTCACTACCTACAGGACCGTTGACTTGTTCGCAGGCGTCCATAGATTATAGCTCTTGGTCCTGCGTTGTACTGTACTTATCATCAACATGTTTAGGCAAAAAGCCCCCAGGAAAAATTCTCCACTGCTGCCCTGTCAATGGTCAATGAGGGGAACCGAGAAGTCACGATGCATGATGCATGATACCTCGCCCATGCAGCCAATCGCAAGTCGAGAGGAGCAAGTTGACGTCGGCATTTCGGGCTTTTCTGACCTGCCGCATGTGTTTTGACGCCGGGCTCAGGCTCGAGGAGCTATGTGCTTTCTGACGTCTGTGACTGTTCCCTTTTAATTGTGCTTGTGTCCCTCCGTCTCGCTGACAAGCGCGTTGGCCGGTCTGCTTACGATCTTACTCCCCCGTTCTTCTGCGGATGTGGCCTTGACCTTGACCTTGACGTGGACGCGACGAGCATCCCATCCCCCGTCCCCGCGATCTCCAAACCAATCACAACGATGGGCGCAAACGACGAAACAATACCCCCCGACGCCACTGGCTCTCAGCATTCGATCACTGAGCCTGAGAAGCAAAACACAGCAGGCGAACACACTCAGCGCAATGCGACGTCACAAGATGCAGGAGAACATCATGTGACAATATCAGATGCGCCTCTGGAGCAGGCTAGGAAAGACCCATTAACAACGGCGTCGAGCCAGGATGGCGGCGACGTGGAGAAGCAAACCGAGGAGCCCAAACAAGAAGAGCAGGAGAAGGATGGGCGGATAATGGGCAGATCGAAAGGCAAAGTCGCAGTCATCATGCTCGCGCTCTGCTTAGCTATCTTTCTCGCAGCATTAGATGTGACCATCGTCACCACTGCCCTTCCAACAATCAGTGAGCACTTCCATTCCGCCTCTGGCTATACATGGATTGGTTCTGCCTTCCTCCTCGCGAACGCCGCCTCGATCCCTTCATGGGGTAAGGTTTCGGATATCTTTGGACGCAAGCCTATGATCCTCGTTGCAAATGTCATCTTCATGGTGGGATCATTGGTAGCGGCGCTGTCGGATAGCATTGGCATGCTCATCGCAGCTCGTGTCGTGCAGGGTATTGGCGGTGGTGGATTGATCATCTTGGTCAACATCTTGATTGGTGATCTCTTCCCTCTGCGCATTCGTGGTGCCTTCTATGGTGTTATTGGAGGTGTGTGGGCGATTGCGTCTTCTCTTGGACCCATCGTTGGAGGCGCTTTTACACAAGGAGTCTCTTGGAGATGGTACGTCAGAAACATTGGTCTCATCGATCTGCATAACGCGCTAACAGCGACAGGTGCTTCTACGTCAATCTCCCGCTTGATGGACTCGCGTTCTTTATCCTCCTCTTTTTCCTCGACATCAAGACGCCTCGCACTCCCCTGGTGCAAGGTCTCAAGGCAATCGACTGGATCGGCACGCTACTGATCGTAGGCGGCACTTTGTTGTTCCTCTTTGGTCTGCAGTACGGAGGCGAGACCGCACCGTGGGACTCGGCTGAAGTTCTCTGCCTTATCATCATTGGAGTCTTCACTCTCTTCCTGTTCGCCATGTGGGAGTGGAAGTTTGCCAAGTACCCGATCATGCCTATGGCTCTATTCGGATCCTTGACGAACTGCGCGACTTTCGCTGTCGTTTTCCTTCATGGACTAGTTTTCATTTCGGCTTCGTACTACCTTCCACTCTACTTTCAAGGCATTCGTGGCGCGACGCCGATTCTTTCTGGTGTCGATTTGCTCCCCACAGCGCTATCTTTGGCTGCGGGGTCTCTTGGGACTGGAGTATTCGTGGCCAAGACCGGAATGTTCTTACCCCCAATCTATTTCGCCTTCTTCATGATGACGCTCGGGTATGGCCTGTTCATCGATTTCGACGCGCACTCGTCCTGGACGAAACTCATCATCTTCCAGATCATTGCAGGTCTGGGTGTTGGTCCTTGCTTCCAGGCTCCCATCATTGCCTTGCAAGCACACATCGCGCCTCGAGACATTGGAACGGGAACTGCAACGCTGGGGTTCGTTCGTCAGCTGGCAACCACTACATCCGTAGTCATCGGCGAGGTCGTGTTCCAAAACCAAATGCGACGCAAGACCCCAGAACTGGCCTCCGTCCTGAACCCCCAGCAACTCGCTCGTGTCTCTGGAGGTAATGCAGGAGCCAACACCGAATTCATCGACCAACTCCAACAACCCGCCAAGAACGTCGTGCGCGTCGCATTCGCCGACTCTCTCCAGCCCATGTGGATCATGTACACCTGCTTCGCCGCTCTGGGGCTCATCGTCATGTTCTTCGTCAAACGCAAGAAACTCACTCGCCAACACGAAGAGACCAAAACCGGTCTTGAAGCGGAGAAAGCCAACGCTGAAGCACGAGCTGCTGAAAGGCAAGCAAAGCGAGAATCTAAAATGTCTTCGAAGAGAAATAGTAGATTTCCTGAAGGCGGGGATGCATCGCGGCCTACTACCGCTAATGCTTCTCGTCCTACTACCCGGCCCCAGAGCAGTGCAACGAGCGAGTTCGATAAGGAAAAGGAGAAGGATGAAGAGCCTGTTCCGGGGTTACCGAAGGAGTACCAAACGACGACATAGCGCACGTGTACTTTTTTCGCACAGAGCTTGTCGTGGCTACTGAGACGATTACGGAGGGTATGCATTCACGGTGTTTATGCCCAAAGCGTGAAGATGTCATGAAGCAAAAATCTCAATTCCAGAAGCGGGCATGCATATGCCACAAAAACAGCTGAACAGAATGCTGTCATCTCCACTTTTAAAGGGATTCGACATCGCGCGCATGCACGAACTGTACTTCTTCTCATCCGTCTTCCTTGCTCCAAAAGAATTTTCGATGTCTGCTGTAGGGGTCTTGTCTTGTCTCTGCATTGAGCAGCACTGTGTGGAGGTATGACTGTACCTGACCGGTTCCAGGGTTGTTGCATCAAATCTACCATTCAGAGCACGACGTCTTTGGGGTGACAGTACTTCAGAGTTCTCTCAGCCGATGCTGGTCCGCTTGTGCCTTTCAGTAGATCAGAGATGGACAGAGAGCTTGTCGTTCTTCGGGTCAATGCCTATAAATTATAAAGAAGCATGAAGCCGCTAGAGCCCGCTTAGTCAGAGCAAAGAATTCCTTGTACCAAGGGCCGAAGAAGGAGGAGAGAAAGAGCGAAAGAGCCAGAGTCGACGAAATAGAGGTCTTGTTGAGACTGTTTGTTTCTAGTTGTGTCCAGTCCCGTAAAGGCAAGCCTATTTACAAGTGAGCAAACATTTGTATTGCCCGTCAAGGGCTGTCGTTGGCTTGAAGAGAGGCAGTTTAGGCTCATGACGTTCAACCAACGCATCTCTCACAAGGTCCTGAAGTCACGGCACAGCCAGGAGAAGGTAAGCCAGCCAGTCTTCATGGATGGCTCTACAGATCGTCATTGCGGCTTCATGTGCACTGTAAAGAGCGCCATGCCTGGGGAAAGATGATGTTTACTGTTGTGAAGGAAGAGTAGAGTAGAGGTGAGGTTGCCCTCTGAGGCTAAGCCCAAAGTCTCTCCCACGAATAATTCATTGGCATCCACGAAATATTGACGCTGATCCCGATCACTCCGACGGTGCACAGGATCGGCAGAGAAACGACACATCCCGCGCTCCACCATGCCCGACGATGAAATGGCCGCGAAACCCTCCTCGTCGGCATCGACCTTTGATCTCGTAGCGAAATGCTCAGTAAGTCGATCCTCTCAGCCCTCGAAGCACACGCATACTAATGCCAGACCGACTGACAGACCACTCGAGCACGAGCGGCCAATCTGCGTCTTCCCCATGGACCCGTCCAACTGCCCCTGTTCATGCCCGTGGCCACGCAGGCTTCCCTGAAAGGGCTCACGCCGAAGCAGCTGGAAGAGACGAGCTGCAGACTCTGCCTGAACAACACATACCATCTGTGAGAAGGAAACGCGTGTAGGGGAAACAGACGCGTAGGGGGCTGAGACTTGATAGGGGACTCAAACCGGGGCAGAAGACTCTGGATACCATCGGCGGAGCACACAAGTTGCAGTCATGGCCGCACAATATCTTGACAGGTAGGGCAAGACGAAGTTGAGTCCAGGAGGTTCCCACTGACGCGGAACAGACAGCGGCGGGTACGTGCCCTTCAACACAGATATGTATCTAGGATGCTTTTGCTTATGGGTCTGCAGCTTCCAAATGGTCTCGCTCCTTAAGCTTGCTCAAGTCACTGAAGAGGGTGTCCGCTTTCTCAGCCCACACGATGGGACGCCAATGTGAGTACAACCACTTGTTCATCTGCAGCTGTCCTGACAATGTCTCCAGGCTACTAACTCCAGAGCACTCCATATCACTGCAAAACTCCATTGGCTCGGACATCATCATGCAGCTCGACGACGTCATCGCCACGACGTCCCCAGACTACGAGCGGATCAAAGAGGCAATGCATCGTTCAGTCCGCTGGCTAGACCGTTGCATTGCTGCTCACAAGAATCCCGAGACCCAGAACCTCTTCTGCATCATCCAGGGTGGCCTCGACCTCGAACTGCGCCGGGAATGCTGTAAGGAGATGGTCGCGCGTGACACTCCGGGCATTGCGATCGGTGGTCTCAGCGGAGGGGAAGCGAAAACCGAATTCTGCAAAGTGGTGGGCACCTGCACCGCGCTCTTGCCAGAGCAGAAGCCACGCTATGTCATGGGCGTTGGCTTCCCGGAAGACATGCTAGTTTCGGTGGCTCTGGGTGCCGATATGTTCGACTGCGTCTGGCCGACTCGCACCGCCCGCTTCGGGAACGCCATCACCGACTCCGGATGCTTCAATCTTCGACATGCGTCGTACGCCTACGATCTTCGCCCAGTTGCTCAAGGCTGTCAATGCGTATGCTGCAGGCCTCACGCCGAAGGAGGTCTCGGGGTGACGCGAGCATACATCCATCACACTGCGGCGAAAGAGACGGCGGGAGCCCATCTCCTCAGCATCCACAACGTCCACTACCTGCTAGACGTCATGCGTCGCGCGAGAGAGGCCATCATCGAGGACCAATATCCCCGATTCCTCAAGCAATACTTCCACACGCTCTACGCCGGCGACAAGGAAAAGTTCCCCCGCTGGGCTGTGGAGGCTTTGAGGGGTGCTGGCGTGGACTTGCTGGGAGACTGAGAACCTGAACAATGTCAATTGAGGCATCTGTCATCGACACCGTCCACGTACGGACTTCGGTTTCTGGACACTTGCAACGATGTTGAATCTCCATGAGCCAATTGATCAGCAGCGACGGAAAATAGTAGCCGTCAGAATGCTTCGGCTGCTGCCTGCTATAGGCACGCGAAGCCCTGCAGAAGCACAACCGAGATCGAGATTTACCTTGGTCGTGCTAAACCCGCAGAGGGCCCGGAGACGGAGGATGGAGGGCTGAGAGAGGATGCTTCTGAGGAAGTTTGGAAGCTGAGAATGAGCATGTACAAATCCGCTCCGGCTTTTACACGATTAGGGGGTTCTCGATTCTCATGCAAACCCCAGAGAATTGGCCGGCTACACGAAACCTCGTACCTCATCGTCTTCTTTGATGTTGACCCATCTTGCAATCATCCATTCCTGTGACAGACCGTCAAAGCTGCGATGAGATTCTTTACAAATATGAGTGGTCTCAGTACCGTTGCAAGAGGTGTTTGCGATGGTGACGAGGTCTTGGCTGTTTGCGATAGTGACGAGGTCTTGGCTGATCTGGTGATCGCGATGGGGTCTGGCGTACGCCTCTGTTCCGGATAGGGTAGTAGGGAAGAAGAGCACAGCTAGTGTCTCAGTGGCGATGAGGTGTCGGAGCATGTCAGCTCAGCGGATCCTTAGGACGCAGTAGTGTTGTTAATATTTAAGATCCTCCTCCTTGCGAAATAGATGTGAATGCCCTGGTTATGGTGCACTAGAAGCGACTTGATGTAAACAGGATCCCCTTGTTCCACGAAATCTTCAGTCGGTTGTAGCTGTCAGCGTCTGAGCTATCATGTCAAATTTTGTTGCCTGACTTCAGATTTCTTCTTGTCGTGCTGCAATATAAGTACTGGTATTGGTGAGAGTGGGCTCACAGGCGGCTTCGTGGTGTCGAGTGGTCCGTGCACGAGGCATGTGCGTATGGAAGGGAAGCCTTGGTCAAGCGGCGGCAGGCTTCCTTGCTTATGGACGCGGTTCCTTGATTACGTGTCTGTTGGTGAGACCGATCTCCTAGGCGGTCGAGGAAGCCATCCCTACCAAGCACACGTGCGACGCGCGTAATACGTGGCACCTGTTTGCTTAAGAAGGCCGCGCTCCCATGGGGTGGGCCCAGTTTGGAGCTCGTTGCTTGTTTGCGGCTCAATTAAAGATAAAGTCCTTCACCATTGGAGACGAGGCAAACTCGGGGTTGAGGAGGATGCAGCTAGCTCGATTAGCTATGCTCACAGCTGCCTATCCTTCGTAGATACGACTTACTTGAGAAAGTGTGACAGGCCATTCTTTCGCTGGTCGAGGAACTTGGGCCTGAATCTGGAGACGACGCTCTTCCGTGGTAATTCTGGTATCATGGCCTCGGCATGAGGGAAGGCGTTGACGAGGTCTTGACGCAAGCGGTCGAATTCGGAATATCTTGGGGAGCAAGTCAACATACATTGATGGCGTAGGAATCCGGGGACCTTGTACCTTTTCCGTATGCTCAGGTCACCACCTTTTAGAGTGCTGACGGTGCAGTGCCACACGACATAAGCACCGAGACCGGTCGCTCCCGACACAACGACATGTTCGTCAATGGAAACGGACCGGGCCCAACATGACCGGGCCAGGTCATGACTCTCCTCGGAGTGATCCTCCAGGCCGATGAGAGTCGGACGAGTCTGGTTGAGGGAATGATAGCTCACAGAGCTGATGCTCCGGCCGTGGCGATTCCAGCATGGAGGAGCGTCGATCGCGCGGGCGCCATGTGGTTGGGGGATATCTTCCGACGCGGTGTCTGGAGCTTCAGATGGTGAGACGAGGGAAGGTGAAGGTCGGCGGTGGCGGTGGCGGGTGGAGACACTTCCAGTTTCTCCGCTGGGCGGAGAGTCGGAGGTGGCCGGGGGTGCATGGCGGGGCCCCATTCAAGCTTCCCGTCATCCAAGACGGGAGCATGTGATGGAGACGCTAGGCCGGGTGGCGGGCAGAGTTCGCGTTGCCCTTGGAAGGTGCAGCACGAACACAACAGAGAAGGTGCTATGTATGCTCTGGGTGCGAGTCGAGGAAAGCAGCTCCCAGCTCCAGCTCCACCTCGCACTGCAGCTTCTTGGAGTTCGCCCGAATACGCGCGTCCATGCAGCAAGAACGGCTCGCGGCGTGCAGTGTGGGAGCTTGGGAGCTTGGAAGCTTGGGAGCTACGGTATGGTATACGCTCTGCAGAGGTGAGAAGAGGGGCGACCAGACGAGAGATGGCCGGTAGCTTCGTCTCCTAGCCAGGATTGCGTGCATACACGGCCGGAAGAGGAAAGGCGGCGGCGGCGGCGGAACGATCGCGAACCCTGCAGCCGGCGCTATTTTGGCATCTTTCTCCCGTCGCCGTCTACACCATTGACACGAGCTTCCCATCTACGGTCTTCTTTCCTGCAGGCCACACTATCTCTCTCACACGCGCCCGCGAAGAGAAAGAGAGAGGGAGATAGGCCACCGTTACAATGTACTCCTCCCGCCGACCTGCCGCTGCTGACCCTCCGCTCCGGCCCGCCTGCTGAGTCGGGGCATTCGAACCTATGGAGCTTGGACTCCCTCCCGGTCATGCTCTACCGCGCCGCGGTGTGAGCAGTATATTGCTCAACCCTCCCCGTCACAATCATCCACGATCTATTCCTACACTTCTCCCTCTTCTTCCTCTCCGCCGCCATCTCCAACACCCTCCGCCCTCGCACCACCATCACATTCGCTTGGGCACTGTCGCTACTCCTTGCTTAGGCCATATCTATAACCCTGTGTTACTAGCAAAAGCAGTCCCTCCGACTTCCTGCTCCGGCACCACACGCATCCGCTCCGGGAGTGGTGTGAACGGGTCTCACACCGCGGACGCCTACTCATACATACACCAACAGGAATATCCAAATTATCTCAATCCTCCAACATGAAGCCCTTCACACGCTTCTCCATCGCCACCGCTGTCCTCCTCACGGCCGTCTCTGCACAGGTACAATACAGCATCGACCCAAACTCCGTGGACAACAGTACGAGACGTGAGAACAACCACAAGATCCACACTCACCACAATCATACTAACCATCCTCATAACAGAATACTGGTGTCAAGAACAACAGGCCGAATGCCCCCTGATCTGCCTCCAATCCGCTGCCAACTCCGCCTCGACCTCTTCCAACGACTGCGACCCTTCCTCCCTCACCTACGCCTGCGTCTGCAGCAATGGCCTCTCCCCCAACGTCTCCGAATACTCCCAAACCCTGCCCTACTACATCTGCCAAGAATGGGGAAACCAATGCGTCTCCAACTGCGGCATCGGCAACAACGACTGCTCGGAGCAGTGTAGGAGTCAACACCCGTGCGGTGCTCTGAATCCTACCAGACAAAACACGAGCACCTTGACGAGTACCATGGCGAAGACGAGTACTGGAGGGGCCGGGAACAATGCCGCCGTGACGACGGATAGCAATGGCCAGACAATCTATTCGGGATTAGGAGGAGGCAGTGCGTCGGGGAGCGGGAGCAATTCTGGCGCTAGCACGCGGTTCAGGGGTTGGGCTTTGGATGCTGCTCAGACATTTGGCATGGTCGGACTCGTGGGTGCTTTCATCGGTGGCTTCGCTGTTTTGCTCTAGAGCAGAACTTCCATTGTGAAGATGAACGAATGACGGACAACCACTGATCATGGCGTGGAAGATGTAATCAGTCCCGGTGAAGGGATGGGACCGGCAAAGTTGCGAACGGGACGGTATCTGGGGACTGGGGATATTCTTTCTTGCAATCTTAGCGTTACAGCGAACAGCGAGCACCTCACGGCATTGGAGGATTTTCAGCGATGTTTGGGCTATGGGACATGGTAATTATCTCTTTGCGGATTGGGTACGGTACGGAGGGAAGAGAGTCTTCCGAAACTCGAAAATGTGTTAATAGCAGCAAGCACAAAAGCATCTATCCTTGAACAATGGAGAATGACACTGGAATAACGAGCACGATTACACCTCTACTTTCCTCTCTTCTTCGCCCAGGCTACTGACTGTTAACTAGCAAACGACCTCTTCTCCACCGCCACATCCACAGCCTTCTTCCCATTCAAAACACAAGTCGTCCCGATCACAATCTCCCTCCCACTCTGCCGCTGCAACTGCGCACTCAGAAACCGCAGAGCGGCAATCTCAGCATACGTAACGCCACCCAGAAAGAAGACGACCGTAATCTTGGGCCCTTCCTTGCTCCCGCGCAGAGTCTTCCTCGCATGCGACGCGTCCGCATCGCTGCCCTTCTGACTCACATCCACCGTCGCGCCGCGGATCTTGCCCAGGGAGTCTTCGAAGCCTTTCCATCCCGTGCCGCCCGGGGCGGCGGGGGCGTTCTTCGCGTTGACGAGTTGGTGCAGGGCGGGTTTCTGGAGGATGCACTGGACCAGGCGCACGCTCAGGGGGGCATAGCCGCTGAAGACGTAGGCGATGTCTTCCGGGTCGGATTCCTGGACCTCGTCGGTCCAGAGCTGGAAGCTCTTGCGCACCGCGTTCCAGTCGGTGGCGGTCTGGCCCGCGGCGCCGGCGATGGGGTTCAGGTAGCCGCGGTGACTCTCGCGGGGGACGAGGAGGCCCATCTTTTCCAGGTCGGAGAGGGTGAGGGTGTGCTGGAAGCCGTAGGCTTGGAGGATCATGCGTTTGAAGTGGTCGAGGTCTCGTTGGCGGAGGCCGTTCGACAGAGAGCTTTCGAGGCAGAGGAGTCGGAGGACCGTACTCAGCGGCGCATCCCGAGCAATGAGCTCTTCGAGATTCTCGTGCAGACTGCTCGGATCCGTGCCTGCCAAGAGGTTCTGCTGGACCTCGAGCATCCGTCCGAAACTCTCGCCGCGGGTGACTTTCATAATTTCCTCGGCAAGACTGGTGTGAATCTTCAGACTCGTAGATTCAGCCTGGTATGACGGGAGTTTGTTGACGATGTTTCGTAGATCTGCGACCGTTTGCTCTTTGTTGTGCATGGTTTCATGGTCGGAAGCCAGTCTTCGTGCGGTGCGGTTCAGAGTAGGCCCGACCGTCGCGAAATTGGTGTCACGCAGATCGGGATACAATTTATCGCTGGAATCAAGAACGACCTTGCGTTTCGTCGCGGCGGTCGGCGTGGAACCGTTTTGTTGTGCGGGTTGGGCTGGTGCGCCGCCGAGGATTGAAGAGTCCACTTCAATGCTATTGTTGGTGATGGTAAAGACTTCATCCAAGAGGCCCTCGTATGTCAGCTGAGTGGAAAGCACTGTAGGGAAGTCGACTTCGCGGTCGATGACGACCAGATTCTCGACAAGAGAGCTTGGCGTGAGGCCGAAGGAAGTGAGGAAGGTGGTGTTCGGATCCGCTGCTGCGTTGACATCTTCCTCGTTGCGCATCTTCTGGAGGAGGTCAGCGAGGCGTTGAGCGTTGTCGCCCTTGCCCAGTATCCTTGGAAATAGCCCATACTGCTTCTGCAGGAGCATCAAAGCCTTGGCAGAGGCGAAAATGGGCGTCGGATCTCTCCGCAAGCAGATGTCGCTAAACGAGTCCTCGAGCTCCAAGGAGAGCACGTCGGATTCCAGAGGGACGAAGTTCAATGCCAGCTCCGTGATGTTCGCCTCTCCCAAGACACCATGTTCTTCGAGGATCATGTTGCTGACCAAAGTGCGGCGAGGCACCCAAATGATGGTGAAGTCATGGTCAATCTTGCTTTCGCTGCGAACGAGCTTGATCTGTTCTATTGGCCTGTTAGCATCAAGTCTGAGATCGAGATCGAAATCAGAACGCGACGTTAATTCGGTATGTAAGCATTTCATGATGGCTCTGCACATGATTCAGAGGTACACGTGAGACTATAGATCATATTGGCTGAAGTTGGGTTGCTTTTGGGATCAAGACTGAATACACAGAGTGAAAGCAGTGCGTCTGTGTACTCTACTTTTAGATCCCGTAGGGGTTGTCGGCTGTCTCGAACGAGAGACATAAGGTTGAGCATAGTAGGAGAGGGTGAACATACCAGCTACAGTGCGTATCTTCTTTGCGCTCTCGCCTCGCGCCATGAAAATGATGTTGCGCTGCGTCGAGTCGACATTGTGGTTCTCGAGGAAGAAGGGCTTGTCGACTCCATACTCCTGGAGAGTGCTGAACTTGACGAACAAGCCAATGGTACCAGCCAGAGACTTTTCGATGACCAGATTCTTCTTGCCTCGAACCTGCGGAGACGGCGGTCAGGAGTGATCCCAAGATTTAGGGGCGGTCAGAGTACCTACGCCCTCAAGAAGATGAAGCAGATCTCGACGGGCCTTGTCGGTAATTTCCTGAGTGTTTATGGCCTTTGCGGCCGAATGTGCTGCCATCACATCTTCGAGTATTGTTCAGATGGAACCGCGCAAGTTCGAATGTGAGGCTCTCCAATATAGTTCGACTAGCTCCGGCTACTCCCTAGTGCAAGCTCAGGGGTCTTGAACTGACGTATCGCCGACTTTTGTTTCGCGGGCTGGCGTGTGAAGACTCACAATCGCAGTCCACTCTTTGTGTATGAAGCGCTTTTTTCGTCTCGCTTTCTCTGCCCCCACAGAAGTCCGCTGCACCGCTCGAATACCTTTCTCGAGACCATTCGCATACCCTATCCAATCGAGTAATTTTTCAGCACCAATCCACAGCAACGACGAAATGGGTAAAGAGAAGGACGGCAAGACGAGCTACCAGCTCAAGGTGCCTAAGGGTACGAAAGACTGGGATGGAAAGGACATGGTGATTCGAGAGAAGATCTTTGGCACCATCTCAGAAGTCTTCAGGCGCCACGGCGCAGTCACAATCGACACGTTGGTCAACCTACAGAATGTCTTCGCATTGCCATTGACTGACGGATTGCTACAGACCAGTGTTCGAGCTTAAGGAAATTCTTGCCGGGAAATACGGTGAAGACAGCAAGCTCATTTACGACCTCGCTGACCAGGGCGGCGAGCTCTGTTCCCTCCGATACGACCTCACTGTCCCTTTCGCACGATGGCTAGCCATGAACTCGAGCGTACAGAACATCAAGAGATACCACATTGCAAAAGTGTACCGAAGAGATCAGCCTGCCATGACCAAGGGCCGTATGCGAGAATTCTATCAATGCGACTTCGATATTGCCGGAGCATACGATCCAATGCTTCCGGATGCGGAGATTATGCGAATCACCTGTGAAATTTTCGAAGCACTTGGATGGAAGGGACGATATACGATCAAGATAAATCACCGAAAAATTCTCGACGGCATCTTTATCGTTTGTGGCGTGCCTACGGAGAAAGTACGGACCATCTCATCGGCAGTGGACAAGCTGGATAAGTCACCATGGAGCGAAGTGAGGAAGGAGATGACGGAAGAAAAGGGACTAGATCCCGAGGTCGCGGATCGGATAGGAGAGTATGTGGTACTGAAAGGCAGTGAAGAACTGCTGGACAAGCTACAGAAGGATGAGAAGCTATCAAACAACGAATCTGCAAAAGCTGGCTTGGATGACATGGCACTTCTGTTTCGCTATCTGAAGACATTCGGGGTTCTTGATCGAATCTCGTTTGATATGTCACTGGCACGAGGACTGGACTACTACACCGGCGTCATCTACGAAGTTATCACAGAGGGGTCGGCGCCGCAGACATCAGAAGGCCAGTCGATACAGCAAGCAGGAAAGAAGGAGTCGAAGCCCAAGAAGCACGTATCAAATATTGACGGTGACGAAGATCGATCGAACGATCCAAGCGTTGGTGTAGGATCAGTCGCTGCTGGCGGCCGATACGACAACCTTGTCAGCATGTTCAGCGGCAAGCAGCAAATCCCCTGTGTCGGCATCTCATTTGGTGTGGAGCGAATCTTCAGTATTACCAAGCAGCGACTAGCTCAAGACAGCTCCTCGGCTCCGATCAGGACGAATGAGGTTGACGTGTACGTAATGGCCTTCGGCGGAAAAGGCTTCGACGGTCTCCTACCCCAGCGCATGGAAGTGGCCAAGCGCTTATGGGACGCCGGTATCAAGGCCGAATTCAGCTGGAAGGTCAAGCCAAAGCTACCCCAGCAATTCAAGGCAGCTGAGGTCAATGGTGTCCCATGGGCCGTCATTTTGGGAGATGAAGAACTCAGTGGTGGCAAATGCAAGATCAAGCAGATGGGTCTAGAGGATGGTCACCCAGAAAAGGACGGTGTTATGATTGAGATGGCCAACCTGGAAGACGAAGTCAAGAAGCGCATCACAACTTCGCCCGACTCGGCATCGTTGACCAACGGTCTCGGTGGTTTGAGTTTGAACGAATATGCTGCAGGAGCGCCGAAGACGGGATAGAGCTTCGCAGTCCCGCAAATTTGAGCAGTGCTGGGAAAGTCACGGATGGCCTCAATGGAAAAGCACGTTACGACCCTGATTGCCACGAGCTTCTAAAAAGAAGTCGCACGCACCAAAAAGATACCAGGCCGACAGATTCCTGCCCCGTCCAAGCTTCATCTACATTTCGAATCCAGATCGGCGTGCGGTGGCATTGTTCGTGCAACCGGGCCGACTTGAAAGAGTATTAGGGGAGAAACCTGATACCTAGGACTCGAGAAATTCGTTGAGGCTCAGTACCTCTCCCAAAGATATAGATACCCGTCCTGCCTCCAATGATAGCCGAAGCGTCTTCTTCAACTCTGCACGTTCTCCTCGTCTTCCTCGTCTGTAGTATAAAGCATTTTTTGACCGCAGAGCAATGCGTGAGTGCACGGGCCAAGCGTTCTCGATTTCGCAGCTCGAACTCTTGAGAACAGTCACACGAGAAGGGAACAGTTTTGCACCCCACATCCTCGATTGAACCTCTTCTTTTCCCACATTTGCTGCATTGAGTGAGACGTCACTGATGCAATTGAGTTACTTGAGCAAGAGAGCGTGACTCACTGTCGTCAAGCCCAACTTGCGCTATACCCAACCCTCGACTCGAAGGCTTTCCACGATACTTTCTCGAGCGCTACTCCGGCGCAGTTTCTATGCTTCGACACACGTAGCCAAGCGACCTTTCACTTGCAAAATGGCGCTGAACCACGCTTCGCACAATCCCACAGGCGAGAAGACTGGCCCTGCCACCGGACAACCCCCACCACCGTCGGAGGAGACCAAGGCCGCAATTATGGAGGCTGCCAATGGCGATGCTAAGGGTCATACCGCACCAGGGAAGGATGGCGGCGACCCGGATGCGCCCAAGAAGGAGAAGTCTGAGAAAGAGCTTGCGAAAGAGAAGGCGAAGGCGGACAAGCTGGCAAAGTTAGCAGCGAAACAGGCTAAGCAAGCAGAGATGTCTGCGAAGTCACAACCGAAGCAGAAAGAGAAGAAGAAAGAGGTGGAAAAGCTACCTCCGTACGTTGAGGAGACTCCCAAGGGCGAAAAGAAGATCCTCAAGTCGCTGGATGATGAGTACCACAAGGCATACATTCCCTCTGTCGTGGAGAGTGCGTGGTATGACTGGTGGGAGAAGGAAGGGTTTCACAAGCCAGAATTTGCTGCTGATGGCAACGTGAAGAAGAATGGATACTTCGTCATTCCTATACCGCCGCCAAACGTCACTGGCGCTCTGCATATTGGGCATGCTCTCGCGACTTCGCTTCAGGATACTTTGATTCGGTGGAACCGCATGAAGGGCTTGACGGCTCTGTATGTACCTGGATGTGATCATGCTGGTATTTCAACACAGAGTGTCGTGGAGAATATGCTGTATCACAGACGCAATGGCTTGACAAGACACGACTTGGGCAGAGAGAAATTCGTCGAGACTGTCTGGGAATGGAAGGAAGAGTACCACGAGAAGATCAACAAGGTCATGAAGCGATTGGGAGGATCTATGGACTGGAGCAGGGAGGCTTTCACTATGGATCCAAATTTGTCGGCGGCCGTGAGGCAGACATTTGTACAATTGCACGATGAAGGCCTGATCTACCGAGCGAATCGTCTCGTCAACTGGTGTACAAAGCTTTCCACAGCCCTCTCCAACATAGAAGTGGACCAGAAGGAGCTGGAGGGTTCCACGAAGCTTGATGTACCCGGCTACGACAAGAAGATCGAGTTCGGCTCCATCTGGAACTTCAAGTACCCGATCGATGGCACCAACGAGACCATCGAAGTCGCTACGACACGTCCCGAGACAATGCTTGGCGATACAGGCGTGGCCGTACATCCAACAGATGAGCGGTACACGCACCTCATTGGCAAGTTTGTGAAGCATCCGTTCGTGGACCGCAAGCTTCCCATCTTTGGCGACGATTCCGTGGAGAAGGACTTTGGTACTGGTGCCGTCAAGATCACACCCGCACACGACTTCAACGATTTCAGGCGTGGAAAGGAGCACAACTTGGAGTTCATCAACATCCTCAACGATGACGGAACGATGAACTCGAACGCTGGGGTCTTTGAAGGCCAAAAGCGCTTCGATGTACGTTACGGTGTCATTCAAGAGCTTGAGAAGCTTGGTCTTTACGTTGGCAAATCCAACAACAAGATGCAGATCCCGCTCTGCAGCAAGTCCAAGGATGTCATCGAGCCAATATTGAAGCCGCAATGGTGGATGCACATGAAGCCTCTCGCCGAACCTGCGATTGAAGTTGTGAAGTCGGGCAAGATCAAGATCCGGCCCGAAAACGCAGAAAACTCGTACTACCGATGGATGTCAAACATCGATGACTGGTGTCTGTCTCGCCAGCTATGGTGGGGACACCAGGTGCCCGCATACTACGTAAAGTTTGAGGATGGACCCGCTTACGATGTCGATGCGGACCACTGGGTGTGTGCAGAGACCGAAGAAGAGGCAAGAGCGAAAGCCGGGAAGAAATTCCCTGGCAAGGAGTTCGAGCTTGTACGAGATCCGGACTGCCTCGACACATGGTTCTCTTCGGGCTTGTGGCCTTTCTCGACCCTAGGCTGGCCAAATCAAACTAATGACTTCGAGAAGCTCTATCCAACGTCCGTTCTCGAGACCGGTTGGGACATCCTGTTCTTCTGGGTGGCCAGGATGATCTTCCTGGGACTAAAGATGACCGGCAAAGTGCCCTTCAACGAAGTCTACTGCCACTCTCTCATCCGTGACTCTGAAGGTCGGAAGATGTCCAAGTCACTGGGCAACGTGATTGATCCAGTAGACATCATGGACGGAATCAGCTTGCAGGCGCTTACCGATAAGCTGAAGCTTGGTAATCTTGCGCCAAAGGAGGTCGACCGGGCTGCGAAGTGGCAAAAGTCAGCCTTCCCAGACGGTATCGATGAGTGTGGTGCCGATGCTCTCCGCTTCTCCCTGATCAATTACACGACCGGCGGTGGCGACATCAACTTCGACGTCAAGGTGATGAGCAGCTACCGCCGCTTCTCAAACAAGATCTATCAGGCCACTAAGTATGTGCTCGGCAACTTGCCTGCGGATTTCAAACCTCAAGCCAAGGGTGGTAAGACGGGCAAGGAGAGTCTGCCGGAGAGGTGGATATTGCACAAGATGACTATTGCCGCTCGTGACGTGAACGAGGCACTGGCTGACCGGGAGTTCTCGCACGCAACGCAGACTGCATACGCTTACTGGTACTACAACCTCTGCGACGTGTACATCGAGAACAGTAAGGCCATCATCCGCGACGGCACTCCTGAGCAGAGGCAGAGTGCAATTGACACTCTGTACACTGCTCTTGAAGGCGCTCTCACCATGATCCACCCCTTCATGCCTTTCCTCACTGAGGAGCTGTGGCAACGTCTCCCGCGTCGACCTGGCGACAACACCAAGAGTATTGTCGTGGCTCAGTATCCAATGTACGATCCGGAACTCGATGACCCGAAGTCCGAACGCGACTACAGCCTTATCACGGGATGCGCCGAAGCCATTCGATCCCTTTTGCAACAAGAAAAGATCAAAGAAGACGGCAAAGCCTACGTGCAGCCCTTCACCGACGAGGCCGCACAGACCGCTTCAGCCGAGCAGCAAGCTATCAAGACCCTTGGCGGCAAGGGTCTCGCGCAACTCGAAGTCCTCTCCCAGGGCCAAGCTCTGCCCAAGGACGTTCCGTGCGTCGTATACCCCGTCTCTGCTGCTGCTGCCGTCTTCCTCGAGCTCAAGGGCAAGGTCGACCCCGACGCGGAGATCAAGAAGATGAAGCCGAAGATGGAAAAGGCTTCGGAGGAAGCCAAGGCGCAGGAGAAATTGCTGGGTACTCTCGGCGAGGGCGTCAGCGCCAATGTGAGGGAGAAGGAAGAGGCGCGGCTGAGGGACTTCAGAAGTAGTCAGAGGGTGTTTGAGGAGACTTTGGCGAGCCTGGAGGCGATAAAACTTTAGATGAGGCAAGAAAGAGTAGGAAATGTTACAGTTTTGGGCTGTTTCTATCTCTGTTCCCGGTGAGGTTTGCCATGTTGTGATGCTTGCTGGCTTTGACCGGTAGGTATATTGCAAGCGGTGTCAGCCGCGCGATTCGCCGCGACTGCGCTCTCTCCGACGAATAGAAAAGATGTCGTGTCTGTGCAACTCCTGTTTCTCGACGTGAGCTTTCTCCCATGCGGGGCGTGAAGACAAAACGAAGCCCAAAGCAAAGCGAGGAGGCGCGGAAGAGTCGGGCCGAATCTCACGACATCAGCGCCGTGCAATCTTGCCTACTATTTCGGTATATATATATATGGTCACTAACATCGAATCACAATACTACCTTCTCCCTCCCTTCTGCCTGGGAGAGAAAACATGTTGGCTGTGGGTTCCGTGGTGCTGTGATGAGACGTGCTGCGAGGAAATCGGCATTGCTGCTACTTTGAATGGAAGTTCTAGAAAAATGGTACAAGGAGCGAGAGATGGAGTAACGAGGAAGGTGTGAGGAGCAGTAGCTAGAGGGACAACTACTACACTGTGCGTGGATGAATTGCTCTTTCCACGGCTCGGTTCCAGGCCGCGGATGGAGCGGGTAAGTGGATATTTTCCCCGTTGGTGTAAGTGGACAACCCATTGAGGTGATATGTAACAACTACGCCACAGGCAACGGAATTGACGAGGAGAATCAGAAGAGAGCGCCGAGGTTGGAGGGAAAGACCAGGGATGGTGATATGGGAGACATGAGCTAGCGTCGAGTTTATCGCAGCCAATGAGCAGTCTTGTCGTTCATGTGCTATCATCCCTTTGCTGCGTGCCCCGGTAGATGGGGTCAACCAATTGTCAGCATTGCATTTGGTCCATTCTATTGGAAGGCTGAATGAGACAACAGCACCCTCACACCGGATATCCGGCTGATTCGAGTTTGCATCGTGTGAGGCACGGCACGTTACAGCCTCCATGACGTTGAGCTCGGATGAGTGTCGAGACCTGTCCCGGTCAATGAACTGATAGTGTGTTCGCCCCGAATCTGAGGATGAGCTATCGTATGCGTGTCGGCAGCGTGCCTGTCCTAACGTCACTTCCAGCTCGTAGCATTGTGCTTGCTCTCAGGCAATGCATATGCCGGTAGACTTTGATAGGCTTCGGGCCATCTACCGTCCGCAATATTTGGGTCACTGCGCCGACGTAGGGCAAGCGATCCTCACATCGTCGTTCGATGTGGCTGCAGGTACGGCTGACGGCGTTGCTAGTAACCTAAGCACATATCGAGCTGTAGTGATTGATATCCGGGAGCGGTGCCGGAGGACCTGTTGAGAGCCGCAGCGCCGTGAAGGTGAGAGGGCTTTCGTCTTGTATCCTGTATGAACGGAGACACACGCAAAACGAGTGGAGAGAACGCTAGCGCTGCGCGCGGGCTTTGCCAGAGCACAGCCAGGAAGCGCGCAGCGTGTAGATTCCCTGCTCGCACGCTGCAGTACAGTTGGCAGCTTAGCCCCGTCACTCTGGTGACGACACCTGCTAGGCGCCGCCCTTCTTCCTGTTGCTGCGTTGACTGATACCCACCGCTGTAACAGTCGTACCAGCATGCACGCTCAATAGCTAAAGGTATCGGAGCCCTCGGCACAGGGAGCCGTTGGCCCATCCACGAAACAGCTGCAGACTGGTATCAGCGTCTGTCGTCTTTCTTATCTGCTCGAGCAGTATGATCGTCAACCCTTGTGATCGCATTGTCGTTTGCTCGTGTACCGCTTTGTGCTTGCCCCGAGGATCTGCGAGATTTGCGGGCGACTGCTTGAGAGGGCGCAGACAACAGCGGTGATATCTGGGTGTAAGGACGCTGATCCTGGTTCTGGTTGAAACAAGGTTTTCGCGCATTCCAAAATGTCCGAGGAGTGACACCGGTTCGCTGTGCCTCTGCTAGCCGCATCCTTTCCCATCGAGCTGTAAGCCAGCCGCTTTCTTGCTCCCCTTGTGCCTGGAATTTTGGCGAACATCTGGCGCAGATCCGTTTCATCTACCAACTCGGCATCGAAGTCCAGTGGGCGTGCAGATGAGCCCAATCGCATATACACACCACGCGAATCACCGTGCCGCGATTGCGTCTTCTGTTGCAGCTAGTGATGCATGCTCCCAAATTCCCAGTCACTGTGTTGTACAACGTAGTTTTAAGCGAGTTCGGTGCGTCATATGTGCTCTTATCCGCCGGTTGTCAGGCCGGCCGTCGCGTACCTTTCTCGCGGCGTCGTTGAGATGTGGAAAGAGCATTAACCGGTACAGATACAACGCAGTTCCCGCGCATCAATTCCAGGTGGTAGGCTCGTTCCTGAGAGAGTACGGCAGGCCGGCGAGCGCATGAAAGCATCCGATGCGACAACGTAGGACATACTCTCCATCACTCAAGACGGCAGCTGTGCCCATAGCAAGATCATAAGGCGGTTTTGCTCGGAACGTTGGCCTCGAGGTACCTCTGACCATGGCTCGGCCCACCCGACCCATCGCGAGACGCGCATCACCCCTGCAGACTGGCAGATTATGCATGCGTGTGACCTCGAACATGCCTCTACTCACATCTTCCACGGGTAATGGGTGTTCGGCGTCTGGTCAAAAACGTCTTCTCGGCCGTCGTCATGTTACAGACCGTTCCTGGCTTGGGTTCAGCACACGCATCTTTCTCCATCTTTGAACACAAGCAACCACACACGTGCGTACTTCTGACCAGTCATCGCGCAGAGACACGAGCACGTCTTCATACTCTACACTGAGAGAGCCTACGTCGAATGTGATCCTGTGACCTGATTGGGAGATCTCGTGTGGTTGTACGCGGCGGCACCAATGCACGGCAAGGGGCTGTTCGGACCGTGTGTTTGAACCAGAGCAAGGCATCCGCGCACAGACCATTATCGTGAGGTCGTCGATGAGAATGCTGTTCCCAGAGGCCCTTGCCCCTGCTCGCTCTTCTTCGCCAACAGTGAGCACTCTACGCTGTGAGCGAAGCTTTCGGCTTAGTCCTTTGGCATCTGATGGTTGCTCGGCATGATCCTGCGATATCAGCCCCGTGCCCACGAATGGAAGACAACCAGGAGTCGTACAATGATGGCTGAGGCGTTTGCAAAGGAAGTCGCTGCTATGCGTCAGCGGTCGTCGATGCTGCGTATAAAGAGGTGGAGATTCACGCCGGACCAAAATTCCACCACAGCGCAAGCCAAACGACTTTCATCATCCTCAGCACTCTTGACATTGTCGACATTGTCTGCCTGCCAAGAGAAGTGTGTATATGGCTTCGTCATTTGCCGATTCCAAGAAGCGGGGTCCTGCCGGGGGCGACGGCAATAGGGATCTCAAGTAAGCCTTCACAAGCGCGATAGAGGAGAATTGCTGAGCAGGCTCGATTAGGAGAGGCGAAGAAAGGCGGAGCACCAATGCGGCCCAAGGCGGTGGTAGCAAAACCGACTCCAGGGAGTCCAGCAACCCACAAGGCCGTCAAGCCAAGGAGGATCCTCCAATGCTACGCGATTGGAACGCAAGCTTCCAGCGCCATGAGTATCTGGCATACAAGTACCCCTCGAACTTGGCTCAAACTCAGACTGCTAAAGGATCCCAATCGGCGGCTTTGACCGGCCAGTCTTCTCGACAATCGTGAACACCAATGCTGCAACAGGTTCTCACATACTAATGCGATACTGCTTGCTTTTCGATCCGGACTGTTGATGTATTCTGATGATGTATACGACTATTGTCATTGAGCATGAAGAAGAGCGACGCGCCTAGCAGAGAAGCACACAAGGAAAGTGGTGTGGTCGTGTCGATGGTGACGACTAGAACGAATAGCGTGTATCTCGTACCATCAGTGTTAGTATCTGTATTATCCCCATCGTTAAGTGCGGTCATTCGAGCGGAAAACTCTCGAGTCTTGTCCTCGCGAGGCCGCGAACTCAAAAGTCGCAGATGCGAGTGGCCCAGAGTTCCAGACACAGATAGTGGGCGGATCAAATAGCTGCACAGACTTGAGCCCCGTTCGGATTCCATCGTCATCGGCCAGCTTTGGGTCACGGATGACCGACTGAGGCCGCAGAGTCTTGGCAGGGTGGTGATTTCGGAAAAGGCCTGGCACGAGAGCAATTTTGTGTCGGCAAAGCTATCCGCATGGACGAGAATCTCACTGATGGGTGCTGTTGGCATTCTGTAATTCGTTATACTCGGCTTGCCGCACCGGTGCAAAGTACGTGTGCGCCATAGCCTCCCGCGCGGTGAGTCGTTCCTATAACGGGTCAGTCGAACACGCAATGCCAGATTTGTTTGATTCAAATACCTGATGATCGTAGCGGAGAAGTTTGTCCAGGAAATCGATGGCATCATTGCTGACGAAACGCTGGTTCTCCGGATTTACGAAGGCATGCCAACTCTTCTTGGGGAACCGGCCTAGTATGTCATCGTATTGCGCATCGAGCTCAATGTCGTATTTGTCCAGATAATCGAAGAGATCTTCCGTACCCAGAACTTTGGCAATCTTGACCAGTTGATCACTGTTGCTGTTTCCATGGAAGAACGGCTCTTTCCTGAAGATCATACTTGCGAACATGGCACCGAGGGACCACATGTCCAAGCTGTAGTCGTATTCCTGGAAATCGACGAGGAGCTCGGGTCCTTTGAAGTATCGGCTTCTGCAAGGGCATCAGTGAAGCTCATTTCATGCGATTTTGGGAGACGACTCACGCGACGCGCACGTTGTACTCCGTGCCTGCATGGTAGAACTCGGCGAGACCCCAGTCGATAAGGCGGAGCTTTCTGTTCTCGTGATCGATCATAACATTGTGTGGCTTGACATCTCGGTGCATGATGCCTTTGCTGTGACAGAAGTCCAACGCTTTCAACAGCTCGTAGATATAGTACCGCACGTCGTAGTCTTGGAACTTGGGGTACAGTGTCCGAAAGTCGGTGTTATTGACATGTTCGAAAATGAGACTCGGCGTTTTCGACTGGCTGTCTCTCACCACATCGAGAAGCGCGACGATGTTCGGGCCGCCGGAGAGGTTTTGCAGGATCTTGATCTCGCGCTTGATCTTCTTCTTCTTCACCGGCTTGAGGACCTTAATGACACACTTCTGGTAATTAACCACGTTGACGCCTTCGAAGACCTCAGAGTATTTTCCGCGACCTATTGCGACTAAGCGTTAGTCTCACGCTGTTCTCGGGTGTGTAGTTCAATCCGTATGTCCATCCGACTCTTACCAATCTTCTTGACAACTTCGTAGTTTTCGAGTACTCCCCAGCTGATGTTCACACTGTCGTAGTCCCAGTATGCGCGCGGCATCTGCTGGTTCACATCGGCGTAGACACGTGCCATGTCGTCGATGGGGGCCTTTCTAGGCCGTGATGTGAGGAAGGGCTGCTCGCTAGCACCGACGATTCTCGAATCTGCACAGGTGGGTGCAGTATGAATGGGTTGTCTTGGTGGTATGACGATGCTAAGCGGCCGTGAGAGGAGACGTATATACTCCTCGAGCTGGTAAATGCCTCCAGGTCTCGGCAGATGAGGTGGTTGGCTCTTGCAGTGAAGGCAGTAGATTGCGGTTGGTGAGGTTGTTTTGGTGGGGCAGCAAAGGCGGATGATGTGTGGTACCGACAGGCCGGATCTCGGCTCGGACCCAACCTTAAATGAGCACTGTCTCGTGCCAGATGGAGATAGAACAACTCCATCGACGCTCGCTCTTCTTCTTTCCTTTCACAGCATTCGCAGCACCTCACACGCGCATCCGCATGGACCTCCCGACGCTGCAAAAGCTATCGCGTCCCGGAGTGACGGCGCTTGTCGCTTTCCTGGCCTTCACTTCACAGTGGTTGTTCTACCACATCGAGCCCGGCCCGCTCCGAAAAGGGGACGCGTATTTGTTCAACTCGCTCGTCGCCAGCCTCCTCATCTGCTACTGGAGAACGTGTCTCACAGACCCAGGCAAGATTCCCAAAGACTGGATAGAAGGCGTGCGAGATCGAGGCTCCACTTCCCAGCAATCGGCGTCCGCCGCAGCACAGAGCAACCGATGGTGCAGGAAATGCGAGGCCTTCAAGCCACCAAGAGCGCATCATTGTAAGACCTGCAAGCGGTGAGTTGTCTACCGGTGTCAAGCACGTCGTACTGAATACCGTATTGACGGTCTGAAGCTGTGTCGCCAAGATGGACCATCATTGTGTCTGGACAGGTAGGCAACATGTTCCATATGGATTCATTGGGGAATGGTAAGTAACTTTCTGAACCAGCCAATTGTGTTTCACACATCACCATTCCTCATTTCATTCGATTCTTATTCTACGCGGTGGTATCCATGATTTACTTGGAGACCTTCCTCTACTTTCGAGTTGCTGTGCTCTGGCAAAAGCGCCACCTACCAAGCGTATGTATATGCCGCCTGAGGAAGGACCAGACAACACAACTTACAAGTCGTAGTATCTCGGGCCCTCCGTCTTCACACTAGCACATCTCTTTGTTCTCTCTGCTGTCAACTCACTTGTGCTCTTCGCGCTGCTTCTCCTCTTTGGCCGTACAATATGGTCACTTGCGGTGAACACATGGACAATCGAAGGATGGGAGATCGAACGGCACCACACGCTTCTACGCCGCGCTCGCGTTCTCGGCGGTGTTCTTGACGGCCCGGATGGAACAAAGGTGCGAATCGAACACCAGGAATTTCCCTGGGACATTGGCATTTGGGCAAATATTTGCCAGGGCATGGGTACCGCGAATCCAATCGCATGGTTCTGGCCTTTTGCTCGCAGTCTGCGTGTCGAGAGCGCGTTGTCTTTCGAGCACAACGAAATCGACGGTATGATCACACATCCTGCTCGCACGACAGTTCACTGACACTTTGCAGACCCCAGCAAGCCTTGGCCACCTCCGGATCCAGATCGACTGTTCCGGGTGCCGAGGAGGACCTTCGAGGGAGACGGCTTCACCAAATCCTTGGACATAGCCGAATTCAAGAAGCGACAAGCGGCGGACATTGCACGCTACGAAGACGCGGACGGGGAATACGTCGTGCACAGACGACCTTTCCACGAGCGGCTGCAGGAAGCGACTAGGCAAACAGACACCTTCTACGCAGACGATCATGCCATCGAGACAGACGAAGACTCGAGCGAGGAGGAAGAGGATCCACGAGGAGGCTCACGCAAACGGGAGGACGAGGGCGAAGAGGCATGGCGGAACGAAGAAGGCGAGCGCTTAGCTGATTTTGGCGTGGATGAGGTCGCGGAATTCTATGATGAGGACGATGTTCCTCTCGCTGAGCTGTTGCGTCGCCGGCGAGTCTAATTGTACACGAAGTGAGAATCCTCAAAGAGCCTCTGAGGTTGCTATCGCCGAGTTAGCGCTGTCCAAACCCATGCTGATCCTGTTCCCAAAAAATTGGCTTTGCATATCACGACTCTCGGCTCCGTTAGAAAAGCAGTAAGATGAAATCGAACAAAAGCTCCGTTGTAATGTAATCATCGCACAAAAATTCCTCATCTTCATCATCTCTGCTCTGTACAAACGGGACATCTATACATCCCTCCCGAAGAACCACCACCCCGATTGTATCCTCCTCCAATTCCCTTTCCTTCATCGAGACAGACCCGATGAAAAACATGCCTACAAGCAAACACCACCAAAGCCATGCGCTTCGTCTCCTCGCCCTCGCCATCATCACCACTACTCCTCGTCGGCGTGGGTGGCACCTTCGCCTTCCCTCTAGAAAGACGCCTCGCCTGCTCCCCACCACCACGCTCCAGCATCTTCCTCGTCCTTTCCGCCTCCCGCTCCTGTTCACGCGTGACCCATTCGTCCCAGACGACTTCCCCAATACCCGTACCCCACGCACGTCGCTTGCAGCGTTCGCAGACTTGCGAGCGAGGCCTCCAACCTCGTTGGCGTAGGGTGTTGGCTTCCTGGATGTCCGAGAAGACGTCGGAGCCCAGGAGCTCGTTGGCAAGGGAGAGGACGCCTTGTTCGAAGGCATACGCGGAGAGGATATCTTGGAGAACGGCTCGTAAGTCGGCAAGGGAGGGTGCAGTCCTGGCGGCGCGGGCTAGGAAGGCACGCAGTACGCGGAGAAAGCTCATGTGGTCCGATGGCTGCTTCGATTGCTTCAAGCTGTCCTGCTCACTTTTGATACTGGGTGTTGCTGTCGAAGCCATGAGCGCAGTGAAGGCTTGTTGAACGCTGGACCGAAGCGAGGACGCCAAGCGGGAACTGTCAAACGATTCCTGGGCGTTGGTAGGGTGGCTGTCGAGGTGGTCGAAGGCAGCAGTGGCATTTTGCGTGACTTGCACGATGACATCCGTCAGATTGAGCCAGAGATACTCGTCTAAATCTAGGTCATCTTCGCTCACTTCCCACGCCAGATTTGTGCGTGGCCGAGGTCTTCTCTGCGCGGTGGCGCTCTGTCCTTGGCACAACCAGATGCCGACTTTGGTGTACTTCTCTATGTCCTCCACAAGCTCTTCAGTGGTATCTTCTGGTACGGTCACATCCGGCCTGGCCGCAGCGGTATCAATCAGGCTGGTCAAAGCATCCTCGAGACTTTTCATATGTGTGACCAGACGATCCATGGCATCTCGAGCAAGACCGTCGCGGGCGAGAAGGGCTACCGCTGCGTCGATAACACCGCTACTCTCCATGGCTGGTAAGACCTCGTCGAGTCGCAGGTCGCTTGAAGGCAGTGTCTTGATGTAGTCTGCTACGTGCGTCGGATCATGCCTACACATGAGCTGGACATATTGCTCAGTGAACGCTGATTGTTGGTCTTGTTTCAAGGGTGATGATGAGAATTGACGATCCCTCAAAAGTCCTGGTTCTAGCAAGGCTCGAAGAAACACGAACTGTTGATATGAATCAGATAGAGCGTTGACGCTTGATTCTAGTAGCTCCGCTGCGGATGCGGCAAGAGTTCGGGATGTCTGCACAACTTCGATGTCTGCAAGTTCTTGAACGTGGTTGGTGATTACTTGCTTGACCGATTGGAGCTGCTTCTCGTTTAGAGCGGTGCTAGCTCGGAAGCAAAGAGCGATGCAGTCAAACACGTTCTCCTTGCCCGTCGGATCCTCGAAATACGTCTCAAGAAGCTCTGTGAGCATCCGCTCCCCTCGATAGACCGACTTCAGCACTCGATAGAATCTGGCCGATCTGACAGCTTCAATCAGACCTGGGATGTTAGGGGGATGGTACGCCGACAGAAGGTATTCCACGCTCAGTTCGCAGTCGTCCCGCAGTCCATCCGCTGGCGGCTTGCATAGTCGTTGTAGTACGCTGTTCAACAGCGTTCCAGAAAGTATCAGCTGACCAGGATACTTCGGCAGACTTCGTGCGACGAACATGTCGAGGTAAATGACTTGCACAGGCTCAAAATCCCCTTGACGCATGACATCCAGCATGATCTCGATGATTTGCTGTCGGCTTTTCTTGTGAACTTGCCGCTCTGATGTGCCGTTGACGCTCGAGTCGCCATTAACGCCACTATCATCCTCAGCCTCGTTCAGGAAGGAGTCCTCAAAGGCTTCATTGAGCACACTCATAAATGCAGGAGCATCGAATTGCAGTAGCATACCGAGGTACGGAAATGCCGGCTCGTCTTCTGGGTTGTCTGCCGTCCGAAAGATCTTCTCACTGCGTTGTGGCCAAGCAATGGGAGTGCCGGCAAACAAGTAGCTGTACAAATCTGTCTTTGCTCGAGAGGCCTCGAGGTCGTCCATCATGTTTCCACTCGGATACCGCCGGCTGGTGAGGGAATATGCCAAATATGGATACACTTTAGCGGCTGATTTGTAAAACGGATTGCCACAGAGATCTTCGTCTTCGTCGCCTTGTTGTAGCATCTTGACTAATGACAGCAGGTTGATTAGAGGAGTCACGTAGTCACCAATTGCTTGCGTCCAGATATAGATGAGAGCGTCGTAGAGGCTATGCTGCTGGCACAGTACCGTAATTTGATCCAAATCGAATGAATGAGGATCAAGCCGGCAGAGAAGCTCCTCCAAGCGACTGGCTTGATTCTCCTCGATGAAGTGGGCAACCACGGCTTTCACTACCTCGGGAGGTAGCATCTGAACCTCGCCATCCAAGACGTACGGCTCTAGCGTGGATATAAAGACCGACTTTTCATCTGCTTCTTGAAACCAATCGAATACATCGGCGAAAAGGTAATCGGTCTCCTTCATCGTGACACAAGCCTCGAAGCACACCTCGACCAGCTCCTTCAGTCTAACCTCTCGCTGGTCATCTTGCTGAGAAAACGTATAGTTCATAGATGCTGAGATCATGGCCAGCAGTCGTTCCCTGACCATCTCATGCCGAGTGCTGTCATTGTCAGGCAAGCCGATAGTCACATTGTTGGCGCTGCCGGAGTAGTAGTCGGTTGCCAATCGGATTGCCGCGATATGATCTCCGGTTTCCATGAGCGCCATCAATCTGTCTGCCCAATTCGACAACGTGCCTACAGTGAGGTCGTTGAATCCGAGCAGGAAGGCTCTTCCTTTGTAGACTTTGTAGCTCATGTAGAACGCGTCTGCCACTACGCCGTGCAATGACGGATCCTCAGTATTCAGCTGCTCTACTACAGCATGCAACTGGTGAGAGAAGAGGTCCTGATGGTAAATGTGCCGTTGCAGCAAGTCGATAGAATCGGTGACCTGCAATGTCGCGTCCTCCAGAATGAGTAGCCTTTGGCTGATGGTCAAGACACCTAGGACGGATCGACCTAACCACTGAATTGCCACAATGGCTTCTTCAGCGCGCCATCGGCTTCTTGGACGGAACTCAAGGGATGGTGGCTTTTGGGGATCCGCACCCTTGTCATTTTCTACGACCTTGACATCGAGTATTGTCAAAACATTCGACCAGCAATAGACGAGCTTCGTGTCCGAAATCCCTTTGTCTACGTCTGTGCTCGTGCTTTTGAGCTTCACTGCTGGGAACCAAGCGAGGCAACCGCTGAGCGTACTGTGAGGCGATATCTCCTTGGGACGAGGGCATTTGTGCTGGGTCTGCGCGATTGGAGTGGTGGACACAATCACAAGCAAATATGGGGTCAGCAATGCAGTCAGCCCCATGCCATCCGTCGCCTGTTCGACATTTCCTAGTGGTAGCGGAGAAAATGCCAAAATGGAACTTGGCTTTCGCACACGCTCAGCTTGGGGATCTGCAGCCGGATATCGACCCAGTAAGCGTGTGGTTCTGATCGTTCTGGTTACCGGGCCCAGACCACGAGTGGCAAGATGGGAGAATGCCATTCCTGCTGCATCCGCGGACACAAGAGCAGTGTGCCTTGTCCCTAGGAATCCAATATGTAAAATCGCACTTCCAGGAAGATGTCCATCGGGATGTTGGGATTGCTGTAGCAGGCTTCGGTCCAATGTTGGAATCTGTAAGAAAGGTCTCGCGGGTCTGTTGATTTCCCAAGTGAAGATATGTCCATTGGCATGGCCACTCGCGATGGTAGAATAGTCCGCAGAGACAGTAAGAGCCGTGACTGATCCGCACTCTGTCGCTTTCGTCCCTTGGCCAATGATGATCTTTAGTGTCTGGTGATAGTCGAACCCAAGAACGAGACCTTTCGATGTTCCTATTGCAATCAACGCAGAGACAGCCATGCATGTCGGCCGTCCAAAGTTGCGTTTCCCTACTTCCGAAAACGCCTGCCCCGTGATCTTCCGTAGTTTTGTCCAGCGAATGACATCCCAAGGAGCTTGGGGTGTGTCGGCCCCAGAACCTTCGTCTTGTGAAGAAACGCCTGAGATGCGCGATGAGAGCGATATTTGTCGGGAATGCGGACTTAGAAACGCAGGGGACTGTGCTCTGGGAGAAGCGGTCGGAGAAGCGGACAACCTGGTTTCGAAGCGACGCTCAAATGGTTGCAGTGCTCCAGAAGGAGTTCTTGACACTGTTTTACGCGAACCAGGCGAGGCCATTCTGCCCAGCGAAGAAGCGAGAGAGCCTTGAACGGAGGGTGTGTCATCTGGGATGGAACCGGAATCGATTGGACTCGCAAGTGGACTTTGATTCACTGGGGTAATAGGGCCAGAGTCGGGGCCAACATCCCGCAGCTCCTGGTCATGCTCTCTCATGAGCTGCAATGCATCCTCTTCTTCTGTACTGCTTGCAACATCCAGTCCGTTCTCGTGGACTTGGCCCTGTTCTACATCTGCCTCCTCTGCCTCAACTTCATATCTCGACCCAGGTTCCATGTAGTCCCCAAAGTCAACGTCGGGCTCTTCCGTATCTTCTCCTTCTTCTCCAGTCGCTATCCTGCCCTCCGAATCTCGAAGCGCCTCATCTGCCTCCACGTCTTCATTGTTGCCGCCTTCCTGGCCTTCTCCCCGATTGGAGCTCATCTGTCCAGCCTTTTCGCGCGCATATCTCTTGACCCAGTGTTCACCGATTCCAAAGTCTAGCCAATCTTATGGGCATGTGTCTCAAGTGCTCCAGTCGCATGCAATGTTCAAGTCCAGGCAGCTGTGCAATAGTAGGATTCGGGCTCTTAAATGCTGCGTAATCAGCTCCGCGGAGCACGAGCTTGTGTTCGAAGGTCTTCCAAGGTTGTGACTCCCGCATCAAACGTTTGAGGTGCGATACAGTTTCTGTGCTCCTGCGCGAGACTGAATGTCATGAGGTGGTGGAAGTTGTTTGTCTGCCTGAGGTTCACTTCAAGGATGCGTTGACGCCGCACAGCAGCCACTCTCGAGCTCAATCACCGCCGATCTCCGCAAAGCTTCACCACTTGCAGCCACCAACAGCACACCCATTCCCACACACAACATACTACTTGTCGAGATCATGTCGGGGATAGGTGCAGAGCTTCCGCCACATCTTCTGGCAAAGAGGAAGAGACAGCAAGAGGAAGAGGCCGAGGATGCTCCTGCGACAGCTTCCGGCGCAAAGCGCTCTGCGAGCCCGAACGAACCTGAGAAACGACGGAAAGTAATGGGGCCGGCAATGCCTCCTGCGCCGCTCGAGGAGAGACCCAGCGAACCACCGCCCCCTACAGAGGAAGACAGCAGCGACGATGATGACGATTTCGGGCCTGCGCTGCCCACCGGGGGTGCCGCAACTGTGAGTATGAGACAACCTCAGAAGCCGCAACCGGACGCTGACACGTATAGCAAACACTTAACGAGGACGGAGAAGACGATACTCAGGCTTCTGATCCATCGAGAACACACGCAGAAGAGAAGTTGAAAAGAGACGACTGGATGATGATGCCTCCAAAACAAGACGATCTGGCTGCAAGAATGGACCCTACAAAACGAAGGCCTCATGGCTTCAACACGGGAAAAGGCGCGAAAGGGCCGAACGCGCTGGCAGATGACAGCTCTACATGGAACGAGACACCGGAGCAAAAGCAGAAGCGACTGAGAGACGAGATGATGGGCATTGGGCACTCAGCGGGTCCTGTACGGCAGGAGTCTGCCAAGTCGAAAGCGAAGGACGATGCTGCGCACCGCAAGATTCAAGAGCATGCGGTAAGTACTCTGCCACCTGCCTGTTCTGTGAAGGTTCGACGTGCTGACGTTTCACGCAGGAGAAGACGCGAGGGCCATCGTTGCTTGAACAGCACAGACAAACTAAAGGCGTGGATGCAGAAGACGATCCCAGCAAACGTGCGTTCGACCGCGAGAAGGATATGGCGAGCGGCTCGCGGATCTCGACGGCGCAGAAGCGCGAGATGCTCAACAAGGCGTCTGGGCTTTCGAGCAAGTTCTCGGGAGGTTCCTACTTGTAAAGGTAAAGGGAGAGCAAGGCGAGAGGAGCTGGCTGCTCGTACCTGACATTGGTCCACCACAGCAGTGATGAGGTAGAGTTCTTGCAAAGTTCTTCTAGCACGATTCCATGCACGCGGAAAGAAGCCCTCCTTTCCCGTCGCCACGACGTTTGGCACCAATGCGTGTCAAATTAGTGGTTTCGAACTCTATGCTGGCGCGGCTGGGCAGCTTTGTGTTGTTGTTGACGGCGGCTGGTTGTAGCAGCAACCTTCATCACTTCTTTTCGCTTGGGCTTGGGGAAAACTCAAATGCCTTGATAACGATGTAGGAAGAACATCGTAGGTACACTGGTGGATGTCCGGACTTGGCTATGCTAAGAAAACCGATGGAATGGCGAGAATAATAATAGAGAGGCGTTACTAGCCTTGATTACGTATAGGTGGGAGTAAGTAGGCCGAAACGGGCTACTCAGCTACTTAATTAGGTAGGGAAGGATACTTGAAGGTGTTCACCGGGAAAGCGTACTAGAGCTGACTTGTGAGTCGAGCATTCCGTGATTACGACCACATAACAGATTGTGTACTACGCTACGCTCTAAATTACGCGCAAATCGGAAGCAGTAGACCATCTCGAGAAGAGGGTAGAGCCCGATTCGGAGCGCACGATATCGCAGGATTCCCGGACAGAGGGGTGAAAGAGCGGCCAAAACCCCTCTACTAGTCACCCCTTAGCTCCGCGTCGACACTGCCTGCTTGTTTGACAGTGAAACAGCAAGCAACACTCCATCATCCGCCGCCACGCCTTGTACCACCACACCCACCTCATCACACCTCTCACACCCCTCTCACACCTCACCGCCGACCGATCCATCCCTTTCGTTCCTCGTCGGGACATATTCACTCGTTGAATCTACAATTCCCCCCTATCTACCCTCCAAACAAACAAGCGACCGACTTCGATTTCCGATTCCGCTGCAGACAGGGACAGACAGCGAGGGAACCAGTTCTCTCAGCCGCGGCTCGTCGGCGACTTTCACGCGACACGCACCCACACACACACACACACACACACACACACACACACACACACACACACACACACACACACACACACACACACACACAGACAGGACTCGAGCGCCAAGATGGTGCCTCTCACGCTCGTTTCTGCTCTCTGGAAGCGCGATCAGAATGATGGAGGCCTGGGCGATTCTTCACGGCAGTACGACTACGAAAACCACTACGACGACGACGATGGATACGGCGAGAGCTGGTGGTGGTCGCCGGTAAGGACACCAATCTATCAGAAAAACCCCCCCCCGCCGACCGCGCACACACATGACTAACAAACACCACCTCTCCAGACCGGCATGGCCGTCCGCTACACCATCATCACGATCCTCTTCGCCGCGATCCTCCTCTACTTCATCGGCGGCTACTGGCACGCCCAGCGCCGGATCCGCAAGGGCCTGCCTCCTCGCGCATACCACGCCTGGATGATCCGCCGTTCCCATCGCTACCGGAATCCACAAGCAGCACAACAAAACCCCTACGTTCCTCAATCCCAATACCAACAGCCCGAAGGCGGCTACGCCATGCCCGGATACCCACAACCTCCACCGGCGTATAACCCCTTCAGCGCTCCTCCGCCGGCTTACCAGCCTCCCGAGGGCGGCAGCAAGACGATGGCGGATCAGCACTATCCTGCTGGTGTGAATCGCGAGGGAGAGCCGAGTCACCTAAGTCAGCCTCTACCGGCACTGCCCCGGCAGTAGGGGATCGGATGCTTTCAAGCAAGTAGTGCAGCGTTCAGGTTACAAGAAACACAACAAGCGAGCAACGATTGAGCGAAATGCGCAGCGAAGCATGTATTATACGGCGTCAAGGTACAATCGTGGCCAAAGCAGCAACCCTCTCGTTCGACCGAAGGGCTCGGTTCCGGTGTGCGTCGTTGAGAGGCTGGCCAGGCTGGCCAGGCTAGCGAGGCATATGAAACAGACTGGTGGAGCATTATTTTCCTGCGCGATTTTCCTGCGCGTCCTGGGCACGGACGGGTACATGTACGAGAGGGCAAGGGTCGGCGTTATTCGTTTGTGTGGCTTGCATGGATGCGGACGGGGCATGGCGTTCATCGTCTTCTAGAAGTCATCTCGTTTGCCACCTTAGCATAACGTCACTTCATCAAGAGCTTTATGAGCGTCTGTGCATGTCGGCCATGTTCCCTGCTCTCTGCCCAATCCCATGCATACTCTATAAGCGAGGCCTCATTTCCCATCGAGCCATGAATCGTTCCCCGCTCTGCGGCAAAGCCGACTCCGCACACGAGCGTGTTCGACGAAGCGCTCGTGCGCATGGGGTATATTGCTATGATGTCTTGCGATTCTGCAATACCGGGTTCTGACATGTGCGACTTTGGGTCGACCTCGTGCCTCGACTCAAGATCCCTCGCTTCTCGCCTAGGTTTGACATGGTGCGAGCTGAAAGGAACGATATCGCGATTGCTCCACCTCCCAGAGGAAGGTCATTGTGACCCCGAGTTGTGAGGGACGATGGCGTAGCTAGCGTAGTAAGCGGTTGAAGCGTTTGTTGGCGAGCAGAAAACGCAGATGCAGTATCATTACGGCCGACCGCAGTGCATGCCTTCCTGCTTGCCTTCCCACCGCGGGCCCGCACTAGACTAATGCAGGAACACGAGACCGAGAGGGTTCGTCATCGTTGCCTTACTCGCACGATGAGAGCATGTGGTTAACCATGTTGATTAAATTGCGATTCTCCATGGCGGCAGCGACGCGTTCCTTGTCGCCAAGCTGCTTATTTGCCTCGTCGGCAGTGGAAGACGTGCCTTCCTTTATGCGTACGTCGACACGGAAGCGTGGTGGCAGGGCATTGACCAGACGCACCTTGACGCCGAGCCCTATGACAGTCGTCAGGGAGCAGGCGGAGGTGGTGGGCGTGATGAGGACCTGCACGGAACTAATGCGCGAGCGCGGAGAGGAAGGGGCGATGATTGTGATGTCTTCAAGGTTGACCACGCCCAGGGAGCCTAGGGTGAGAGGATGTTCCGGGTCCATGATGGAAGAGATGAGGTCGTAGACTTCTTGTTCATCGATCTCCTCGCGGACCTCGTCATCCGAGTCGGAGAAGACATGATTGTCGTCTTCGGAAGAGGAGAGGTCGTCGACGGAGAGGTCTGGGGAGGATGCAGCGGGATGGGTAAGGCTGGGATACGCTGGCGCCACCAAGGCATCGAATATTCCGTGCTTGGTGGCGGTTGCGTTCTGCTCGGGGGCGGTACGCTGGCGACGACGAGGTAGATCGTCTGGGTTCAAGATGGTGGGATTGGCATTGTCCTTGCCGGCTTCCATTGTCGTCGTGTGTTGTGTGGTGGAGGGTCGGATGACGAGGTGGTGTTGCAGCGAGAGTGGTGCGTGGGCGTGGCGTAGAGAGTAGTTGATGTAACGACAATCCTGGACGGATGGCTTGGAGAGAAGAGAGGTGTGGTGACTCGGAGCGCAGAGCGTGATGACGGAGGGAGCTTGGGCGTCGGAGACGGCCGTGGGGTGGGGCTTGGCGGGAAAAGGCTCGGAAGTGCGAGGGAAGTGGAATCCACGGCGGGCTTGGGAGCAACGAGGGAAGCTGGCGGCGGCGGCGGCGGCGGCGGCGGCGTTAGATTCCGAGCCCAGTCATGATTAATAATGCCGCAAATGTGAGGATATGTGCGATTCGTTGGCTCGTTGGCTCGTTGGCTCGTCGGCTCGTTGGCCGTGGCAGTGGCAGCGGGCGTTGACAAGGGTGGTGCTCAGTAGTGCGCAGGAGTCGAGCAGTCGTAGATCCATCTATCTCCGAGCGCCCGTCCGACACTCACACAGACTCACTACGGGACCGCGGTGGCGGCAGGACTAGACGACTCGTAGTAATAGTTCTATCGCGAAGATTTTATTAATTATTATTATTATTATTATTATTATTATTATTGCACTGTCATTGCTGCACCTGCCGCCTGCCGCCTGCTGCCTGCTGCCTGCTGGTGCTGGTGCTGGTGCTTTGCCAAGGTGCTGGTCGTCCCTGCTGCATGCTGCTGCATCCACTGCCGGAGCAGGAAGAAGGAGCAACCCCACTGCACCTGCCCAACCCTGCACTGGCCTGGCTCGCACCTGCCGACGCCGACTCTTGCTCCTGCTGCTGCTGCTGCTGCTACACACACCCTCTGTGCTCGACCTCGCTCCCGCCGACACAGCACTTCGTTCCTGTATCCCGGGGGGTCTCGCCCGCCTCACATGTCACTGCTGCACCCACGATCACGCTGCATGTAATGGAATGGATTGAGATATGACCCCAGGGCATGGCGCAACTCTGCTCGACACTACCGCCGATTCTCTCACATACCACCGCCTCCATCTGTTGAACTCCCTCTGCCCCTCGACTCGCCGCCGCCGCCGCCGCTGCTGCTGCCACTGCTGGGGGATGCGCTCGCTATAGACTCGGTGTCGCCGGCCACGCCTTCCTCCCCTCGCCACCACCACTCCATCCGATGACTCTCATGATCACGCCCTTCGCCTGCTCTCTCACTTCCCTCCAGCTCAAGCGTACCTACGGAACTACCCTCCCTCGCTGGCCTGCATGGAGCACGCCCCGAGCGCCCCGGCCCACCCGGCCACTACCCACACCAAACAGTATGTCTTCGTGGACGAATACAACCGCCACAAACGCCTCAAGGTCATGCGCGCTTGCGATGGCTGCCGGAAGAGGAAAATTCGCTGTGATGGCGCCCTGCAGAACGGTCCGTGGCCCTGCGGTGCATGCGTGCGCCTGAAGCTCAAGTGCCTTCCGCCCACCCTCGACCAAGATGACGACCAGCAGACTCCCGACACCGCTCCGGGACAGCAACAATTCTCCTTCCAGAATACCACCTTTCCAACTCCGAGTCCGGCCAACACCAAGCCTCGCTCTGCCTATCCTTCACAACCCCAGATGGTCCACGAATGGGCCGACTCCGCTGCACCGCCCATGTCGACGACTGCCTCTGCGACATCCACCTCAATCCTGCAGCACGACTATGACACGGGCTCATATCAGCAGCAGCAGCCTTTCCACCAACCGCAACTACCCCCCCGGTTGGACACAGCCTTTGCTGATGTCCAGTACTATGCCCCTTCGGCCGCTACGGCGCCGTACCAGCCCAATGTGCGGACACCTACATTCAATCGCACCGAAACGGCGGATTCGAGGAGCCCAAGCGGTGATCCGCAGGAGATTGACGCTTCGGTGAGAGAACTATCCGAGCAGATGGGAGACCTGCAAATCGACATCACATCCGCAGCTCCCTACATGACCACCACGAACTTGTCGGCCAACGCTCCAGCGATGGAGGAAGCAGAGGTAGCTTTGCCCTCTTCTGTCTATACCGATTCCAAGGTCCGAATCCCGCTCGAGATGATGCCTTCAGAGGAGCGCGCAATGGACTATTTTGGCTACTTCTTCGACCATGTGCACCCCTACACTTCCGTTTTGAACCGCAACGAGTTCTATCGTCAATGGCGGAGCGCGCGAAGTTCCATCTCACCCCTGCTCTTGGAAGCCATCTTCGCCTGTGTCTCCCGATACCTCGAGGAACCAACCGAATTCCGGAGGTGGCTCGCGCTCACTTCCAAACACGAAGAAAGCTTCAAAGATGTGCCAAGGCTTAGCACGATCCAAGCGCTGCTCATTCTCATGAAGGCACGTGAAAGCGTCTCGAAGCGTGGATATTATTATCGCTCCTGGATGACGGTGAAGTATATGACGACGATGGCGATCGACCTCCACCTTCACGACCACTATGACCGGCATCAGACTGGCGGCACTTGTAAGCTGAGCAGATCAGAGTGCACCGCGCAAAAGCGTGTATGGCAGAATCTCTCAAGCCTAGAGATTCTGGTGGGTGGTCCATTGGGTAGATCGGATTTCTCGGTGGAGCCGGAGACTGTGGATTTCAATCTGCCTTTGCCTGCTGCGGATGTGGATGCATTTGAGCATCAGACATCACGACAAGCTACATTCATGGCGCAGGCCGCCAGAAACATCAAGATTTCGAATCAGCTATGGCAGATCATGCGCAAACAGAAGAAGGACTGGGCGCTCGATCCGGAATTCGTACGACACAATGAAGATTTGCCAAATTGGCTGAAAAATCTACCTGCTGATTTCCAGCTTCACTTCGCGGACGATGGAAGTCCACCTTGGCTAGGGGGCCAGCACTTTGTGGCTAATTTGCACTGCTACCATCACTTGGTCGTGATTATGCATCATCGACCGCAGCTCCAGGCATTACTGGACAAGGGAGACCTTGGCTGGAAGAAACAGTTGGACATTTGTTTGCAGTCCGCTGTGCAAATGTGCCGCATTCAAGAGGCGCTGTACCGAGACTTCCGTCTCCATGGCCTCCAGTTCATGATCCGAGGCGTCAACTTCACGATCTACTGTGTCCTGACCTGCATGATGCTGCACCTGGTACACTCGTCTGCGCTTACACTCTGTCGACCTACGCTAACATATCTCAGGCTGCGATCACTTGCCCCGATCCTCATCTTAACACGCAAGCCAGGCTATTCTTCACGCGGCACATGCGCGTCCTCGAACACTGCTTACCCTCGTCCACGCCGGAAATGAAAGCGCAAATCAACGCCCTGCGAGAAGCCTTTAGTGCGGACACTACACAGCCTTTCGAGCTGAAGCCGACCCTAGGTCTACGGAGTCCTACGATGGAGAATCACTCAACACCGGGCAGTTCCACTTCAGTGCCGGCTAGCGTCCCAACCACGCTACCAAACCAAACTTGGTCTAACCTCGATGCGACTTCTTCGAAGGCACTGACACCCTCCACGGAATACGGAACTCCATTTGACACTATGGCCGGCCACAGCATGACAGGCCGATCACCTCTGCCGCATAGCGGCAATTATGATGTCTCCGGGCACAGCACCTATTCCGGGCAAAGCATACCTCGGGTAACATCTGCTTCGCAAATCGGATACGCACTGGAACCTGTCATCAGCAACGAACAGCAGACGCCCGTTTGGGACCCTTCTGGCATCTTCAATCAGTGGAACACGGCTTTTGGTGGTGCTCAGGCGGCTCCGCCGCAACCCTCGCCTCCCGATCCGCGTCGGATGCAACCCACGTCTGCGCCGATGATGCCAAATCAGTCCCCTATCCATGCACAGTCCATCTACGACACGCAACAGTTCCCGGTGAACCCCAGCTCGGTCGTAGCCGATGCGACGCCTCCTGTCATGCAGCCCACAGTGACGCCTGTCATGTGGCAAGACGCCTTCACCAGTGCTTACGTCTCTGGGCACGGTCAAAAGAGGTATCGGGAAGCTAGTGTAGACCACTCGGCCTACATTCACTATCCGACTAGCAAGCGTCGAGGATGAGCTGCGCTTGCACAACAGGCAACATCACGAGCATACCTGATTCACGCTCAGCCTTGCCATGGAACGATGGCTGCAGAGTGCGTGAGACACAGATGCGCGGTCAACAAGGTGATGCCTGCTTTGAGCCTGGATTAACACGCCGGCAGCTTGGCTGGGCACGACGGCCCTGCGGCGCATCGGATCTCGGCTTGACCATGCTCTCACATGCGCCACCGTATGCTTGGCCATCCTTGTCCCGGTCCCAGCTGAGTTGTCAGCTGTTTAAGGCGAACGTGACATCAAGTCCACTTCTCAGCTGGCTGACTCCTCCTCGATACGATAAGGGTCCTCTGAGCACTGACTATCAAAGTCATAGCTAAATCCTCGACAACCTCAACGATTCTTTGCACTGGCGCATCCCGACTGCATGCAGTGAGCGGAGAGCCGGCGGCATTGTCAGCACGAACACCAACGAAGCCATGCAAGCGATCAATGCTCCGATACGAAGAATTGCTCATGAAATCTTGTTTACTCAGTATCTCTATGATCTACGCCCGCCAAATGCCGGGTATTTGTCGAATATGTCGATCGATTTCTTTCGCCGGGGAGCTCAAAAGTTACGTCGGGTGGAACTGGTAGGTACAATGCGGAGGTACGCACGCGGGGTCTGCCGGCAATGTGGAGAGACATTTGCTGTCAAGATGCCACGCCCTTTGTATGGTTGCGGATATAGCGAATGAGTGTAGGAGATCGGCAATTCGCTGCAAAGCTTTCCCGTTGTTCGAATGAGAATTGTATATGATGGTTGCATTGTGCTGGCGGCGTGGTCTGCATGTGGCATGTCATCTTTTCTGGTGAAGAATAGAGTGTCTTCCCTCTCGCCTGACCGTTTTCCTCGGGTTTTCGACAGCTTGCTCTATTCTCTCTAGGTGCTTGGGCGGTCGATTATCTTTCGTCGCCACCATGGGCCTCTTCAAGCGGTCTGCAATCCACGCGGACGCCATTTCATCACCACCACCTACACCTCCAGCAGCAGAGGCCGACGCGAAGATCGACGTCGTCCGCGAGGAAACCGCCGATTGCCACCAATCCCAATGGAAACTCAACAAAGCAGGCAATGGCGACGCCGCCATGACGCTCTTCAATTCCCCCGAAGAAATCCACGAGCCCGTCGATTCCCGCGAAGAGGAGCGATTGGTGAGGAAGATTGATTTCATGATCCTACCGTATCTGGCTGTCTGTTATGCTTTCTTCTACATGTGAGTTTGGATGCAGCAAGAATTTGAACGAGATGACATAGAGGGTGTGTGGGTGGGTGAATTGCTGATGATGGTGGTGGTGGTGGTGGTGGTGGTGGTGGTGGTGGTGGGCAGTGATAAGACGACGCTCTCGTATGCGGCGATATTTGGGATTCGTGAGGATCTCGGATTAAAAGGGGCGGAGTATAATTGGCTTTCTTCGATTGTAAGGGCATCACATACACCACCACTACTACTACTTTCTTCTGGTGGAGAGAGAGAGAGAGAGAGAGAGAGAGGGGGGGGAGAGGGTATGGATACTAATTGTCCTATTCCAGTTCTATTTCGGTTTCCTCGCCTGGGCCCTCCCGACGAACCTCCTCCTCCAACGCCTCCCCGTGGGCAAGTATCTCGGCTCTCAGATCTTCCTCTGGGGCTTCTTCCTCATGCTACAGGCCGTCGCCAAGAAGTTCTCCACGCTCGCCGCTCTGCGTGCCCTTGCGGGCGCCGCGGAGGCCTGTAGCGATCCGGCTTTCATGCTCGTCACGGCCATGTGGTATACCCGGCGTCAGCAGCCGATTCGCATGGGTCTATGGTACACCGCGAACGGGCTGGGGATCGCTCTGGGCGGGTTACTTGGTTTCGGCATCGGGAATATCAAGGGCAAACTGGCGAGTTGGAAGTATGAATTCTTGATCGTGGGGGCTCTGTGTTGCATTTGGGGGATCGTGATGATGATTTTCCTGCCTGACAGTCCGGTCACTGCGAAGGGGTTGTCGCCGCGGGAGAAGAGGATCGCGGTGGAGAGGTTGCGGGAGGATCAGACGGGGGTGGAGAACAAGAGGTCAGTCAGTCCATCCCACGTCCCGTCCAGAAACAGAAACAGAGACGAGGACGACGCGTGCGTGCGTGCGTTGCTAAAAACGAGGTGTGATGAAGTTTCAAATGGTACCAAGTCCGCGAAGCGCTGCAGGACTATAAGCTCTACCTCTTCTACCTCCTCGGCCTCGTCAGCAACGTCCCCAACGGCGGCATTTCCAACTTCGGCACCCTCATCCTCCACGGCTTCGGCTTCCCCCCCCCTCACCACCACCCCCTACTACAAATCCCCTACGGCGTCCTCATCGCCCTTTCCATCCTCTGCTGCGTCTACACCAACGATTACCTATCCTCACATGGTAGTAGACAGACCCGCTGCTATGCCATCTGCCTCTTCCTCGCCCCCAACCTCGCCGGCGCCCTCGGCCTCCGCTTCCTCCCCCCGCACCCGCACCCGCACAACAGCCCCGCCCGCCTGGCCTGCTACTACCTCACGGGCCCCTACAACGCCGCTTTCTGCCTCCTCCTCAGCCTCACGACCGCCAACACCGCCGGGCACACGAAGAAAGTCCTCACCAACGCCGTCATCTTCCTCGGCTACTGCACCGGCAAACATCGTCGGTCCGTTTTTCTATCTGCAATCCCAGGCGCCCGGGTATCACTTGGGGATCTGGTCCATGATTGTCAGTCACCTGCTCGAGGCGTTCCTCGTGCTCTTGCTCAGGGGTTTGCTGGCGCGGGAGAATCGGAAGCGAGATGCGGTTCAGAGCTTGCAGGCGGGTGGGTTGGAGGGGAGGGATTTGGATGCGACTGCTTTTGGGGATTTGACGGATCGGGAGAATTTGGTGAGTCCTTTTTCTTTTTTTTTTTTTCTTTTTCTTGCGCCCCCTCTTCCAAGCTGGGATGGAAATGATGTTCCTTCTTCTTCTTCTTCTTCTTCTTCTTGAGGTCTGCTGTGGTTTTTTTCCTTTCGTTCCCTCGGCTGATGAAATCTTTCCTCCCTTTTTAGAATTTTCGATATATCTATTAGAACCCCTTGACGTCCGTCCGATTGCCACTATATGGTTGGTGTGTGTGTGTGTGTGTGTGTGTGTGTGTGTATGTGAGAGAGTGCCAGCACGGGCCATGAAGCCGCACAGGGACAACCGTAATCACATGCCTGGAACGGAACGGAAACTAGGTCTTCGAACACGACACGAGGGTTGCGTTGCGTTGCAGCAGAGCGCTTTGGACGCATTTTCGAACGGGTATCTAAGGATGGTGCCGCCATGCTTGTGGACCGAAGCCGGGGTTGTTGATGGTTTTGAAAGAGTAGGTATTTCGAAGTTCTCTCGGTACTACTACTTCCCGACACTGCAGTGCTGTGTGCTGCGTGTTCTGTCGGCTTTCTGCTCGGTCCCTCCCCCATAATAACTGTACAGCCGGCGGCTAGATCATCCTTGACCATGTTCGTGTTGTTTAGCTCACGGTGTCGATCATTTTTAGATTGAATTGATAACAACGACATCAGTTTTACCTTCCTGAAAGGGTAAGAGCAGAGACCCACCGGGTACGCAGACGAACGCTCGGTGAGAAGAATGTCTCTCAATGTGCCGAAGATGCCGCTAGACGGGTGACCTAACCAGTATGGTGCCGCTGGGTGCTCTATTTCTGTTACAATGTTACATCTGGGGCCGGCTGGATGGCTGGCATTGATACGCCTGCTCTACGCTCGGCTATCCCATTTTCCCATGTCACGGAGGACAGGCCAGCTTTGCTGGGCTCCGAATTGCTCCTCCAATCCTCGTCTTCCCCGACTGCCCTTACCTCAGTCAGATCCGGTGCGGAGTTTGGTAGGCGTTTAATATTCGTCTTGCACCGTGGCCAGCTCCCGACTAGGGCACATGTCAGCTTTCCTCTGAGCACTCTGGCTCGTATTCGTATCACGCTGCGTTTCTTCTGTATTCTTCAAGCTCCATCTAAAATTCCAGTCTCCCTCAGCTCTTTCATGATCTCCGGCTCGACGTACTTGCTGACAGTCACGTCCTCAGCAAGCCCCTTTCTCCTCCTGGTCTTCAGCACGAAGTCTCTCGCGGTGGCTTGCGCTGAAGCCGGTTCCAATGGCCGCAGCTTGATACTCTTATCGAGAGGATCGCCAGGTACAATGCTCCATCTGTCAAAGACCAAAGAGAGCGTCGCTGCACCTTGAGTGTGAATACGTAGATCCGTCTCGAAACCGAACGAGTCAATGACTGGAATCAGTCCCTTCACAGAGTACAGTGGCGTTCCTGGAACAGGCGCGTCGCTCAGTACGTGTCCTCGTCTTCGCGCCAGCACTGTGTAAAGGGCCGAGACGGAATTCGCTTGACCAAGCATGGTGCATGCGTACATGGGTTCCATTAGTCGCGGCCCAGCCATCAAGAAGGACGAATAGCAGGCGCGTCGTGCAGTTGGAATGATTTGACCACCTCCACGGAAGATGGCCTCCTGTGCAAGCTCAACATCTGTAATCTTGAACTTGACATTGCGAATGGGTTCTTCGCAAAGCGGTCCTTCTCGTGTTCCCCAAGCGAAGCCTTGTCGAATGGTGTCTTTGACGCTGCGAAGGAGCTTCTGGTCCACCGTTGAAGGCAGAGTGTCGTTTTGCAGGATGTTAGGGCCTATTTCATCTGGCCCAAACGCCCATATGTTGCGACTTGCGAGTATATCATAGCCATATCTCTCCTCGAAGAACTTGCCTACTTTCCGAACGGGGTCCTTGATGCTCACCTTGCCAGACTCGATGTCCTCTGCAATGCCGTCATCTAAAGGCTCGGCAATGAAGGTGAGCTTGTTCTTCTTGTTGGGTGTTAGGGCGTAACACTTCATAGCGCTTTGATCTACACAAGTTTCGCAGAATCTTGTGACAGGATCCGACACCTTGATTTCCATTTGTGCATACATCCGCCGGAGGTCGTGCAGGACACAGTTCATGTACAGCTCCCCTGTCCCAAGCACTACGTGTTCACCGCTCTCTTCGACCTTTGTTGTGATGAGCGGATACGACTTGTTGATCTTTCGCAGGCCATCCAGCATTTTCGGTAGTTCCGAGGGGTTGATAGGTTCGACCGCAACCTTGAAAACGCTCTCGAAGAAATGTACCACTGGCTTAAAGACATACGCATCTTCGTCATCGGGGAGTTTAGGCGCGACGATCGTGGCCGTCTTCATGATCGAATTGTCGACGCCACCCAAGAGCACGAAATTTCCAGCGGGTACACCGGATACTGGCACGTTGTACCTGCTCTCAGCGATCCATACATTCTCGATAGTTGCATTCACCATATCCTCTTCGTCGTCGATGCTGTAATTCTCGCCCAGTACTCTGACCTGCTGTCCTGGTCTGGCGGTTCCGCTCAGAACACGACCGAAGCTGTTGAAACCCTGAGCATCTGGTGTGTTAAAGAGCTTGCAGATTTGAACCACAAGAGGCCCGTCAGCGTCGCACTCCATCATGGAAGCGGCTGTCTTGGAGTCGAGTGGTCCAGTATAGTACTTCTCCAGTTTCTGCTTGGCGCCTTCAACAGGAGACGGAATATGCTCAACAATCATGTCCACGAAGCCGGCTGCCGGGCCAAAGAAACGTGGCAGAAAGGTCTTCAACATATCCTTGGCATTAGCTCTCAATTCTCTTGGCTTGAATGGGATGAAGAGACTGGCCAGCGTCCTTTTCAAATCGCTCGTGGACTCAGACATGATAGTAGAGTAAAGCTTGTAGATGGGCTCCATTACGAAGTGGACGAAGCTTCGTCTCGCTCGCTCTTCCACGGGTTTCCGGGTGAATGATCGCTTCTTTGGGTTGAAGTAGATGTCTCCCCACAACCTTCGGCTGAATTCTGTGACATCGAATTCGGCACTGTGGTAGGTCTCTGCGTACATTTTGGCAAAGCTGGGTAATGTGAAAGACCAGTCCATACTGCTGCAAGCGAAAGCGACGTTCCCCCTCTCGGGACTGACACGGAACTTCTCACCCCGACCAGGGATCGTATTCTCAATGTGGGTATTGACTTCCTCTACAACGTGCTTGAGCTTGAAGTAAGCATCGGCTGGGGGCAATCGAAGCTCGTTCACTAAGCGGTCCATCTTGTTGACGAGGAGTACTAGCGGAAGGCCAGCAAGAACGGCGTGCTTGATCGCCAGCTCCGTAGACGCCTGAACACCTTCCACGACGTCCACGACCAGGACTACACCGTCCGCTGCTCGCAAAGATGAAGCGATTTCGTCTGCGAAATTGACGTGCCCTGGGGTGTCGATGATGTTCAGAAGATGGCTCTTGCCTCTGGTGCCTTCCAACAACAGGCTCATGGGGCTCGCTTTGATCGATAACTTCTGCTCACGCTCCAGCAAGTGGGTATCCGTATATCGTAATAGGTCGTCACGCGCTTTCCCAGTCTTGCCCTCCGCATAAGATGAGACGTCGTGTGTCTGCCTGACCAGTGTGTCCATGAAACTCGTCTTGCCATGATGCAGGTGTCCGCAAAGCGCAATGTTTCGTATTTGCCCAGGAAAGCTCATCAAGTCTGTCAGGAATTCTCTGTCGAAATAGACCTCTGGAAGGTTTTCCTCCTCGACTGTGAACTTCTTGTGCTCCACCGGTGCCACGATTGGTTGTTGCAGCGTCTGTGTGTCTTCTTCCTGAACTAACGTTTCCACATCTGGGCCATAGATTTGCGACGCCGAAGGATAGTACTGTTTGTCCTCGTGAAGCACCACAGCATTCGAAGGCCCTTCATCGTCGATGTCCATCACATCATGCCCTGTAGGCGCACCTGCGTCTGCTTCTTCTTCATCATCGTCCAAGTATTGCGCGCCATCGTATGCGCCCGCCTCTTCCTCTTGACTATCCTCCTCCGGCTCGCCAATGAAGTTTCCAAACTCGTCGTAGAGATCGTCCATGGTCGCGTGTATGTTGTGCAGATGATGTGAGGATTGAAGGACGCGACAAAGGGCGGAATCGTAAAGCACGCGATAGCATGTGAAGCTCTCTGGAATCTTTGAGATTTCTCGCTAAACTCGTGCACTAGCGCCGGGAGCTAGCTCGGCGTCCTCCGAGAAGCGAAGTGGGGTCCTCCACGTTCCCGTCCCTGCCCTGTCACACTGTCAATGTTTCTTTCAGCCAAATAAATGGTTCGATTTGCATAGAATTGTTCTCTGTCTCAAAGGAAAATCCTCCGACTTGCAACAACGCTTGGACACTTCATACTCCTTTCCACCTCTTGAAGAGATCCTCACGTCTCAATTCCCCGTCAACACATCCAACATGGCACCTCCCAAACCAGTCTACATCGTCTCGGCCGTCCGGACACCGGTAGGCATGTTCCAGGGCTCTCTTGCCAGCCAGACTGCCATCCAGCTCGGAGCACATGCGATCAAGTCTGCTGTCGAGCGAGCAAACATCAAGCCCGAGGAAGTCCAAGAGGTTCTTTTCGGAAACGTCCTTCAAGCCAATCTCGGCCAGAACCCCGCCAGACAATGCCTCATCTACGCCGGTCTCCCCGAGTCCACCGACGCAACGACGATCAACAAGGTCTGCGCTTCTTCAATCAAAACTATTTCCTTGGCTGCCGCCTCCATCCTCACCGGCGAGGCAGATGTCATTGTTGCTGGTGGAACGGAGAGCATGTCCAATGTTCCCCACTACCTCCCCAACATGCGAACTGGAGCCAAGTTCGGTGACCAGAAACTCGTTGATGGTGTATTGAAGGATGGTTTGACAGATGTATACAAGAACGAGCACATGGGACTCCAGGGCGAGGAATGTGCCGCGGACCATGGATTCAACCGAGAGGAGCAGGACGAATACTGCATTCGCAGCTACAAGAAAGCTCGTGCCGCCCAAGAGAACGGCTGGTTCGGCGAGGAGATCGCTCCCGTTACGATCAAGGGAACAAGAGGCAAGCCAGACACCACAGTGGACAAGGACGATGAGCCAGCCAAATTCAACGAGGAGGCTACCCGCAACTTGAAGCCCGCATTCAAGAAGGAAGGAGGCACTGTCACTGCAGCCAACGCCTCTCCGCTCTCAGACGGCGCTGCTGCTGTCGTCCTCGCAAGCGAAGAATACGTCAACAAGCACAATTTGAAGCCCATCGCAAAGATCCTCGGTTGGGGTGATGCAGCCCAGAACCCATCCAAGTTCACCACTGCACCCGCACTCGCAATTCCCAAGGCGATCAAACACGCCGGAATCAAGCAAGAAGACATCGACGCTTTCGAGATCAACGAGGCTTTCTCCGTTGTCGCCCTGGCCAACATGAAGCTTTTGGGCATCTCCGAGGACAAGGTCAACCTCCACGGCGGTGCTGTTGCTCTGGGCCATCCTCTTGGTGCAAGTGGCGCCCGTATCGTTACGACTTTGCTCGGCGTTCTCAGAGAGAAGGGTGGCAAGGGCAAGATTGGTTGCGCCGGCATCTGCAACGGCGGAGGTGGTGCTTCTGCGATCGTGATTGAGAGATTGGCGTAGACCTGGGTTAAGTAAAGCCCTTACGAAGCAACAGGAGAGCATCGAGAACCATAGCATAGCATACCATGCATTGCTGCAGTCGGCGCAAACTTGTACATCAATACCCATAGAGAAAAGGGAAAGCACCAATGACTGAAAGCGATGTGATTGCCTCGGACACGGCACAAGAATAAGGTTGAATGCTTTGATTTCCTGTACCATCACACCGATGCTAACAATCACACACAAAGGTTCCAGACGTGCTCCGCTGTCGCTATGTATTGCCAATGATAGAAAGACACGAAAGTCTGCGCTGTGCCAGCTAAAGACTTCATTACGTGTCAATGCTTTCCAATGCATGTGCATGTGAAGAGAGTAGAACAGCTCAGGCCAGTCCATTCACCTCCTAGCTTGTTGCCACTGTGACTGCGGCTGTCCTTGCTGCTGCATATTATAGTAATTCGCACCACCATACGCTTGCTGCTGTTGCTGAACGTACTGCCCACCGTAGCCACCCACTTGTGGAGTAGAGGCGTTGACATTGTAACCCGACGGAAATTGCGTCGACTGCGGTCTCTGCTGCCCGTACATCGATTGCCGATTATCGAATTGCTGCTGTGACTGCGCTTGCGCAGGCTGCATCTGCTGCTGCTGTTGATAAGACATAGCAGCCATCTGCATTTGCATCTGCTGTTGCTGATTCATCATAGCTTGCTGATATGCCAGCTGCTGGTCCTGCATCTGTTGCTGGGCTCGCTGCTGCATCTCCCACTGGACTTGAGCCTGAGCTTCTCGTTCCGCTTGTATTTGCTGCTGCTGCCTGGCAACGATCGCCTGTTGTACCGCATGACTTCTGGCACCCTGCCTTGACGCTGATTTCTCTTGCTCGCGAGCGGAAATGGCGCCCAGAAGACCTGCCTGCGGCGGAGCCTGTTTGTCTTTGCCGCCGGTAGCCATGTTGATAAGAGGCGTACCTGTCGCCCGCGCGACGTGCATCTGCTCTTGAGCGGACAGGGTGGTAGCAGAGCTGCTGTTTATGAGGCCACCTCCGGAGTAAGAATTCAGGAATGCACCTGCTCCCCTGGAGTTAGGTCGGCTTGGAGGAGTGCGGTTCTGCAACTGCTGCGACCAGTCTCCGGATGGGCTTCGCGCGAAAGGTGGAGGCGTTCTGGACAGAGACTTCCTCATCTGCTGAACGTTGCTCAATGACATGTGTCGCTGATGTGCGAAGTTCTGGACCGGTGAACCTCCGCGAGGATTGCCGCTCATAGCAGCTCGATACTGCACCCATTCTTCGGGTGTGAGTGTCATGCGTTTCTGGTGGGCAGTCCCAGGCGTCCCGGGAGCATTGCCGCTGGGTGTCCACGCTACGCTGTGTCTATTGGTCCCGGGTGACTCTGCTCCTTCGATTCCAGTGGGCGTTGCTCTGCCCCCAAAGTACGACTGGCGATTATTCTCTCCAGGGCTCGGAGCAGGGAAATATTCACTCAGTCTGGGTCCCGGACTTTGTCGTAATCTGTCCGCAGACCTTGACCTGGAGCGTTGCTCCATGTCTCCAGGGGTTATGGTACCGCTCGTGCCTGGGCGATTATTAGGCTTGTAGGTGAACGTAGGTCCGAAATTGATGGTAGGCACCTCGGCATCTCGCTCGGCTAGGTCTCTGCTATACGTGTCGTGTCGAGAATCAGTCGGTTGCATGTCGGGGTCACCAACTGTCTTCATTTTTCCCGGTCGCACCCACTCTTTAGGTTGCTTTGTGGGTTTCGGGTCGCTCTCGACACTAGCATAATCAGGTGTAGCTGATGTGGCTAAGCTGCTGGCACGATCGCCCTCGTTCAAAATGCGTTCTAAGGCGTCCTGGTCAACAACTGCATCATACAAACTACCCTGTCTCGAGACTGGCGAGTCTGGGTTGGCGGGGTCCATTGCACGCACCTGAGAGGCCTGTTCACGACGCGAAGAGCTTTGCTCCGCTTCTGTCGAGTCTTGTGGCTGTTGCTTGGGTACTGGTTTCCTAGTCACGCTGCCGCTTGAATTCAACTGCGCAAGCTCAGGTCGGGAGCCATTGCCCTGGTTCATGACGCCATCCAAAGGCGGCATTTGCGCCTGCTGTGGCGATTCAAAGTATTCGCCGTCGGTGCCTGCATAGGGCGAGCCTGGAATTGTACTGAGCCTCGGTCTCAGGTCGCGTGCTCGCCCGTTGCCGTTGCTGTACTCGGGTGCATCGACATAAGCTTGAGCAGCATCGTTAGGCACGCTCAGCTGGTTGCGATAAGGCAGAGCACTACCATCCCTACTATGGGGCGGCTCCGAGCCATCGTCATCTTTTGGCGGGTGTGCAGCCTCCCGCATCTGATAAAGCGTGGATGCGTCGACGTTCGAGTGAGCGCGCCGAAGCTCGGGGGCTTGATACGGCTGGTTCGGCGGACGGCTGTTTGGGTTGTGTTGCATCGCAGGAGGCGAAGTGACAGGTTCTGGGGGCATGAGGTTCGGAGAAACCGCCCCTTGAGCCAGGGTCTCGTAAGCAGGGTCTGCATCGATTGGAGAATCTGTATTATGCGGCGCTCTGAGGGCAGCACCAAGTGCGCCTGCGTGTCTGGGCGGAGCAGGTGGTTCATCGTCATCAACCCCTCTGCTTTGCTCGTGCGAGAGTCGTGATGGTGTCTCAGTTCTGTATCGGCGGTAATCCAAAGCTTCAGATACGGAACGCTTGTGTGAGCTTCCCATCATGGCTTCAGGCGGCGCCGAATCTGTCCGCTTAGGTAGTGCGAACCTGTCTGGGGTCTGCGCCTGCACGGGCGAGGCAGATCTCGAGCCTGGTGATGAATGGATGCCTGAATCTTCGAATGTGACCGCACCATGGCGGCCAGGAGGCAGAGAAGAACGGCTCAACCTGTTACGACGCTGACTGATCTGCCTGCTGTTGCGAGGCGAGCCGTCCACCTGGTTCATCATCCTGGTCGAGGTAAGTTTCTTCATCTCTTTGCGCCATTGGCGTTCGCTCCAGTCGTGACTTCCTTCGGTGTGAATGAGGCCGGACACATCCAGAGTATCGAGATAGCCATATCGTCTATTGCTAGGCATGGCAAACATCAAGCCGCGCTGGTCGAGCGTATCCGCGATGAGACGGTTGGGGCGGCCGTAAAGGGCAAAGGTGTCGTAGACTGGAAACAGCCATCTAAGCATCATTTCAAACCCACTGACTGCGGCATGCACTTCAGGCATCACAAAGACGAAGCCTTCTGTGGTGGCGTCATCCTTCTCCTTCTCGCCGTGTATCGTTACGATGCCCTCGAGCTTGACCAGAGTCGACTGATCAATGAGCGGCTTCGATTGCGGATAGATCGCATAGGCAGCGAAGGCATCCTTGATCGTGGCAATTGCTTTCGTCTTCTTCGTCACTTTTCGAGTGTCATAGAATCTGATCTCGCCCTTTGGTGGTTGTGCGCGGCTGTATGTCGAGGTTTTCTTCGAGGTTTTCTGTGCCTTTTGATACTCCTTCTCATCTGGCGGAGCGATGACGCACCAACACCGCTTCCACGGTGTGCCAGCTCCGAATCGCACTCGTGCCCAGTCGTCGTGTACGAATTTCGAACGATCCATGATGGCTTTAATGTTATTCAAGTACTTGCCCTTTCCTGCAATGAGAGAGCCCGTGTAAGCCTCTTGGAGGGTCGAATGCTCATATATGGCAAGTCGGATGGCTGCAGTCCACTGGGTAAGAGAATTCAGTGAGTTGAAATGTAGCAGGTAGCGGTTATTCGCTGCGGTTGACACGCTGAGCACATTCTGGAGACTGCCACCTGCCGCTCCATTCATGGGTAGAGATTCGATCTAACCCTCAGTCAGCACATGATATTGGCCTGCCCATACAGTGTTTCTGCTCTTACCATCCTAATCGACGCATCGCTGAGGTTGATGAAGGTAGGCACGACCTCGCCATCCTCGCCGGCCTGGTCCAGGGCCGCGGCATCCCACAGTGAAAGCACCGTGCCCACCAACTGGGCAAAGGACTCTGTCCATACCCTGTCCGCGCTGGGTCTGCCGCGGGTATCGAGATCATGCAGTTTGAGGAAGTAGCCTTCATTGTACAGCTTATTGCTGTGGCTGTTCAGGAAGCTGAAGATAGGCTGCAACTCAGGCGGCGTGTCCTGAGCGACCTCGACCTGCGGCGGCTGGTATGTCTGGATCATGCTGTTGGGACGGGTGTTGGCGCGAGAGTCGGCTCTTGCTCTGGAGGGAGTTGTGGGCGAGCGCGGAGACTGCGGGGCATTCGCATCCAGCTTCTTCTGCAGTACTGAGGGCGAGACGGTGTCGACGTTGAGTGGTGGGTTTTTCTTGGGTGGCACGGTGTTCTCGTTGTTCAGCGTCGGCTCGGGGGTGTGCGATCGGGGTGAGCTGTTGCCGCCCCATTGCGACATGAAGCTGAGGACTAGTGAGAGCGCACAAGGTCAGGAATGCTCAGGCGGGTACCACAGCTCCGGGGCAGCATTTCGACTTACCTCGACGGCGCGGCATTGTGCAACGCTCTCCCGACGATCTGGCACGGTTCTTTGTTCTGCGTCGTCGGGTAGTCCAGACGACAATTTTCGGTGATGAGCTGTGCAAGGAACTTTTCCACAGCGAGTGATGGGTGCTCGAGAGTGCTCCCCGTGCCTGATGATATTGTCTTCTGCCGTGAGCCAACCGGAAGATGACGCACAACGCGCTCACGACCCAAATTAATACCAGCTCGTGGGGCCACGCGTGCAGTCAGCCTTCGTTGTCGCACGCCCACGACAAACGAGCGGAGGAGAATCGGCGGTTTGGAAGGGCAAAGGAGCGTCAGAGTGTCGGATGTCGGATGTCGATGGGGATGAGGATGCGAGAGGACGGGAGGTGAGGGAGGTGAGGGAGGTGAGGGAGGTGAGGGTGGTGAGGGTGGTGAGGGCGAGGTGCGGCGTTCTGCGGATGGATGCAATAATCTGCGGCTGCAGGCCTGCAACGTGAGAATATACTGGGGAATCTCTCCAGCGAGATGGATCGGCCTGATGACGGCAAGGCCGTGTGTTAGCGCCAACCTTGACCTGTAGAGCCTCACCCACTCACCCAGACTGTAGACTGCCCGTGACTGCTCGATCTTGTCGCGATGATGAGGCCGACGATATATGTTTTTTCTGCACTTTGCAGTACAAGATGCACGGGCGAAGGATGCGAGGATGTCGAGCAAAAGAAGATCTGACGGGCACAGCGCAACAACATCCATCCGCCCACGAGCACACGCACGCCCCTCTCCACGCTCCTCCCTACTCGGACCCGTGCTCAGTCCGAGTGGTTCGTTCACCTGCATCCAGCAGTGCTTACGCGGAGGCTTTGTTGTTCTCTTGGCACTCGCCTGTCAAATACCGGCACTGACGGTTTGCGCTCGTCCTGGACGTCACCTCTCCTAACTGCTTTCGGTGCGGGTGTGCACATTCAGCCGCGGAGAGGCGTTCCTCCGCCGCCGCTACATCCAGCTTGCACACGTTCTAATAGGATGAACGGCATCTTCGAACCGCTCACGCTCGACCAGAAGAGACGCGAGACACGCGTGCAACCCGACACGCCGCGCACGATGACTTGGCGCCCGCCACATGATCATATCGAGACAAGGAGGAAGGCATGCTTCATTGAACAATGGCCATATCACAATATCATTCTACGTATCCCTGCTCCCACGCTATGGCACATGGGAAGGCGGAGGCCGACTTTCGTACAGTCCAGTCGTACACGTACAGTCGTACGTATTTGACGCCGCAAGCAAAGACGACATGGCCGCTCTCCGGCCTGTGCAGACAGCTCCCATCCTCCGCCGCGCTCGCTCGTACTGCCTCAGGACTTGCACTCCTACGTGCTCGATGATGATATTACTGCCCAGGCGTTGCTCTTTATCACCTCGGTCTGACGTTTTAGATTTTACCCTCCCAATCCCATAACCTGGCCAAGGCGGTAGTCTATGTAGCTATCCGATTCACAATTGATGTCTTGCTTGTGACTAGAACATGTGACGGAACACAAAGACATCTGGGGTTGTATCCAGAATCTTTTCTCAGACAGCAGAAGCTGCACGTGAAAAGGTTCTTGGAGAACAAAATTTTCCCCTTCACTTACCGTAAAGCTCGGAGCCGTAGCTGTCCCGTGCATCGACATCTGCGGAGAGAGCTTTTGTCGCGCTTTCACGCGTTGACCTTGGCATATCGAGTCCTCACGTCTTGCTCTCACAACCAAAATCTCGCAAGTCACGATTTGCACGCGGACATATCATCAGCCACATCATCACCACCGGTACGACCAGTCCGGACCGTCATCACAACATCTCCTCCGCCAGTTTTCACGCTGTTCGACTGCCGGATCGCAACTTGCTCCACTCCGCATCGCCCAGCCACCCGACCAACATTAAAATCTCGCCTGCGACCTCTTCTCGCCCTCACACCTCCGCCGACTCGCGACCTCGAACGATGCTGAGAAACAAGAGGAGCGCGAAGATCGAGGCGCAACATGCCGCGACAACGAACGGAGCACCTGCGCCCGTGCCTGCGCCTGCGCCTGCATCTGCGCAACGCCTAGCGAAACCACCACCCTTTAAGGACCAACCCGAGCTGACACCGCTGGAGACAGAGCAGATGAAGAATTGGCTTGACGACGCGCCTCGACCGCTCTTCACCGTATCGGTTTCTGCAAACCCCGCGAATAGCAAGAAGCGTAAAAGAGACGATGAAAACATTGAGCAGGATCTGTTCGAGAATCGCCTCTCATGCAAGTACTCAGTGCATCCAAAGGACAAGTGGGACAAACTACGGAAATACAGAAAATTCACGGGTAAGAGAATTTGAATGCGGCGCAATAACGCGCGGGTACTAACAATTCGTTAGTCGGCTCTGAGAGCATTGCAATAGGCGCATGCGTCGTTGTCGTTCACGACGAAGACTCCGAAGAGGATGAATTCGATATGCACGCTCAGTGGAAGGCCAAAGTCCTGGAAGTGAGGGCGTTAGACTCTGAACACGTCTACGTACGGCTGGCGTGGCTGAATCGGCCGGAGGATCTGGAAGGCGGCCGGAAAGACTACCACGGCAGGAACGAGCTCATTCCCTCCAACCAGATGGACATTGTCGACGCCTTGGCTATCAATGGCCAACTCGAGGTCAAGCGGTGGAATGACACAAGCGACGACGACGACAACCATCAGGTGGACCAGGAGCAGTTCTTCTGGCGGCAGACGTTCGATTTCGCCGGAAGCAAAACCTTCTCGGTACGTCTACTACTCAGCGTTCGAGGGAGTTGGCTGACATTGCTTTAGAGACTGAAACTCATCTGTGTCGACAACAAGCCCCACAATCCCGACGAGCTGATCTTGCAGTGCTCAGCCGAAGGCTGTCGCAAGTGGATGCATGTCAAGTGCATCGCCGAGAAAGCAGTCAAGGCCGCTGGTAAGCGCCATAGCCCACAATCGAAGCCAGGCATCGTTCTAACAATCTTGCAGAACGCGAATCGAAGAAGAAGAAAGCTGAGCAGAGAGCTCGTCCCAAGAACGCCACAGATAGCAACAGCTCCGTGGCGGTTGTGAAAGCATCACTTCGTAGATTCACTGCCGAAGTCTTCATCAAAGGTCTCTCTAACGATAACGAAGCGAACGCCGAGGCTGCAACGGAACACGAGATTGTCATTACGGATTCCAAGGGGGAGAAGTACTCTCAGGCATTGAAGTGCCTTCACTGCGACACTGAAGTCGATGATTGAAAGGACAACAGTTCATCATCCCAGCGGCCGATTTCGATCTTCACGCGGGACATTATATGATCGATTGCACTGGCGCGGGAGCGCATAGTCCAGCGCGTGGCTAGATGCGGAAGCACTATTATTTCTCCAATCGAAACGGCAAGCAGGACGCAGGAGCGTGGAGACTCCACCCAAGGATCGACTTACCGACAGCGGCGAGGCATGAAATGCGCGTTTGCTGCATGCTCTTCTTCATCATCTGGTATTGCGATATGGTATTACTTTGTTCCGGAATTTCAGAGGAGGCAGATGGAAGAGTAGAGACTCCTACCTAGGGATGTCGCGCCGGCACGTATCGTCCCGAGCGGCGAGCGGCCCTTTTGGGGCGTCAAAGTTCGGGCAGACGGCACGGCGCGGGCTCACGGTCCGTCGATTTAGTCTAAATGTCACTGTGAACGAGTACAAGAGACCGGGATGGGTGTGAAACAACGATAGCTAGGTGAGGAGCGGTTGTATCATCCCCCACAGTGGATGCGAATTTTACTAGACGCCCGTTCGAATACAACAGAGGGTGAAGAAACGGTTGGAGTTGGTGGGTGAAGATTTCCAGATCTCTTCCACTTGGCCCAGGACCCTCGTCGTCGTTCAGCGGCTAAACCCCGTGGCACTATCTTGCCGCCAGCGGTAGCTCGAAACCGCTACTTTACTGGGCTGTTGAACAACGACGACGTGGCTCGAAACTCTGTTACGTCGTATCAAATTCCTATTCCTCATGGATGCAAGTCCCAGGAGGAGAAGAGATTCATAGAAGGCCTTCTTCATTCTTGCTGTGAGGAAGGTGTAGCTCATGCAACTACTGCAGCAGCTCGAAGATAACGTTCGATAGACAAGAATGGCCGAGGATATGCCGAAAGACTTGGCTTGAAGAACGGCCAGGTTGTTAGGGAGGGTCCGCGACGGGAGAAGTGCAAGGGAATGTTCCTCTGCGGTTCTGGAATCATTATTGATGCGGAAGAATACGGCCTCACAAGGGGAGTGGTTGTGATTGTGCCAACAACGCACGATCATGATGATTTGTATATGGAAGTGTGGGTTTGATTAGAGTACGCCCCTGTTGCACGAGTACTGGTGCTGCAGATGCGAAGCACATGCACGAGCAACAGGGCGGCGGGTGTGGGTTTATCCAGACAGAGCGTAATACGGTGGTTCTGGTCTCTAACTTAACTACCTCAACACCCTGGCCAATATGCTATTGTGCTATCACTGAGAAAGGAAAAGGTAAAGTGTAGTTTCGGATTTCATTACACTAAGGTACCTCCTACCTTTACTCACCACTTGCTGCCCACACTTCATCTCTCTCCCGTCTTTGCTTTTTGGCAGTCCATTCCAATCCCATTTCGTCAGGTTGCTGTGCCGCGAGTCAGAGGTTGCAGGCGTTTCGAATCGCGTCCATCGGTACCACCACTACCCTACTTACCCTTTACCGGGTTGTTCTTCTCGTCAGTCTTTACCTCGCAGTCCTTTTTTAGAAGCTCGATCCGGGACCTTGCAGCAAACCCACATACCAAACTCCTTGCCCTTTCCGCGATTCGATTTGAGGGAGTTTGACACACGAGCGTCGTCCCTGGTTCTCGCGGATCTTTTGAGATTTTGGTGACAGATGGCAGACACAAGCGAGCCGCAGCGCGGGGCTGGCGCGGAAGCGGGAGCTGCTGTCCCTCCCCCTGCTCCAGCTTCGGAGACGACATCTGCTCTACCACAATCGCACCCAGATTCGCAACCAGAAGGAGATCAGACTCAGAGACAGGATAATGGAGAGAAGGCTGCTCCTTCTGTGCCGGACTCACGGCCAACGGTGCTGATCATTGGTGGACTCGGTAGGACTTATTAGCACCATCCAACAACACGTCCGACAGCACACTCATCCAGAAGAATAGGCTACATCGGCCGCTTCCTCGCCGATCACATACACCGCAACAAACTCGCCTCTACCCTTCGTCTAGTCGACAAACAGCTCCCTCAACTAGCTTCCCTCGCTCCTGAACACAAGGAAGCCTGCTCAGACGAAAACTTCCTCCAAGCAGACGCTTCCCGCGAACAGTCGCAATCCCGAATCTTCGACCTCCCGCCTGCCGCCGATGGCTCCAAACGCCAATTCGATTACGTCTTCAACTGCGGTGGAGAGACGCGTTACTCGCAGGAAGATGAAGTCTACAAGCTCCGTAGCTACCAATTGAGCTTGACCGTTGGCAAGGAAGCCGCGAATCGTGGAGTGAAAGCATTCGTCGAAGTGAGCACAGGATCGGTCTATAATCCCAACAAAACGCCTCAGAAAGAAAAGGACAAGACGACGAAACCGCATACCAAGCAGGCGAAATGGAAAGTCTCGGCGGAAGAAGAATTGGCCAAGATTGAAGGGTTGAGGTTGGTGATTCTGAGGTTTCCGCATGTCTATGGACCTTATGATCGGAGGTGGTTGGGCACACAGCTTGCTCTGGCAAGGGTATACCAAAGTCGCGAGAAGGAAACGTTGAAATGGCTCTGGAACGGAGATCTGAGAACAAACACCCTCCACGTGGAAGATGCAGCCCGAGCGTGCTGGGAAGCAGCCCAATGGAGAGCAGTCAACGACCGGATACCCAACGCGCCGAACGATCGCATCATCTTCAATGTCGTCGACAAGGGCCAAACAACACAGGGGATCATGGCAGGGATCATCAAGTCCGTCTTTGGAATTGAGACGGGTTTCCAGAATGCCCTTGTCAATACTTTTGCGCGGTTGAATCTGGAATATGTGGTGGATGATGTGAATGACGACACCCTGGACGACTGGGCGGATCTGCAGGAAGCCGCCGGGATTAAGGATAAGGGAGGAGTGTTGAGTCCGTTCATGGAGAAGGAGATCTTGAGGGATGCGGATCTTTCGATCGATGGCGGGAGGTTTGAGGAGGTTGTTGGGTTCAGGTGAGTTTTCCTCTCAAGATATGTTTCGTGACGATGGATCGAGTACTCACGATTATGGATTTTCTAGACCACAGCATGAACGGATCACCCAGCAGGAAGTGGAAAGAGTGATTGAGAGCTACAAGACCATGAACTGGTGGCCGTGAGTCGAACAGCCGCGACCTTCAGTGTGATTTTGTGTTCATATGCATGATGTGTTGAACGGCCGGCTTCTTTTCTTTTCTTTCCTTCACAGCATAGCGAAATTTGGCAGAGATCCCCTGGCTGATGGATAGACGTGAGGGGAGGGCTGAGCAGGTACGGAAAAAAAAGGTACATCGATTAGAGGGAAGAATACCATCGAATCGCTCCAATATAGTAGATATCCAAGTTGTTGCCAGAAGCATCGACCCATTTGTTCCAGGAGCACAGAGGGCTGCATAATGGCATTGTGTCTATTGGCGACGCCGAGATGCTCGCGGAGCCTGGATATGATGTGAAATCCGAGTGAAACCACGCATGTGAATAGCGACCATCAAGGTGGTATTTGCTCTGATGGGATTTGATGGAGCTTCTCATCAAACTCCAATGAACCCAAATTCTTGGCTTTCATCTGAAACGCGGAGCAGAGACCCCCTGAGAGCGAAAGTTCACCTCACGGTCGGATGCGGCACACGTGTGCCATCTTTCTATAACCTTCGTTTCCTTCAAACAAAAAGACTTGGTTTTCTTGTATATAATTTTTGCGGGAGATTACCCGACCCACGTTCGCCTTTCCAGCCGCCGCCGCCGCCATGCCTTCTCCGTCGCTGGTGGTACGGTTGCTAATCGTCTTCTACACAGCGCTGGCCGCGTGCGCAACACAGGAGCCACTTGGCATCAATCCCAAAGACCAGCGCGGATACAAAGTCGGACAGCCTATCCCAGTGAGCTGTCTGAATCGAACAATGTACGACTACCACGCCATCCACCCGTCCATCCAAATTGGCCTACTGATTATTTCTCCCACAGCGACACAGGCGAACACATCACCGACCCGACCTCCGGCCAACTCTCCTACATCCCAGCCTTCACCTGCAACGAGACCCACCGCCCGCTCGAATTCTACTTCGGCATCGAAAAGGAAATCAACTGCACCATCGATTTCATCGACGATCCCTTCTTCCACCTACTCGAATTCTACGTCCACAACGATGCGCCCCTCACCTGTCGTATCCCCACCAAACCCTTACCCCCGAGCGTTCTGAAGGAGGAATACGAACAGGGAACGAAAGATATGACGGAAGGACAGGGCAGTCTGTCCGAGATATACACGCCGTTGGTGATTGCTCTCAGCGGGACCTTGCAATTGAGCCATCTGCATGTTTCGAGCAGTCTGAACGTGCTCGTGCATGCCGTCCCGAAGAGCATTTCCCCCGGAACGATTGCTGCGGCGACGGCGTATTCGATCTCAAGGGAGCCACCCTCCAGAATCGTGATTGGGGATCCGCTCCCACTGCGATTCAGCGTGAGATGGTATCCGAACACCCAACTTCCGTCGGGCTGGACGGGTATCGGAGGACACTTGACCTTCAGTACGTTTGTATACTGTATGCTTTCGGCGGGAGCGGCGGCGGCGATTTGTATTGCGTACTTTCGGGGTGTCGAATTGCCGAGACGCTTGAAGAGTCATGGCAAGGATCGGTTGGGTGGGATTGAAAGAGGTGGGTTGGGAGGATACGGGATCTCGACGATGAACGGATATGGTGGATATGGCGTTGGTAAGAGGGACTGAGATACCAGGAAGGGACATGCGTTTTTGATCAGCGTGGCGCTATACGGAGTTCTGTCTGCCTGCTTGCTGTAGCTGTACTTGGGGACCCATGTACTAATAGGAGGTAAGAGACTTGATCCAAGCAGAAGATGAAGGATCTCGAAGATCATAACAGACACTTCACACTTCAAGCGGCTTGTTAAGTGAGCCGTTTGAAAAAGCGCATGCTTTGCTGATTTGAGTCTCAAGTCTCCCAAAAGGCACTGGCTTAGATGAGCCTCCACGAGCACCTTGCGAGATGCCCCACTACGTCCTCCTGTGGCAATACGGCCAGAAGAATCCCTCCAAGTACTTTGACGGAGGACGCTCTGGACCTTCTGCTAATGCCGCAGCCACCCATCCGCCCTTGGGTTCTTGCTCCACGTACCACATACTACCGACTCCAACCTGCAGTAGTACCTCCTTATACGAGGTCTCCGCTCCAAGCATCAGGGCTCTACCGCATTACTAAACCGGACCTCCAGCTTCTCGATTTTCGAGGTCTTGCAGTAGTATCTTTTCCAGTCGGCCGTACCGTACCGCCGCAGAAGACGAACTTCACCACCCAAAACCTGAATCACCCAGAAAGAGATCCTGGGGCCAGCCAGCCGAGGGGGGCGGTCGGGTAGGTAGGTAGTTGCAGGCGTCGAGCGTGGCTTTCGACAACAATCGAGTGAGAGGAATTTGGATTTGGGCGGTACTATTTCTAGGATTTGTTGAATTTACCAGCCGAAGTCGTTCCCTAGGAGACGGATGCCAGCTGAAGTGTCTCGAAGACTGCAGGTCCGCCCACAAGGCTGACTATTGGCACTAGCGGGTGTCGCTTTTCACACCAGCGTTGGGAGACTTGGTGTGGTGAGGTGCGGTGGATTACGTTGTGGTGCGCCGTGGTGATGCATCGTGAGCCGTGGGAACTCGAAATTTATGATTGGTTCAATTTGGCAATGAAATTTGCTTTACAATTGACTGCTTTCCGTTTTCGGTTTAGTGGCAGTTGGCCCTACCGCTAGCGACATTCCATGTGATTGCCCAAACCGTGACCCCTTGCAATTTCTAAATGCTGAGCTTTCGCTTGCCGCACTTTCGTCTCTGGTGAGCTTTTCAAAACAAGATCACCTTTCATTATCTGAGATGGAAACGAGAACACGAAGAGTGACACATTTGGCCAGCCCCTTGTACGCATTGCCTTAAAAGTCCAAGCCCGGATCTCAGGTCTAGCAGGAAGCGTACAGCGCTGCTACTTCAAGCCTTTATCAGCCGGTTCAATGAGCAGGCATCAGCCAAAGTGTGCGAGGTTCGAAGCAAGCCAAGGATCAAGAGCACCGACCAATTCTGGTACAGACCCGTTATGTTGTGGTTACCAGAAAGTAAAGCTTGGCTCCCCTGGCCTTTCGTGAGTCTCCACTGAGCCGCGCTCACGTATCTTGCGAATATTTAAGGAGTACCTGTAGAGCGTTTGCGACAGCACTTCAGAAGGAGTTCGAAAGAGGAAATATCCCGTTGTGGACATGACGCGACCCATCACTCTTTCTACTGTCACAGAATGCCAGGTCTGGTGTTCGTAGGTGTAGGAGACCGCGTCTCGGTCTTGTTGAATACAACTTCCCCGGAGTCGACTCCTCTTGTGGTGGGCTGGAAAGCCGGGTGTGAAATTGTTGGCGGCAGGCAGAATCTAGAAGAATCGAGATTCCCTTGATGTCCCTATCTTACTGCATGTACCCCAGACTGGGCCTCGTATTATCACTGTTACCGAATGTTGAGTCCGCCTGCCGACATGCGAAACCACACAGCCAGACCTGTCTTCGCCAAGTTCGGCAACATCACAAAACAATTTTTTAACAAGTACACCTGTAGCAATTCTGCTCCCTGAAGCATCTAGTAGTAATATGTGGTCTCCCACCAATCGAAGAATTTCGACCCCCTTTCAAGAGGGTCGGGTACGTCGTCCTCACGGTCATCGCCCTCGTGATTATGGTCATGGCCATCGTCCTCGTCGTCCACGTTGTTGTCTCCAGTGTCGGATGGCGGATCAGCAGGAGGTCCCGTGGGTTTTAGAGGATCTCGGTTGGTGGGGTCGAGCACATATTGCTCGAATCTGTCTCTCGCGTCCTGAAATGCGTAAACTACATCGCCGTCCTCACTCAGCGTTCCATCTAGATAAAATGCTTCCAGACTTTTCATTTTTCCAGCGATTCGTAGAAACACCGCGAGCCAGCCATCTGTGGTGAGGTCGATGTCTGCCAGATAGACGTATTGAAGGCTCTTCTGGTGACGAAGGAGCAAGGCCACCAGATCGTCTGTAGTAGCACTGAATTGGCGTAATGCAAGCTGAGCAAGACCCGGCCAGGTACTGGAACCCAGAATGCTCTTGATTGTGGGGCAGCGATCGTCGAAATCGTGGTGATACATCCTCAACTTCAGAACTCGTAGGCTTCGAGCTTCGCTTAACCAGCCGGAGAGCTTGTTATTATGGTAGGCCGTTCTGATTTCATCGAATGCTTGATCTTCCATTTCCGTTCTGGCTGCTTCGAAGACCTCATCATCATCTCCCGCTTCCGCGCTCGGGTCAACATAGCAGCTGAAGATTATACGGAGCTCCTCCAGGCCACTCATCATGTATCTCATGCTGGCATCGTCTGTAGGAGACATCATTAGACGATACGAGATGTCAATGAGCCGTAATTCCTTGATAGGTCGGCTTTGGCGGTAGAGAGCTTTCGCGGTTTCCGAAACTTGGTATACACCTTGATCGAGGGGATGGAAGTCACCGCGTGGCTGCATCATTGTCGGAAGGTATGCCGTCCTCGCACGCCGGCGAAAGCCATCGATACCATGGGCAATTGCAATGGTGATCTTGCGCAAGGTCCGGCAAGCTTTGAAGAGATCTCCAAGACACTCCTGCTCAAAACCCGTCCTCTGCATTTCCCATTGGCCTTCACTTTCCTCCCAATATACAGCATACGCCCGATCGCATTCAGTTGGCGTAGGATTACCCCTGCACTTCTCTTCGAATACCTTCATTTGTCTTTCAAAGGCGTCCCGATACTCTGTTGTCAGCCCGCCGTCGTCTGTTTTCATGATATTTTGCGCCTCGTGAGACCAATTCCATTCACGTGATGCCGGATTGACCTCTCGTTGCTTCTCCCACGCACTTCGGTCCAATGTAGGTCGGTCAAAGCGGTCCGCTTGCCAGTAGACGGACAAGACACACACAGCCAGGTGCGGGCGCTTGCTGAGATCGCGAAGGTTTTGCATTCTTCGCCTTGTTGACTCGACAGACAGCTCAGAGAAGAGATGGAGCTCAGCAAATTGGCCAAGGTATTTGCACACCAGTCGTAAATTGGGCATATCCGCTTCTGGAACGAAGTCAAAGATCCATGCTAAGACCTCCTTAGGGAGTGCCCCGAGCCGGTCGGTTGAAGATGCTGCGCTGGCCATTCTAGTGCATGACCTGAAATGACAAGCGACAATAAGAGCAAGGTTCTCCTGGGATGCGTGTTGGGTGTCGAAGTCGATGATGGGAAAAGACCAGGACAGAACGTCTCGGAGTCTCGCTTAACGAAAACAACGGAGTCGCCCTTGCAACACTAGGTGAGTGCTGTAAGGAAAGCACCAACGAAAGACGTTCCTCCAACGAAAAATTCGATAATTTTTATGTTGCGCGACCTCCAACAGAGAAAGCATCCATTGTGCATATTAGGCATTCACTTCCTGGAATCCAACTTGAGTCAACGTGGTCTTTTCCGCGCAAAACATGTCTCCCACAAGTGGGCCTTAAAAAGGAAAGTCAAGCTTTGAAGCCTACCTCATTCCCACCTTCCCCTCATACCATTCACTCGAAGGCAGGTGCTTCAATCGCCTCCAGGTATCATCACATCGACTGGAGGCAGTCCTCGTGCATTAGGACCTGCATCACGTATAGGAACCTGGACGGCTATGCGCACTCTTAACTGAACCTGGCGAAAAAGGAACAGATGGCTGCTTCTTGGTAGAACTACCACCAATTTGACAGAAAGTGTCCTCCTGCATCCACCAGACAGGTCCACGATTGCCGCATTCCACAAGCCAAAATTCGATCCCAGAAATTGTATGTGGTTTTCCAGCCAAAAAGCGATGCCCTCGCCACTACAGGTCCACAAACATCCTCCGTGACTGAATAATGATGATAGAACCGAAAGACCAACGTTTTCCAGATTCGCGATCCCAGGTTTCGTGTGGTGGATTGCTAGTGTTTGTGACGGAGATTGCACAACAGGACGCCGGACAATCGGCCGGTTGGAGCTCTGGACCAAAGTCGCTTCCTCTGACGGGTGCCGATGCTCCTTTACGGAAGGCCCATAGATATTAGTACAGTCCGAAAACCTGCTCAAAGGGAGAGAATCAAATGCAAGCCAAGCTTGGTATTATACCCAGAGAGGCCCGGATCACGCAATTTTGGCCACGTAAGTTTGGCAAACACTGCCCCATTATCTGGAAAGACCTCGAGCCCGAATCCGCCATGGACGCAGGACATCTGCGCAATGGGGAGTGCTGGCAAGTGGCTAAGCTGTGGAGGCATCTTGCTGCATTCGGAGGGCATTGGGAGGGCTCTCGGACGCGTCCGCAAGTGCGCCGGTATAATGTACAGTCTGACTCGCAACGACCAATCTGTCCTGTAGATTCAAGAAGAAGAAGAATACTTACCATGAACTTCAGGACCCGTAATTGTTGCGCTGAGCGAAGCCAGGAGTGAAGGGCTCGTAATTCGCGGTAGTCAGAACTCGTCCAGAAGCTCGTGCACATCCGGGACATCCTCACCGCTGATTTGCAAGCTGAGCCTCAATTTGTGGAGTGGCGACATCACACTCAGGATAGCGCTGCTATCATAGAAGGCGTCGGTGGGTACCACGCGGAGAGCTTCGTCTGTAACAGCGAGTTGTCTCAGTTGCCGTCCTGTCTTGTGGAGTGTTTTCACGAGGCAAAAGAATTGGTCCACTCCGCGCATGTCGAGCTTGTCGTTGAAGGGAGGGCTCATACAGTCTTTGAAAGCGATCTGTCGTTGCGCATGCTTTCTGGAAGTGGAGACATATCTTGAGCCCAAAGTCGAGAGTGCTGCCGAGATGGCCGTTGGGCGAATTGGGAGTAGCTCACAAAGGGACCGCTTAGCCGTTGTAGGCTAGGCGGGCATGTGAAAGGAAAGTGAAGTGAATGGAAGAAGAGAAATGTAAACAACGTAACGTGCGGGAGACGCGTACCAAATTGGGACTAGCGTTCGGCTTTAACAGCAGTTCGCCCGAGAAAGCTTCCATACAGCTTCAAGATTCAAGATCACCACTTCGAAGAACAAGAAATTGCGACCATCGCTAGGAGATATCTGCGTTCTCGGGGATGGAAAGGGGGTGTGGGGGAATACACGAGCGGTAGTACTTGAGTTCCGCGCTCGGCACATAACGACTCACACCAACATGCCGCGACTCGTCCGCCGAAAACCGCTCTCGGAACGCATTAAGGCATACCTCGACGTCCACGACATACTCCTCTGGCTATCCGAAGAGCTCAACGATGACGCGTACGGCGACTGGCTGAAGCTATGGGCAACTCCCATCGGCATCGCTCTGAACCTTGTGTTCATACTGGCAAGAGGCGCAAGCAGCAAGAGCTCTGGGCAGGGCGACGATGTGTTTGGCGACGACAGTGGTGGCAGTGGATGGTTTTCTTGGCTGGTGAGTACACACACGGCATCACTGTAACAGGACGGACTTTGGCTGATTTGGCGGATATCAGTGTGCTTTCATTGTTCACTGCCTGACATGGACGTGCGTTGCGAATGCGCTCTACACCTTCTTGCGAAAGCGACACTATCGCCTGTTTGAGCAGCCTGTCGACATTGCCCCGGCCACCCCATCGGCTCATCGAGTGCGAGTAGACAGCTCTCCAGCTTCTTCGTCGCCCTTGAGATTGCTACAAAACGTCATCGCATCCAGCTCAGCGGCGTCTCGCGCCTATCCCGACGCCGAGCGTGAAGTATGGGAGCTGAGCATATGGGATCCTAAGCCTTTCAATCTGGCGATCTTCACCCTCTTCTCGCCTGGTCATATCCTGGTCTACTTCCTACTTCTACCGCCAGCAGCTCTGGATCCAAGGCCCTCCGTCGCCGTCTTCACTGCCATCGCTTTCAGCGCCTTGCTTTCCTTACAGCTGTGGTTCCTGAGAACCTCATTCGGCCAGCAGGCTAAAGATACTGCTCTTATCCACGGAGAAGTGATGAGCGAATACGACACAAAATTCGTGCATCCGAATCTCAACAAAGCTGTCCGCGACGTTGGCATACAGACGCGCGAAAGCGCCATTTCGCCTCGAGGTACCCGGACTCGTGAAGTAGATGTCTACACACCGACAACGATCGTCAAGCGCGGTTTCAGACCGAATCCAAACCCAAACTATGCAAGCCAATACGATCCAGACAATCTTGCAGGCCAAGCCGGAGATTCGCGGAGATCGTCGAGCTTTGGAACGCCCATACTGGAGACGCCCTCAAATGGATACGTGAATGCGCATACACAATCTGCATATTCGAGACCCAGCGTCGCGGACTTTTCATCTCCGCTGAAGCCGCACCATGAGAGATTGCGTGATCGCAGCCCAATGAAAGGAGATGGAGGAAGTATGGGCGTGTACAACCACGTTGCGAGCCCGCTGAGAAAGACTGCTAGCAGCAATCAGCTCAGGACAGGTCGCGAGGGTCTCGACGTCAGGCGAAGTGGAAGTGGGTTGAAGCGCATGAGCACACCTGGGGACGGCGGCAACTACGGCCCCGAAATCACGCGAAGGAGAGAAACTGGACGATACTAGTCGTTCGTCTAGACCCCAATTTACATACGAGCGCTGACGAAAGTGAAATGAAGCAGCGCAATAGAGCCATGGCCGTATTATCACCTGTCCGCGATCGACTCCAGCAGATCTTCCCATCAATTCCAGGGTGTTCAGCCAAATGTCTCTCCGTCGGCGATCGATACCTGAAGCATCGGATCGTGAGAATCCCCAAATAATTGCGAAACGGAACAGTCCCTTTCGATGCTCGAGGAACAGACTCGCAAACAGCTGCAACTGGTCACATCCGAGTCAAATGCAAAGATGCTCCATTGATCATTGAACCCGATATTGCGAAGAAATTGTGGAGGGCTGCAGACGCTTTGCACTGCACTGGCTCCGTTGTTGTTGTGCTCAGGCAAGGGGGGCCCACTCTTAGACTTGCACATTCCTGATGTTGACCATGCACTGTTGTGAGTTTATCATATACCTTGGCTCAACACACGGCTCAATCCCACGTCGTCGCCCCGACCCCGTCTATCGAGAGTCATAGCCGCGATGACAGCAGCACCGATGCCCGATCCATCTTCCGCACTGGTGATGACAATCGGGTCTTCGTCCCGATCAGCAGGCCAGTCCATGACTTCTGCCATGGCATCCGACCATCTCTTCTTGAACTTCGGATGCTTATTGGCAACGCTTCCATCAGCCGCGACGTGTCCGGACGTCAGGCCTTGCTTCTTGCAAATAGCCGCGACTCCAGTCGTGCAGAGTCTAGCTCCGCGCGTGGCGATGGCGACTGCTAGACGTCGTGAGACGGTCAACTCAGATCTAGTGACGTCGAGGTCTAGCTTCTCTTTGTATAGTTTCCTCGTGTGGGCAAGATCCGGGGAGTCATCGTCTTCGACAGCGGAGAGGAAGCCGGTGTCCATGACATACGGCCTTCGCAGGTGTTCCGCAGCATGGTCCTTGAAGATGAGCTGCTGCTCGTGCAGGTCAAGAAGCGCCAGCCTGAAGATCTCGCCCAAATAGTGACCGGCGCTGAGCTTCTCGAAGCGCTGCTGACCGGGGCGTGGTGACTGCTCGTCAATCTCAAGGTCATATTTGGTCCTCGGTAGAACACGACAGCTGTTGTCAAAAGCTCCGTATTCACAATTAATGGCCATTTCTCGATCTTTGGGAACGCCTTCAGGAAGCTTGGGGATCGCAGAGCAGTGTTCCATGTAAGCAGCATTGCACCCGGTTCCGAAGATGCAGCCGATGATGGTGTCCGGATCGTTGTAATATGATGAGATCATAGCTCCAGTCGTGTCGTTTACAAGAGCCACCAGCTTTATTGGTAAGTTCTGCAAGACCTTAGTATGACATCTCACCGCATTGGAAGGCCACATGCATCCCGAGCATTCTAGCGAAAACGCCACGTAGGCGCCCGATGGGATGTCAAGATAATGGACTTACCCGCTTTTCTATTGCCTCTCTCACCTGCGCGGCGACATCATGCCCTTCCACGCCTTTGATGTCCAAGCCCTTCGTCCATCGTTGTAATATGCCCTGGTCAATGCAGTCTTGCGTGGCCGGATAAGAGAAGGTGAAGGCAAATGGTAGAGAGTCTTCCGCTGTGCCTCCGAGCTGATGCTTCTCAATGAAATCCTGCAGTTTTCCCGCTACCATGCTCCAGAGCTCATCGGCGGAACCGGACCTAATCTCTGGGGATAGTTTATAGGAATCCTGAATCATGTCCGGCTGGCTTCCGCGCCCGTTCAAGGTGATCCAGCAGACTCTCAAGTTCGTACCACCAAGGTCCAGAGCGAGATAGGATCCTGTCTCTGCCCCAGTCGGCCAGCCCATGACCCAAGTTGGATTCATCGGGATGTTGCCCTCCTTGCCATTCCCCTCAAGCCCTCCAATTGGTCTTAGTCTATCTGTGAGATACAAATATGGGTGCTAGCTGACCTTCGGTGAGCTCCTCTTCAAACCTGCAACACGGAGTGGTCAGAGGTCAGCTGTTATCTGAAGCATCGTGAACAGAGATAGGAGTTCTGGGGACAGGCTAAAGACTTCGAGCCATAACATGGAATCGACATCCTTTCTGCCCTTCGATGTCGTACCTCACGATTATCTGCTGAAGCTTGTCCTTGTCAACAGTGAACACATTCTCGATCTCCCGCAGTGCCTCCTCCAGCTCTGGAGGTAGGGACCCGCGATCATGCGTCTGGCTGTTTGTCGAAGTGTTGACAGTCATTTTCGATCAATGGATCAGTATAAGCAGAAAGAGAAACGCGACTGAGCAGTCTCGCGAAGAGTGGAAGTAGGTGGACGTCGTGATTTTGGAGCGTAAATTACTGGCGCTTGTCGCGGTACTCTTGCGGAATCGTGATGCGGCCGAATTCGAATTGCTTTTACGGCCTTCTGACGTCAGAGATACTGGCCAGAACATAGTGATCCAAAGGACGCCGGACGTGTCCGTACGAGTATGGCACCACCGATATAGACATTTCCCGTGACGATGATGCTCTCAGTGCCAATGAGAGCCTCCCTCAACCCGGCGTGCGGAGATGGAAGCACGTTCGAGATCAGCTGTGCGGGATGTCGAGCCATTGGCAGCCTTTGCTCAGTCTCCATCGCGTATATGAGATTGGCGAAAAGCCGTTCACATGGAAGAGAAGGAGAAGGTGTATGGTGTCAAACTGGATGTTGCATTGCAAGGCCTGAGGTTGGCAGAAGGTCAAGAAGGTTCGTAGCCGGGGAGCCACGTGCACAGGACCCGGTTCCATCGCACAGATCGCTGAGTCAGGGCCAGCTCGTGGAAAATCCGAATTTTCGCGGCCAAGTTCTTCCTCTCCAACACACTCGCACCAATATCACCAGGACAGAAATTTCTTCTTGTACCCGCTCATCGCCACCAGGTACCTCACCGGACTACTGGCGACTGTCGGTGCGTCCACAATGATGAATCCGGCCGATCCAGCTCCCTGCGAGGAATAGGTGAGCACGCAGAGACAGCTGCAACCACGGCCTGAAGAGCTGGTAAGTCCACCACATCGAATCCACAACATCTGCACCCTTCACTCTGATGATTCCGTTACCTTTTGGCACCTCTTATGTTAAGCGAGTAAAATCGCCGATGATCTAAATGGACTTCTGATCATAACTCTCAATTCTCATATCCAGACCGATCTGCTTTGAGTCGAGTCGGTGGCTAACAATGTCTTGAGCAGGTCTCCAGGCGGCGTCTCAACTCGTGAGCGCAGCACGAGGTCCACCAATACGTAGTGACTTTTTCTCTCAACTGCATATGTCGTGTCGAAAAAAGAAGATAATGAATGCAGTGGCACTGCTCGTCGCACGCCACAACATACTCACAGATTCATTCACTTCGCAACAGTTCACATGCATTTGGAATAAGTTAAGCCAGACATCGCGCACGTGATGCCAGAAGTCCAAAAGCCTCCGGAGATGAAGATCAGCGCTGCCTCGCTTCGTGGCTCCAGGCACTCGGCACGAGATCGAGAGGCCGGCTTCAAGTGGTCTGGCAGCCAAGCCGCGCGGCGTCGAGAGTAGTGATCACAGATGGAAGAAGAGCTGCAAATGGAGATTCGTAGGCAAAAGACAGGCGGTACGTAGACGCCTGTCCCAAGTCCCACTCCAAGCCGGTGGACGTTCGGAGCCGGAGGCGAGTCGAGAGGGGGATTGAACGCGTCAACCATCCCAAGTCCGACGCAGAGGAACCGCTGCAAGTCCGACACAGAGGAACCGCTGCGGGAGGGAGGCATACTTGCTTTTCGTTGTTCTTTCTTTAGGCACTGCTGTAGTAGAGCAATGCAAACAGATTGAAGGAACCGAAGGGTCGCGTGATGATTGGTAGGACTTCGAATGCAACCGTCACTTGGGCAGGGCATGCTTCTCCTCCACGTCGATGGGATCGTTGTTCACCTCGTGCTGCAGCGATGTTCCCACAACATTCCAGTGGACCTGCAGGAACGAAACGATTTCCAGCGCCGCCCACCGTCCAATGTAAACACATGACAGCAGAGGTACGCAGGCCAGGCAGTCCCATGGCCCATGGCGAGGGAGGTGGCGAGAACAAAACGTTTCTTTGCGACCACCTATCAACCAATGTGCCAACTTCCTCCTCCACATCACCAACACGCTCGATTAACCAGGACGGCTTGGACGGCGTCGTGGCAGGGGGCGATCAGCCGATTAATCGAAATTGAGGCAGCGCAAGGCCGGCGTAAGCGCTGCAGCAGCAGTGCAACGACTCCGCTGCTCATTGGCCGAGCGAGCGCATCTCCTGGCTAATTAAACTCTCAGCCTCCAAGCACCAAGTTTCACAATCCTCGAGAGCAGGAACCCCTGGATCTCGTCGCTCACTTCTCGGCTGGCTGGCTTGCATACTCCTGTGCCTGAGACTATTGCTGGTTGCCGGCCCTTCTTTTCCTCCTTCACCACCACCTCCACCACCACCACCACCACAACCCACCACACATATTCACCGCAGTCGGTCATTCAATCGCGCGCGTCGCCAGCGCTGCACACCCACGCTCGCTTCACCTACGCTTTCGGGACATCCCTAGCAACGACAATAATCAAACGCCGTCAAAACAATAGCAATCCGCGCAGTGAACACGAGACCGAGATTTCCCCACTTCGATTCGAAGAGACTTGCCAGGAACCTCGACAGGTCGTCAAGCATCCACAACAAGAAAACAATAGACGTCAAGATGAAATACTCCCTTACCGCAGCAGCGCTGTTCGCAGCCTCCGTCTCCGCAGACCTCTGTACGTACGGCAGCACCGACGACGGTGGCAACTATTACTGCAAGCAGGTCAACGCCATCACGTACCAGGGTGTTGGGGGCTCCGGATCCTACAACAAGATTACGGCCATGGAAGAGAGTGCGGGATGCTCGAGCACTCCGTACAGCTACAGCGGAACCCTTGCTCCTTTCGACGAGGAAGTCTCCATGCACTTCCGGGGACCGATCAAGCTGAAGCAATTCGCCTTCTACGCGCCAGCGAACGGCACCGCGACGAGCTACAAGGAGAAGCGTGAGGAGAAGCGCGAGATTGAGCGTCGCATGAGTGCGCACGCAAGGCGCCATGCCCACGCTCACGCACATGCGCACAAGAACCAGGAACGTGCGGTCGGTGATACCGTCTACGCGACCGTCGATGGTGTGCTTGAGAGCTGGATTAACGAGTACTCTGGCCAGACGCCAGCGACCTCGTCATCGTCTTCGTCCGCTGCGGCTGCAGCTACGCCTGCCAGCTACAACACCGGAGGATCCGGATCTTCATCTTCCAGCTCCGCAGCGGCAGCTTCTTCCTCTTCATCGTCGTCTTCGTCATCGTCTTCATCATCGTCTTCATCATCCTCCTCGTCGGACGGCGCCAGCGGTGGTGAGGGCTGGACTCGTCAAGCTTACTACGATTCCGAATCGCAGACCGCCGAAGGCCTCGTCTTCCTGAACCACATGGGTGGCTCTGGATCCGGAACTTTCGACTACACCTTTGGCAACTCCCTGTCCTACTCCAGCGCCGACGGAACAGCTGGCGCGTCCTCTCCTCAGACCCTGGAGGATTGCCAGCTTGGTTCCTCCGAGGAAGTCATCATCATGTCCGACCAGAAGTGCTCTGGTGACTCTTGCGGCTTCTACCGTGACGGTACCGTCGCCCACCACGGCTTCGACGGCCCAAGCAAGGCTTTCTTCTTTGAGTTCGAGATGCCAACCACCGGCGAGACCGCTGCCAGCGAGTACACGCCCGTCGACATGCCGGCCATTTGGATGCTCAACGCCCAGATTCCCCGTACTCTGCAGTACGGTCAGGACGACTGCTCCTGCTGGAAGACTGGCTGCGGTGAGTTCGACATCTTCGAGGTCCTCGCTGCAGGTGACAAGCGCGCCAAGTCGACCATCCACAGCAACAACGCTGGTGGTGACTCGGACTACTTTCCCCGGCCAGAAAGCGGCACCATCAAGCTGGCCACTCTGCTGTACGAGGACAACTTCCACATCAAGATCATTGACGACAGCACCGACTTCGGCTCAACGATGGGCTCGACCTTCATCACCGAGATCTGCGAGGATACCCTCATCAACAGCTTGGAGAACCTCGTTTCGCTCATGACCCTCAGCGGCTCGAGCGGCTAGGCGGACTTCCGCACTCCCTTGCCAGCACGTAGGGATTTTAGCAGCAGCGGAGTTGTTGGAGTTGGTCGAGAGACAATGCGCGGCCACGGTCGTGCCAGCGCAAAGTTCTTTTACTCAGATTTTGATGTTGCATTTTGGTTGGCGCTCTCTTGCACTCTCCTGCGTTGGGAGGAGGTCTGTCACCTCTTCGCTTGGCTCTCTCCTTGGAGACGAGGAAGGATGCAATCGTTGTTTCCGTGTCTGTACATAGCGCGAGCCGCGCTCGGGGATCATTGGTTGCGAGTGTATTTGCCTACGATGTCAGTATACAGGCGAGCTCGGCCAATCCGGGTGCGTGATGAGTACACAGAACAGTTAGCCAGGCGTACAGCATACGGTTATCGTTCATGATCGATCGCTCCCTTTCATTTGTGTCTGACGGTGATTTGTTGATATATACCTTTCCGAGCCATCAGCGTGAGGCCCAGATCACCATGTTAGATGGAAACCGCAGTGGTGTTCTGATCGTGACATGTGGTAGGAGGAGACGTGGTTGACGCCTGTCATCCGGCACGGCCGTGGTGGTGTGAGCGTTGGAAGCGGGAAGCGGAGAAAGATCCTCGGCATCGAGGCAACCCGAAAACATCATCACACACGCACGCTACAGTACCTTCTCCCGCCTGGTACCACCTCTCCAAGAATTAACAGACACTCTCTTTCCGAGACATTCGAGCCGTCTCGGCCGACGCGACAGTATATTGAGTATTGCGCCGGGACCCACCGCTTCGAGCGATGCTTTGAATAATACGCCGCCGAGGAACGCCGACGGGCTGCGACACAGCATAGAAATCACCGAGCGCGCATATCTGCGACGGACGACATATAGGATAGCGGTAGAGGACTATGTCCGGCTCGCCGCCGAAACCGTGGGAGAGAGCAGGTGCCGGCGGCTCTTCTGGTATGCCACTCACCACACCACAATACCGGTCATGACTGACAAACAATGTAGCTGCCGTGCCTTCGACAGCAACAACCACCGCCACCGCGGCGACGCCGACCTCAGCTGCGCCCGCACTACCTGCCCGATCAGATGCCCTGAACGCCGTTGCGACACGGACAGCCTCAAATTACTCCACGCCTCTCAACCGGCCTTCTCCATACTCTTCGCCATACGGCTACGGCGGGATGTCTTCCTACAGCTCGCCCTATAATCGTTTCGGCGGCGGTATGTACGGAGGAGGCATGTACGGCGGCATGGGTGGTTATGGAGGCATGGGAGGCATGGGAGGTATGGGCGGCATGGGAGGCATGTACGGCGGTGGCATGTATGGACCGCAAGGACCCGGACAGGAGCAGAGTCTTACGCAAACATACCAGAACAGCACACAAGCGACGTTTCAGATGATTGAGAGCATTGTGGGAGCTTTCGGTGGGTTTGCGCAGATGCTGGAGAGCACATACATGGCCACACACTCAAGCTTCTTCGCTATGGTTAGTGTCGCCGAGCAGTTTGGAACTCTGAAGCAGACGCTGGGGAGCGTATTGGGGATCTTCACAATTATGAGATGGATACGCGCGGCCATTGCGAAATTGACAGGCAGACCTCCACCTGCATCTTCGAAGGAGCTGACGCCTGCCAACTTTGCGGCTTTTAGCGGGAACACAATCGGACCAGATGGACAACCTCAGCCCAAGCCAAGCAGGAAACCATTTATCTTCTTCGTCGTTGCGGTGTTTGGGCTGCCTTGGCTGATGGGCAAACTCATCCGTTCATTGGCAGCATCTCAAGAGCAAGATCAGCAGCGGCAACTTACCAATTCACCCTTCGGCGCGGTCGGCGAACAACAGCCCCTAGATCCAAGCAAACTGGACTTCTGCCGTGTCTTGTATGACTACACCCCACAAGCCCAACCAGGGCAAGCTTTCCAAGAAGGCATCGATCTTGCTGTAAAGAAGGGAGACCTCGTCGCTGTGCTTTCCAAAACAGACCCGAATGGTCAATTATCCGAATGGTGGCGGTGCCGTGCACGAGATGGCGGTGTTGGATACCTCCCTTCCCCATACCTCGAGACGATTCAAAGGCGGCCACAACAAGGACAGATCACAGCTGCGAAGAGCGCACCTGGCAGCGAAACCAACTCTCGCGTCAACACCATGACCGCAAGCTCTGCTGGTAGTAGAGCCAATTCGATGAAAATCACGGATCGAGAAAAGGAAGAAATCAAGAAGCAGACTCCGGGAGTAAAAGAGGCGCCGCCTTTGGTTAAGACCAAGCAGGGTGAGGCACCGATTGAGAGTTTCCAGCGGGCGGCTTTCAACTCGTAGATGGGGGAGATTTCATGCGCTGTAACGATTCTCATTCGCATTATTAATGTACATTTGTATTTCGGATGTCATTGTTCTTACAGGATGGATGGCTTTGTGAAGCGTGTGCATGGCATTTGGAGGAGTTTGCGAATGATGGATATGGGTCTAAATCTTCGAACCATGAGCGATGATATCAGAGGTGAAGAAAGGCGGAAAGGGTGGATATCTTCTGAATGAATGGGAAAAGCAGATCTTCATGTCATTCCAATCATATCTCGCTGTGTGAGTGAGTCGTTTTCTGTCTTTCCCACCAAAAGTCGCATCCGCTCTTCGCACTTTTCATCCTTCAAACCGCAGCCACTACCTCCATCCCTCCGTGTCCGATGCCCATCCACGGCTTCTCGTTCTCGTGTCGCTTGGAAAGGACTTCCGAGCAAGTGTGTCCCGGGAACAGAGAACCGCAAATGCAGACCCACGAGGGCAGGGATACGCTCCTGGTTTGAGAGAAAGAAAAAAAGTGTAAGCTAGTGTTACGGCAAGAGCGGAAACCGCAATACTGAGAAGGTGTGTGTTTGGGCTTCATCCGTCGGCAAAGTGCCTGAAAGTAGCGTCATGGATCGAATGAAGAAGCATGGTCGCGTAGCCCCTTCTGTTGGTGGATGTGAGGAGTGGGGAAGTAGGTGGTGTCGGCGTGATTCCTTCCCTATGATGCCCTTGTATCTCAGCATCAGCATGAGAAAAGCAAACAGATGGGAAGTGTTGTACAGTGCAGTGCAGTGCGGTGGAGAAAGGGGGCAGGTTTACTTGACCTTGCTCTTCAGAGCCTCCTTGAACTCCTCGACCATCTCTTCGGTCCAGGTGTTCTTTCCCTCTTTTGGCGCGAAGGCGCTCTTGGTGAAATTCAGAATCTCGACGACGGCGGTCGGACCCCCCTCCTTGGAAGCGCCGAGGACTTTGAAGAATTTGTAGGTCTCGGCGTGGAAGGCCTTGGCTGCCTTGCCCGGGTCCGTCTCGGTGCTGACGCCGAAGTCGAAGTGCACGCGCTTGAGGTTGGTCGCTTCCGCGAGCAGGTTGAGCGTGTTGCGCGCCGTGGCTCTGTTGAAGTTCCGGATCTCGATGTCCTGGAGGCGAGCGCGCTGCTCGGTCTCGAGGGAGGAGAGGAAGTCCATGAGCGTGGCGGTGGAGTCGAACTTCAGGGTCTGGGTGTAGAGGATCTCCGTGGCCTCAGACTTGATCTGCGAGTTTGTGTCAGTCATGCCATAGGTATGCGAGTATTGTTGCTTTGCGGGACAGGCGCACCTCTTTGCAAACGGCCAGAAGAGCGACGCGGTTCTTGTTGCCGTCGGCGTAGGACTTGGCGTATGCCTCCTTGTTCGTGCTGCGCTTGCCATCGAGGACGATGGGCTCGTTGATGATGCCCTTGCAGGCGAAGTACTCTTTGTACACGCGAGCACGGATCTCCTTGTCAAGCTCAAGGAAGCGGAAGGGCTGAGCCGGCTTGATGATGATGGCTTGGTAGCCCTGATATGGACCGTCGTCGAGAAGAACCTACTGCACATGTCAGGAATCTTTGGTTTGCAAACAGAGAGAGGTGACGACGAACCGTCTTGACGACGTTGAATTTGTCCGGCGCTTGGAGGTTGACTAGCTGGCCGAAAGTGCCGAATTTGTTCTGAATGGCTTGGCCGCTTACGCCCTCGATGCCAACATCGACCGGAATCGTCCCGCCTTGATCAGTCGCAAGAGACTTGAACTCGACAGACCGAGGTTGCGACTTGCGTGGGGTGGCCTTTGGGGTCGCCTTCTTTGCAGGCGACTGCTCAGCCTTCACTTTGCCCTTCGGCTTCTCGGGAGTGACGGGCGGCTTCTTCTCCGTCTTCTCAACCTTGCCGTTGGGCTTGGCCTTGCGAGGAAAGTCAGTGGTTTTTTTTTGAAGCTACAGCTTGAAGCTGACGTACCTTGCTGTCCTTTGGTGGCATCTTGAGTCACACCGTGCACGTGATGATATGGTGGAAGTTGGGTGCTTGTGACGGCGATCCTGACTTTGTAGCAGGCCCGTGATGCGTGGCTAAGTGGCCTGTAGCCTGTGTTGCAAAAGCTTTAGCAGGTTGTGGTCGTTGTTCAAGTGAGTTGCAGAAGTTGAAGAGAAGGGTTGAGGTTGATGAAGAAGAAGGTAAGAAGGAAAGACGGAAAGAAGTAGACAAAACTGAAAAAAATTTAAACCCTCACCTCGCCAGCGGCAACTTGGAACGCTTGCGCCGTTTGTCTCGTGCTCGTGAGCGCTGCAGCCTAAGTGAGGATCAGAGCTGGCGCTCGTTGTAGCAAGTGAGGCTTTCAAACGGCACCAAGCCGTCGACTGTGATGCAAAAAGCAGCAATAATAAAGCGCAGTAAACCGACTCCGTCTGGCAATCAGGTTCTTAGAATTCTTGTCTTCAGAGGAGCACAACTGGTGTGTGGAGGTGCCTTCTGCTGAGGAGCTCACCTCAGCTCTCGACAAGTTCCTCGCATCTTGCATGTGAAAACTCAGGAGAGGTTCATGTCTGCCTGGAGCTCAGCCGAACGCGGAGCTCGGTGACTAGAACCGGATCAAGAATGCCATCGGATGCCAACCGCTCGCGGAGCTTGAGTGTTCAATGCGGACCCCTTCAATGGACATGGCTTGACCGACTTTACTGCATGGCGGCCGAACTTTCATTGGGACATTTCCGAATTCCACAGCAGTCGCATCGCTTCTCAAGACTCGGTCAGGCTCCGTCAGACTTATCAGTACGGACTATTCCTCGCTTGAAAGTTTCATCAATATGTAGCATCCGGCGCGGACCTGATGACCATGTTGAAGGACCTCACTTGCACTGTCTTGTGAGGCAGACAGGAAATAGTGCGTCTTCGATTGAACTCGTCGTCTCACAGATATAGAAGCCGCACAAACTCTGTTGCGTACGTATAACAAGTCGACGCTCTCCATGCTTGGTCAGACAGATTGTACATGCAGCTATTTTTAAAGGATTGGCATGTGAAGATCGAGTGATGTCGTGCTTGGTCTGCCAAGCCATTAGCGTGCCAGGGCACGGCGGTGGCCTGAGCTTACAAATCCGCAAAATGGTTTTGCCGGTTTTGCTACCGCACCACCACACTCTCACACACCGTAATCGCAGTAGTTACGGGGCCGACATGGTTGCTGCTGGGGCGCTCTCGGGCGCAGACTAAGGCGGAGGCGAAGGAGTAGGTTAATAATCAGGCCAGTATCGGTCGTGGAGTCGTCTATAGATGAATGTAAGAGTCTCCTAGTCGATTAATGCTATAAATTGTCGATTTGCGAGTCTGCGAGTGCGATCTAGGTAGGAAAAGAGGTCTAGGTTCGCTAGATAAGAATGCCTTCTTATAAAATAGCCTGCTTATTGTTAGTAGCTGCCTTATTATTCGATATTATAGACTCGTACTTATAATAGTATAAGCGCGATAATAGCTTTTAATCAATATAAAGCCGCGTACCGCTATTAACGGGTTCAATATGAAGCCAAAAGCTGCGCCTGACTTTATATTGACCGTTCACGTCGACAATAGCGGTGCGCGACACTCGTGGAGCCTCATTGTCGCTGTCGTAAGTTGTTATTGTGGTAGTAGAGTGAGTCGCGACTCACAGCGAGTGCCGCTTCGGCAGTCGGCAAAACCATTTTGCGGATTTGTAAGCTCAGGCCACCGCCGCACGCGCCTCGACGCGGTCACGACTCTTGTCCGGGGTAGGGCTCCATTGAGGTCAAACATTCTCTTCCATGCTGAGACGGAAAGTTCAACATTGAACAGCCACAAAGACAACAATGGTACCAAATGGTACACCTGCGGCAAACGCAGACGACGAGATGAAGGAAGAAGAGGTGCCACGCGAGGTACCATCCGCCTACGCCAAGCGACTTCAGGCCATGCTCATGGATTTCCAGGCATCACTCAGCAACATCCAGCAGGCGCCGGCGAGTTCTACGGATCCTACCGATCCTAACCCGGCGCCGCAGACCGATGAAATGCTTATCGAACCGACGATCGCAGCAGAGAAGCAGCAAGAAGCAGTTGCCGCCGTAGCGCCAGCCCCGTCAATCGCGACACCGCCGGCTGCATCCACTGCGACAGCAAGACCCGGCTCCATGCCACCACAGCCGGCTGCGCGACCTGAGAAGCCGGTGGCGCACGGTGGACCCACGAGACAATTCCTCAACTCGCACATCACGCCGCATTTGCTCGAGGGCATGAAGTACCTTGCCGTCTACGAGCCGGAGAAGCCGCTCCTGTGGCTTTCGGAATTTCTCCGCGACAGGAGCAAGGAAATTGAAGGGTCGTAAAGGGTACAAGAGGAGGAAAACAGGAAGAAAGAAGGCTGCGTAATTCTGCATACCGAAGGCGTTGAGAGCGAGCACAGGACCACAGGACAACACTCACGCGGACAACAGGGCGGCATACTGCGATTGGGAAGAGAAGATACCCATTTGTTGATTCGTGTGTGAACGGCGATTCAAAAGAAGAACAGCACAAAATCGATACGGAGATCAGTGAGCGAACACAACTTATCATGAGAATGGGAGGTCTACTGTCTCTATCGCCTCTTTCTGTGCCGTACAGGTCTCCTACGAGCCTGCGTCAGCGCTCACTTCAAAAGTCAGCGGCGTCCACGAGCTGCACCCGCGAGAAGATCAGCGCTTCGTTGAAACAGCCGAGCGCAAACACTGCTTGAACAATGCCAGAAGTCTCAAGCTTCCATTTCTTGCAGGCAACTCGCTATCATAACAAACTGACCAAGCTGGAGGAGAAGGCGTGCGAGACTTGCGCCTCATCGCACAATAGTGTTCAGTTCGAAAAGAGGATCGATCTCTTATACCAACATAGAACAACGTTGAATACTTTGAAATCCTGCATCCTGCAGGACTCAGTCAGTTAAGCTTGCTCTGCCGTTATTATTTGAGCCTGCATCTTGACGTATAAGCGTCCTTTTCTCGGAACCCTCGGATCGGAGCTGCTGACAACCAGAATTGAACCACAACGAATGGAAGATTGAGCTTGGAGCTGGGGTTCTGCTGACGAAAAGCGCACAGCCTTCATCAGGCTAGGATGACCATACTGTTGATCCTTCCCTACCAAAATACCTTAAGATACCAGTGGCTTTTTCTGAGACCAATTTCTATTCGCTGACACCATCATAGGAGCACGAACATCTTGTTGGTATGCCACTTGTGCTACTCAGGCACTGGTTGTTCAACGGTCAGAGTACTCAGCTGATCTGCAGAGAGTTGGTGGAATGGGCCGGGTAAAGCATAATGGCACTGGCTGTTGAGTTTGCCCAAGCCAGTCTAGGTTGGTGGTACGAGGGGACAGCTCATAAGCAGCGAAAGCAGAAATATCATTTGCCGCGCTGCCTCCTATTGCAAGACCCTGGTGTCTTGAAAGCCGTCGTCCTCCGTCAACTATAATACCATCTCCTCTCGGTCGCCGTTCTTCTTTGTCCTTCTTATCATCAACCGACCATCAGCTCTTTGAACCCGTCGATGCTTGATCCTGGATAGGGGACATACAAGATGAACTACTATCCTCTTCCAGGTTCATACGATCAGGTCTGCTTGTCTCGGTCGCGACAATCATCCTCCAGTATGGACAAGAAATCAACCTCATCAAAGCGTCGCTCCTCGAGGAAATCCTCATCGAAGAAATACGATCTGCCAACCGACACACTACCTCAAGCATCGTCGAGGAGCAGTCTCTGGAGACGAGCGGAGTCTGCCTTCTCTATACCCTCAATCAAAACAACAACCACAAACTCATCAAACAAATGTTCATCGTCTCGGAAAGCAAGCGATGATTCGTCCAAGTCCACAAAGTCCAGCAAAAGCTGGCTCAAACGCATCCTGACGGGATCTGACGACAACGAAGAAGACGATGACCCCGAGGCGAAAGTCAGAGAGCGATATGCCATGTGGAGAAACATGACCATGGGCTACGAGGTAAGCATTACAAATTTCCTTTCATGCATATGACGGAGGCGGAATAAACGATAGTGTCTCTTCTAGGTCCCTCAGCCCGGACAAGTCTATCTCCCGATTTTTATCTAGAACGCTAAGGGTGGGTTTGCAGTGATACATTGTGAATGCACGACATTTACTTACGCGTAGCTTTCAGTGTGTGCATCTATATTCCGCCGCGGGGAAATTTGTTGGAAGATATGCCAGCCCGATTGGTGTGATCTAAATGCTTCGGTAGACTGAAATCTTTGGGATAGCGCGTTCTAAGGCTCTTCGATGACTTCAACTGGGAGCATTCCTGGGTCGATATCGATTGACAAGGTCGTTACAAAGATGCGTCTCTCTTTCTGTACTTAATTCTTCTTCTGAACGAATGAAAGACTTCAGTCCATCCATTCCGTCGTGCTGTTAATGTCTTAGTGGTAGGCTCTGGCCGTATGTTTTGGAAATAAGCAGACACTGGTGACAAAACGGTAATATCACACGCACCTTCGACAAGAAACCCAGCCAAGATGCACTTCCTGTTGATGTGTGCAACTACAGTCGCTCCATCAATTTGCCATATGCGATGATAATTTTCTCTTCAAGGCCAGACACATTGCTCGAATTCACACACCGATTCTTGTCTTGCTATGACCAGAAGGATCTCACGAGAAGAGTGATGAATCGAAGCCCCGGAAGAGCTGAAAATTTCCAGCTTCGCCCAAAAATTTAATATCCACGGTCCCAACACAACACCTGCATTATCACATGAAGCGCAAAAAGAACATTCAACAAAAAAACGAGCCAGTATTCTGCCTTTGAATATAGGAAGAGCCGAAGGCGGGGCTCGAACCCGCGACCTTGAGGTATTCTTTACTCTTGCTGTAAGAGCCACACGCTCTACCGATTGAGCTACCCCGGCACGAAGGCAAATCATGAAAGCCCTGGAAGTCAAAAATATATGTACCTCAAATTTACCGTGCGTCATAATCTGCTGCAGCGATGCCGGAGCTTGCGGCCGAGCTTTGGAATTTCAACTTTGAGCTGTGGTTACCGTTCGCAATAATCCACAATCCATTCTATATATCTAGGCCATAGAGTGAGCACGCTGCCTATCATACATCAAAACACGACACTCCGTCTCAGAGCCTCCACAGCAACAGGAATTTGAAGGCATAAAGAAAGGAAATGGCCGCGTTGGCTGCGGGAACAGATTTCTCATATGTGAGAGCGAGGGATATTTGTATCGCCACTGCTGGCCTATGTGAATTTTGTTAGGTCATGCAGAAGTTAAGGCCAAGGGTTGCATCAGACAATGTTCTTCTCGAACCACTGCTCCCAGTCGCTCTTGCTGAAGCTGCTTGAGATACCGTTCTCAACAAGACCCTTGAGGAAAAGTCAGTACCGAACTGAGTTAATATGCAAAGCAGCGGAGCGTTTGCGTACATTGAAAAGAACAGTTGGCGTGACGTGAACACCTTGGAGACGTTGATGCTGTCGATTGATTAGCCACAAACCCCAGCACAGGACGAATCGACCCTACCTTGACCAACGGCTTGAGATCGTTGGTGACAGCATTGCCAGAGTTCTTGCTGCCATCTGGGCCTGGCTTGTCTGAGATTTCAAGCTTAGAATATATAGTCTTCTCGTCCAGACCAACACTACCAGCCAGCTTGGCCAATCGCTTGTAGGTGTTGTTACGGGTTTCGTTCACAACCTCAGTATCGAAGTATTCTGTCTGCTTGTCGAACAACGCCTTGCTGAACTCCCAGAATTTGTCCGGCTGAGTCTGCAATACAGCTACTCCAGCCTCATGGACAAGAGTCGAAGATGGATGCCATGGTTGAATTGTTTGGCGGAAAATGAACTGGACCTTGTCGGCGTACTTCTGTCTCACCAATGGGAAGACTTGATCGTAGACGGTGTCAAATTGCTTCTTTGAGAACTGGAGGACAACACGAGTCAACGAAAATTTCGCTCTCAAATGCGCTGAGATGCTTTACCGGGCAGACATAATCAAGGTCTGTCCACACTCAGGTCAGAACCCATCTACTTTCGTATCTCCATTCTTTACTCACAGAGTTCCAGTGTATGCAAGGTCGTTGGCTTGGCATTCGCCACGAACTTCTGTCCTGCGTATTTCGGTGCAAGAGCCATGTCGTATTTCTTCTGGAACTTATGTTCGTCGATTGGGTCGGTGAGAGGATGTCATTCTTATATGGCTTGTTAGTTGCAATGGTGATAAGTGATGGCGACATTGAAGCACCGGCACTACTCGGGTATACCTTATAGTTCCGTCCGACCAACGTCATGGGCACGGACGAGAAACGCGTTCTCCCGACGCGTCTTTCGACCTCACCCCATTCAACTTCACCATCGATGTCGTCTTCACCATATCATCTCCGTCATTTTCATCATTGATCCCGCGATGACAACGACCCCATCATGGGGATTCAAGCGCTTCCGGATACCACGATCCGGACGCTTGGCGCCACGCAAGCCCTGACTGACGCGAGCACACTGATCAAGGAACTAATCGACAACTCTCTGGATGCAAATGCCACTTCAATCTCCGTCGAAGTCCATAGCAACACGCTCGACTTGATCCAGGTCCGAGATAATGGCCACGGTATCGTTCCCGAGGATCGGCCACTCGTGGCACGCCGATACTGTACCAGCAAGCTCACTCACGATGACGAACTGGAAAACATTGGTGGTACTTCTCTTGGCTTTCGAGGAGAAGCACTCGCAAGCGCCGCTGAGCTGAGCGGCTCACTGACGATCAGCACGCGTGTTGAAGGAGAGATGATAGCGGCTGCACTCAAAATCGACCGGAAAGGCGAAGTGATCAGTCAGGACAGGGCATCATTGCCAATTGGGACTACTGTGAGAGTCACCGACTTCATCAAAGCCAACCCTGTGCGGCGCCAAAATGCTCTCAAGAACACGGACAAGTGCATCAAGACTATCAAGCGTGTGTTGCAGGCTTATGCATTTGCCCGACCTCACGTACGCCTTTCCTTGAGGATTGCCAAAGCCAAAAAGCCCATCAACGACTGGGTCTACGCACCTAAGCCTGGTGGAAACGCAGAGGAAGCCGCCTTCAAGATCGTGGGTGCGGCTTGTGCATCCCAATGCGTCTGGTCTCTCATCGAAGAGCACGGCTTCACCCTGCAAGCCTTCCTGCCTCGACCAGAAGCTGATGTGAGCAAGATAAGTAACACCGGGTACTTCATATCTGTTGACGCTCGTCCGGTCTCTGCTACTGCCAGCTCTTTCAAGCAGATGATCAAGATATTCCGCGAAGCAATGAAAGACACGAACGCTAAATTCGAGGGCATTAGAGATCCGTTCCTGTACCTGGAAATCGATTGTCCCGTGGGTAGCTACGATGTCAATCTCGAGCCTTCAAAGAACGACGTTCTATTCGAGGACAACGCACTAGTTATCGGAGCAGTTCGAAAGCTGTTTGACGCTGTCTATGCCAAGCCCGTAGTTGCTGCCCATAAGCCACCGGACGTGGAGGAGTCTAACTGTAACGATGACAATGTCGAGGCAGATGGTAATCCTAAGATCCCTGAACCGCAGATTGCAATGCCTGTGCAGCTTGAAGAACACGGAGATGGTCGCGTGAACGAAGCCGCCTCTCAAATGCCAGGAGAGCGCATAGCTGAAGAGGAGGCCGCTGAGTCTGGCCGCGACGCTGCCACTGTCCGCAACTTCAGATCGAACATGTACGGCTGCGATGAGGAAGACTTGGAACTTTTGGACGACGCCCTTCCCATCGATCGCACGGAGGCTGATATTGAAGAGCTTCGGCAAGCACGACATGACGTTGGTGTCTCAAATCCTTGGATTCTCGCGAAGCTCAATAGCTCAGTCCGGCGCACTGTGCAAGCAGAGTCGCTTGCCGATGACCCTCCAGTCTCTCTCCCAGTGGAACTGTTGAGCTCACCAACGAAGCGTACTCAGCGACCGCAGCGGATGGAAACCGCATTCCTGCCTACGCCGAGGCCGTCCTCTCCATCTCCACCTGCGGACGATTCTCTCCCACCAGACCATGTTGTCAGCATTCGCTCTGACAGAAATGGTCGACTGCGAGGGCCTCCAGCCCTGCCTCTGCTACAGCCACACACGCCTGTGCCATCAAGTGACGCACCCATGGCTGAGCATGACGTGACTGATCTCCCAGGACGCCGTACGCAGCCCATGTACAATTATCGCCTTACACCAGACGCAACAGCCGGGTCTTCGGCGATGCCACCTCGTGCCATGATTGGCAAGTCTGGACTTCCTTGCGCGGACACAAGACCGAAGCCTCGAGGCCGAGTCAATAAGCCTTTCAAACCCCCAATCAAGGATCAGCCTGACAAAGAGAAGGTGTGGTTTGATCACCTGGAGCAAGTCGACAAGCCTCGTGGCGCGCCGAAGAAGCAATACAATCAGTCCAGCGACGGTCTCGTGTCGCAAGGAGACGTAGACGCCGCGCGCTCCTTGTCGCCTCCCCAACGAAACAGAGACATCCGAGAGTTCGTTGGATCCAATGATCACAACTGTACTTCCGCCATGATTGAGAGCCGTAACCATGACAATCGATCATCTCGCAACCAGGTCGCTGAGCAGGAGAATAACTTGGAAGATATGGATGAGCGGAAACTCAGACCAAGGCGTGTGCTAGGCGGACGGGACTTCATTCCGGCTAGTGATCTGGCCGTTTTGGAGGAATACGGAAGATCCCCGGAGAAGCAGAGAACACGTGCACCGAAACGACGTAAGACAAGTGAAAGACGGCCTCTTAGTGACATGAATGCCAACACGCCATTGGCACAGCAAGACAACCCGGTCTCGATTGATGAGCCTGGGGCCAGTGATCCAGGCAACAGAAAGCGGGGAATCTCCCGACGCCAGAGCTCGCATAAGACCGGCCGTACAAAGTCCTCTAGACTCCCTCTGGAACGAGTACCTGCTGGTCAAGGCATGCATAATGTCGTCTACAGCATGCCAATCTCCCCCAGAGATGTCTCTAAGCTTGCCGGTAAAATCGACGAGGAGGCCTCGCTCTTCAGCTACAACCAGCCGAGCGTCAATATTCAACCAGCGTTTGACTCGGACCAGCTCGACTTGCAAGACCTCACTAACAACCTTTACAAGCTTCTCCTCAAAGCCAGTCCAGGTTCAGATACAGAAGATGACCCTGAACTGCCGGACAGACTGTTCACCCAACTACGCGCCGCATTGGCGCTGCGCCGAAATGCGCCAGAAGAGGATATCGACAGAGCTGATGAGATCATGTCCTAGGGTTGATTTTTCGAGACGAGATGGCGTTTTTTTGCTGAGATTACGATTTTGCTTGGGATTTCGCGATGGCGCTGACGGATGATACCCCATGGACGACTCGCGTTCTCCTTTCGTGGATGTTTTGAAGAACGAATTGCATCGATATGCCACCGGCTCTCACAGCACAGCACAGCTCAGCTCAGCTCTATATTTGCTACACGTAGCTTTCTCTATCGGACATATTTCGTTCGCGTTTCAAGCGCTCGAGTTCTCGGTTTCGTGACATCTTCCCAGTCCCAGCAAATCGTCACATTGGGCATTCGCATCCAAGAACGCCGAAGCAATCATACAGTAAACCCAAACCCAGCCCGATGCTATGCAACCCAGTGCACAGGGTCTATCTTTATCCAAGAAGACATCAGCCTTTCTTTCCTCTCTGAGGTAGCCCTTCCTCATCCGTCTCGCCATCCCCCACATCAAAAACATCCCGTTCCGCCGCATCCTCGTCGTCCGTAAATTCATCGGTATAAATCCCTCTTTCCAAATCCGCGCCCAAGTCCTCCTCATCGTCATCATCGACATAATCTCTTCTTGTAGAACGTAAGGAAATATCACTCGCTCTACTCCGCAAAGCTTCCCGCGCAAGTCTCCCGTCTTCGTCTTCATCCACGTAATCTGGTCCCGATTGATCGCTCGTTCTCCGTGAACCACCAGCGGCCGCTGCGGCCGCTTCTTCCGCTTCGAGAACTTTTGCTCGGGCTTTTGTTCGGGCGTAGATGATGTAGCCTGTAGCTCCCCCGAGACCCATGCCGATTGCGATGGAGATGTAGCTTACGATTTTGGTCTTGGTATCCATTTCGTCGCCTCTTTCCGCTATATCTCCCAATCTTGCGCCGACGAAGATGTGTAATAAGAGCTTCGGGGAAGCAATCGCTGTCGCGAGCATGAAGTTCTGCCAAGTGACAGTTGGGATCGTCGAAATGGCGCCGTTGGCGAAGGAGTAGGGTAGAGGACAGAGACGGATCATGCAGAGAAGTTTGAGGCCGTCATGTTTGAGGACGAGGGATAGAGCGGCGAATTGTTTGTTCTTTTCCGCCATGTTGCTGACGAAGCCCTTGAGGACGGTGCGGGAGACGATGAAGGAGAGGGTGCTGCCTAGGACTGTGGCTGTGGCCACGATGAACCATCCTTTCATTCCGAAGACGAAGCCGGCTATTGTGACGCAGGTGGAATACCCGATCAAAGGCGGGAAGCCGACGAAGAAGGTCATGAGCCAGAGGATCAGCCAGCCGGCGGGCATTTCTCTCCATCTCTTTGCGGAGGGCGCCAGGTAGGCGAAGATCTTTCCGCTATAAATCAGCGCAAGGAGCGTGAGGACGAAGGCGATTAGGCCGGCGAGTATGAGGGCTGATTTCTGGAGTAAGGTGAGGCGATTCCATGTTTGGAGGGCCTTGCGGTTTAGTTTTGCGGCGGATTGGACCCATTTGTCGCGCACTGTTCGAGGACGCGGGACGTGGGTGGATGTATTGGGCGATTCGAGAGATCGTCTGCTCCAGATGGGCGAGCTGGTTCGGCGGGGGTTTTGGTGGAAGGGGAGATGGTGGTTGTCTCTGTCTTCGAACTGATCGGCTAAGGCTCGGGCGGTCGAGGACCAGTCGGTAGGAGGCATTCTCTTGTAGGCAGACAGCTGATAAGGTATATACGCGCTACGGCGCCGGCGCTGAGGGTGGTGGTACGGCGGGGGAAGGTGATGGGGTGGTGGGCGATGTTTGGGCGAACTTGTCGGCTGTCATACGGAAGAAATAGCGGAATACATTGGGAAGGGGTGATGGACGATGATGTAAGGTAGGATTGAGTAGGTATGATAGTTATGAATGTTTAAGGTAATGTATGCGCCTTGCGCCAGCACAGGCCGGATGAGCGATGCCAGGCACAGCCCGAGTTCGTGTGTAAGAGTAAGAGCAGGTGCGGGTGCCCACCAAAGAAGTCGCCGACGCTTGTGGATGCCGAATCCGAAACCTTGTCTTGCTCTCCCTCCCGTCTCTTCCACATCTACATCCACATCCACACTTGAGGTCCAAAGCAGAAATATCGACCACTGCTGATCTTATCAATCATATATTTCATGGGACAGCGAGATACAACTCCTCACTATGCTGGCACAAGCCCTCCGCGATTGGAGAGGTGAGTTTAATGCACTGGTTGAAACGTTGGCAGTCCGAAATCGCTTTTCCCCTCTTCTCTCTGCCATGCCTCGAGCTCATATCAAGGTCCTTCTCGCATACGATAACATCGCATTGGAGACGATTCATTACAGCATTTCTGTTTTTCAGGCTCTGTACACCACCACTCAACATAGATCATGCCTGTGAGCGCCATTGATTCCTTCTTGTTTAAGAACCTGTTCGGCACCAAGGAAATTCGGGCCATTTTCGACGATGCAAAGTACATCGACTACTGTGTACAGGTTGAAGCAGCTCTTGCTCGAGCACAGGCTTCATGCGGAGTGATTCCACAGAATGCTGCGGACACCATCTCCGAAGTCGCCTCTCGAGTCTCTCTAGACCACGACAAGCTCGAAGAAGAGACAGAAATCGTGGGCTATCCAATTCTACCCTTGGTACGCCAGCTTTCAGCTGCGTGTGGCGAGGATGCAGGTCGCTATCTCCATTGGGGAGCAACTACCCAGGACATCCAGGATACCGCCGCAGTCTCGCAAATGAAACATGGCCTTGAGGTGGTCGAGACGAAATTGAAAGCTGTCTGCAAGACACTCTCCTCACTGGCACTCAAATACAAAGATACCCCAATGGCAGGCCGAACGCATCTACAACACGCCTTACCAGTCACCTTCGGCTACAAATGCGCCGTCTACCTCTCCAGCTTCCAACGCCACCTCGAACGCCTCGAGCAGCTACGACCACGCTGCTTGCTTGTTCAATTCGGCGGTGCGGCGGGAACATTAGCCTCCCTAGGCAGCGACGCAGAGAAGTCTCTTCAAGTCCGGAGATTCTTAGCACAGAAACTCGCTCTCCACGATCCCTCAATAACATGGCATACCGCCCGAGACGGTATTGCCGAAATTATCAACTTCCTTGCTCTCACCGGCGGTTCTCTGGGCAAACTCGCCAAAGACTTTATCATCATGTCCTCCAACGAATTTAGCGAAGTGAGCGAACCTTTCGTCCCTCACAGAGGAGCAAGTTCCACCATGCCACAGAAACGCAATCCGATATCGTCAGAGGTGATCCTCGCAGCCTCGAAAATCCTGAGGTCCAACGCGAGTCTATGTCTCGATGCCGTGATCACGGACTTCGAACGGGCGAGTGGACCATGGCATCTTGAATGGGCCGCGGTACCAGAGTCCTTTGTAATAGCAGTGGGAGCCCTATCTCAAGCCGAATTCGCGCTCTCAGGACTAGTGGTCAACACAGAACGAATGAGTCGGAACTTGAATTCCACCCGCGGACTCATAGTTGCTGAGGCTGTGATGATGGAGCTGGCGAAGTCTATTGGGAGGCAACGGGCTCATGATGTGGTTTATGAAGCTTGTGGGGAGACGATTAAGAGTGGCGATGAGAAGAGGACGTTATTTGAGACGTTAGCTGAGAGGGAAGAGGTTGTGGGTGTGATTGCGTGGGCAAGATTAGAGGAGTTGTGTAAGCCGCAGAATTATCTTGGTGCGGCGACGAGGATGGTGGAGGACGTGCTTGCGGTGAGTTGGAAGATGGGGGTTGAGTGATTCCGATCTCATCCATGTCCTTGTGCAGCACCTCTCTTGTCCAATTCGCTTACTACCATCGGGGGACAAAAAGCGACCTGCCAATGCGGACCGGCCTGTCGGTCGACAATCCCCTCGCGCAACTCTCAAGAATGCGTTGAATGTGTATGTTTGCCACGTTCCCTCCGAGAATCTCCACCATGTAGTCTCCCAACCGGCAGGCAAAGATACCTATTAGCCACAGCCCGAGCAACGCTGTTTTCCTTTCCATCATCTTCCAGCTCTCGCCCACTGCCTTTCTTCTTCTTCTTCTTCCTCCCCAGAGCTTGTACAGATACCAACGAAACCTCAATTTCCGAAAGAACCCAGACGAAATACCCATGAGAGTCGTCTGCTTCTTGCTGCCGGCGAAGTTGGGTCTGCAATTGACTGTATTCTTTGCGTTGCGCGATGGTGCTCTGCAGTAGGGCAATGGTGTTGTCGATGCCGTTAGGGGCTTTCTGCCGCTTTTTTGCGTGTTCGATGATTTGGGAAGTCATTTCTAACAGGTGATCTGTTCGGACGATGCCGGAGTACGGGAGACCTCCTGCGGCGTCGATGATCCATTGCACGACGCAGTTGGAGGCGAGTTTGTAGCTATGGACAGCAATAGTGTGAGAAGATTGGTATTATTCAATAAAGATACGTTGAGTATCATGATGCTCACCGATGGTAGAGGTCGAGCATCGTTGCATTTGCCATTATTGCGAATATCAGAGGCAGTGGGTTAATTGCAGCAATTGATCTGGTCTTCGCAGGAGAAATTGTACAAAGTAGAAGGTCAGACTTCGCAGGTTGATGAGCGAATGAAGGTCATGCTTGTAAAGTCCACCATATCTGCCGCCATCGGAGTCAACTCTTTCCCGGAAATGCGCGTTTGTTCGACCAACTGCCTAGAGGGAAAGGTTGGGTCAAGAGCGTTTCAAACTCGGACAGATTGTGTTTCCCGCAGCATCAAGACTTCAGGAGATAGATGTCAATACGGAGTATGGATTCGTCGGTTGACACCTGAAGCATCGGAACCAAGCCAAGATCTGGTTTGTGCGAGAGGACCTGGTGAGGCCGAAGTCCCCAAATGAAGCATCGAATGCCCAGCTCTCGGGAAATTCTGATCTCTTCAGCTTGGGGAACTTCGAGGCGAGTCAATGCCCTTCTCCGCGACACTCGTTCCAGGTTGGTGCAAATGTCGATGGAATCCCTCGCTGCATGGCCTTTATCGTGATGAGAGAGATAGATGACATCCAACCACAAGCAACGGCCTATTGACCCCCAGATCCCGCTTTGCTCGCAGCGGATCGATCGAAGGGTAACAGCAGTTGCATGTTCAAGAGCCCATCGAATTGTCTGTACGACAATCAGACGGCAGCCCGCATATATCCGCGACCAAGCAGGCGTAAAGCGTCCGTCTCTAGGTCAATCGCACAGAATGCGCTGTCAGATGGATCGGAGCAGGTCTCATCATTGAATTTGAGGACAGAGCTATGATGGAACAGCATGTGAAGGTCGAGATGGAGATTGAGTGAGGTCCACGTGGTGGATACCTCCGCGAAAGTTAGATCTAGCCGCGAACCTTGATGGACAGCGGACCTGAGTCCGTTCCGCGTGTCCCTGAAAGCAAAGTGGTCAGCGCGCGTCTCCAGCATTCAACATTCACTCACTTCTCAGCCAAGAGTCAGCTGCCAAACCAGCAACCATGGCGCGGCTCGGGCGCCTGGGCTTTCTCGGCATTGCGGTGGTCTTCCACCTCATCTACATCTACTCCATCTTCGACATCTACTTCGTCAGTCCCATCGTCTCGGGAATGCGAGCATATGGAGTCGATGCGCCCAAGGCCCCTGCGAAGCGATTGGTCTTATACGTTGGTATGGAATGCGAAAACGTACGCGATTGTCCAGTATTCTGATCACTGTCTTTAGGCGACGGATTACGCGCCGACAAAGCCTTTCAATTCTTCCCCGATCCATCAAGGTCCAGCAACGATTCTGCAGCGCTGGAGCCACGCCCTTTGGCACCTTTCCTTCGATCTCGAGTCCTCGAGCATGGCACCTTCGGCGTTTCCCATACACGAGTACCAACTGAATCGAGACCAGGACATGTGGCGTTGATAGCTGGGCTCTATGAGGACGTTGCAGCAGTTACAACAGGATGGAAGCTCAATCCAGTCAACTTCGACAGTGTGTTCAACAGGAGTCGGCATACATGGAGTTGGGGAAGTCCGGATATCTTGCCAATGTTCTCAATAGGTGCTGTGCCGGGAAGAGTGGACGATGCGACATACGGCGCTGAGTTCGAGGACTTCAGTAAGGATGCCACGGAGCTGGACTACTGGGTGTTCGACCGGGTCAAGCAATTGTTCAAGGACGCTGAGACAGATCCAAGATTGAACGCCCAACTCAAGCAAGACAAAATTGTCTTCTTTCTCCATTTGCTTGGACTGGACACCACCGGCCACTCGTATCGTCCGTACTCGAAGGAATACCTTCGCAACATTCAGATTGTTGACCAAGGAGTGCAAGAGATTACCGAGATCATCGACAACTTCTACGACGACGATGAGACTGCGTTCGTCTTCACAGCGGACCACGGCATGAGTGATTGGGGAAGTCACGGCGACGGTCATCCTGACAACACTCGAACTCCTCTGGTTGTCTGGGGCTCTGGTGTTGCAAAGCCGGTCACAGTGCGCAAGGGAACGGCGCCTGGACACGAGGACGGATTCTCGCACGACTGGCATCTGGACCACGTGAAGCGTAACGACGTTGCTCAGGCGGACGTCGCTGCTCTCATGGCCTATCTTGCTGGGCTGGAGTTTCCTGTCAACTCAGTTGGAGAGCTTCCGCTGTCGTATCTAGACGCTAGCGAGGAGGAAAAGGCGAAGGCTTTACTCATCAACGCCAAAGAGATTCTCGAAATGTACCGCGTCAAAGAGCTCGACAAGCAAGCCACAGTCATGAATTATCGACCCTTCCCAGGATTTGGAGACGCAGAACACAGTGTCGAGCACCGCATAGAGGCAATCGAACAGATGATCCAGAATCATCAATACAAGCAAGCGCTCGAGAGCTCTGACGAGCTGATACAACTCGGTCTTTCAGGTCTACGATACCTTCAGACTTATGCGTGGCTCTTCCTCCGAACTCTGGTTACAGCGGGATATGCTGGATGGATCGCCTTTGCTTTCACCACCGCCGTCGACGTGTATATGCTCGACGGCAAATTGGAGGCTTCAAGACCAACTTCCCTTGTGCTCGCATTTTCGGCCATACTTGTCGGGCTTTACAGCGTGCTCTTCGTGCAGTCATCTCCTTTGACTTACTATGCTTACGCTTTCTTCCCGGTCGCGTTCTGGGAGGAAGTCTTTGCTCATCGACAGGCACTCATTGCGGGCAAGGACAAGCTCTTCGCAAAGTTTAGCAAGTCTGATATCGGCAAACTCGCCTTGAACCTCTTCATCTACCTTGCGCTGCTCGAAGTCATGGTGAGAGAATACTTGAACGTGTTTTGTAGGCTTCGCTAATCGGCAGTCATAGGTCCAAAGCTACTACCATCGCCAGATTTACACCATGTGCTACCTACTGGCTGCAGCTTGGCCGCTATTTTATGGCCCCAAATTCGTGCAATCGAATTGGATCTTGTGTGGCACTTGGGCGCTATCTTGTGCCGCCATGAGTGTCTTCACACTGCTTCCGGCGCTCAAAATCGAGGATGCGAATCTGATGTAAGTCAAATTCAGGTGTCTTCTTTCCTCGGCGCTGACATCGTGGTAGCCTGCTCGGAGGTGTCCTTATCCTCGTGCTTGGATTGTTGTATATCGCCTTCGAGAAAAGCCTACTGGTCACGACTGCGACTTCCAAAGATGGACTAGGAAACAATTCCGCCGATGCCGTCTCCAGGTCCATCCTCGGCGTTCAAGTGAGTGCTTGCCCCTCGTTGAGATGTCTGTCTAACGTATGATCAGGTCGGACTGGTTGCGCTTGCTATGATTGTTACGAGATCCAGTGTGGCTTCTCTGCAAGCAAAGCAGGGCCTTCCGCTTGGGGCTCAAGTGGTTGGCTGGGTGACGTTGAGTAAGTTCATCTCGTTTCCTTGCTACATGCCACACCTTTCATAGCACCGGCCTGCCGTGCGGCTAGTATTGCCCATCACCAGCCTCGCGGTCTATGGGTGTGTATTGCTCTGGAGAACATTCTTACTTGGCAACCACAACGATTCTGGACCAGCCCCATGCTCTCCTGATCCATCCGGACTCAAACCCACTTGAGTCATGGCGATATTCGCTCAAGACGCCGAGAGCGCTGGAGAGGTACTCGCCCTACTGGAACACCCTCGGAAGTCGTTTCAAAGTCTGCCTCTACTTGTTCAGGTGCCTCTCGGCTTAATTCTCATCGTCTACATACCGGTAATGTTTCTACTGGCTCTCATCTGGGAGCTTGTGTGGCGAACACCATGCAAGATTGTCCGCCGTCGACGACATCCTCGCAACATTGGCGATGACCAGAATTTCTGGCAAGCAATCGCATCCGGCTCGAAAGTACAAGGAGCCTGGCTGTTCTTGCTGCGGGATGAATTTGTCGACGCTCTGGACCAAGAGAAGTCAAGCAGACTGTCCTGGGGCTCCACCAAGACTTTGATCTCGTGGGGCTCGAATGGTTCGAAACCGCATCCCGGTGATGATACTCCTGTGATACCAATCGACGACCTGGACGGGGCGCAGCAATGCTGAAGCACGAATTCTTTGGAGAGGCCGAGATTTGTTCAAGCGCCACGTTCGCTCTTTTGCCAGTTGCGCTCTTGTTCGAATTGGGCCTGCAAGAAGCTCTGCTGACCGACCTCGTAGTTTCCTCATTGATCGTGCCTTTCTTTCACGCTTTGCGACCACAAAATCACTATCTGCATCGCCTGGCAGTCATATTCCTCGCATTTGGCCCTCTCTTTATCATCCTGACCATCTCCTACGAGGGCCTTTTCTACTTTGCCATCACGATTACACTCGTCTCCTGGGTCCGGCTCGAACACCGCGTCCACCAGCACTTTTCAGCCACGACCTCTACAACCTCAGCATCCCGCGCTTCAACACCTAAGCCCGGTGACCGGGCTACTTTGGAGCTCACCAGCCCGCTCGCACCCGCTCTCTCCGCAGCCAAAGCCCGCGAAACGGCCCTCGAATCCGGAAATTACCGCGCACTCACCCTTTCTGACGCCAGAATCTGCCTCTTCTTTCTCTACCTCCTCCAATCGGCATTCTACTCCACCGGAAACATCGCCTCGATATCCTCCTTCTCCCTCGACGCGGTCTACCGACTCATCCCCGTCTTCGATCCTTTCAGCCAAGCAGCCCTCCTGATCCTCAAGATTCTCGCTCCATTCGCTCTCGTATCCGCGAATCTCGGAATCCTCACCAAACGACTTCGCCTTCGAGGAGGGAGTCTGTTTGCGGTGGTGATGGGTATAGGAGATTATTTGACATTGAGGTTCTTCTGGGAGGTGAGGGACGAGGGCAGTTGGTTGGAGATTGGGGAAAGTATCAGCATGTTTGTCATTGCTAGTGCGCTCTGTGTTTTTGTTGCGGGATTGGAAGGGTTGAGTGAGGTTTTTGTCAGAGGGGTGGAATTTGATGATGACGATGGTGTCGTTGTGCCATTGCAGAAACGAGAAGGGAATGGCGCGATTGATGGTCATGGCACGGTCACAGCGCGGTGACTTCTATAGAGGGTAGAGGCGCATGTGCATAGCGCCGCATCGCATTGCACTGCATCGCATCTAGATGTACAAAGCAGCCAAAGTGTGTTGATATTGTACATAACCATGTCATCATATTGCGTGTAGAGTTCCATAATACTCTCTATGGTCATATGAGCCCGAGGAGCACAGAGCATAGCTCGGAGAAATCATCTACTCGATCTAGTCGTAAGTGGTCAGGGTCTGGGTATACTATACTGTACTGCATTGCGTGATGAGTGACGCCTTGTTTGCTAATTTCCAAAACGGCGCTTCGCCGCTCAGCGCGACATTTCGAACTCTTCCCTTTTCTACATACAATGCCGTAAGTCTAAATGCTGCCTGGCCGATATCTGTCTATGTACAAGAGCGGAGTACGCACCGGTCCGCTCGGACAGCTTGCTTGCCCAAGCTGTATGATTCTACGCCTCAAACGCCGCGAGCTTCGAATTTGTCGCATCAGATTGTCAGGTATGCAATGTCGGGCAAGCTAGGATCCTCATAGTGTCATCTCCGCTGGAAGGTGCCAGTAGATGCCACGGTTCTGCACTTTAGAGCAGAGATTGTGCGAGTGTGAGAGAGGACCATCAGTTCTCCGATTCGCTCTGCTTCTCGATCTCTTCCTTCGGCGGCTTGGCGAGTTCTTTCTTCCAAAGGTTGTTAGCATCCGCCTCGTCTACGTCGGCGAAGACCAGCTTGAAGACATCCGAGTACCAGTCGACTGGTTTGCCTTCGATACCTTCTTTGATATTCTGTGCGTCATCGTCAGCTCTCGTTCACTCAAAGCTTTGATGACAGCAGAGGGCACAACTTACCTCAGGCAACTCAAGCCAATCGCTCAGATTGTCCCTTGGAAACACGACCATCCTCGCGCCCGCTCGCCTTGCAGCAACGGTCTTTTCTCTCAAGCCTCCAATTCTCAGCACCTTACCAGTAACAGTAAGCTCACCAGTCATGGCAATCGTAGGATCCAAAGGTTTATCCAGACCAAGCGATAGAATTGAAGTCGCCATCGTAATACCAGCGCTCGGTCCATCTTTCTGTACAGCACCTTCGGGGCAGTGCAGATGTATCCGTGCCTTTTCGAAAAACTTGTTGCCAGGGAAATGCTTCGCCATCAACCCTTTGGCGAAGGAGTAGGCAATTAAGGTTGACTCCTTCATGACATTCTTCAGGTTGCCCGTTCGCTCAAGACCAGGTCGAGAGTTGTACGACAGAGCGTTTTCCAAAATAGACTCCACGTATAGAGCGGCACCTCCCATCTGTGTCCATGCGAGGCCCATTGCGACACCGGGCGGCGTTGTGTCGTATAACCTGTCCGAGGTGAAGATTGGTGGACCGACGTAATCCTTTAGGTTATCTTTGTCAATCTTGACATGAACAGACTCGGGCACTTTCAATGCCACACGGGGTTTCTCGGTAGTCTCCTTCTCGATGTTGTCTGGCGTATCCTTTGGATCCGACTGATCTTTCTCGGCTTCTGCAGCGGCAGCCTTGCCTTCATCTGTGAGTGCTTTCTCCTCACTCAAAACTTCCTCACCAAGATCTTGAATGATCTTGAGTGCCGATTTCCGGTAGACCTTTTCAATCTGCTTTTTGAGGTTTCGGACACCAGACTCTCGGCAGTATTTGTTGATGAGCTCCAAGATGGCCTCCTTGTCCAATGCAACATCGACATCCTTCAGACCACTCAGCTCTTTTGCTTGAGGAGCCAAATATCGTTCTGCAATTGCCATTTTCTCATCAGACACGTATCCTGAAAGCTCGATCATCTCCATGCGGTCAAGAAGCGGTCTCGGAATGGTGTCAGTCATGTTTGCAGTGCAGACGAATAGTACTTTCGACAGATCGACTGGCACGTCCATATAATGATCCAAGAAAGAGTTGTTTTGCTCAGGGTCCAACAATTCCAGCAGTGCGCTTGAAGGGTCTCCCTGGTGGCCGCGACCAATCTTGTCGACTTCATCAATCAGGATAAGTGGATTCTCCGTCTGGCATTTCTTGAGAGCTTGGATAATACGTCCAGGCAGAGCACCAACGTATGTCCTTCGGTGGCCTTTAATTTCAGCAACATCTGTTAGACCGCCAACACTGAAGCGGTAGTATTGTCTGTTGAGCGCGCGAGCAATGGACTTGCCGATACTCGTCTTGCCGACACCGGGTGGGCCGACCATGCAGAGAATCTTGCCCTCTACTGTACCTCGTAGCTTTCCAACTGCGATGAACTCCAGGATGCGATCCTTGACATCCTTGAGACCGTGGTGGTCTTCGTCCAGAACATCCTTTGCGTGCTGAATGCCGAAATTTTCGGCGCTCCTTTGGCCCCACGGAATCTGGGTTAGCCAGTCCAGATAATTCCTCGTCACGTTGAACTCGCTTGCTGCCGGTTCCAAGTGTGCAAGCTTGTTGACCTCCTCATCGAAGACTTTCCTGACAGCTTCAGGCATGGCGAGCTTGTCGGCCTTCTCTTTAAACTTCTCAACAAGCTTGTCCTTGCCGTCACTTTCAAGGCCAAGCTCCCGCCTGATACCCTTCATTTGCTCCATCAACCAGTATTCTCGCTGACGCTTCTGGATCTTGCCCTCCACGTCCTTCGAGATCTTCTGGCTCAATTGCGCATTCATGAACTCTTTCTTGATGAGCTCCAATGCCTTGCTGAGTCGCTGCTCGATGTTCAAAGACTCAAGCACTGCTTGCGTCTCTTCCATTTCCCCCCCGGATACAGCAGCTGCGAAGTCGGCAAGCTTTGCAGGCTCATCTGCAATGTTCGCGGCAGATTGAGACATGGCAAACGCAGAGACATGATCGCGGAACAGCTGGTTGGCGTTGGCGATCTCCTTGCACGTGTTGACAATCTCCGAGATCAATGCTCTTGTCGTGGGCGCCTTCTTATCGTACGGCTCGTCTGCCAAGTTATCCACCTTCACCAGACTAACGGGCCAAGATCGCAGAAAGTCGGTAGGCTGACTGATCTGCGATTGTTGCTCCTTCTCTGCGATCTGCTGCTCTTCGAAACTTGCGACAACGTCGCCCCTCTTCTCTTCGCCCTCAGCTGGCTTTGTTGGTTCTTCGGATGTTACGCTCTCGATCGTTGCTTTCGCTGCTTGAGCCGATTCTGCTTCTGGCGCTGCCGGTGGGCCACGATTCGGTGGGATCAGCTCGCTCAGCTTGATTCTTCTGTGTGGGTACAGTACAGCTGAGAGGGCCTGTTCCTCTTTATGGCCAGCAGGAAATGCTCCGGTGACCTGGCAGAATGTCCCTACATCGTACACCTCGCTCGGATCGTTGATGACGTCTTGGCTGCTGTTGGAATCCTTGAGCAGAAAAGCGCCCACATAGCTCTGCCCTCTCTTCAGCAGCTCTTGGACAGCTGCTACGACGTTAGGGTCTCGAATAGTAATCGCTTTGTAGAATCCCGGGAACAACGGCCTCTGTGCGATGGGTATAGCAAGCACTTGGGGATACACATCGGGCACGTGAGGCTTCGCCAATTCCTTTCCGGATGACTTCCGTCTCCGGTTGCCGCCATCGCCGCCATTGCCTGACTCTCCGCTGCCCGCACTGCCAGCACTGGATGCCTTGCCATCCGATCCTGGAATGGGCGTTGGCTCTGAAGACTTGCTCTTGCCCAATAGTCCATCTAGTACCCGTTGTGAATCTCGTGGGCTCTTGCCATCTTGCTCCTCCTTAACTTCCTCCCGCACTGCCGTCTCATCATCATCAGGATTCTGAGGCTTCTCTTTTCTCCTTGCCGGCGAAGATGAAAAGTCTCGTGACATGGGTAGGATTGATCGAAGATAAGAATGCTGCAGTCTTTGGTGCGCGTGCAGCGACGGGATTCCAGCAGAGAGCTGCGCCTGACAAGCTCTACATGGCGGTCGCGACGTAGAGTAGGCGCGCAAAGATGAATTCCGCAGCGCAGTCCGCCATGCTGCGCTTCGCCCGTAGACCATGCTCTCGTGACCTTAGCGATGCTGCCAAGCGTGGGACGATGATGGATTCGGTGGTGAGGACAGTGGCTGGTGGGATGTTGTATTGTTCAGAGATGAGAGCAGAGGCGAAGGAGGCAGATGGGATGGCAACATGGGACGATCAAGTCCGTCTGCTTAGCAAATCGACTTGGCCCCAACTTCATGTGAGTCTCGCCTTCATCCGAGCTCGACATGGCGTCACAGATCTTTGCCGTTGCCGATGCACGGACCGCCATTTACATCGCCGAGCTTCCCGCCTGCCGACCGCACTTCTCCTCAACTTCAACTTTCACCATGCCCATATATCACAGATACGATCCTCGGGGACTATCTGCAGCATTGGCTGCGCACGAAATCGTGCGGATCTTTCTCCGTTCATCAGAATTCTTCCGATCTCCTCGCTCTGCGGCAACATAGGACAAGAGAGATGCGAGCCACCTGCAACAATCGCGAAGATACCGTCGGGCAGTCCTCTGCAGAGGAGATCGAACTTCTTTGTTGAAATTCGCCTCGTAGATTTCCCTCCGTCGTGGCTGCAGATTTGACCGAAGAAAGTGCAAAGTACAGCGTCAACTCCATTCAATAGAATCTTACTGGAAGCCGGACGCTGGAAGCAACATCGAAGCAACTGGTCATACACACCTTGGGCAACTCTTCCCCACTTGGCCAAATGAGAGGGCGGCTCGTATCTTCGCGATCATCCGATGTTCAGCAGATATTGGGGCGATTCATATTGGCTCACTCGTCACATCCAATTTAGGACCTCGAGAGGGTAAACCAATAAGGACATGATGCTTCCTACTTGGTGATTCTCTCTGTTTCGGCAGCTCTAGCACAGTGCTTGCGCAATGGTCTCTTTCCAGGTTTTCAACATCTTGTGGAAGCTCACAAGACGAGGGGCTATATGCAGCTCTCCGAATTTTGGAACCAGATGCTCTCCGGGTTGTTTCGCGTGCCATGGTATAGAGTTCAACATTATTCCCAATAGTGCTCCTGCTGTTGCTTAAATTCAAGCCAGCAATCTGGTTCTCTGGCTGGCAGAATGGATGGGAGATGCTACTGAGTCATGGAGTAATTGTTGTGGCGCGTGATGGAGAAAACTGAGTTCAGGAGTATCAATCGCTTGAGTAAGTCGTCTCTTTCTCTCTGCTTGTACATACTGCATTGCATTGAAAGTTGGTTTCATTCTCCAACAATCACCCCGTCAAAAATGAAACTTTTGAGAAGTTCGCCCTGTTCGCGGTCTTCGCTGTCTTGTTAACTTTTGATCTACTTGCTAGATGTGAACACAGGCTATTTCCTTTTTCCCCGCTGGTTTCTTTCCCAGAAAACACCCCTTCCGCTTACTCGGGAGATCTAATTGAGACATGGCCGCCCTTCGTGTCCCACAATTCTTTCCGGAAACGGTAAGGCTCACAGCAACTCAATTCTCACTTCCCCTTCCCTTCACAGCTCCATGCCTGTTTCTATCACAAACTCATTGTTCTCGCCCCTATAGTAAATCATTCAAAGACCGGCTTTTGTTAAGAGTCGAGGTCGTCACAAGCTTATCCGTTTCGATAACGCGCAGGTTAGCAATTCCGTTGCCCTCGGTCTCAGAGTTTGCAATGCGAATGCTGGTAGCTAACACATTCACAGCGCTATATCGCGTGTGGATTAAGTACATACTAGGGACAAGGCAGTCTTCCTTCAGACAAGGTATTTTCTAGTACCAAAGACCATGGCTCATCAGCGGCTCCGCACGTTCTTATTTCTTAGGCCTCTATGACGAATTGCACGGACTATGGCTGGACGTCGTCATCGAAGTCTGGACTTCTCTTCGACGCCACGATTGAGACTTTGTGAGCCGCAGCAGCTAAGTCATACAAGGTACGCAAGACGTGCTCCGGGACTTGGACGGGTATAAGCCTGGAGAGAGGGCGTTGCCAACTGGCTGGCTGGTCGGTCCCGTTAGCAAGGCAAGACATCCGATCTTTCAACACTCCCGGGAAGGCCATGTTGCCCCTTTCCGCTGATCCGACGAGTCTCTAAGCATAGAGCTGATCTGAGTTGAGGTTGAACTTCACTGACGGCCGTAGCTGACATGGTCGCAGCTTGTCCATACAACTTCGTATATGCACTGAGAACTCGTTTCATAGTCCGATGTCTACTATTGATCCGAATTGTATGGTGTTGTGCGGATCTTCAAGTGGCCTTCGATGTGGGGAGACACCGAGCAATTTGAGCAGCTGCGTGCTAGTCACGTGAATTGTGGAGCCAATTGAAACTCGCCCTCCTTCCCTTTCCAGAATTATTGGCACCATCGACCAAAGGTTTGACGAGTTGGAGCAACTGAGCACCGCAAACATTACACGCACCATCGCACATCACCTACTGAAGCATTTACATGGCCATGGCTCCCGCCGAAGTGCAATGTCTCCAGTCGCGATACAGAAGTGGAGAGAAGCATGTCAAGAAATGGCTTGTAACCAAGGCAAGCAAGTCTCGCAATGTTCTAGTCCTTCAGACTCCTTCTTGAGGTCTGCGGCAGTCTCTAAGCGACAGCAGACTTCTACACCGGCAGGGGCCCGCGTGATCAACGACGGCATGCACTCCCGGCCAAAGGAGACGGATCTGATCCTACTCGCCAACGAGATCTCGAACGCAGCAGCGGCCAATTCATGACCATCACTGTTGAGGCATGTTGAGGTGTCTCTTCATCTTGGTTCGACCGTTATGTCAAAGCTCCATCAAGAGGAAAACGCTCTGCACGAGCTAGAGATACCACAAACCAAAGGCATGATCGTCGTGCTACACCAAGTCGCCCAAGACTTCATGCCAGGCCGTCCACAGTTGGTGAGCAAGACAGTCGCCAAGAAGTGGACCACCGAACACACACCCGCTGCCGACGAACTGCTTTCCATTCTCGCAGCTGTCCTGAAACACGAGCAGTCACACGTCAACTTCGACCTCTTTCGCTCCCATGACGTCTGTCGAAAGATCGCGGCCAAACCTGGGAAGCTGCATTTTGCGCAGGAAACAGACTATACTGAATAGAGAGACTCCAAGAATGCCGATCGGCAAAGAAGGCGAGTACCCGCACAACAGCTTTAGCGCGGGCTCGAAAATCCCAGTTCATAGAACCTGCCCATAGATGAAGATCGAGGCATCCTTGGATCCCATCGGATTAGGGAAATCGAGATCGATGTATCCACCTCTGTATTAAGACATCGCCATGGTGGGTCTTCGTGCGTTGCTCTTCCTCAGTGTCGCAGTGTAGAGAAGCCAGCCATTTCTAGGAGTGTGGGAATAGATATATATCTGCTTGACCACGTTCGGAGTAGCAGACTGCTGCGGATGCGATGACTTCTTGATCGGGCAGTATGGTATTCGCTAAAAGTGGGACCAGCCATTCCCTCGTCATAGAAGCCAAAGCCATCCTTGGAAGGCGAGCCGCAGCTAAGATGCAATGGCAATTCGTTCCAAGAGGTACCAGACATTAATTGCGAACTGCCAAGGAAATATGACATAAGGTCATCCAGAAGAATCCAGGAGCAACATACAGTGAGAGCTCAGCCCACAGACTTTCGCTGCCTGGTCGATCGTCGAGGCTTCTTTACTGGCTGTACCGAAACAATGCGAGTTGGTCTATTATTTGGAGCGTGGCCGGAGCAACAATGAGTTGCAAGCGGAGCAGGAATGATCTCTTCGCGGTCCTTGAGAGCGTTTTCCACGCTTTCCATCCGAGCCGACATGCTTGCGACAACAGCGGCCATATCCAACTCTTTCTCTACTTTATCCTCTAAGCGGTTCGATAAGCTTTCAATGAGAGCCCTATTAACTTCATGTTCCCTCTTCATAACCTCGTTTTGCTCGAGTATCGCGTTATTCTGTCTTGTCAAGTCATCGAGCCTGCCCAGTATCCCATCACCCGTTACAGCTCGCACGCATTCCTCCCTCAGAACATAGACGATATCCAGCACAGTTTTTGATGTCTCATTGCATTCCTCCGCCCATTCTGCCGTCGATCGAACCTTGGATAGCGTTTTGTTCAGTCTGCTATCCACATTCGCAATGTCTGTCGCAGTTCTGCCGAGCTCTGAGCGAAGCTCTTGAACGTCTTTAACAAGACGGTCCGTCGTGTCCATGCGGGCCCATTGGGTCTTGGCGAGGGCGCCGATCTTTTCGTTCAATGGTGCATTCCGGTCGCAAAAGACCTCTGCGGGCTCTCGAGACCGACCAGCATTTCTACTCGACGAGGAACTCAATGGGTGCACTTGTTTCGAAGCACACGGCAAGGAAGACGTTTCGAGATATTCTGATATCGCTGTGAGCTTTGCGTCGCTCGCTGCTGATGTCGAGGGCTTCTGGGCCTTGAATTGGGACAATGAGTTCTGGTGTAGACGTTTCAATGGCTTGAATGGTGGAGCATTTCGTCTTTGGGATGACGAGGACCGGGACCCGGAAGGTGTGGAGGAGCTAGACATCTTAGAGTTTTGCGTCCATGTATTGATATGGACTGCAGTAGAGATTTGAGGAGGAAGTGAGGTCGTCACGCACGCACTAAGCACCGGCACGGCAACGGGACGCGCTAAAACACGCGACGCGTTGGAAGCACGGACTCGTAATTTAGTACCTGGAGATACCCCTGTAGAGAGTCTTGTAGAGAGCAAAATTCAAATCCAGCATATCCTACAAGTCCGGCCAGAGCTTCACATGCCTTGTCTTGGCACCCGTCAGAGGTTGTCGACGCAGTAACAGTATTCTCCCTGCTATGTACCCAGCTCTTGCAAAATTTCCTCCCGAGCTCCATTACAGCCCCATGCCTATGGCCATGCAGAAACAAATTGACAACTCGAATGTGAAGGTCCTGTCGCCACGGGCCGAACCCGATCCTCCTGTGAAGAGATTAGGAGACTGAGATGGCCTATCAGCAGCGACATTTCCAGCGCTACTAGTCGTTCCAGTCTCAGTCGCCCTCGAAAATGGGGTATTTGGTGTTGGAAGAGGTAGACCATATCCAGGACCAGCTGAGTGGCCAGGCATTGAGAAAGCCGAGGCTGGAGCCAGAGGATCGTGCTCAGACGACTGAGATGTTGGTGCAGGAGGTCCTGGGGGAGAAGCACTGACGCTGATGATAGATTGGACGGCCATCTCAAGCGTCCCTGTTTTTGTCGTGATCGGATCCACGAAAACTGTGACTTGTCGGGTTACAGTTTCTTCCTCCAACAGAGCCACGGTCGGCTTCGAAACGACCGCAGAAGCTTGGGTTTCGGTCCCAACGGTCACTTGTGACGCGACAGGAAGTTCACTCACAGATATCGCGGCGACGTCGATCTGATTGGCGATGGTCGTCGCGGTGGGAAGATCGGCTGCTCTGAGGCTGGTCGCAGGAGCTTGTCCTTGGAATGGAGCAGCAGTCTTCTGACCGGACGTCGCTGCTAGGATGCTGGTTGCATCGTTGCCGATTCCCTGACTCTGCAGAAGACCTGGGCCACCTGCAAGCGCTACGATAGGCCGATCCAGGCTCAGCTGGAGGGTCGAGGCCACCTCCATGGCCGCCGAAAACGTCACATTGAGGCTCACGGTCTCTGAACTGCCAAGATTCTCGGATAGAGCTTGAGGCAGTGATGTTACTGTTCCCGCCGAGGGCAATGTCACAACAGGCGACGATCCGGAAGGCGTTAGTGATTCGACTGTGAGGCCAGGTCGCCGCGGGAGAGTAATTCCTGCTGCAACGCCTTCCATGGTATCAGCACTTGGTGGGTCGTAGCAGCCGGAAAGGTCCGTCGTACAGTTAACCCACGCTGGGTCCCGGGCAAGCAAAGTAGCGGGTACCGTCAGCGCCTGCAGTCGTGGCTCTGCAAACATCGATGGCGCGATGGTCTCAACCGTGATACACGAGCTCATTGCTTGAGAAGCATTGCCGGCTGAGTCGGGCAAGAAGGTGGCGTTTATAACCAAACTAGTCGCTGCGAATTTTGTGCCCACTCGTCCGCAAGCATCTTCAGCGTACAGTGTTTCTAGCGAGACGATAGCACTATAGTAGACGGTGGTATTTTGGAAGATCAAGGAACGAACGACTGTCCCGTTTGGACGTTGTAACGTTTCCGCGAAGGTGGATGTGACCCTGGCTTCAGCGGTTACAACTACCATGGTTCCCCCAACTGTCGGCAGAAAAAGAGAGGTCAGCTTCAAGTATACTCTATCACCTAGAAGGACGTACCAATGCGACATCTACCGCAGGCGGAAGAGCTTGGCGCAAGAAGGCCGGGTACCGCAGTCGAAGGAGGGATTGGTGTGATCAAGGCAACAGTCGGAGTACTGAGGACAGAAGAAGTCGATGGGTCATCCGACAGTGGTGAAGACGTCGAGCTTATGAGAGTGGTTGATGTTGTATTATTGTTTGTATCCCAAATTGGCGGTTCTGACGAATTCGAGATGATGCGTGGTAGTGTTGAAGTAGGGGTTGCAGGAATCACCATGGTGGGCTGCTGCGGGATCGTTGAGGTTGAAGAACTGCTTGATATGCTCGAAGTCGTTGTTGTAGAAGTCGAGGTGGTATTTTGTGGTGGAACTGTTGACGTTGGAGAACGACCCACTGTCGTCGAACTGGCTGCCGGAGGGTCCGATGTGGTGGGCTGCGGTGGATCTGGTGATGTTAAAGAGCTGCTTGCCACGCTGGTGGTGATAGTTGACTGAATGATGGAGGTCGTGGAAGCTATCTCGTCAGTGTACGGAGCAATGTGCCGAACGATTGGGCGGATATGCTTGGGTAAGTCGTAGGAGAGCCGCACGTACAGTTGTTTGACACATTCGTGGTGCTTATTGAGCTATCAAGACTGGACATGGACGAGGACGTAGAAGTCGACGAGTTGCTATTCGGGGGTATGAGACTAGAGGAGGAATTCGTCCATCTTCTAATCGTGTAAGAGGAGGTATTTGTTGAAACTGTTGCCGTAGAGCTTGTCGAACTGGAAGAGTTTGAGGATGTGGATATAGTCGACGAGGTTGTTGAATCGCTGATGGAAGGTGATGTGCTCGAAGAATTGGAGCCGTGTAGCACCGTTGTGGAGGGGGATGTAGTTGAAGAAGTCGTTGAAGAGTCTGAAGGTGTCGAGGGAGATCTCGTCCACACAGTTGTTGTGGAAGGAATCGTCGTTGTCAAGGTGTCGTTCGGCGGCCGCAAAGTCATGTAGCATGTGCAAAGTGCTGAGGCTTGTCAGCTTGGAACTCTGTACGGAGACGAGGTAAGCATACAAGTCGACATAGCGCTGACCGGCTGGCTGGTAGAGCTGCAGTTGCCAAATTGACATCCTGCACCGCAATACGAGTGTCCGGTCCCGCAATAACCATATTGACTGCAGCAGTGTCCCGGACCACAATTCTGGTTGCTATCGCCCCCACATGCTCCCTCCATAAAGGCGCCAGGAGAAGAGGTGCAGTTTCCGTACTGCGGCTGACATCCACTGCCACAGTACGAAGAGTTTGTACCACAGTATCCATATGGGCCACAGCATTCTCCAGTCTCACAATTCCTCCCAGTATTGCCTCCGCATGCCCCATCTGAAATAGGCTGTTGACCCCGAGGGTTCGGCTCTCCCACACTGCAGTTTCCATACAGTGACTGGCACCCAGGTCCGCAATAGGATGCATTGCTGCCGCAGAAGCCATATTTACTGCAGCACTGCCCCAGGTCAGGAGTACAGCATAGGCCATCATTGGCTCTGCCGCACGTTCCATCGGGGGATTTATCGTACGAGCTGGGAGTTGGACCGATGGCAGGGGAGGCAGCACTACTTCTTGGCGCCTGATTTGAGGATAGATGCGACCAGGTCGTCGAACTATCGGCGCCATATACAGTGGACGAGGAAGAGAACGAGCTCACAATCGTAACAGAGACTGTGTCCGGGAGTTGTGGACTGCCTGGCGCATCGAGGGTTGAAGTGCTCGTCGGGAGATCTTTTGATGTCACTGACACAGAGGAAGTGGTCGTTCGACGGCAGCCGCACGGGTAAATTGTCTCTATCACAGGGCAAGTGCACCCTGCAGCGCACACATTAGCTTCCAGAAGCATTCGAGCCATGTCCTGACCTTACCTGTAGTCGCTCCAGGGGCCAAATCTTGGCTGCGAACGAGGTGGAGAAGCCAGCACCAAGCAGCCAGCGCCCATAGCATGGCCGCTGCTTCGAATTGGGGAGTTGACAGCTGTAAAGGCAGACGATCCTTCTTTCCGCGCAGTGAAATCCATTTGCAGCGTCTGAATTGGAGAAACTCCTGATTCCCAGGATTGTCAGGCCTTTGTTGCCATCGTCGGTCGGCTGCGCAACGCGAGCGACCGGCGGCGGGAGATTGTGCGCAGAGGGCTTGGAAGTGGCTAGACTTGTACGGCATAGCAGAGCGTTTCCTTGAAAGATTTCAAGTTGCCCTCCTTTGCACTAATATTCCGACCGAGGACATTATCAGCCACCGTTGGACGGCACGTGGACTTTGTCGCTTGCACCTGCGCAACGCTTCGTTTTCGCAGCAGACACACCTGTCGATTTGACGCCGAATAGCGAATAGCGCTTGCAATAAAACAGCTTTGAAGGCTTGAATACACGATTCATGCCACCGAGTCTGCTCTTTTAGGCACAAAGAATAAAGTGACAGCCCCGACGCGAGCCAAGTGATCAATTAATGCAATTCAGAACTGCATGTTACCGCATGTTGTGAAGCCTAGGCATTATCTCTTCCTGGCCATTACTAGTGCGGAGCCCCATTCTATGTTAACAAGATTCTCATCGTCACGGAAGTGATCATCATTCTCGGCGATCTCGTCGAACATCTGGTCCATGATGTCGCCACTCCCGCCCTTGGAACGAGCTTCCTGATCTGGGTGTTTCTCCATCCAGCCGTGGTACGAACTCGCGGTCCGGACATATTCCTTACATTGGCCAACGGAGATGCGCCGCTCCATGAACAGGGTGCCTTCGCCCGAGTGTCTCCCGTTGAGCGCCGGTTCATATTCAATTCTCTTGACGTCCTCCCAATCCTGTGCTGGCGGCTGGATGACTCGAAGCTTGTCCTGTAAATAAGAGCGTCCAGGCATAGGCCAATACGATCCAAGCTTATCAGGATGAGTGTCATAGGCATACGACATCATGATCTTACTAGCATTGGGGTAGTCCACAAACATATGGTCCTTGTAACCCCAGAATGCTACTGTGCCGCCGGAGCGGACCAACCTATGCATCTCAGGCCACAATCGAATGTAGTCGAACCAGTGAGCTGCTTGTGCGGCGACCACACAATCGACGATACCTTCACCCACAGAGGGGGTGCTCTCGGCCGAGCCTTGTTGGAACTCAATGTTCGACAATTGCTCTTCAGGGGAGTTCTCTTGGGCCTGCTTGACCATGCCCATCGATGGATCTGTCCCTATCACCTTCTCAAAGTGTTTGCTCATCTCGCGTGTTGCTATACCGGTTCCACATCCTAAATCCAGGCACAGTCGTTTAGGGCCCCGATGGTACGACAAGACAGCGTCGTAGAGGCTCGTGGGATAAGTCGGGCGAAAGGCTGCGTAGGAGGCATGACCGAAGGACGCTTTGCTGTTGGACATCAGCATGGCCAGCAGAATGAAGCCTGTCGATTGTACTTGCGCGAAAGTTGCCATACTGGGCTGCGGGCTCCAAGGTCGATATCTGTAGATTCGGCTGGAGGCTCAGAACGTAGACGTGTGCAATCTTCTTCGAGACGAGCGAGACCTTTGAAAACCTACCGCGGTCTCAACTACGTGCATCGAGTACGTTCGAGTTTAGACGCGTAGTATATTATATACGCATACGAAGTGTAAGGTACGGCCGCGCTTCTCGTACATTTACGTCAGGTGCACAGGCCGACATCGGCTAAGATAACGCTAACCCAATAGGGAACATCCACTCTTGCATGTTTGCCAGATTCGCCCCTCTTCTGGACGTACACCTTGACTTCTGCCGCAAAGACTTGGAACTGTTATGGCACCTTCAGACGTACCCGTGAAGAAGACCACCAAGAAAATTCACACGTGCCGATCCTAGCTATCCAGGGTAAATTCAAAACACTCGTGACAAACTTACCTCGGTCCCAATCCAATCTCACTGCCATTAGCATCATCTATCCCCATTCTCAGCCCGCTTGATGCACTTCATACCCACTGACACGTCCATTCCCTATCTTTAGGCCTCACGCACATCTGGGCGCATTGGACTAAGCAGGTCACCACCACGGAGACGCAATGGCCGCCTCATTCCATTGCAACGATCGGGCGGCAACAGAGAACGCATTGTACAATCACATTGCTGCTCTGGATGAGCCAACGATAAGGTCAGAGGAAGGCCGGGTGGTCTGGAGCAATGAAGAATATTCCTTTCTGGAGAATGCCTGTCCACGAACTGTCAACCCAAAGCTATGGCGACAGGGCCAACTGTGCAACATCCACGGCCTTTTCAAGATCACAGAAGGAATCTATCAAATTCGTGGCTACGACATCTCCAACCTTACGGTCGTTGAAGGAGACACGGGTGTCGTGGTAATGGACCCTCTCTCCACTTCGGCGCCTGCCAAGGCTGCGTTCGGATTGTATTGCAAGCACCGTGGCGAGAGGAAGATTAAGGGCGTGATATATACGCATTCACATATTGACCACTATGGCGGTGTCCTCGGTGTCGTGGCTCGAAGCCCGAATGGCAGATACGACTTCCCTATTATCGCACCTCAGGGATTCATAGAAGAAGCAACAAGTGAGAGTGTCTTCGCTGGTCCAATTATGAACAGACGAGCTGCATATATGTACGGCACACAGTTACCGAAAGGTCCAGAAGGGCAAGTAGGATGTGGCCTTGGCCTCACTGTGTCTAGAGGCAGACCAGCTCTTATCCCTCCAAATACCCACATCACCACTACAGGCCAGGAAATGAACGTTGACGGCATAACTATGGTCTTCCAAATGGTACCCGAGACTGAGGCGCCAGCAGAGATCAATGTGTACTTTCCCAAACACCGCGCTCTGTGCATTTCCGAATGCGCCACCAACAGCATGCACAACATCATCACTCTCCGCGGCACCCTCGTCCGCGACTGCAAGAAATGGGCCAAATACCTCGACGAAACCCTCGACCTCTTCTGTCAAAACGAAGACGAGAACCAATCCAGCGTCCTCTTCGCAGGCCACCACTGGCCAACCTGGGGCTCCTCGGCCATCAGGAACTTCGTCTCCTCGCAACGAGATCTCTACGCCTACATGCACGACCAAACCATCCGCCTCATGAATCTCGGCCTCAACGGGACCGAAATCGCCGAAAGGCTCACCCTACCTCCCTCTCTAGCAGACCAATGGCATTTACAAGGCTTCTATGGTTCCCTCAGCCACAACGTCAAGGCCATCTACCAACGCTACATGACCTGGTTCGACGGCAACCCGGCCAATCTGTGGAAGCATCCTCCCGCCGAAGAAGGAAAACGCTACGTCCATTGCATGGGCGGTATGGAAGCCACCATCTCCAAGGGCGAAGAATTCGCTTCTGCGGGAGACTTGCGATTCGCAGCGACGTTGTTAGATCATGCCGTCGTAGCTGATCCTTCCCATCGAAAGGCGAGGGAAGCACTGGCGAGTGTGTTCGAGAGACTCGGATTCGGAGCTGAGAATGCGACTTGGAGGAATTTTTACCTCTCTGCTGCCCAGAGTCTGCGGAGTTCGGTGAAGAGAGCCGGGCTAGGGACGCCGAATCCTGAAGCTTTAAAGGCTGTGAATCCGGATTTGACCATCGATCAGTGGCTGGACGGGTTATCGGTGCAGTTAGATGGCTCGAAAGCTGCGATGGCGGATGCTCAGGGAAAAGTGCCGGCTTTCACAATCAGCTTGGTCGTGCCTGAGCAGGATAGCTCCTGGCTCATTCGACTGAGTAATGGCACGCTGACTTATAGACGGAAGCAGAATTCGTCGAGCGAGCTCCAGCCGGCGGAACTAAAGCTGACGTTGAGAAAGGCAGACTTTTTCCAGATCATCGCGCATGGCAATATGGAGTGCGCCAAGGGAGCTTACAAGGGTGACTTGAGCGTCTTGATTCAATTGCTTGGCTATCTAGACATCCTACAGACGAGCCCGGAGCGAGCTGTAGGCAAATTGTAGAATCGCTGTATAGAGTTTTCACAGAGTTGCATTGACCCGCCTCTTGTCCTCTGCGGCGGGAAAAAGAGAGTAGAGAGGACTTTCTCGTGCTTCTTCGCCGGGCCTGTCATTTTTGCTTGCTTGTCAGGAGCTCGCAATTTACTTCTTTGAGTTGGTTCGAGTTGCTTTGGGCGTCGAGCGACCGCTGTGCGATTCATGTGTGGTGTTACCTAATGGTCATAGCAGGTGCGAATATTCAGTCGGGCTCAATCAGTCCTATTCTGGAGCCAGCTGCTTTTCCGCCGCTTGCTACTCGCGATCGGTCTCCGCTCGATCTTCTCATCGAGCGCCCACTCCGGTCGTCCCTCGCCCGTCCACTCGAACCACCTGATGCCGGCCCTAGAGTTGGCCTTGAAGAGCCTCACCTCCTCAAAGCCGGTCTCCGGCCGCGTGGGATCGAGCCTAGACGTCCCATCGATGTTAAGGTCATCTCTAATGGAAGTCCTAGTCCGCCGCCGAGAAGCTCTCGTCTCGGTGAAAGGTGACGAATTCGAAGAGAACGAGCTTTGGGCATCTGGCGTGGGTGATTTGACGGCCAGAGATGGCGTTGGCGTGACTTTGTAACCAGGTGTTGGGTTTGATGGGGAATGTGCTGCCTGGGCTGATGCGCGCTTACCATTTGCCTTGGGAGGCGGTGCTCTGAAAGGGAGCTTCGGTGATCTTTTTACCGTCAGTTCTTGACAACATGCGACGGTGAAATCTCGCAAGGGAAGTTGAGAAGGGCACTTACAGTAGTTGCGGCTCGAGGTCTGGCTCAAGGCGACCATCCACAGAACCAGAGACGTGAGTTCTCACCTCAGCATCTTCATCTTTCTTGTCGTCGTCATTCATGCCGCTATCTCGTCGCGCCAGTCGGGGCACCTTTGCAGCCTCAACAGCCGCAGCGAGGATTTCAGCCTTGTCAAGTGCGACATCCTGAGCAGCACAAGCATCCGGAGGCGTGTGGCGAGGCCGGTAGGGGCCGATTTTTCTTCTCTCGGTCAAGAATACTGTAGCGTCCTCGTCACTCCGCGGAGGTGGACTGCCATATCGTATGCGAACAGAAGTCTCGCCGTCGATGCCACGCCTCATTTTCTGATGCGAGGCCCTACGTGTCATTAGTCGGTGTCCTGAAGGCAAACGGCAAATTTGAACAGGTCAAGCAAATAGTCTCAAGCTAGCCTGCAGACGTCCGCTTTGTCGGCGCCATCAAAGCATAGACTCACGTTGAAGGTCTCACGGAGACGGTGGCGGTGTTGACGGATGCGTTGTCTAGAAGCGGCTTGTTCGGGTGGTGTGACAGGGGCGGACGACTCAAACCCAAAGCAGAGTGTGTGTCTGAGACAAGTGTCAGAGGTGCAAAGCGAAGGAAAAGTAGTGTTGTGGTGGATGCAGTGGTGGACGACGGCAGTTGGTGGTGGAGGAATGTGAATGTGTAGTAGGTAGGCAGAAAGGAAAGATGCTTCCAAGCAGGGCAAAGCGTAAAAGCGCGGTGGCGCCAAGCACAGGCCATGCGATCACGGGTCTGACTTCACCTTAAGCTCCCTGTGCGTCTACAGACGCTCTCCCCGGACTTTGCGGGACTTTGCATACGTTATGGCAGGTACTCGTTGCTGAACTTGTCTTACTCGACGCCAACATCTCCAATTGCTGATCTGTCGACGGCAAAGCTACGGCTGTTCCGGACCACAACTTTACCTCCCCGAAGCGACTCTATTGTGCACCGACTAAGCTTTAGCTGAAGAATCTGGTATTAGCATGGTTCGATGAGAGAGCCAACAAAGAAATATCGATGTCCGCACGATTCTGACCACAGGCATCCCAACCGTTTGTCGACGAGATCGACGATGCATCGGCGAACGGTAAGCCGGGTGGTGCGACACGAGGGATCCCGAAGCTTGCCAGGCTTTCTTGTGACGGACCGAACATCGCCAAAGCGACGGAAACGATATTGAGCATCTGTTACACAGCTCATAACGGATATCACATTACCATGTCAATGCGACGACGTGAACGATGGTACGTTGAAGGATCAAGCTTGCTAGCTCCTTCGAGAGCGAGCACAGCAAGGTCGGTCAAGGCTGTCCCAAGAGTACCGGAGAGGACATTGAACGTCAAGCATTGCTTCGCTGGTAATTCTATGTTCAGGTGTCAAGTCGCGCCACGTCCTGGTGGTTGGAATCGTTGCAGAGTGAGCGAGTGCTGTAACATGTGCATTGCTCCTTGCCTTGCTTGCTGACAGTGGAGCTTTTCAGACCGTCAGATTTCATTAAATTGCACGTCGATCCACGTTGCAGCAACAATCTCACTATCTTGAACGATTAGTATGAAGCTACCTCCGCATGCAACGCGATCCACACTCTCTTATTGTTCAGATCATCCGTCTACCACTCTCCAAATCGTCCGCTTCGAACGAGGGGAGTGGCCGACCAAGAACCGTTGGCGTCGATAAAACGCTGTGAAAAAGTGTAGACGTAGATGAAGGTGATGGTGCAGGTGGAGGAACAGATGCTGGCGGCGGAAGATACCAACTGATATTAAGATGCATATTTGCCCCTGGCACAATCAGCAACCCAACTCCTTATCTTATGATGATCGCATACTTACCGACCGTCAAAAAAATTGCTCGATGAGTCTCACCGTGCGCTCCGAGGATTGGAGAGGGGTGGAGATTGTGGAAGTTGAATCGTATCGAAGTTTGCGGTTGAGGCGATGCGATGAGAGTTTGCCCGTGGGTGGTTGTCACATGTAGAAGATGACGTTGATGGGACAGCTGGTATGGACGTACATCGCAGTAGCCGTCTGGTAAGTTGCCATGAGGAGTTTGGATGTGTCGGAGTGGTAGAGTGCGGTATGACCCTGTTAGATAGACGGTAGATGCTGTTGGTGTGCGTGCTGGTGCTGGGAGCTCGTCGAGGATAAAGATTGTTAGTCCACGATCAACATTGTAACATGAGATCAGTCGATGGCAGAAACTGAAAATACAGAGCGTGCTGTCTATATTCTTTTTTTCAGTCTTGGGAAAGAAGGAGATCTCCTCAAGTCCACGATGTATCTTCGAGAAGTTGTCGTCGCGTAGCTAGATTATTCTGCGAGGTGCCTAGGCTTGACTTTCTTCGCGCAAGAAGATCATGAAAGGTCCGTGAAGCACCCAGGGAGTCAACCTGACGGTACAGAGTCCGCCGTAGTCAGCACTGGAGCATTCTCGAGCCGCGGGACTGCTCACATGAATATCTGAGCCGCAGAGCTGCCCTGAATCATCTCTCGGAACCTCTCAGCGCGCCTGGCCCAATGCAAAGAATGATTGGCGCAAGAGACTGGCGAGACATGGAGTTTGCGTACCTCAACACTCCTGCCAAAGGTCCTTATGGTATCCCTCAGTGAGTTCCTTGTCCTCTCCATACCTAGGAAGATCCGAGTCAGTCGACGGCCATTTCGAAGAGATCAAGTGAGCACTGCCTACTTCTGCTGCCACATCGAAAACCCTCCTTCGAGCACGTAGACCGTCTGCTTCGTCTTACTATCCTCATCACCCAGTCTCTCCCTCTCCCGCAAATACCTCAAAGCACTCGAAGGCCCTCGCTGCTGGGATAAAGCACAGTGGAACACCACCGTGTCTTTGTCCTTCAAACTCCGCACCAGCTCTGGCATCTTATAATCATGCGTATTGGTCGGTACATTTTGGCATCCGAGGATATGCCCACCGATATAGTCGCTGTCCCGGACGTCAATGACGGCCAATCCAGGAGATTTCGCCCGGACCTTCTCAGCGAGCTGTTCGCGAGACATGCGTGGTAGATTGGCTATTGTATAGCTAGACATGGCTCTCCGAAAGATAAAAATGTTTGTGGTCTTTGGGGACCCGATATAGGTCCTCTATAGCTTGTTTCCGTTTGTGGTCGGCCCGATTCCGTGGCTGATTGTTGGGTGAAAGTAAGGCCTTGCCGGAGAGTGGAGAAGCTCCAATTCTCGTTCGAGCAACGGCGAGTTGGTCGTCGCAACTGGAATATGACGTTCTCACAGCCGTCTTGATGCTAGATCACAAGTGTTGAACCGGGCTGGAGGTGTTCAAGGTTCGTGTTACGAGCTCGAACAAATTTGGAGGAGGACGTGAAGTTTGGTCTCAAGTGAGGATCAATCAAGTTGCGCGGTGATGTCCATCAAATTTTCATTGACCCATTTGTGTGGAACCATCTTCTCACATGCAAAGCATCGTAGACGCATGATTTGAAGATATGCGGTGCGCGCAGGAGCAGAAAGAGTGAGGTCTGCTCGAGGAGATGAAACAGTTCTTTTGGAGTTACAACTTGCTTCCTTTCCATTTGGGCTTCCTCTTCTCGACGAAGGCTCTGACTCCCTCCTTCAGATTGTCACCAGCTTGGAGTCGAGGCTGCCAATATTCCAACGCATATCTCGTTGCCTCATCCGCTCCCATCCCTTCCCATCCCAATTTGATGCCCTCTCTACTCACGATCACCGCGTCGGGGCTGTTCGCGGCAATCAACTTGGCATACTCAATAGACGCCTCGACCACCTCACCTTCCTTGTCTCCTACCACCTTGTTGATCATTCCCCATTCTAATGCCTCGTCTGCCGAGATAGGTCTCCCCGTCAGAGCTAACTCCATGGCTCTTGGTCTGCCCACGGTCCTGATGAGCCTGGGCAGCGCTCCGGCAGCGGCCACGACACCGATTTTGACTTCAGGCAGAGCAAATGTGGCTTTCTTTGCGGCCACGACGAGATCGCAGTTGATAATCATCTCACAGCCGCCGCCGAAACAGATGCCATTGACGGCTGCGATGATCGGTTTCTTCCCGCCTCTTCGTGAGAGAGCGCCGAAGCCTTGGTCTGACATGGCTCGCGGCTTCTTGCTCTTGTTCATGGTGTCCCATTCTGTGCCTGTCAGCATTCCACTACCGCTCATCTGTAATGCCCAGATAGAGTGCACCTTTCAGATCTGCACCAGCACAGAACGCCCTGCCCGTGCCTGTAATGATTCCCACGACTAGAGCCGGCTCTTCATCCAACCAGTTCCATATTCTCTCCAGCTCTTGATTGAACTCGTCGTTGATACAGTTCAGATCTTTCGGTCGGTTCAGGCGGACTAGTAATACTCCCGTGGCCGGATAGGAGATGACTGCGTGTTTCGATGGAGGCTGCGGCTTCTCGAGCTGAGGCTTGAAGCTGATCGGGGCCATGGTGCGGAATCGTCTTTCGCAGAGCGAGCTGGCCTCTTGGAATTGAGTGGCCTGTTGGAATCAAAGAGCCCGTTCTCGATATCAACGCCCTTGAATACTTCCTACACCCTCACGTTCTCCATGCTTCGACACGGAGCTCTGCGGGGGGAGCTCTGATGTTCGGGTAGCACGTCCCTACCGAGACGGTAGACCGAGGCTTTTCATGCATCAGTCTGTCGCGCTGCTCGACGTGGAGCGTGTATGGCCTCGTGTGATGCTCTTGCAGTGTGTCTTGGCACTTGGTGATCTCATGCTCAGTCAGGACATGTCAAGTATATCGATGACGAAGCCATGGTGACCAGATCGTCGTCGTCAACGGCCTGGCATCCCCTCGAGCCATGTTTTTGGACATACCAAGCGACATGAACATCGACATCATCTCGAACGTCGTGACTACGTCCTGTCCTTTCGATTTCAAACGTCGCGCAGTTCGCTCTCGTCGATTCAACCCCAGGGTTCACCCGCTGCCGAGGAAGTTGTACTTCACGACAAAGCAAATGTCACTTCTACTCACCTGATCATCTCCTCGTCACTTCCTTCTGCAGCATATCACTTCGAAGCTTCTCGTTGTCGTTCATTCAACCTTTTAGCTGACGCGTCGCCGCACTCGACATCAAGCCGCGATGTAGCATATATATATAATTTCTTTCCCCCGGAACACCAATCAAATCACACAAAATCCTCCGTGGCGCAATTGGCTAGCGCGTTCGGCTGTTACTTCTCCCACGAGAAAGCAGTTAACCGGAAGGTTGGTGGTTCAAGCCCACCCGGGGGAGCAATATACTTGCACCCTTTCTTTTTGGGATCTTTTATAAAAGGATTCGATTTGCTGAATTTTTGCTTCAATGTTACGACCATTTCTATTCTATCTCGTCATTTCGAGTTTTCACGGCACCTTCAAAATCCACCCCGAAAACAACCAAAAAGCCTTTTCCTTCCACGCCTTCTCTTTCATTGAAAAGAAAGTCATGTTTTTATATAACTTTGCGATAGACACAGCCCGGAAGCTAGTCGTCTGTAGAGGAGGCCGGACCACAGAAGTTCCGATGCCCTATTCGCTACCCATCTGCTTGATGGCATTTCAATCGGCCTCCAAGCCTTTGACTCAACTTATCGTTTGACAGAAGCCTATCCTTCAGGATTGAGGTGAGGAGAGTCACGAGCGCATCAGGGCTGCGCCTCGACGCTTGTCGTTCATGTCAAGGCAAAAGATCATGTCTTTAAACAGTTGTATTCCGAGCTGGCATCATGTTTGTTATCGCCCATATGCTTACTCAAACGACGATGTTTGAATGGTCATGGGCCATCATGAGCTGGCATTGGCAAACGATGTGGTGTTTGTCAATGGTCAGGATGCCACAGGAGCAACATGTGAGCCTGGAAGCCACGCAAGAGGATAGCATAAAAATCCTTCTGCTTTCACACTCCTCTCGACTTTCGCTTTCACAGGGCTCTGGAGCTTCGACCGAAATCATTCAGCAAGCGTGCCACGTCTTCAAGATGTTCTCCGCTCACCTCTTACCATCCATGCTCCTGGCCATCCCCGGAATACTTTCCCTCGTCACGGCCCTCCCTGCTCCATTGGAGGCTTCTCACAACCTCTCCAAACGTTGGTACGGAGTGGTGCAAGCTCCTGCGGATCCAAAGTCCGGAACGGGCGTCTACACCTGGCCAGTGACAGAACGAGATCCAATCAGAGGCAATTTAGCTCCGATCTGGTACTGTTTCGAAGACGTCTATTCCGCCAAAACTCTCACTCCAATCGTCAGACAGGCCATCCAGAAATGGAGACCAGCTTTGAGTCCAAATTCCGCGGTAGTAATCGGACTGCACCCGGAGTGTAGAGGAAATGGGACTCGTATCTGTAAGAGTTTGAAGCATGGAGATGACGCATTGGTCATATCCGACGAACGTAAGCCTGAGGGGAGTCCTTTGTCGACCACCGATTACAATTACAAAGACCAGGAGGCTGGGCGTCATTATATTCGCTTCCGCGGTATCGGCGGAGATCAGACAGAAAATGAACTCGTGCGCAGCATGGCTCACGAACTGGGTTTGTGGAGTGACTCGTCCGCGTGGAAGATGACGCTGAAATGATTTCAGGACATGTCATTGGGCTTGCACACGAGCATCAGCGCGAAGGGCGTGACAGAGCCGGACTTGTCGTTCACTCCAAGTCCATGGCCGATTACTACCAAGTATGTCCGGCCGAGGTTTTTGGCAGCCGATGCTGATTTGATGTGAGGCCAAGACAAAAGTCATCGACGACAAGGCGGCTCCAGAATTTGCGCACATCACGAATGACGCGAATGGCGACAGGAAGATGGCTCTTGTGTATGCTCGCCTTTCAAGTATCTCCGAATAAGCGAGCTTTGCTAAGGGAGCTCACAGGCTTCAAAATCCTGACCTTGCCAAGGAGTATAGCATAGGAGAAGCCATCAACTTCATGAAAGGTTCGCAAATAGGCGGTGAATATCTAGGATTCCAGGAGGGTGGTCCATTCGATTGGCAGAGCATCATGCTCTACAGCTCCTGGCAAGGTGCCGCCTCACTACCGAACTCTGCTGCTCCGTCTAGTGCCAGCTCAGAAGGAAACGAAGAGGATGCCATAGACGAGGAGCCATCACATCCCTCGATAAGTCGCGCGGTCATAGTCCGCGAAGGTGCTGATGGCAGAGAGCATGCTATCTTCCAGGGAGGCAGTTACGATGCCAGTCTCGCGAAGCCATCGAGAGGAGATGTGCAGAGAGTGATTGCTTTGTATCCGAAACGCCAAAACAAGTCGTGATTTCCATTGCGGCAGGAATTTGGCAGTTTATAGAGCGTGTTGTGGAACCCATGCGGTTGAGAACTTGAGGAGTTGCGAGTACTGAAATTTGCCTTTGTGATGCTTCTCCAGCTTGGGGACAAGGAAGACAGGCCATTTTGAACAACATCCCGTAAGGTCCAGAGGTCCCAGCACGCGGGCATTTCGGAGCTTCAATGTCACACACTGCATTCCTTCTTTCTTTCACGGGGTTCTGTGACATTCAGCCCAGCGTTATGTGCATAAAGCGCGAAGCATGCCGCAATCAGCAGTGCAAGGCCCGCCATACCTACAGCAACCCACAGTGCGATGCGATATCCATGTAATAGACTCTCACTGTCAGGGTCCACTTGTAACTCAGCAGTGCCAGCAACTCCCAGGCCTAGGGAGACGCTGTAGTTGATGACGGTATTCGCCAAACTAGCCGCAATTCCCTGCAAATTTCTCGGTGCCATGTCCGATAGGATCAACGTGGAAGCCGGGAAGGAAATGTCCATACCGAACGAGATGATGATGAAGGCGACGAACGTCTCGGCCCAATACGTCTGTCTAGCTCCCATCGTAGCCGATAGGATATTGCCGACCATGAAAGATGTGGCGGCTATCATCAGCAGCCACGGAGCTGGAATGTGGCGAATCGAGAGGCCAGTGCTGAGAGCAGCAATGCAACCCCCCAAAGCGAGAGTGATGAGTTGTACACACGTTTCAACAGGCGTAAGTGTCCGGATAGTCTCCAAAATCTGGACGGTGTAGAAGATGAAGACACCGAAGGAAGCCCATCCAAGTCCCACAATGACAAGAATCGAGACGGTACCGAAAGAGAAGATCTCTATTGGGAGTAGAGGGTGAGAAATTCGAGTTTGATAGAAGACAAAGGCGACCAAGAGCAATAGGCCAACGATCAAGAGAACGCAGACGTAGGCACTGGCCCAGGTGACAACCGTTGCTTGGTTCCACGCGAAATTGAAGAGCACCAGACCGCTCACGCCAAGGAAAGTGCCGATGTAATCAAACTTCTGGCCATGATTGTGAGCTTCTTTCTCGTCAGGGATAACGAAGTAAGCCCCAAAGGCAAGACCAGTGGCTGTGATTCCCATGCTCCAGAACGACCAAGGCCACCAAGCGAATTGACTGAAGATACTAGCGAATATGCCTCCAATCCAGAACCCGGAAGGTGCAGTCATTGCGAACAGCGCGAAAACAACATCCTTTCGTCGGCCGTTTGGGTACGAGCGTCCGCAGATGGCAAGAGCATTTGGCAGAAGGATTGCTGGGCCGATTCCCCTGATGCCTTGAGAGACGCAGAACATTATGACAGCGGCGTTACCTTTGGCCGCGTAGACACTTAGGCCCACCAGTGTGGAGAACAGACCGAACCAACTCCATCCAATGACCACCATCGTTTTCGGTCCCAGCATGTCGCCTAGACGTCCAGCCGGCAGTACGAAGGTGCCGACGGTCAAAGAATAAGCTGCTGCCATCCATGATAATTGTGCGGGATCCGATGTACCGAGCGACTCGCCTATGATGTGCAGGGGTACGAGTGTTTGGCCAAGAGCGGCTTGCGTGAGAAGTTGGGTGCAGCATAGAAGGCAAACGAAGACGAATTCATGGGCCGGGCTGAACGTCATGTACAGCGGAATGTCGTCTTCAGAGTGCTGCTGTCCTGTCTTGGCGGCTCCGTCATCACGAGCGGCTGGAGTGCCGTTGCCGGATTCGATCTTGTCTTCATCGACGTCGATTGTCTCTCGACGATTGTGTGCTGACAGTGGCATTGCCGTTGGGTCCTCCATGATCGAGCAGCTGGGAAACGCAGTCAGAGTCCGACACCATTACAGATGGATCACAAGGTATATTCAGAGCCTTATAGGATATTGTTTGGCCACTGCTCGCAGCGCAAGATGCATCAATGATTCCATGCTTGTGTGTTGGGAGCAGTCCCGCAATCAGAGAGCGGAGTTATTGTGGAGCAACGCGGGAAGATACCTAGACCCGCGCGTCCAAGCCTAACGTTGCGGTATCTTGCTTGCCTCAGGCATAACCGGCCTCGTCGTACAGAGACTCGCTTCTCCCGCTTGATGAGTTCAGGAGGACGGAGACGATCTTCAGAATGTCACAATTGTCAAAGGATGTCATGACGCACAGTGTGCGGTCCGATGGTGCCGGCAACCGAATTCGATAACTCCGGCCACTTCGGCCGATGGACGGCAACTGCGAAAATTATGGTTTCCCTGTCCTTTGAGTCTCTGTCCTAGGAGTCATTCTCTTGCCTTGAAGATTCCATCCATCACGGACGTCTGGCTTGAGTTAGTCTGGCTCGAGTTATTGGCGTGACTGTTTGGGCTTTCGAATGAGGTTTTGGCTGATGCTCCTCGCCATGTTCCTGATAATCGTTTCCACCAACGTCGTGGGAAATCGATCTTCTCAACGGGTCGATTCGTGCGTCGAGCGTGTATCACGTAATTTATTAGAGCAAAGAAAGCACAGATGTTGATCTAGAAAAAGAGAACTTTCACATGCGCCAAGTCTAAGGTACGATCGCCATGCGCTAACGGGCCGTCGCGCGTGCCGCACGTGCATCGGCACAACCTTCCGGCATACGCGTTTCGAAGTGAGTTGAGATGAAAAAGCTCCATCTCCTGTCCGGGTTTCAACTTGTTCATGACTTACTCACGACCCACTGCCAGACGATGACAAAACCGTAAAGCTGGCGAAGAAGACTAGACCGTCCGCCATGCTCGCTACAGCAACCCGTTCTCACAACTCATGACGATGCGATACCGGCATGTCATCTCAAAGACCGCCCGCCGCACAACGCGCCGCTATCCTTTCCTTCGCCATGCCTCGATCACCACCATTGTCCTGATACTAGTCTGGATCTACGCGGTCTACAGCGGCGAACGATCGACATACGAATCTCACATTCGAGCGTGTCATTGGGACAAGTGGGAAGAATGGCCGCGCGAGGCAAGACCGCACCACTCCGTCTTCGTTGCCGATCCGCAGCTTGTCGATCCACATACGTACCCGGGAAGGCCATGGCCTCTGTCGAGCTTGACTGAGAAATATACGGATCTATACATGAGCAGGAACTTCCGTCTCATAAATCAACAATTGGATCCAGACTCCGTGGTGTTTCTGGGAGACCTTTTTGATGGAGGAAGAGAATGGGCGACTAGCAAGGCTAGATATCTGAAGGCGAGTCAACGAGACACTCTGGTAAAGCTCGCCATTCTTGGGGAGGGAGAGAAGGAGGGACAACGAGAGAGTCTGACCAATGTCGACTTTGTCCAGGGCGAGAACGGCAGATGGGCGAAATGGGGAGGGAGGCAGTGGAATGCCGACTTCGATCGGTTCGGCCGAATCTTCTTTGATGCTGCGCAGCTGTACCCCGGCTCAGAAGTCGACCTCCTGCCTGCGTACGATGTCCCAGTGGACCCAATTAGCATGGAGAATGGCGCCAAGAACGTTACTTGGACTCAATACGGCGTTACCAGTCGCAAATATCGACGGGTCATGACAAGTCTGCCCGGCAACCACGATCTTGGATTTGGTTCGGGAGTGCAACTGCCGGTCCGCGATCGCTTTCGGAGTCACTTTGGTGCTACTAATAATGTCTATGTTCTCGGAAACCATACCTTTGTCAGCGTTGACTCTCCCTCCTATTCCGCTTTTGATGAGTATGTGCCTGGTGGAGAGGTCTCCGCGGAACGAAGGAATCAGTATTACAAGACTTGGAAGCCTACAAGCGACTTCCTCGATGATCTGGAGAGGAAGGCTCCGAAAGTGGTCGCAGAAACTATGAATGAGTACTTTCCTGGATCGCACCCAATCAAAGGCTTCCGACACGAGGCTATCAACGCCAATGAGAGCCAACCAGAGCCTCGAGACGTTTCGGACGTTCCTAAAGACAAACCAATCCTGCCGGTGGTATTGCTCACTCACGTCCCGCTTTTTCGCAATCCAGATACGGACTGTGGGCGCCTTAGGGAAAAGGGCAAAGCGATCGCGGTGGCGCGAGGCTATCAATATCAAAATGTCCTCACCCCTACTCTGTCCAATGCAATCGTGAAAAAAGTGTCCACAGCCGGCGATATTATGCACGTCTTCTCTGGAGACGATCACGACTACTGTGACGTAACGCATCGCTTTAACGTGGGTCGCTGGAATGAAGAAGAGCAAAAAGACAAAGTCGAGATGCGCACCATGCGCGAGGTGACAGTGAAGAGCTTCAGCTGGGCTATGGGTGTTCGTCGGCCTGGGTTCCTGCTCGTGAGCCTTTGGAACCCCGTGGATGAGATGGGCAACACAGTAGGGACACCATTGCCAACTATTGAGACCCAGCTTTGCCTATTGCCCGACCAGCTCAGTATTTTCATCAACTACGCGATCCTGCTCGGATGGACATTGCTTATCCTCGTCATTCGCGCCGGTTTAAAGGCTGCGCGGAATCGCCAGAGCATAGATGAGGAGGACAGTGAAGACGACATGGTGGGCTCGCGCCTCACTCTCCCGCGCTACCAGTCAAGGTTCATCGGCAAGCAGGACAGTAAAACGAATGGTTATGCCAATGGCCATAGCTCCGCAAATGGCGACGCCAAAGGACGGCAGCGCGCATCTTCAACTTCGATGTCTACATCGAATGGCAATAACAACAACACGTTGGGCGTACAACGCAGTTTCAATGCCAGGACCCGAAGCGTCTCGCCTGCTGCAGCCGTGACTGCCAGCAACAACTACAATCCCAACACAAACGAATATGGCTTGCCTAATCTGCAAGAGCATTCTGGTCCACTGATCGAGAGAGCTGGTTATTACCCGCCAGTGAAGTGGCAGGATCCGAACGAATCTGATGAAGAGTCACACCTTGGCGATGATGAGCAAGATAGTCAGGCGAAGTGGAAAAAGCGAAGACGGCCACGAAGCAAAGCGAGGATAGCCTTGGATGAATTTATTGCAAGCGTGGCATTTGTAGCCATTCCAAGCGGACTGTTCTACGGCTTTCTCATTAGAAATGGATGAGCTGAAGGCAAGAACGGAATGGCCGCTTGGAATGTCCATAACCAGCTGAGCGTCTGTAAGCATATTGAGCGAGCATTGTACTGTACAACTGATGGGTAATGGAGAGCTTGTTGCATTAATCGATGAGCTTCCCCGTCTTCAATGGTATCAGCATCTGGTATATACACAACGCCAACAGCAGCAAATTGGCCACCCTGACAAGCTGCATGCCGCCATGTGCACCACGATGTATGCCAAGGATTACAGACACTGTGGAGCCGAGAGAAACATCCACCTATGCAGGTACACTGGGAGCTCACATGGGATCGATGCAACATCCGGGCGGGTCGCAGGACTGAAAGTTATCTCAGAGCAGCAACAGCACGATCAAGACCACGACTTCTTACCTTTCTGCGGCCAATTTGACGGATCAGGTGCATTGGAATTTTGTAAGTCGACCGACCTTGGGGAGCGGCAAAAGAGCCGACCGGGTTGGCTTTGTGGACGAGGAACGATGTGCCTTTTGTACAGAGAGTGCATGTTTAGAAGCAAGGACTGATTGAGTCCGCGGCCCCGCTGGTCAAGACGAGGGATGGCAAGTGGATCAAATTCTACCATTGGGTTGGTCTGCGACCTGTTGTGTATATGACGGGACAGTACAGTACCGTCCAGGTAAGACAGGCAGTATTTCCTTTGCTGAGTATGCCAGGCTGACATAGTGTAGATGCTGGTGGGACCTGGGAACCGACCTCGTGGCCCACCCATTGCTCGATTTGAAGTTCCACAACTTCAGCCTGTGTATACCGAAGGACAGGTCAGTAATGTTCTGTTCAGCGAGGGGTTGATCCACTTCAAAGGGAATTGGATCATCTGCTTCGGGGAGGGAAATGCTCATTTGCGGACCGCTATTGCTACGGTTCAGCCCTAAGATGGAGCAAGACTTGAGACCGATCTCGCTAAGGCCTACCGATTATTCAGAGTTGAATCACTACAAGCGATACTCGCACTATGGCAAGTGGAGCCGGCTCACCCGGGTCGTACAGAGTTTGTCCCTGCAGTGGTGAGGTGGTTGAAGTTCAGGATTCACTCAAGCGGGGCGTGGAACTTGACTACGCCCACCACGAGCTCAAACGCGGTGGAACTTGGGTGGCATGTGCATTACACAGCATTGTATTGCCTGTACGAAGAGGATGTGCGTGAACGCATGCAACAACACATGCGACGTGGGCGACTCATTTGTGCTAGCCGCCTCGAGCTGATCCTTGTAAACCCTTCCCAGCATAGCAGCTTGATGGGTGAACCATTTCTTCCTCGGCATAGTTCTCTCTTCATCTCTACAGTGTTTCAATAGCAGGAATATGCGAACACTCATATCGTTTGCTGTCGTGGCTTTGGGAGCAGCTTCGCCAGTTGCGAAGCGACAGATGGATCAGAAGAAACCGCCGTTGCATTTCTTCGTCTTGTAAGTCAAGATCGACTGCCCGGATATCAGGACCGACTCACAAGGAAACAGCGGCGACTCTTATTCCAGTACCGAATTCGATGTCACAAGTCCAGCTCCGTCAATAGAACAGCCGCTTGGTTTTCCTCCTGTGGGACACTCGCCAGACGACCTGACTGCAAATCCTCTAATAGCAGAGACGTCGACGGCCAATGGTCCCAACTGGGTTGAATTCCTCACAGTCCGAGACAATACTACCGCTACCCTGACATACGATTTTGCAATCAGCGGTGCCTCCATCCCAGATGGCTTCACGGACCAGATTCTGAACGTCTACGAACCAAAATACTCCTCCCTCTACAGCGGCAACGCAACGAGGCCATGCACCGCTACTTCATGGAACAGCAATTCCAGCATCTTCGCCTCCTGGATCGGAATCAACGATATAAACTGGTGCTCGCTGCTCTTCACGAACACTCCAGATGTCCCCTTTTCCCAATGCCTCCCACCTCGAATGGACAGCTACTTCAACCTCATGGACAACCTATACATCACCGGCGCAAGGAATTACTTCTTCGTAAACATGCCTCCCCTCCAACGGGCACCCATGGTCTTCGCACACGGCCAGAGGATCATCGACAATTATGCACAAGGCGTCGAACTCTTCAACCACCACCTCCTACCGCGTTATGTCCAGAATTTCACGGCGATGCATCCGGGCAGCAGAGCTATCGTACATGATGCGCATACTTTCTTTGCGAGGATACTAGACAACCCGACGTGGTATGGATTCAGGGATAGTAGATGTTATAGTTGTATCGGATGCTATAACGTCACGGGCTGCTTCTGGTCGAATGATTACCATCCAGTATGGCAGGTTCATGAGCGGTTGGCGGAGGATATGGTGGCGAACTTGACGAGTATAGGCTGGCCCGTCCTGGAATTTGAGTGACGGCTGCGTCTCCAGTAGTGATCCTGTCAAAGCAACGAGGAGCTGAAGTAGACAGAATTGGACCTGAGATGGTGCTTACGGCTCACTGAGTCGAATTCTGCTGTCTCAGTCTGAGTCCCCGTGAGACCTGAATCTCAAAATAACACGAGCCTGCTTAAACCAATCCATATCCCGAAAGGTCTCCTAGAGCCCGGGTGGTCCCTACCAACAGACATCGCTGTCTCCTCGTCCACACTCGTCGAACATCTCGAATATGTTCCGCAAAAAGCGATTACATCTCTAACATGGCGAGACATCTGCCAATGCAACCTCTTCCTCCACTTCCAGAAGTCCCAAGACGTCGATTCATCTCTTCGACGTCCGGAGAATGGGTCCATCGCTCTGGAATTCAGTCGTTGATGTCATACTTCCTGTCCATGTTGAAAATTTATGGGTCGTGGTTGTTCGTAACTGGGTATCGCCTACAATCGTGCCTGCAGAGACCGTAGTAGCCGTCCAGCTCTCGTCCATGATCGGAATCTAGCGAGGACTGGAATAGTGTCAGTGACAAGATCATCTCAGTCGAAGTAAGAATGGCCCTTTGGGCAGCTCGACCGCTCAAAAGCAGGTAAGAGTTAGCAAACCCCTCCGGCTTGTGGGTGCTGCATGGTCGCCAAACATAAGACGACATCCTTGATGATGTTGTACGGATCTCAGCCCACCACTGTACAGAGCCGTTGACGCAGATCTCTGCAGCAGAGTTACAGAGCAGCAGACTTGTCCTTCAACATGCGCCAAGAGATAGGCCAAGTCCAGGCGCCGTTCCATGCTAGTGATCTCTGCGAATACACACCGATCCGGTGATAAGCATGCTCGATCTCGACACTTAGTCCGGGTTTCGTTGGCGACTACAACTTGCCCAAAATGCTTCAAATCACAAGCTTTCGGCGTCACACGCGGCTTCTTTGTGTGAAGATTGCAAGATGGGTGTTCGAGACGTCGAAACAAACATCGCCAAAGTGCCCACGCCGCGCTCGAGAAGCAATTCCGAACCCGAAGATGGAGATATCGTAGAGAATGGCCAAATCACTCAGAAATATGGTCGAACCAAGAGAGGACTCTCTGGGCGTCATGTCCAGCTCATGGCAATCGGCGGTTCCATTGGCAGTGGGTTTGAAGGGCAGATACACGGGGAGTTGAAGCTGACGTTCACGCCAGCTGGTCTCTTCGTTGGAATCGGATCATCTCTCAGCAAAGCCGGACCATTGAGCGTCGTGCTGGCATATCTGATTTATCCGTCGTTGTTCATCTGGCCCTGCAGTATGTGTGTTGCGGAGATGGCGACGTACTTGCCCATTCGAGGAAGCGTGTATGAATTTGCGACTCGATTCGTTGATCCTGCATTTGGATTCATGCTGGGCTGGAGGTCAGTTAGAGTCTTGATGCCCCGTATTCAGATGTCTATCCTAACATGCTTGCAGTTATTTCTATGCAAGTTCAATGCTTTACTGCGCTGAGATTTCCGCTGCAACGACTGTCCTGGAGTACTGGAACGCACCGGTCAATCCTGCTGTGTGGGTGGCATTGATTTTGGCGGTGTGCCTATTTCTCAATATCTTTGCTGTGAAGTGAGTACTCTAAAAGAACGCAGCTGACATTCACTGATTTCATTAGGTGGTACGGAGAAAGCGAGTTCATCTTTTCCTGCACCAAGCTGTTACTCATCATCGGTCTCTGCCTTCTCACCTTTATCACAATGGTTGGAGGCAATCCAAGGCACGATGCATACGGCTTCAGATACTGGACGAAGGGTAACGCGATGCATGAGTACTACACTACCGGGCCGACTGGTCGCTTCTTGGGTTTCTGGAGTGTAATACTTTATGCGGCATTCTCAGTCTCTGGTCCGGACATGATTGCGTTGGGTGCTGGAGAGATCAAAAATCCAAGAAGGAACATTCCTAGGGTCGCCCGCATGGTCTTTTTCCGGATTTTAGGATTCTATGTCTTCGGTGTTCTGGGCGTTGGCATCATTTGCTCCAGCAGAGATCCTCGCCTGCTTGGCGCAATAAACGACGGCTCCGTCGGATCAGCGGCCTCTCCGTGGGTCATAGGCATTACCAATCTTGGGATCAGCGGGCTGGCCGGCTTCGTGAACGTGGCGATCTTGCTCTCCGGATGGTCTTGTGGAAACGCATACCTTTACACCGCCTCCAGGACTCTGTATTCACTGGCGCTCGACGGCCAGGCACCTCGTTTCTACCTCAAGTGTACAAAAGCAGGCAATCCGATTTACTGCGTCTTGACGGTATCCCTCATCGGGTGCATCACTTTCCTAGTGTCAGACAGCAGTGCAGCAACGGTATTCGGCTGGTTCGTGGACTTGGCAACTTGCGGCTTCGTTGTCTGCTATCTCGTCATGCAGGTTGTGTGGGTTGGGTTCTTCAGAGCACTGAAAGCGCAAGGAGTTTCCAGAGACAGTCTTCCATGGAAAGCTCCACTAATGCCGTACGCAGCGTATGTTGGGATAGGCTTCGGGTGGGTGGTCTTGCTTTTCATCGGGTTCGATGTCTTCGCTCCATTTGACGTGCAGGGCTTCATTACGGCTTATTTCGGGATCGCTTTCGCAGTCCTCGTCTTTGTTCTCTGGAAGGTTGTGAAGAAGACCAGCTTTGTGAAGCCATCTGAGGCGGATTTAGTGTCCGGCAAGGCTGAGGTAGATGCCGAATGCTCAGTCTGGGAGGTCGAAGGCAGAGATATGCCTACTAGCGCGATTGGGAGGTTCTGGCAGAAGATATGGTAGATGCGTCAATGCAGGAACACCGGGCAAAAGAATCGTGTAAGCCACGTTCGTATATTTACATAATGATCAGATGAATTTGTCAGTATATTCCGCTCGTCTCGTCGCAAAGGTTGCTTGAGTCGAGAGCAGCTTTGTTGAAGATGGAGAGGGCAAAGGCTTTCCTCAAGTTTCACGCGGCACGGGCCACCGATCTCTCGGATTCGGCTTCCCTGACTTCATCACCAGCGTAGCTCTCCACATACAACGAAACATCAAGTCCTTACAACATAAGACAACATGGCCAACGGGTAATCTCACTATATTGAACGCTCAAGCAGCTGCTAACTTAACCTACAGGTGGAGCATCGTGATCAGCATTGTGGTCGTCGGCCTCATCGCCGTCGCCGCATGGTTCTTCAGTCCCAAAGGCGAGAACCAAGCGTACGTTTCCGCAAGCGCTCACGTCCTGTTATACGATGTTGACGGCACCTCTAGCGTCTGGCGATCTACAATAATCCTTTCTGCGGCGAGTTGTTGGCTCATGTGGGGTACGTGTCGAAGCCACGCACGAGAGCATTCTACAACGGGAGCAAAGCTGACTTTGGCGCAGCAATAACCTTCCTTGCACAATTGCATCCTCTCATAACGCCCGAACGCAAAGATCTACGACCTGACTTCAACCAAGGACCTGCGGCGGGGAACAGTTTCATGTGAGCAAGAGCAGAGGGCAGCAGGCGTTATAGCGGCGTAGCGGGCGTTCATGGGCAGGAAAGATTTGTACAGTTAGTGAAACAAAGAGCACGCGAATGAGATAGTCATAACGTTTGAGAATCACGTGGGTAGCACTGGATGCCACAGTATCGGTGTCTGCTCTCATCCCAGACCAACTGTGTCTACGAGCGTCCGCCATACTTCGATGAGATCGCCCGTCTCTACCACACCTGCAGCGGCCACGCCGCCTCCTACACCGACAGCGCGTAGAATACCCTGCATGTCTCGATTAGCGGTGAAGAGCACGTTCTAGAGAAGGGAGAGTACTCACCCATCCAATCGCAGCTCTACAAACAGCCCCGACCGCAGCCAAGATAGCAGCTCTCACATAGCCACAGTCAAGTAAGATCTCCAGCGCAGCCACATTGTTGATGATCACCGCCCATGACACAGCGCTCGCGCTACTGGGAAGATCATAGTTCCAGACCAGCAACATCAGCGGAAAGAGCTTGGTGAAACTCGAGACCAGCAAAGCGGTGCTGATGAGCGCCGGGTGTGGATAATGCGGAATCACGGCCGATAAAGGTCTCGGGAAGTTTATCGATAAGAAAGTTCGGATGGGGAGATGGAAGGAAGCTGTTTCCAGGGTACAGAGGGCCAGAAAGAACAGGTATTGAATCAGGATGGGTTGCGAGGCGATAGAGCTCGTTGGAAGGCCGGCATCGCTGGTTGTGAGGCGCGATGATTCGTTGTAGGCGCTGCTTGTTCCTGATGAGTAAGGTGGCAACGGAGGTGGTGGTGATAGTGGTAGTGAGGGTGAGGATGGCGTTGCTTTCTCGATCCGAGCCCAAGTTAAGTAGACGTCGAAGAGTAGTAACAGGATGCCAAGGCGTATAATTGAGGGCTATGTATTTTAGCGCTTGGTGCTTCATATTCTCTCCTTCGACTCACATCAAATCGCTCGTCTTCGCGTCCCAGCCGATTGAAGAGAAGATGTCGATAGACCTACCGCGCTTTCAGTTGCTGCACGGCAATACGGTCATTGACGGCGGATATTCAACAACGAGCCCTTGAAAGAAGAGAGAGGAAGATTGAAACGGCAGAAGTATTGCGTGCATGCATACCTGAGGCTTGATCAAGACGAGATCAATAAACAATACCACAAAATCGTGCTCGACGTACTTGTCTGCGAAGCGTTTACATCGCGGACACTGAGTGAGTCGCACTCCTTTTCCCAGCGCTTTGTCATCGGCTTTGCTGTATGTCGTGTACAGATTGCTCACGGGATAGCGACATTCGATGCATATCGGCATGTTGATGGCGCAGACGTAGATCGAGAGCTGTGCATTCCGTGGGTAGTTAGGAGCATGGGTATGCTTCGGTGAAAGGAGGTCGGTGTGCGGAAATATCTCCGCGGATAAGAGTTCCGCGTGTCCCGACTTCACCTTTCACCTTTCACAATACCTCCACAAACATCACCAGAACTCGCGACGCTTCAGATTTAATGACTTCTCGCCGGGCAAGAAAAGCTACGATGGAAGCGAAGCTCGACTCTTGCTCCGGAATGACTGACGTGAACGTCACGCCGGGCCTTACGAAGCCCTCTATGCTTAAGCCTCATGAAAAGCAGATCCCTTATGCTCGTACTTATGTCCTGCATAGGACTTTACACATGGACTGCCAGCTGCAGTCAAGACTTCTCATGAGAACCTATTCATGACTGTGCTGACTCTCTCTCAAGCTCTCCTGAACAACTCGCTCCAACTCCCGATCGCCGCGTGCCAGTCTGCAAATGCAACCTGTCTCTGTGCCAAGTCTTAATGCACATGCATGAGTACGCGACCGTTGAGAATGCTTTCGCACAGAGATTGTGATCTGGAATGCATGGCTTGATCTCAACTGGGACGCGCAGGCTCCCGCTCTCTCGCCGGTGAAGGTCCCCTTGTTAGCGTGATCCTCCGGTCTGTGCTTCGATCTTGGTATACTGGGGCTTTCTGACGTCTTGCTGGCTTCAGTCTCGCACTCTCCCTTATTGATTCATGTCAGATGTGCTTGACTTGCTTCTGATGAACGCTCATGTCTCGACCTGGCCACGTCACCGTCGACATCAGGAGCTTACGTACGAGCGGTCACATGCCACAACCAGCATCCATCAGGTCTGCATATGGGGGTAAAGGAGCAAGGGCTCTTACCGACGACATCTAAGAGTTGACTACAGCTTGCCTATCTGTTTCGCAAACACGTTTCACAGACGCAAGCCGCGTGTACGAAAGAAGGCATTCGGAAGTCCACTGGCCCCTCGAAGAACCATCGAAAAGCCAGCTTGAGCCGAACTTTCAATCCAAGTCGCCGCAACGAGAAATCTTCCAAGCCTCCCATCACAAATCTGAGACTTTTCACACCTCATCATCTCGAGTTATCCGCCACGGCAGCCATCATGGCGGAGGAGAAATTCCAGCGCTGCATGGAGTTGGTCAGAAGAGACGGTCAGCTCCAACAAGAAATACAGGCGCACAAGCAAGAGATTGGTCAGCATCAGATGCAGCTTGTGCAGTGTGAGAAAGAGCAAGCCGATGTCACGGCTGAGCTTCAGGCTATGGCAAAGGTATAAGCGTCTGCGCTTGATATGGTCTAATTATACTGACTGACAACCGAAAGAATGACGCCTCCCGTACTTCACCAGCCTTGCTGCCCATTCCAACAACACATTATGACCTGACAGTCGACGATGCTCCCATCGCATTGAAAGAGCAGGCACCTACCATCCTTCCGAGCGCCAATGGCTTGCCGCCGCCACTGCGGAGCTCTTCACCCTCTTCAGCTGCTCTTCCTCGGCAAAACAGTCCAGGATTTGATCGAAAGCCAGCACCTGCTCTGGTCCCGTACACTGGCCCACCGTTGGCCTTCATTAAGCGTAACGACAGCTTCGAGTCCCGGTTCCAAGAGCATCTCTGCTGGGAGTACCAATGTATTGCCATGCTCGAAGGCAAGTGGAATTTATTCTGGTGCCCCGTTTGCGGTGCAAACTCCGGGACAGATGGAGGTTTCTTCATGGGTATTGTCGGCATCAAAAGCCACATAAAAAAGTCTCACCAGGCTTTCTGTGAGCGACTTAACTCGAAACTAGGCAATACAGAAATCAGAGAGCTGGGTGGGTGCCGTGTATTATCCAAGGACGAGATACTGAAGCTTTGCACCCGTCAGCTCACAATCGCCGAAGTGTACGAGCCAGGCAAAGAAAGGATGTACCGGACAGGCATGAAGCGAGCCCATGCTCCCTCACTCATCATCGACAATCAGCCGAGCGAGGGAGAGCTTGGAGCCGCCATACGTGCCGCAGAGCTGAGCACCTCGACTTCCAGATCGACAGGGCACGGTGCATCCGGATCCTCGTTGCCCGACGCAAGCTCAATCGGCCGTAAGCGTTCGATTGAGGACTCGGAGCTCACGGAGGACGACGAGGAGCAGTCACCGAAGTTGCTTCGCACGAGCTCCTAACCACGTTCGCCACTGTACAACTAGCTCTAGCGAGGCATGCTACGGTGCTGTGCCCATTCGCGCATGGGTACAACGGGTTCGAAAAGTGAGAATGCAAAAGACTCTTACTTTTGGGAACCGCCGTTGTATGGTATTGAGTGAGCTCCAAGAAGACAAAATGGGCCAAAGACAGTTATGTAGTAGAAGAATCAGCTGGCACAACTTCTCAATTCCTGACTACACGTCGATGCAGGCGGATGTCGCATTGCAAAAAGTTACATCCGCCACAGTATTATCATAACCACTACGCCAAAGAAACTTCCAGCAGATTACGTTGGTCCGACCTTGTGTCTCAACACCGTGACTTCACATGGGCTGCGCTAGCGGCTTGGCAACCCGCATAAGATCCAGATTTGGAAGTGCATCGTGCATCCTTCGTTACTGCTATATTTCTACTGCCAGGCACAGACTTCCAGCACTAAACAAGCAAAACGAAGCGCTGGATCGAACCATGCGCGAGCAGCAGCAAAAGTCCCTCCCAAGAAATCAGGCCCAAAACTCGCAGGAATAGAATGCCAGATGGAAGCTGTGAACTGACAAAGAGGAGATACACAGACCGCATCGAGCCCCATTCGGACGGTGAGAAGAGCCAGCAGAGACAGAAGAGCAAAGACAAAAGGAAAACTCATGCATTTGACAACCAGCCGCATACGAGCCTAAGCAGGAAATTCCGGACGAGAAGCTTGCCGACTGTAGGTCTGGGTCAGCGAACCCCGACACGCAGTGATTGCATACCGAAATGTGAAACAACAAAAGAGAAGGCTACGCTCAAGTCAACGTCTCGTGGGAGCTTTCGTATCCAATGGGTTTCATTGCTCTATGCTACCGTGCACTTGAATGGAAGGCCACATGGTCCCTTCTCCTCACCCTTCTCCTGCTGCTGGGGCGCAGAGGAAGAAGTCTGCTGCTGTTGTCCTGACTTCGCCCCATTGCCATCCGCTGCCGTTGCCGCTGCCTGCTGTTGTCCATTTGTTTGTGGTTCCTTCTTTTGCGTGGAAGCCACTTCCTTGTCTGCTGTGCCATCTAGTCACGCGGAGAAGTTGACCTTGGCGACGTGGCCGTAGAAAGCCTCGCCTTGGAGTTTGGCGAGCTCGAGTTCCTTCTGGCTGGGTTGGCGGGATCCGTCACCGGCCTGTTGTGATAATGTCAGCTTCACGATATCGTCGCATGTGCCTGGGGTTTGTAGAGCTTACCGAGAAGGTACCAGCACCCCACGGGGTACCGCCGCGCACCTCGCTCAAATCAGCGAGAATGGCGAACGTTGTCTTGTAACCCAATGGCACGTAGATGAAACCATGGTGAGCAAGAGTGCTCATGGCATTGATGGCAGTGGTCTCCTGACCACCGCCCATAGTACCAGTGGAGACGAACAGACCAGCGTACTTGCCCCAGTACGCGCCCGTCTGCCATTGACCCCCCGTCGAGTCCCAGAACGCTTTCCACTGTGCGGGGAAGTTTCCGTAACGGGTTGGAATGCCGAAGAGGAAGGCATCGTATTGCTCGAGGACCTTCGGGTCGGCGACGGGGACGCTGGAGTCCTTGGGAGGAGCGTGCATCTTGGTCAGGACATCGTCGGGGAGCGTCTCTGGGATCTGGAAGAGATCGCAGGTGCCGCCGGCGGCCTTGATGCCTGCTGCTTCGGCCTCGGCGAGCTGCTTGACGTGGCCCCAGGTGGAGTACTAGAAGACATTGTCAGGGTGCCGTCGTGAGAGATGGTGAAGGTCAGAGGGGAAGGGGAAGGGGAAGGTGAGGTCTCTCAACGCTGGTCATAGCTTCACGAGAGCCATTGGGGGCTTGATGAGCAGGGTTCGCGGGCAAGACATACGAAGACGATAGCGATCTTTGGTGCCATGGTGACGGATGATTCTCAGAGCAGGCAACAAAGTGTACAGAAGGTTGGCAAGACGAAGGAGAAGTCTGTCAAAGCCAGAAGAGATGCGGGACGTATTTATTGTTGCCCACCCTCCCATGGGAGCTCATCCGATTAACCATGTATGCCTTCCGCTTGCAGTTTAGAGGGCGACGAGAAAGTGGGTTAATTTTTCACGATTTCCAATTCTTACATAACCATCACCAGCCCTTGCACATTCGCGCACGCCATGACCGGAATTCCGCCGCGCTGTCTCCCATTCGATCCCCTTCCAGAGCGTCCTTTCTTCATCGCTGACTGACTACGTGTGAAGCGAGGCTGATGGAAGGACTCGGATAGAATAGCTGGTAGAGCACACGGTACCTGCATCACTGCGAACCAATCACCAGCATTGAGAGGCAGGTGCCGCTATAAGCCAAAACAACAGCACGTGAAGTGAATCAAGTCCTGAAGCCCGTGACATTCAAAAAAAAAAAAAATCATCACCAAAAGAGGATTCCGCTACATGATCCGAACCCCTCAACAAGATCACCAAAGCTCTGCAAAGCTCTGCAAACATGGCGAACGGAGAAGAAGAAGAAGAAGATGAGGAGGACTACCTGACCATGTCCTTCGAAGACCCCCAACCCACCAAATCCTCCTCCATCCAACGCACCGCCCGCCTAAAAAAAGAAGCAGCCGAACGCGGCCGCGTCCCCTCCCGGAAAGAACGCGAAGCAGCAGCAGCGGAAGCCCGCGAGAAAGCTCTCGCCACCTCACTCCTGGAAACCGAAAATGCCGCCCAGTCCAAAGGCGCCAAGATGATGGCGAAGATGGGCTACGTGTCGGGCTCGGCCCTGGGGAAAGCCGAAGATGCGCGCACGCGGCCGATCGAGGTGCAGATGAAGGATGACCGCGGCGGGATCGGGATGGAAAGCGAGAAGAAGAGGAAGGTCCGCGAGGCGGCGGAGGCGATGCGCGCGAGTGAGAAGAAGGTGAAATTATCCGCCGAGGAGTACAGGGAGAGGAATATGCGGGAGCGAGAGGAGCGGAGGGCGGAGAGTCAGTGGTGGAGTGCGATGAAGCTGTTGCAAGGGTTTGATGAGGAGCAAGAAGAAGCAGAAGAGGCAGGGACCGTGGAGGGCGGCGCGAAAGAGAAACAAAACAGGCACAGGCACAGCGCCCGCAAACCCCTCCGCAGTATCTCCATCTTCTACCGCCCGCTCGTCAAAGCCCGCCTGGAAACCGAGCGGGACCGGCGCATGCGCAGCGAACTATCGCAATCCCTCTCGCGACGGGCATATTACGACAAGCCTAACAACAACGAAGACGACGAAGACGGAGCCTCAGACGACCACCTCGCGCTCCCAACACCAGCTGTCGTAGAAGAAGAAGACCTCGACCAAGAAGACGCCGAACTCGAAGAATGGGAAGCCCTGCCCTTCGCGGACCGCCTGCAGCGGATTTTGTCGCATTTGCGGGAGAGGTATCACTACTGCTTCTGGTGCAAGTTTCGCTATCCCGATGCAGGGTTGGAAGGCTGTCCGGGGCTGACGGAAGATGAACACGGATGATTGTGGGGTTGGGATTGATGGGATTTGGATGATGTACCGCTCGCAATGCTGAGGTGTTGGTCGCAGACTAGCGGAATACCCGCTTGTGGGCTCTATGGTTGGATCGGGGGCTTCCTGCGTTAGATGATATTATTTCTCGGGACCTCTCCTCTCCTTTCTCTCGTTTGGTTGGGTTTTCGTCGAGCTTCGAGTTCCGAAGCGGGAGTGCCCGCGTTCATCGATTGCAGCGGCCGTAATTCCGCTCATCACGTGCGTAGTATCACCTGAGGCTGTGAGAGCTTTGACTAACAAAGAAGGTTCATAGCCCGGCTATCTATATAAGGTTTTGAGGTGTTTTTATATCCCCTCTACTTGGCTACCAAGACTAGAGTTTTTTCACACTTAGGCATAACACTACTTTAGTAAGTATAGTGTAATTCCTTAGTATATAGGCTAAGGATCTTACATCCTCCCCTACTTAGACTTTAGTACCTACTAAAGCCTTAGTAGAGCCTCAGTTGTCTATAGATTCGTAGCCTCCCTCTATATACTAGTATATAGTTGTCCCTAC